CTGGTCGTTGATGCAAAAAACTGCCTGACATGCCCCCTGGTACCGTGTCTCAGGATACTTTCTCCCCATGACAGCTGTAGGAAAATGTGACCGGGTTCGAAGCCTCTCAGGATCCAGTATGAGCACTGAGTCATCGTGTTTCGAAGGAATATCCATTTTGATGCCAGATTCGAGCAATTGGTCAACCACGTTCTTGAGCGTCGCCGACGTCAGTGGCCGTGAGCTATGTAGTGCTGCGCACCACACCACCACCACGAAGCCGCAGCAAGCGATACGTGCTGCCCGCGGCACGAGCCCCAAAGCCGTTTTGACGGAAAACAGGACAGTGTCGGCATACTGGGTCAGCCCGTAGTCGATGACCAGGACTAGACGTGCTGGTTCTTGTCTCTTATTCAACCATTCGTTTTTCAAACAGACGAAAGCAGACGTGTCTGTTACGTGCGGCAAGGATATAAATGGACTATCATTCCTTATTCACGTAAGGTTCCATTAAATACAGTTGATGCTATCCAGCCGATGCAGAGATGAGAGTTCAGGCGCACAGCTCGGGCACATTGGCCGTACGCTCGGCATTCCAAGGCGTCGGAAAGCTCCGATGTATTCGGTTGAGCACCAGCGGTGAAGAGCTGGCAAAAGAGCTTTATCACCGAGACAGTCGCTGGTACTCGTAAAAGGGAGAAGGCTGTTCCGCCTAAGAGGAGTGGTGATGCCAGTCTTTTCTCAGAGGTGGTGGATGTGTGGGCTTCAAGGCTCTTCGTCCGCAGACCTGTTACATTGCCAAGATCCACGATACGACATTCGCCTTGGAACAAGCAACCTTAGCGGTCGGAAAAAAGGGCAGTAAGGGATATTGAACTTAATTCCTGGAAGCTCGGTCTAAGCCTCTATTTATTGCGGCCTAACTAGGATGACGCATTCGCAGGACGAGTAGATGAAGGGCGAGAACATGACAAGGAATCAGGGTCACAGAATTGCTAGTCAAGAAGCCTTTTCTTGCGACAGGACGGCGGATCTGCGCATCGTTTGAACAACTTCCGCCGATTTCCAGGAGGCTGATTGATGCAATTCAGCTCCATAATGCACATCAATGGGCTCATCTCTTCGTGCATGTCACCTGACCACCAGAAACATTAGAAGAGTGGCAGACCTCGCATGGCGCAGTGCCTGCAGCTTCATCACATGTAAACAGATAACCTGCCCATGTCTCGTTCACTAGGCTCTACAATTTATGCTGTCGAGTAGCCACGATGACCAACGTCCGTGTCGTCCGCCACGTATACGATCCAAGCTTTGAGTTCTTCTACGCGAACTTAATCAGGGAGGGCACTTAGCAACACACGTTGTATCACACTTATTCAGAGGTGGAAGGGCGCGGATCGAACCGATTTGACAGTCGCGTACGTTGATGCACACGGCCGTCGCACACAGAACCGCGTCGACTGCATCCGAGATGAATCGTTGCTCAGAGTACTCAAAAGCATGGGTCGCGCGATGCAGCTTATGTAGAAGTATCTGGCATGTTTCCAAGCCACCTTCAAGAGCAACGGCAATGGGCAGGAAGGAAGGAGGATTGTGCGGTCACCGTGTTCGGGAAAATGACGCGCGATCACATGCTGCCCTTTTTCGCTCATCGGTCCATCTCCCCCCAAAACACCTATCATTCGACCGATTCAGAAGCGTGTCCATTTGGTGACGCGCAAAATCGAAACCTTCCAGAAGGGGAAAGCCTCGACCTCGGAGAGAGTCGGAAGCATCCAAGCAGCTGGGCAGCAAGAGGTGACAAGCACATTTGACAAACCTGCCTAGAACAGCTCGAAGGGAGTGGGTGTGGCGGGACCGCTGGCTCGGGCGTGAGATAAGGCTAACGCTGTCGACGGGACCGCCGGTTTGGGAACCGGGGGCAGTTGGGGCGAACGGGACACATGGGGCGAGAAGGGCGCGGCGCACGATGACAAGGTGGAAAATTTGAGGGGCTCTGCGATGCAAGGCGGGAGGCGCGTTTTCCATGTCAAACGCAGGACGATACAGAGGCGGCTCCAAGAAGCCGGGGTGCAGGTATTTGAGGTCGTTCGATCTTGGAGTTGGGATGTTCAGGGTGTCGATAGGGCGAAAACACTACGAAGTCTAGACGGGATTGCAATTCGCCATTCAACGCTCAGTCATCCGTGGCCGAAGGCGAGGGTTTTCGCAGCGGTCAGACGCCCTCTTATGACGGACACTGCGTCAATCGCCAAGTCGATCAGCAAGCTGCTCAGACCGAGATGGCAGGTTCTTCGGAACAACCAGCACGAGCCTACAAGACACTATCAAGGGAATCGAATCTTGAATAACGTCAGTCTTCAAATCGGAGGGCTCCATTGGGCATCGGCAGCCCACTGCACAGCCGAAGACACATGCCCCCCCTGTACTGAGCGATCGACCCGTGTCTCCCTCCTTGAGGGCTAAGCTTTCCTGGAGTGGATGGAGCCAAGAAGGGAGGCACCGCATTGGCTGGCAGCTCGGCCGAAGATTGCCCTTTTGTCAGGACAATAACAAACTGTTGCGTAACAGAATGAGATGGGCGCCTCCCAAACGCGTGGGTGAGCGACAGCGGAGGGCCCAACATAATAAGTTGGCAGATCGCGAGTGGTGTGTTCACTGTCCGATGAGACGAAGTAGACTTCTTCAGATGACGGAGATCCGATGTCGCTGCTATTCGCCTGTCTGCCGCCGCTACAGAGTTCGCTACAGTATAGTTGATGAGTCGTGGCGATTTGTTGATGAGATGTAAAAAGGTCCTGTCAGGAACGGTAGATCAGCACCAAGACTGCGACCATTGGTCGAAGCTGAATGCTGGGCAGGCTGGGCATTGCGAAGAAGCATTGTCGAGTGGGTGGTTCAACTCTTGTCGTCCAGTCGAAGGCTCTCGCGACAGAGGAAATCCCACAGGAACCCCCCTTCCAAGCGTAATTCGCGTTATCGCCAGATTCGATTCGAAGCGTGACGAGGCGAGAATGTCATGACAGCTGGACAATGGGGGAATTTGAGGTGCTTGAAGGAGCATGGCCATCCCTGGGAAGACTGAAATGGGGACGAGCGTGAGCCCTGTACTGGTGAAAGCGGACCAGGGGGGTAGTTCGCATGCTGTGATAGCATTACGTCCAGATTCTGGACTCCGGTCAAGCGCGACCAGTGAGACGTGGTGGATTTTGGTGAGTCAGCTGAATGGCTGGCCAACGGGGGGGTTCGATTGATACTCGATTGACGTGTATGGTGGTGTCTGTGATTGACTGGATGATTTCTCTTATCTTCACACTGCCTCATTAAATGTCAAGCATGGCGCCCGGGCGTGGTTCGATCAGGCTTTGCTGGCCAATTCCTTGAGGTAGTTGATCTCGAGACGTCTTGGCGACAGCAATTAACGACCAGCGCAGGTGCCGTCTTTTTCCTAGCGATGTATATGTATAGGAGGAATAGGGCACCGATAACCTGAGCTGCTGATGCCGATGGTGAATGGGCTGGCTGGTTTCACATGGCTGCGTGCGTGGGCGCACAACATGGCCATGATGCTGCCTTCCATTCCAGGCTGGTGTTCAGGATGGATAGCGGTAGTACCTGGGTTGCTTCTTTTAGGTGCTGGATGAGGTGAGGCTGGAATTCCGCTGGCGCTGACCGTTTGCAACCCATGGCATTGGGCTCCGGGGAACAAGTCCCACCCCACCTTGACTATCCCACGATACCATGGATTGCCGTCAGCCCGACCTGTCCTTCTCTAACCCCGGAATAATTCGACAAGAAGGGGTGGAGGCAGTCTGTTGCATCACGAAGCGGCATTCGCCCGGGTGCTTGGTTAAGGTAGGCGAGTCGATGTACCGGCGCATCAGACTGGAGGGATGACATCCACTTGGGAGTTGGGGGTCCTGGTTGGTGGACCACTATCATGAGAATGAGCATCATGACAACGGGTGATTTGGTGAGATGCAGCATCGAAGCGGGAGCAGGAAGCGGGAGCAGTAAGTAAAGCAGGCAGGACCCCTGCCGAGTCCCGCACACAGGAAAGTGCGTGGGAGGCGTGCCTGCTTGCTGGGACCGTGCTTCTTTGCTGTACTTGGTACCTACGTACCGATACCCAAGTGGGGCAGACCCCTGCTGAAGCGAGCCTGCCCAGCCGGCACGAGTCGAGGGCGCCTGCTTCTCTTTGTACAGTACGCTCCTTCCTAGCCTTGTCCCTATGCTTCAGTGTCGCTGCCATTCTTTTTTCTCCCATCTCCTCCTAACGCACCCGGTCCCAGCTTCCAGGCTCCCGAGCGGCACCCCCCCTTGGCAGGATCAAGGCCACACCCCCCTTCCCTCTCCACCACTCACATGCCTTCCAGCTGCTATCTATCATTTCTGGTCGGTCAACTCTATTATACACCTGCGAGCAAAATCCGCGACCCTTCTGGCGCGCCCCTTGCCCTTCTCGTCTGCAAGACCCTCCCACACGCATGCACTTCCGGATCTCTCGTTTCTCACACCCTGGCCCCTACACACGCATCCACCTCCGTGTGCCCCCGTACAATGTACCACCCCCCCCATCATGGCTGTTCTTATCAGCCAGGGATCAACGCCAGCACCGGCGCCGGCGTCATGAATGGGATGGGTCGACGGGATGGGATGCTCGACTGAGAGATACGACGCTCCGTCGCAGGCAAGGTCCGTTTGGGGTCTTACTATCTCTGGGTCTTCTCTATCTTTTCCCCAGACCCGCGCTGCTAATGGGCCCCTCCCCTACCACCGCATCTGGTTCATATATATCTCTTGCGTCCATCCCTCCTCGCTGTCCCGTCTCGAAAGGTTTCTCGCTCTCCAGTCTCGACTCCATCCGTCTCTGGTGATACCCACTTCCACCCATAGAAGTCTCTTGTCTCTGCACCCGACAAAGACTCACACACCCTTCCGACAGTCGAACCCTCGACCACCTTTTCCCTTCATCGACACACCTTGTCCTTTGACATCTCTCACACACGACACAGCCCATCATGTCGTACAGTTGGGTGGGAGCTCCCACGGAGTTCAATGGCACCAATCCCGACACTGGCGGTGATTCCGGTACGCTGAGGCCCCAACTGTGATCTACTCACGACACCACTAACCAAGTTCGCCCAACAGTCACCGAGAACCTTAACCAGTGGTATCAGAGCGGCGACCAGGCCTATATTCTCGTCTCCGCTTGCATGGTCCTCATGATGATTCCCGGTATCGCTTTCCTCTACTCGGGTCTCGCCCGTCGCAAGTCGGCTCTCTCGCAGCTCTGGGTCGCCATGATGACCTTCTCCGTTTGTGTTTTCCAATGGTACTTCTGGGGTTACACCCTCGCCTTCAGCGAGACCGCCACCAACGGTTTCATCGGTAACATGCGCCACTTTGGACTCAAGAACACCCTCGGACAGCCCTCGCCCGGCTCGCCTCTGGTCCCCGCGCTTCTCTACTCTTTCTACCAAATGATGTTCCTCGCCGTCACCGCCGCCCTGACCGCCGGTGCCACTGCCGAGCGCGGTCGCGTCATTCCCTGCATGGTCTTCATCTTCTTCTGGGCCACCCTCGTCTACTGCCCCCTAGCCTGCTGGGTCTGGAACGTCAACGGCTGGGCTTTCAACTACGGCGTTCTCGACTACGCCGGTGGTGGCCCCGTCGAGATTGGCTCCGGCATGTCCGCTCTCGCTTACTCCTGGGTCCTCGGCCGCCGCAACGAGAAGATGATGCTGAACTTCCGCCCTCACAACATCTCGCTCATCACCCTCGGCACCGTCTTCCTATGGTTCGGCTGGCTCGGCTTCAACGGTGGTTCTGCCTTTGGCGCCAACCTCCGTGCCGTCATGGCTTCGTGGAACTCGTGCCTGACTGCCATGTTCGCCGCCATGGCTTGGTGCCTGCTTGATTACCGCCTTGCCAAGAAGTGGTCCCTCGTCGGCTGGTGCTCAGGCACCATCTCCGGTCTTGTTGCCGCCACTCCCTGCTCCGGCTTTATCCCTCCCTGGGCTTCCATCATCCTCGGTGTCGTTGCCGGTGTCGCATGCAACTTCGGCACCAAGGTCAAGTTCATCCTCAAGATTGACGACTCGCTCGATGTCTTCGCTGAGCACGGCATCGGTGGCATTGTCGGCCTCATCTTCAACGCCTTCTTCGCTACCGAGTACATCATCGGCCTCGACGGTGTCAACAACGGCATCCAGGGTGGCTGGATTGACGGCAACTGGAAGCAGATGTACATCCAGATTGCTTTCATCGTCGCCGCCTCTGCCTACTCGTTCGTCGTCTCGGCCCTCATCGCCAAGGCCATTGACATGGTCCCTGGTCTCAAGCTCCGCGCCTCTGAGGAGGCCGAGCTCCTCGGCATGGATGACGACCAGCATGGCGAGTTCTCGTACGACTACGTCGAGGTCCGCCGTGACTTCCTTGCCTGGACCCCCCACCAGACCGAGCCCGCAGGCGAGGGTGTTCGCTTCGTGCCCCAGCACGGCATCGAGGAGCACCAGGTCATGGCCGACCGCAACTCGAACCCCAGCTCACCAGAACCCGAGGTCAAGGCTGCGCCTGCTGACTCGGAGGCTGAGACAAAGAGCGAGAAGACGGCTGCCGTCTAAGCTGGCCACAACCAGCGACGGGACGGTTGGAGCAGGGGCAGCAAAGGGGTTGAGGCGTTTTTCTTTTTTCTCTCTTTCCTCGTATGGAAATTTCGGGATAACACCAGATACACTGGTACACTTTTTATTTGCATTTCCGGTCATTTGAACGGGCAGGCGGGGGGGTTTTCCCATCGAGCCGAACCCACAAGATAGAATATTCCTTTGAGAGCGCGCGATGTATCAATACCCACGACTTTACAAGTCGAATACTGAACATTCATCATCACACTTGGCGGATTCGTTCATTGCTTGATTGACTGAGTGACATGGAACTGAGTGCCGTCGCCCTCCCCCTTGCGAGTGAGCACGCAGTGATACGCAGCCGAGATTTGCCATCAAACTTTGGTGGCAGGCTACAAACAGCCACACCAATCGGGCGACGCAGGACGCGAGCTGAACATGGGCTGGGATTTGTGGGAATGACGCAGTTGGTTTAGGCTGTGTGTGTGTGATGGGACAGCGCCACGCGACTCGCACCGGGCCCCCCGCGCGCGCGAGATAACGACGTGCGCGATGAGTGGCTCGTTTCGCCGCGAGTAGGGGAGTAGGGGAGTAGGGGGGGGCCAGAGAGTTTCGGGCTGAGGTCGTGTCGACAGATGGGCAAGGGGGCATGTTCCCCGATCGAAGGGAAAGCTGAGGAATCGAGAAAGGGGTGGCGTCGCGCCGTGGGCTCATGAACAGCAGCTGGTGGGCAAATTGAGCAGCAAGCTGGCAGACGGAGAAGATAAGGCAGACAGAAAGGAAAAAGTGCGCCCACCAGTAGAGGAGTGAGATAGAGAGAGGGAGAGGGAGAGAGAGAAAGGGTTGTGAGGCTACAAAGGCCCAGGTCACTTCGCGCCCCAGCCGGTGAATGGGGTCTGGCTTGACATGTGTCCCGCCCGTGCTATATTGGTTTCCGACAGGAGACAGACGGAGACGAAGAGATGCGTGTGATCGAACAGCCTCGCGGGTGCTGGGATGATAAGTCGGACGTCTGAATAGACATTGTGTCGCCCCCCCGCAAAGAGGAGCGCAGCGGCTCGCCTCGCACCCCAAGAGATCGATGGTGTGGTTCGAGCCCCAGATCTTGGCTTCCATCGTGCAGCGGCGCATCTCGCAGTTTGCATGGCGTGCAGTTCTTCTTCTTTATTTTTGTTCCTAGGGAACGTGCCGACGTGCGGGCGCAACGAGTGATGATGCCCTGTGGTGCTGGGATTTCGTGGGGGGGGGGGGGGGCTGTAGTGTTTGGTGCTTTGATGGCGATCGTGCGGGCGCAGAGGGGGCCACTTGGCGTGGGTTTCTGCGGGCGTCAGCGAGTCTTTCGGGTCACACGGCGGGGGATGGGGTTTTCTTATTTCAACTGCTGTTGCGTGAAGAATTCCGCGAATGCAGGGTCAAGAACAAGATGTCAATCAAGACGTCGATGGATGGACGAGGTTGAAAGAAGGTGTTGAGCCGCATCAGGGACCGGTCGGGGGTCTCGTGAGGTCGGGGGGGTTTTCATCGCGTAAACGTCTCGTAACGCCGTGGGTGGTGAGTGGTGGACTGGGACGGGGGGCGCCTGGCACGAGATCTGGGGTGCTGGGGCCCCGCCTAGACCCTGAAATTGTTTCTGCGTCTCCTTTTTGATGGATGACTCCGTCTCCGTGGTGAAATGAGGTCATGAAGCCGACGTTGCGGCCGGGTTATGGTGTTGAGTCTGATGCATCGTGAGGTTGTCCCCCGGTTGGACGGCCACCATGCGCCTAGATATGACACGATGTACTACGACCCACAACGTGCGCAGCCGTTGCATCTCCAGGGCATCTTCCATGGAGGCTTGCCATGCAGGCATGACGGCCATTCTAAGCATTGCTTACTTGCAGTTGAGCGTCTATGACAACGGCTCGATCATCTTCGCTGCCATCTCCCATAGGAGCCGCCTCGTGCCTTCGAACCGTTCCGACCATGGCAGAGATTGGTAGACACAAACAGCTCCTGATTTACCACCGCCGCTAGAATGCCTAGCTAGGACACATTGGCGCTTCGTCCTCGGCTTCGTGAAGCATTGCCCTTGGAGCATACATCAGCCATGCTCAATCTCTACGTTTACGCCAGCAGGTCCACGCAACCACCTCTTCACGACGTCGTCGGACTCAAGTTCGTCGACAGCCTCTGATGGTCTCGGTGAGTGTTCGCACACGACTATCCTCGAGCTGTTGATCGAACATGGAAGATGTCGCTAGACCACCCGCGCATGATGAGGCTGTCACCCAGTTCGCACAAACGTCCCATCCGCCACGCCATCGGCAAGGCAGCCACAGACAAGGCGTTCTCGAGAAACGCTCTATGGCACGTCCTTGCCAACGGAGCTCCAGAGGCGCGTTACAACAGGGCAGGGCGTGTCCCAGAAGGGAGCATCCAGGTAATCGTTGCCAAACACTGTATGGCCTCGTCCGCCGCAGCGAGAACGAGACACCCTACTCGGAGAACCACAGCCTCCACGCACGGAATCTTCTCAATATGTAAACCAACAAACATCTCGGGAGTCCGTGTCATTCTCCCAGCGGCCACTGCATGGTGGAGAACTCCGCGTTCCCAACGGGCGGCTCCTCCAGGGACTATACAGCCAGAAGCGTCGAGTTGGCCTTGATGGCATCCCCGACAGCGTCATTCAGAGACGCATTCTGACAGAACCCGGCCAGAAGAGATGCGGTTGAACATTTCACCTACGTTGCATGACTCCAGCGCCTCAGGGCTGGAAACGCTTCATGCATGAAGCCACGCCCTGGGATATGCGTATCAATACCTCAAGGTCTGCAGAAGTTGGAACACAACCGTTCACAGGCCCCTCAGCTTCATGCTCGAGCCCGAATCAGTTGTCCCTGTGGCGTAATTATTAAAAGATAAAAATGCACGGCGTCGATGGTATGTTAACTCAGCAGAAGAAAACGGCTCGATACAAGGGAATAGATAGGTAGGCCACGTCCAAGCAACCTCGTATATACAAACACGTATCATAGCATACAGGGTCTATTCCTCCTTATACACATCTCGATTTAGGCCACTCTCTTGCGGTCCTTCATTCATACAGGCCTCCCATCATTCACCTCGCCAAACGGCCGTTGCGGCACCTCTCCAAAGCAGGCCCGATCAAAGTCTGCCAACTTCTCCATCTTGTCTTGTACTTCCAAAAACGTCTCGAACTCACACCATCCGTCCACACGCCCCACGTCGCAGTCCTCGAAGCTCACACCCAGCGGTACCGTCCGCTGGTTCAGCACGAAGTGCACGTACTTTGTCTCCCCACCCTTATCAGCGTATCCTGAGCGGTCAGCCTTGACGGGCTTAGGCGCACGGATGATCTCAATATCGAGCCTCGCAGCAAAGGGCGTCAGGTGAGAGACTGTGAGATTGTGCGTCTCAGGCAGCTTATCGCGCGGAAGGGGGCCGGCGAATTGCGTAAGTCCGAAGGCCGTGAGAATCGAGGCGATGTTCGTGTCGTGCGAGAAGTCAAGGTAAAGGCTCTGATTCAAGGGAAAGGTCTCTTCCGAGGAATCGAGGGTCGTGTTGATCTGGGACCCGGAATAGCCAAGGGTATGGTTCTTGAGGCGGGCGATAACTTCTTGCTGGTAGCCGAGACCGACGGCACGCTGAAATTCCAGTCAGCAGGGGCAGAGTGCGGTGTAAAATGTTTAGGCACTTACACCGGTGGGGTTGTGGAACATATTGTTGCCTGAAAAGGCGAGGTCCACGGCGTAGGAGAAGCCGAGCCATTCTTCGTAGGTGAAGAGCTCGCACCAGCGGCTATAACCGTAGGCAACCTAGATAGATCAGCGTCCGCGCGTGCCGGTGTTTACATGCTGAACTTACCGTCTCGTATGGGCACATTGTCTGCGCAGCGTACGTATCCTCAATGGTCCAATCGTATCCCTCGATAAGCCCTTGAAGGCGAGTGGTGGCTGATTCTTGTCAGCAACAGTATCGATTAAGCTCTGGAGCAAAGTGTCAACTGACCGTTCGCTAGGTAGCGCGACTGCCAGTCCAGCGAAGCCTCGGTCCCAACTTGATGCTTCCAGGCGTTGGGACAATTGAGATAGCCAGCCAGTGAGTTATTGAAGCCACTCTGTTCGATGATTACCTCGATCGTTGCGTTGTTGGTCCTTTTCGCGTGAGCGGAGGCTTCAAGTCGGACTACCACCCGGCAACTTACCACTCGAGCCCGAAGAACCCCGCAAGAAAGTACTCAGCAGACTTGAGCATACGGTCCTGGGTCTTGGGCCGTCAGCCATGACGACAGGCGAAACACCACCGATGTGTGACTTACCGTGGTGCGAACAATGATCTTGCTGTTCGTGTTGTACAGCTGTGAATACATGTACGAATGCAACACACCTGCCGCTATCAGCTCGACGGCTAACGCCTGGGGGTGCGAGGCAAGCAGAAGGGCACTCACCAGACTCGAATAACTCTGATCGTCCCTTTGGTACCAATATCTCATGACCAAGCTCGTAGGTCCAGCGGTTGAGGAACTCAAGTGCCCCTTTTGCTTTGACCTTGCCCGCAGCGGCCTTGAGCCGGTCACCGAGGCCGGTGACGCTCGAGTTCAGCGTCGGATACCGCGAACCATGCCTCGACAGCATTTGCAGCTGCACAATCTCGGCACCCTCCGGTAGGCCATACTCGTCGACGCCGAATCCGGGCGAGGGCTCATAGGGCGCAAGGTAGCCCATCAACCTGAACAAGCCCTCATCCTGCGTCGCCATGCCCTCGATCGGCATGGCTGTCTGGAGCGGGCTGTTGGGAACGAAGCTTCCAGTGGGCACAACACGGGTTTGCGCCAGGAAGGGGGCTCGCCCCGTTGCAGTCGGGCCGGCCCACAGCTGCGGCGATGTCTGGAAGTACTGCGGTACATCAGCCGATGTCTTGTTGACGCCACCGCCACCACCGTTGAGGCACTCGGCAAACCGGCCAAGCGGTGGTGCCCTTGTGCCGTGCCAGGCGAGCTCGAGCACGAGGCCGGCGAGGAGGCATCCAGCGAGGGCACACCAGAAGATCATGGCGGGGCGCCGGCGACCGGCGAGGCCGACAGTTGTCCCGGGGCCGGGGCTCATGAGCATGGGTGCAGACGGCGGTGGTAGGGCGGGCAGGGGCTTCTCTGGAAGCTGACGGCCGGTATACTGGTCGCTCGGACCGGCGGGCGTGTCCTGATACCGCTGCTGGCGTGGATTCTGGCTCTGGCCTTGACGTTGTCCCAACTCCCATTCAGGTACACGCTGGTATCCGCCAGGGCGGAGTCGACTGGACCGTGCCGCAGCCGTCATGTTTGTCCTCGATGCAATAGGCGAATGTCACGAGAGAGGCCTCCGTCTTCCGGGGAAGGGCGTCTTGAGTCTCGAGTGGTGTGGGCCCAAAATTGTTTGCTCGTCTGATTCCGGGTTCCAAGTTCAGGAAAGAGCGGCAGTCGTACCAGAACGCAATGTACCGTTGAAAGGTGTGGGCTGATGCTGCAAGGCGCCCGGAGGCTGGTGCGGGCCGTGGTGCGCGGGCGACAGCGGTGGTGCAATGAAACTGACCAGGTGGGGGGAAGTGCGATTGGTGATCCGACCGTATCACAGCGAATGGGCTAGCCGGGCCAAGATCGAGAAAGTAATCAGAAGCCTGACGCAGATGCAGACGCAGACGCAGTCGCAGATGCAGACCAAGGCAAGGAAAAGGGGCGGTGGGCTAAGACCCAGAATCCGGATGGAAGAAGCAACGAGAGGCCCCCCTGGTAGGCGACAGATTGGTGTTTCAATAGGGTCATGTACGCCAGCGGACAAATTTCTGATTCTCCGAGAGGAACCCGAGAGGAACGTCAAGATGAACGTTGTGTCAAAAGATAAATAATGATGTGGCGTGGCGGCGGTGATGGTGGTAGTGGTGATGTTGATGATGATCCAGACAGGGTGTCAAACGAAAAGGAATTGATGCCAAGCGAGACAAGCGATGGTAGGACGGATGAGGATCCCTGATGAAATGTCTTCTGCTGCCGCTTGAAGAAGTCTAGGCCATGTCTTCCAGTGTTGTTATGTGATGCGCGGGACTCTTTGATCCGGGAGGGGGGGGTTGCTATGCGATGGTCGAGTCGACCGGTGGTTGAGGTGGTGGTGATGGAGGATGAGCTGAAGTGAGGGCTAGCGCGGCACATTGGGTATAGGGGCCCCGGAGCTGCTGGAGCTGACGCTAAATCTGCAGCAGCTGCAGGAGCTACCCAGCTTAGGTACTTACCTAAGGCAGGTAAGGCAGGGTAAGGGGGAGCACCTGCCTGAGGTCGAGAGACCTCCCAGGACCAATAGAAGAGAGAAGAAGAGATGACAGGGGGAGGAAAATGCACCGCCTCAACGGTCTCTTTGACCCATCCTTACCCACAGTCAAGCCACAGCTGGAACGACATGTCACGACTACGTCCCTCCGTCGTAGAAATTCGCGGTGTAGTGCCTGCTTGGACGATGCACCATATTTCGCGTCTTGATTGTTCGCACAAAGCACCTCGAGTTCATCATCTCTGGTGAACGTCACAATCATGACGACACGCAACATGGGCCTGACCAGCCTCCATGTGCTTGGTGGCCGGTCTGCTTTCCCCGTCTGTCCATCAAACCGTTCCATGAGGCGCCAAAAGCCGCTAGAACAGTACAGGATCCTCCCCTCCAATGCTTGCTTTTCCTCTCATTACCTACCTACCTAACGCCCCTTAGCGCCAATGGTTCAGATATTGGCACATCACGTCTTCCCACAACACAACTTGTTACTAGCACCAGTCGCGCCGGCACCTCGGTGTCCATCAAACAGCCACTTCGTCAGCTCATCTCCCTCCTTCTGTTTTTTTTTTCTTGTTCTGATCTTTTCCTCCTTACTTCCTCTGTTATCCGCGAGGACCATTTCCAGACCACACCCACGCCCACACCCACACGCCCCCCCAAAAAGACAGAAACGACTCACATCAACTGACATGGCCAGGACGAGCGGCCCCTTGCTTGATTGTGCCTACCTACCCTCGTCCCTGTCTCAGAGCACCATTGCTCACCGTGCCCAAACCGGAGATCCGGATGCCTGCAGCGGCCTACTCACTCACACAGACTGCATCGCCATCGTCACAGTCACTGGCCGAGACCGGCCTGGACCCCATAGGAGGGGTCCTCTCGTCGCAAGTGCTATGTGACCGCTAGGTCTCAGGATCGACCGGTCAACTTGCAGTTTCTTCCCACTCCTCCCTACCCTGCTCAACCATCCCCCGCTCTTCCTTGGAGATGACTTCACGATGACCGCCATGACAGCCCGGCTTTCCCGCCGCCAATCGCCCATCCCTGAAAGCCCTGACGGGGAATGAGGGGGGTCGCAGGGGCGCGAGTGAGCAGGCAGCCGCCTAGCACCTTACACCGACCCAGTGTCACCGCCGCCGCCGCCGCAGTACCCGTTGACCGCTCCCGCGCGCGCGCGCCGCCCCGACGCCGTTCGGATGCCGCACCCTTCCCCCCGCTCTTTCGTCAGGCTAGCCTACCCCAGTTCTGAGAAGGAAAAGAAAACGAGGGCGAGAGGAAAATGTGCTCCCGCGATCCAACCAGCCGGCGCCATCACAGGGAGCCCCACGCTGTCTAGAGACACCTACCGTCTGCAGGCCCCCCATGTTGGCGAGAAGGCAACCTCTCACACGCCGGTCCTGCTTCCGGAAACTACTGACTGTACTAGTACATGAGCCCGGGGGGGGGGGGATAGCCAGGGCTATTGTGCCTGGCTCCGTTCATCTCTCGCGAGCACATGCAGATCTGTTAGCAACCACGTACATCAGTCTTGTGCACCAGCACGCGTAGACCCAATGGGACTCCTTTATGCGGGAGACCGTGGCCGACCATCGCGCTCAGAGGCATCGCTCCAAGTCTATCCTGTAGTACACTCTTCGACGTACCTGTTCGTACCATCCGCATCTCCCAGACAGGGCCGTAGCCACTTCGTGTGGGACGACAAGATAGAGGATGTGTAGGACCAATCATCGCCTGCGCGACCTTCGTCGGCTCGCTGTCAAGCATCTACCCGTAGACTTCCCGGTTGGGAAGCGCGTAGCCGCCACACCCACTTTTCACGAAGTCACCACTTAGTCCCTGCAGCCAACCCAGCATCGGTGAAGAATATACACATGTGAATCTCCGCTAAGACGAAGTTCCAGCATAGAGACCGCTATCTGCACGTCTCACTCGATGATGCAAAGAAACCCACGCCCATCAACCCGCTAGACCTTCGCTCGGGTATTCTGGGAACGGTAAACTCAGATGATCTGCCCCGCGAGGATTGTGTGAGTTGTCGAAATTTGGTCTCATGGGCGGTCATCAATTTGGTTGACACATTCACAAGGTACTTCATTCGTATCTACTGTTCATTCTGGACATCCGTGCTTGGCGCACCGACACGCATTAGTTCGGATCCTCGAGTGCGATGTTGTTCATATTTCAGAGATTTGGTCCATGAAGACCTTTCATCGGGAAATGACCACCTACCATGAGGAGAGGAGTTGGGAAGAGTTAACATAATCAATTCTCGGAGCAAAAGCAAACAAACTTTTAGGGTCCAACCCGATTCGTCAACAAGAATGAGAATCCCAAACCATCAAAGTGCTCGCACGGACTGTACTGTAGGCCACCCATGCACCACGCAAGCCCCAACTCCTAGTTTCTTCTCCACGTAGGGTAATGCTCCCAGTCAATCAAGTTCACCGTGACGCCATGTAACTAGGTCTGAACCATCATTCCGCCAGGGGTATCGTAGGGGGCGCTGCCGGTCTTGTTCCACACTGATCGCAAGGGTTTGTTCCATCAGTTTGTGTTGATGCGAAGTGGAAAGAAGCCTTCCGGCATGGGCTCCAAGTGCCACGCTCGGTCCGCGTCCTTCTCGAAGGCGTCAAACCAGTCACGCTTGAGCTCATCTGGGATGGCCCAGCCCAGCTGACTGTCGCGAAGGATCATACGCACAAGGTGGCGCTTCTCATGCGGCCCTTCCCCGTTAACAAAGCCTTCCCGGCGGTGGAGGACCACAAGGTTGTTGATGAAGTGCATGTCTCCGGCCTGGGTCTGGATTTCGAGTTGCGTGGCCTGCGCGATGGCCTCGACGGCATCCAAGGCCTCGACCTGGCGCGCTGACAGGGCAGGAAGATGTTCAGGCCTGGGATGGGCGGCGCTGCCAAGAAGTGGAGCCCGGCCGAAGTTGATGATTACTTTGCCTTGGTGGTTGAACAGAATGGGACGGCAATGAAACCGGGGGCTGTGGAAGTCATGGCGTCAGCGTACCTGTCTCATGAAGTGCTGAGTGACGGATAATGGGCGCTGTGCAAGACTTACAACGCGAATGGCCAGTCAGAGCGGGCGAGTGTGCGGATGATGTCTGGTCTGGTATTCGCAAGGACATTGTATACCGTGTGGCCAGATGCAATGATACATTTGCCTCCTGCAACAGCCGTGCTTCTGGTAAGCCAACTTACAACATCACCTGCTTCTTCATTGTGGAACGTCTGGTAAAAGAGTCAGCAGCGGGGCCATCCAAAGTGTGAATGGCGAACTGACAATGGAGGAAGTGGAGTGACGATGGTGTTCCACATGCTGAGCCGTTGAGTTATCGGCAATAATGTGGACTGGTAGCACAACATTATCAGTCGCCACACCCAGAAATGCCGATGACAGCACGATAGTTCCAAGACACACTCACCAAGCATGTTGCCCTTCTTGTCTTGTCTTCCTTGCTCGTTGGCAATGTAGACTTGGATACCCAGGTACAAAAGCGTCAAGTCCTCAACACAATATTTTCTGGGGTCCAGGCCACGGACCACTGCAAATCCTCGACCAGAAATCACGTCCTGGGAAACCTGGCACAGCGTGTCGCCGAGAACAGGTAGCTTGAAGGTGTCACGGGTCACATTGCCGCCATCTTGGCCGGAGTCTGAGAGCAAGGTCAGCACTCCTGCGCGATGTGAGTCTTCGAGGGGGGGAAGGGACGTACTCTTGAACGTTTCCAAAGCATTCTCTAATTCCTTGATGTTGGCAGCCGACAGGTTGACAATGTATTTGTGTGGATCAAGACTGAAATCCTGGCCAGTCCACGAGGACTCAGTGTTCAGGACCGCTGGAAAGCCGCCTGGAAGGCCGAGCATATCAGCAGCGGGTCCGTTACAGCCATGGTCTTTGAATTCCATCTGAGAATACCCAAGGGCAGGCCCGGCTATTTTGAAAGACATGGTTGCGGCTGTAGCCGTGCGTTGTCAGTAGACGTGGATGATGGGAGACGTATTTTGGGGCTTTGCACCTGTGACGGATGACGGTTGTGCGTGTGCTGAAGAAAAGAGCACAGAAAATATGAAGAGTAACAGTGAAAAGGGAGAGAAAGCTCTTGAAAACGATCGTGGGCTCTGACAAGATCGTTCAAGGACGTCCAGCTGTTGGGAGGCAAAAGCTGATGTTTCTGATGATGTATGATGATGAATAATGGAGAGGGATGAAATAAGTTGATGGGAGGAAGAAGTCGGCCGCCAGGGGTACTCAATGCAATGTAGCAGCTCGGCAGTCATGAACAGAGGCTGGGTATGGTCTTTCTATAAGAGGTCAGGGTCTCATATCGAAGCAAGAGGACACGCGCAAGGTAAGGCACGACAGGCAGGCAGGTGCGGAAAGGTAGATGAAGGACGTAGCTTTCTTTCAGAAGCAAGGACTTCTAAGACGACTCGTACCCCTGGGGTGATTAGAAGGAACCGCTCACGAGAGGCTTGAGCAGAACTCGGTCGCAACGGTCCGGGTTTTCGTGCCTTTATAGATCACAGCGTTCCTTTTATGTTTCACAGCTCTCGGCTCTCGAGCTGGCGATGGATGGCGGCGTGCGGCTTCATGGCGGTGGGTTTGGCCCCGACATGGATACCTGTGCACACGGGGGAGGATGAAATAGATGTGCAGGTAGGGAGGCGGAGAGGGTGTATAAATGCGAGGCAGGGCAAGGCAGGGAAGCGACTCTTCAAGGAGGACGTCCAAGACGACCCGGGCGGGACACAGGGTACCAGAACCTCTGCCTCTGCCCGGCCCAGAAAAGGCGTTTTCGAGGTTCAAACTTGGACATGGACGAGGGCAGGAGGTGAGAACTCTGACTTCCGGTCCAGTCAGTTGGGTCATGGGCTTTCGACCGAGCCGTGGCACACAGTGGCCATTGGTAGGCGGGTGGCTGGGGACCATGGGTAAGATGAGAAAGGCAGAAGGAAAGAAAAATCCAAGCCAGCCACATGTTTCCCAGAGATCCGGTAGACCATGAGTCCCCGTGTGGTGGTGAAGGAAGGAGTTGTGCTTCAACCGCGCGCACGCCTGCCGACAAGCTCTGGTCAAGACAGTGCAGGAAGGGACAAGACAGGACGGGGCAAGCGGCAGCGGCCCGCACAAAGGGCAAGTCAGGACCAAGATTGAGGACGCGACAAGGAAAGAGGAGGGGTGTGAAGGATAGAAAGGAAACCGATCTCAACTGGTACTCACTTGATGTGCGGCAGCCGTTTCACAGTGTACAAACCTAAGACCTCCCGGTTTTCGGCAAGGCGCGTCGTACAGCAGACGGCGAGGGCGGCCGGTCCAGGTATGGGGCCCCCGGCCGAGTGCGTGGAAGGCGAGTCTAGATCGATTCGGCGAGATGAGATGAGTTAGGCGGGTACGTAGACCGGAAAGGTAACGGCAGACGTAGTATAGTAGGCGGGTACTGGCGCTACCTAGGCCTGGTGCAAGCCTGGGTATGAGCCTTATCAGCCAACGGCTCCTCAGGGAGGCGCGGCAGCGAACGACAAGTGATGTGACCCTGCAAAGATTTGTCGACGGTCCTTGGCGGAGATTGACGAAGAAAGACGGCCAGCAGGAGGGGAGCCTCGGCAGATAAGGGAGGTGAGGCATCGAGGGCACAAGGGAGAACGAGAGAGCAGCAGACTAAACCTTGACAGGATATCTTGGCTGGCGGGCAGGTAAAAGAAAGGCATGGCATGCGGTGCGCATTGTGGCAGGCAATTCCAAGCCAGCGAGCTGGCCAGCAGATGCATGAAAAGCAGGCGCGGTCTGATAGCAACGGGAGGAAGGGAGGAGCAACGGTAACAGCAATTGCAGCATCAGCAGGGGTTGTTGAAAGGTGGCAGAATGGAGTCAGAGAGTGGGTGGCCTGGAGGAAAGTAGGACTGCCAGACCGGTCTTACCCGCGACGGAGACTTGCCCCGATAGCTGGAGTCGTCGTTCAGCTGCGTGTCTGAGAAGGACACACCAGTGTAAGTAGCTTGGGAGACTCATTGTCAGCGCATATGCCTCAGCAAGGGACGGCCCGGCTCTTTCACTTGGAGGCGCACAGCATCCTGGCTCAAGATTAGAAAGGAGGCTCGAAGGCAAGTGACCCCTTAGTGTTCATTAGACGTGTTGGAAACCCGGTACTTGGATCCTAGGTTCGCCTGAAGGATCAAATCCCGGTATCGGTGCGGGAAAAATGGCCTGCACCCATCATGATACAGAAATGGCAGAAAGACCGGCTGGCTCGCACGACGATGTGTTCCCCGCCCTCGCCCTGCTTGGGCGTGCTTCTAGGAAATGCTTGGACAGTGATACAGGGGGGGGGGGGGTTGTAGACATGTTTTCTTTTTTTGGACCCAGAACGGCGCATGCAAGAGCCCGTGCAGGCGACTTGCCCACAGACCCCAGCCAGGTCGTGTCAACCTCGCAAAGTCAGGCGAGGACCTCGGTGTTGACACGCCTGTCCGTGGTTAGCGGCAGCCGCTCGATTGAGCATCAGGCTCTCCTCACCTCTCCTCGTCTCTGTGCGTGTGCATGTCGTGACGCCGTGCCCGCCGTGACACCACAATTTGAGACCAACTCGATGACGCCCGCCTGCGGAACGTTGGCCGGGTCGCTAGCCGTCTCCCCTGTCAGCCCAGACGATCCGGGTTCTCAGTCCCGTGGCCGTATATCGGCTAGGTAGTCCGATGAGATGTGGTGCTCTGATGATGTTCGTAACCCGATCGCAGCTGCAAATAGAGTCACAAAGCAAACAGAAGGGCTCTACCAGACATTGTTGTGGGGATATGATGCGGATCCGGGACGTAATCTCAATCGTCGGTGAGCACCCGTGGTGTCAAACCTTGATGAAGCGGAAAAGTACATTTCGAGAGACGTAAAGAAAAGAATCGTTGGATGGGCAATGCTATCAAATTGGCGCTGGGCAAAATGCAGACAGTACAGTAGCCGTTCTGGAAATGGACCAAAACACGAGGGCAGAGAAAAGAAGAAATATCTCATTTATGGACGGGGACGATGACCTGCATTGTGAGTAGATGTGAGTAGATATGTGTCCTTATGGTTCTGCTGCCTTGGGGCAAGGTCTCGGTCATGTGCGTAGATCGATTGATAATCGAGGTAATAGTAGGATGATCCCTTTGGAAGCTGAGCCGCGTCAAGAAATGACAGTCGTCGAAACCTTCGTCACCCTCCCCCCTTCCACCTTCCCCCCACGGACGTGGAGCCGTAATCCATATCCATTAAACCGTTGTAAGAGTCATTGCGCACCGCCTCATATTCTAAGCCATTACATGACACAATCGAGTTGCACAATATTGGTACCCTTGCGCTGTCATGGACACCGTGATTTGAGAGACTGGTTGCAACAACGTCTCACGATACTTACGAACAATGGAATACTAGAACTGAGCAAGCTGGAGCTCCTCATTTGCCCTTAGCTGCCGAATTCAAGATGTCTTCTTCATAATCAATACGTCGTGCGCGGTGCGCTTTGTTCCAGCGTTACGATCGTAGTGATGCCGTGGTCAATCGACAGGCTCAGCGCCATACGTTATTTCGTGGCCTTGGTGCTAGCGTGGCGTGTCCCGCTTGCGACGACAGGTGGGGGAAATTGCAGGTGAAGGAGAAGAAGAGGCAAAAGAAAGCAGGCGAAGGGGGCTGAACGTCACGCGCGGGATACTGGGACCTGGACACGTCTTGTTGGTTTCGTCGTCGACTTACCCTACCTACCAAGCCTACCTTCCCTACAAAGCACAGGAGCAGGGGGGAATAGACTGGCATGTTGACTGAAGCCACGAAGTGGATGCTCGGTCAAGGCTGTGGCGAACCATTTCGAGATGATCCTGACCGATGTGGAAGCGATCTCCGCTCCTGTAGGTCGCCTGAAAGGGCTGGACGTGGCCCACCTGCTAGCGTCCGGCTGGAAGTATCCGGGCAAGCCGGGCCCCGAATCTTAGCGCTCCCCGTCCTTTCCCCACCCCGTTTTGGCACGACCTATGTTCCTGGCGCATGTACGTACCTCATCTCCCTAATCCGATCTGCTCTCGATCATGAACGAACTGAACGATGGCCATCGACATCTGCGATTTGAGTCGTTGATTAATTTGTCTTGCGCACATTCGATCCGAGTACCTGGTAACCCCAATCTAACTCGCCACCGTAGGGAAAACAATCAGAAGGAAGGAGAGGTTCCGAATTAGCCAACGATTTTGTCCCGATCTATCACAGTCATTGACTTGTGCGCCGTTCAAACAGTAGGCGGTCGGAGTACGCCCAGGTTGTTCCTGCACTGCACTCGACCTTTGGTCATTGCTCTCACGCACACTACGACTGTCCACGCCAGGACTGCCCAGAGCCTCGACAATGTGGGCGGCAAACCTGTGGCCCATAGCTGAGCGTTCGAATGACGACCACATTATCTACCTCCTGTTTTCGTACGCCTGCATGACGCCTGAGCGTTGCTCCCGGATGAAACATCAATGGCATCAGATGGCACAAAGGAAAGAAAGCCACGTTGCAGACTTAGCCACCCAAGAATCCCTGGTCGTCCTGGCCACCCCATTATAGCTCCACACCCGGCTGCCAGTTGTGCTCGTACAGTTGGCTGACCCAGAAGTAGCTATCTTCAAAAGCTTTCTTCCGCTGCAGCTCCTCCCACTGTCCCTCTGCATGTCGGTCAGCCGAGTCCTGCACCCATAACAGTCGGATCCTGCCCGAAAATTGACGGGCCTTGCGGTAGTGTCCCGCCTCCCGAGATTTGTCGGACCCTCCAGTGCGGCAAGCATGGGATAAAGAAAAAACTTACTATGAGACGTGGCCCAGCGTCTAGTCTCATGTACAAAGTGCATCGACTGATCATCGAGCTCTGCAAGACCCCGAAGGTCTTGATCCCGACATTCGTCTGAGAAAGGGAAAATGCCCTTGTTGCAGTAGTGAAAGTAGGCTAGCAAAATCGTCGCACCTGTGGTAGAGGCAAAATAGGCCACCTGGTTAATGCTGTGCTCTATGGTCTAGTGTGCATATATGTCATCCGCCCCTCTACTCACCTTGTTGGTATTGCTTCACCTCCTCCTCCCTCGCATAGCGTCTCTGTTTAGCCATATATATCAGCATCTCTTCACCGTCACATGTTCAGTTCGTACATCAATCAACGCGTCCTTCCTCATCTCCGGGAAAGGGGGGGGGGGGGGGGGGGGAGGAGAAGAGCGACTTTCAAGACGATTATGGCATGGAAGGGAGTGCCCACCTTCATTCCATGCTTTCGTGCATATCTGGCATCGTGATCCGTAATCATGGCTGTGTTGTGCAAGAGAATGAACGTGACGAGGTAGGTAGTGAGCCAAGTCTTCTGTTTGTTAGCTTGCGTCATCTTCTGGAGCATGTCCAGCATCTCACGCCGCAGCTTGGCTTGGATGTGTGTGATTAGGACAAGGTCGATTTGCGCGCCCATGACCGGTGGGAGAGGTATCTCTCCGTGTTGAGGGCTCGTTTCATTCAATATCTTCGCGGGCATCCCCAGGGTGTCATTGCCGACAATGACAGTTGATGTTGTTGTCAAACGAACGGCCATCCACAGCTCGAGTACTTTCTTGAGCAGACCAGTCTCATCCTTATCCAAGTGCTGGCTGTCACTTAGTTTCCACGCTAGATAATAAGTGCCCCATAGAAGATTTCTTTCGGCTCCGAGCACTCGGTCGAGAACAAGCACAAAGGAGTTGCGGATGCAGTTCTTGATGTACATTGTGTATGCTCGTTGAGCTTCATCCAAATCGACAATGGCATACGGAGGAATGGTAACGGAGTGTTTCATACCATCCTTAGCGCACCAAGAACGATCCAATTTGTCGCCTTGTTGGGGAATGAATCGTTTGACACGCAGTTCAACCGGACTGTTCGACAGTCCCTCAGAGATTTGAATTTTCCTCTCGTCTGGTGAGTCCCAATTGGCTATGTTGTCCACGATGCTGTCCTTCCAGCGTTGTGTCCATTCGTAGCCATGAACCTGACCGGGCTTGAAGAGCTTCACGTCAGTCAGCTTCGCGCGAAGGCAGGGCAGTCGCCAGATCTTCGAGTTTTGTTTCGTGCTGCAGGTCAAGCACGCTCCATGTCTATCGTTTTCATTTGCTTTGCACTAAGAATAATCATTAGCAAATCACGGGCGCCGATATATGGTCTCGCGAAAAAAAAAAAAAAAATTAAAAAAAAATTGCTCGGGTTTGACATTGAGGAGACATACGCGTATGCGCTGCATTCTACAGCGAATACAAGACCCAATACGCCGAGTTTCAGCTGTCTGTTCTCGCTTAACCTGATCGGTGAAAGGGCCCCGCTTTGCGGCTGCAGGTTTGCTGTTTGTGAAAACGACGTCCAGATTTCGACTCGTCCCCTGCGCATCCAAATGCTCTCGTTTGATGTTTGAGTCCGAGAGGGCGTATGAACTCGCCATGTTGAAGGTTGCGTCAACGACAGGCGTAAAGGGTATGTGAAGGTTGACAGTAGGTGTGTCGTCGCTGTAAGGTAAAATGGGCGCTTGGTCGTCAGCCAGTTGCTCTTGGTTGTACATGGAACCGCCGGGCAAGTTGGCAGTATGGGTGACTTCGAAGACAGAATGGGCGGCAAAGTAGCCAGAGGCTGCCGATGTCGTTGGGAAGAACATAACGTCTTGCGACACTGGCTGCGGGGCAACTTGATTGGGTTGTGGGACGTCGTGATAGTTTGGGGCCAAAGCCCGATCATCCCCAGTAAAGCTTGACTGGGGATCTGGACCGATGGTCATGGGCAGGTAGCTCTGATCCTCCGAAGGCAGAGCAGACGGCTGCTTCTCTGTCTCGTAGGGCCTAGACGACCCATACTCTTGTGGAACCGAGTGTGCCAGGGCCTGATAGCTCGCTGGAGTATCGTCAGTTTGGTGAATGGTTAGTAATGAAAGGGCGTTTTGGTAAATACCTTCAGGCGTTTCCAACCGCGTGAGGCAGGTCGTACACATGAGCATTTTCAGGTGAGCGAGAGAGTCACCGAGGACACCATGCACACCGCCCAACGATGGCACCTCCATTGATGACCGATGAAGGGTGGCATTGCCGACATGTCGATAGTCGTCCTGCGAACACTTTTCCTGGCTGTCGTGGGAGAAAGCGTCGCTGAGGTGAGAAGTTGACATGGAGTAACCGTAGGAAGATTTTTGGCGTTTCTGCGCTTGGTCGAGGACGGCTAATTGGTGAAGCCTGAAGCCTGTAAGGCCATAGGGTAAGGCAGCTTGTTCAAGATGAAGCTGATGTTCGTAAGGCAAGGAGGAGAAGTCCAAATCAGGTTGGGAGAGCTGTGAGGGATACGGGGGTGCCGGCTCTAATGAGTCGATGTCGTCATGGCCGAAAGGGCGCCTTCTCTTCAAGCTGGGATTGTTCTAGAGGAGACCATTTGTCAACCATCGACAGTTCGCCTCTGGTCAAGGGGATCGGAAAAGTCTGAGGGTGGGATGGAACAAGAGAAAGCAAGGGATGACAGGTTCGGGACAGGCATCGATGTGAGAGGGGCTGAGGCGTGAGGATGTGGGTGGATGGGCCATCAGGCTGGGCTGGAGGCGTGATTGATATAGGTATCCATGCAGCTGCCGCCTACCGGGGACCAGGGACGATTCTTACCATGATGGATGGAGGGTGGGTGTGTTGGACAGAAGCCGGGCTGTCAGTAGGAGCAACATGTGCAAGTACCACGGCTGGTGGGACGTGCCGGAGCAGAGACAAGCAGAGAGCAGGAACAGGCAGATACAGCTACGCACAATCGGTGCGAAGTAATGTGCGCCTCACCGGGAGGGGGTGGGGAGCTACGGTCTCACGAGAGCCATTGCTGCACCATGACACCCTTGCGCGGAAGTGGAGCGCGGCAAAAGAGTAGAGAAGGGAAGGGACAATGGATGGCTCGATGAGCAAATGTCGGGGAGGCGTGGCAGAGTAGCGAGGATGTGGATGTAGACAGGAGTCGGGGTAGAAACGGAGTAAAGCCAATTCGGCTGTACCCAGCAAGTGATGGGGGTTGATGAGAGATGGAAAAAGTGAGTCCGCTGCTACTGGAAAAGGACCCTGCTGCTTGTGCGTTGATCTGCTGCTGCGGCTGCTGTGCTGCTGACGCCGACAATGCTGCTTCTGATGCTGCCAAGTCTGTCTGCTACCGCTGTTTGACCTCTGGCTGGTCTGTTCACTCGCTGCCGGCCTGCCTGTCTGTTTGTTTGCCCACCTGACGATGCTTCGTTTGACGCCTAGGCACTGAAAGCACCGTAGTAGCTCTCAGGATGCTCGGCAGATGGTGGCGTGGGATTTGCGTTGTGCAATGTTTCGCCTGCCGTGGAGCAGTCAAGCCTGCGCGTTCTGGGATGTGAATAACGTGCCGGTTATACGTGTTGGCGACGGCGATTGGATATCTCATGAACTGCCTTCATCGAGTTTGTCGAGGCTGAAGGAGAGGAAGTCACACCGAGATCAAATGCTGCACCCGTGCTCAGTTGTACTTCTTACCGGTCTGAGGGAAACTCGTGCCCAACAGAGGACAAGGGTCCCTTTGGGGGGGGGATGCCACGCGAGAGCAGGGCCAAGAACTCGTCCCGTCCCTGCCAGGGCATCCGGCAGGTTGGGATAGGCTGAATAGGATGTGAGGCAGTGAGGCAGGGGTGCAAATGATGAGCGTGGCTGATCCTTGCCATGCTGCTCAGTCTGTGTAACCACTTCTAGCCCGGATGTCTCAGTGCCTTGGCCATGACTGTACGGCTGGTTGGCGAGCATCCTGGTGAGCTGGATCTTGCGTGCAACACGAATAGGCAATTTGGCGTGTCTAGCGGCTCGACCTGGGAGGCGAGCCTGGGTGGCCAGTAGGATTCTGCGGGCAAATGGGTCTATGAAAGGTAGTCGACAGCCTCGTTTTCGTCGGCAGTGCTTGACGAGCAGTAAGGAAATGCAGGCAGAAAGTGTATCGATTGAGAAAAAAACGAGGTTGCCTGTGGCGAGGTAACGTTAGTGAACCAACATCTGGGGGTTGACTGGTAGTTGATAGAGTGAAACTACGGCAGGTCGATGCCCTTCCTGCTGGATTGTCCCGACTGGAGCAGTAGACCGAGGCTATGGGAGGTCTAGAGCAATGGCAGATGGGCAAATGCGAGGTTCTCGTCCGATTTGAACCCCTGTGGCAAGGGCAAGTTTGCTGGCTGTACTCGTGGTTGGCCAGTATCAACCATGGTGAGATGCAAGGGATAGTTCTCGGTCAGCAGGCCCCCTCACTAGCCCAGGGCTGGTATTGATCCCGAGAACTGGTTGGCCACACGCACCAGTCCTTGGAACGAGGTGAAGGATAAGGATAATACGTCGTCTCCGCCAAGCAGCGCGACAAACTAGGCGTGTGCTCCCTCCCACATTCACCTCCCACAGTAGCTGCACTGATCTCATCTATGGTCGTCACGATGATGCGGTATTGAATTGCGGCGAAGCAGCAATGTGATCGGTGGGATCGCATGAGATGGCAATCATCGTGGCAGGGCGCCTGTGTGTTGCAGGGACACGCCCACTCTGACAAGCAGCTGGTCAGAACAGACGCAAATCGACAGCCTTTGCTTGAGAGCTCACCAGCTAGACGCTCGCTCGCTCGATTCGAATGGCTTATGGTTCGGAATAAAGGAACTGGGCCCAGAAACAAATTCGGTGTTGATTTTATTTCATTTCGGGAATAGAGAGATCTGGCGCTGTGTAAGCAACCTGATGCTCGTTGGATGCTGTTCATAAAGCCTGTCAGGACTCATTTCCGGTCACACGATGTGGGTGCATATGTGTGATTCCAGTCGGTCAGAAGTTGCCCAATCAGTGGCTCGAGATGTCTTTGCTAGCCTGGGCACGGCCTCTCAAGGACCGTGATCCCAGCAGAGCGAAAGCTTTCAGTGCCCCTGCTGACCCAAACAGCGCCGCAACCGAAAGCTGGGGGCAGGCTAGACGTCTGACCGAGATTTCCACGCGTGAAAGCTGCGGTCGAAGCATCTCCCCGCCGGTAGCTTTTCTCACGTAGGAGTGAGCAGTAGACGACCACATGCTGAGGTCCCCGGGATGACCTGTGTCTCAATGATGGCCGGCAGGCTAGGCAGGCATAGTCTTAGGCTGGGTGCACAGTGCAGTGAACCCTGCACATCGGTGAGGGCGGACGACAGACAGGGCAGCAGGGCCATTATATTCAGCACCAAGGTGTGAGTGTAGGTCCCCCCCCCTATGGAGAGACTCAGCATGGCTTCGTTCGCCGACGTTCGTTTCCGACATTCCGGGGTTGCCAGTGTGGTTCTCGACGGATCGATCTTAGTAACCACCCGTGGCTTGAGTGTTGAAGCCAGCGTGGCGTGCGGCCGTCGAAGGTCTCACTCAATTTCGTGTTCGTCCTGTGCCGTTCAAATGGCACGACCCCACGTCGAGCCTCCAGGTAGGTACGAATATGTCCAGGCATGGCTCAACTCCTGCAGGTCGCATATCGGCGAGAGAGTGGGGGTCCCAGGGCTACAAATAGGGACAGTGTTGAAAGTCGGCGGGAGGATTGGCCGCAGCATGTTGGTCGTCTGCCAGCCGATGCTTGGAAAGGTGAGAGATGACAGACAATAGACGTGCCCGCGGAACGCACCGTGGTTACATTGATGCTGGTGGGGTCCGTCTTACATGTACCAGAGGGCAGGCAGCCACGCGAGCTTGCTCGTTGTTGCGAATGAGTCCCGGAGGCTGAGTCAGCAATGGGCGCCTGGTTTTCGTGTGGCATCACGTGGTGTGAAGACATCCATCCTCGCCCTTCGTTGGGACATCAAGTTCGTCATTATCCATAGGTCGACCTTCTCCATGTATGATCGTCAGAGCACGGCAAGCTGCGTGTGTGGCTGTGTGAGGGGAGCGTACCTCATTGCGTGAACTCCCAACGTCCTTTCTCCCACATGCGTCTCATCAACCTGTGGGAGAACCTTCTGATCATGTCGGCAATCAATCAATGCCGGACACCAACTAGAAAGAGTGTTGACCGACGCCGATTGGATCGACCGTTTCGCAAGCTGTCGTAGTCGGCACTTCTCCTCCTCGCCGGGGGCATTCAGCGCCTGATTGCCTACAACGCACTCGATCGGACACCGGCATCGGCACCGAGTTCGTCTTGTTGGTGGCTCCCAAGGTCACCAACGCCCCTGCGCCAATCACTTGGGGCTCGGGGATTGGCCTGCATCCTGAATGATGCGGGGCATTATCAACCCGACCCAACAAAGAAACCTGGGCGCGCCGTTTCTGCCAGCTGTTGAAGCATCGCCCAACCAGCACCTGCCCTCTGCATCTGGATACCATCCAAGTCCTGCAGGGTGTGTTTGCTCCGGTGCTATGCCGTGCAAATGCGGCCATGGTCTCATGTCTCATGTGAACTGTGAACTGTGCTTGCACGACGGCCCTGTTGAGCTGGACAAATGCTCACCTCGGAGCCTGCCCATCCCCTCTCTTGCGAGAAAACACGAGAGTATGGAGATTCCTTCACTGTGCAGACTGGAAGGCTCGTCCAACCCACCGAGTTCCCCCAACATGCCTAAGTTGGTACCTAGTTGTCTCCTCGCTCTTTGCGTGAGTGCCTTGCATGAGGCTTTCCTTAGGTGAGCAATTTGACAGGTTGGCAGGACGGGGACGGACGAATAGCCGATCTTTCCTGCCTTGTGTGACAGGAGCCATGGGTCGATACAGGACGGATGAAGAAGGCTCAACCGAGCCCGGGGATCGCTGGCCGTCATCCGCGCCGCGATTCTTCTGCAGTCGGAACAACCAAATACGTGCAGTCGGCCTGGCCGCGACAGAAGAAAAGAAACGAACATGCTTGATTCATCAGCTCCGCCCACATCGAAAGACTTTCCACCCATTCCCACACTCCTCAATCGAGCGCGTGGCAAGCTGTCTCATCCGCCAGCTTCAGCACCGGCCGCACCCCTCCCACTCCCCCCCTCGCTCTTTCGGCTTCCCGATTGACTTGACTGACGGCGAGGGTCGAAGAAGCAGCGACTGAACCACCATGGAACTGAACCCTGAAACCATCGATACGGTCATTCACCCTACAGCAGTGTTAAAGAGAACCACAGTCCCGCCATCTCAGCCTAAGTTGAAGGCTCTCTCGCCGGTCCCCGCAGACATCGCCTGGGATCTCTCTCAGCTGAACCCCAAGAACCGTATCGATAGTCTCGCGCCTCTAGTCACCCCCTACTGGAGGATCGATGGCTGCACATCATGGGGTTCACAATACTATGCCACGCCTCTTTTCATGGCGTCTGTGCCCCCCATGAGAATTGACGTCTTCATTCCCGACCTGTCCCTTCAGACACGTCTCGTCCGAGACCTACTTGAGCTGGATCAGGCATTCCACACGAAAGATCGAGTCAGAGTTTCTCGACTTTCCGTATCGATGCACATACTCCGACGACTACAGATCTGGACCATGACCATCGGCGGAGCCGATCAGGAGTTCATCAACGGTGACGGACCAAGGCGTCGTCGTACTCACTCCGAACGACTCGAGTATGCAGAAAAGTACCTGTGCCATCTCCCGTTTGGTTCCCGCATCGTTTTCGATTCTCTCACTCTGGACATCAATCAGATAAACATTACAGTCGTCCCAACCTTTGCTCTGGAAGTTTACCATTTCTCTGTGCGGCAATTTGAGGCTGCTTGGGGGCATGATGTCACACTCCCGCCTTGTGTCAACATAACGCAGGTGCAGCTTGTTGAGCAAATACACGACAGCACATCTATCGTGCGAATCGACGGCCAGTCTTATATCTTCAAGGCTCTGACAAGCTTTCCAAAGTACCTGTACCACGAGTTACGAATCCTACTCACCACCAAACCGCACCCAAACATCATGTCTCGTCCTGTCCACCTGGTCACAAAACGGACGAGAGTCGGAGGAAAGAACGCTGTGCTTGGCTTTACGTTGGAGCTGCATCAGCACGGGACATTGCGTGACATTGTGCCGTTTCTCAGTTCCAGCAACGCCCTGACGACCGAAGAACAGTTCAAATGGGCATATCAAATCACTTCAGCTGTGCTTCATTTCAGAGAAACCTCGGGCACATTCTATCCCGACCTTCGACTGGACAACATTGTGCTGTCTGAATCCAGAGATGCCATCATGGTCGACTTTGAGCAGCGCGGTGTTTGGTGTGAGTTTGCATCGCCAGAAGTCAATGCCATCGAGTACATGCGGATTCTTGCCACAGCCGAAAACCCTCCCTTTGATGTGACGAGTTCGCAACAGCCCTACCGCGACATCATGGAGCGCATCTGTCCTGAATACGAAACACTGACACGAAACGAAAAATATGACAACTATACCAGCAGCTATAACGTGTCCTGGGAGTCCCTGACGCCCCGTGAACAAGAGGCGTCCGAGGTCTACATGCTCGGCAGAGTACTCTGGTGTCTCTTCGAGGGCGTCAGTGCGCCACAAAAAGCGACAATCTGGGTCTCCTACCGTTGGGAGTCTCACCTACAATTCCCTGAGTACCACCGAACGCCGCAACGGCTACGGCAGCTCATTGACGAGTGCACCAAGGGCCGTCGCGAGACGCTCGACAATCAAATACTTCGTGTCGGCAACAAGCTCGTACTACGCGCCGACCTGGAAGCCAATGTGGACACCAACCCCGAGGTGCTTATCAAAGTGGCGCGGGACTGGTGGGAGAAAGAAGTCGGTTGGGCGGAGAAGTACCTGGCGGACAGAGAGGCGAAGAAACAGAATGGGACGTGGGATGATAACCCGTATGATCGACCAACGATTCGACAGGTTCTCCAGAGCCTTGCATCCATTCGTGCAGAGATCATGGTGTAGTAATGGGCCAAGAAGCAGAAATTTGGCATACGATTAACGCAGTAACGTCTCCTCTCAAGGGCAGTCCTTAGTGCCACCCCTACGTAATCTTTAGTGCCCGAGCAGTCAAAAAAGCTAGCGGCATTGGCACCCCGCTGCCTCGCATTTTCTCCTTCCTCTCGATTTCATAAGTTGGTCATGAGTTAGTCTTGACGCCGTAGCGCGCTCTTCCAGTTACGCAAGGGGGCTGGATCATCAGATTGTGACAAGAGAAGATATTCATTGTAAGCGCTATCGAGGCCAAGCGAAGCCATTTACAAATAGCAGAGAAAAATACGTATACCGCCTGTTCCACGCCATGGTGTGTTCGGAAGCTTGAAAATGAAAAGGGGGGGAAAGGGGGAAGGGGGACGGGTCACAATTAGCAGGACCTGCTGACACGATGATGAAAAAAAGGACAGAGATAAAGAGATCCAGATATGGGCATATGAATGTCGAAAGGAGGAAATCGACCTAAAACAGAGAGGAGGAGCTATGCCTATGCCTATGCCCTCCCACCATTGGAACCCCCCCCCCCCCCCCCCCCCCCCCAACGAAAGCAGGCCGGAAGCGCCGGCGTCTCTGGCCCGCTGTATTGGGTGCGCCAACTCGCGCGCTCACTCGCTAAAGCAGCTCGGCAGCTCACTTGACCCTCTTGGACCCGCGGCCCTGTGGCCCTTGTCCGCCGGAGGGATCCTGCCTCTTCGATCCGCTGCCGCTCCGCGCGGGCTTCTTGAGACTGGCGAGCAAGCGCGACAGCTTTTCGGCGTAGGCGGCCGGGGCGCCGTGGACGCCAATGGCCTCAGCGACGGTCTCGAGATCGGACAGGAAAGGGGCTGCCGCGTCGGGGAGGAGGAGGAGGGTGTCGATGATAAAGTTGGGCCGGACTGCGTCGCCGATGAGACGGGCGTAGAGGTTCCGGTCGAGAAGGGTCGGGCCCGGGTGTGCGTCGCGGTTCCGGGCGGTGACGGTGGCGAGGATGCGGACGAGGGCGCGTGCTGCCGAGGTGCGTTCGCGGGACGTGAGGGGGGTGTCGCGCTTGAAGATTGTCGTGTTGATGAGCGTCGTCACGCCGAGGATGTGGCGCGCTGCCCAGGCCACGTTGCGAGGACCCTCACGGGACGGGGAGGAGGAGGTGCTGGGGCGGGCGGAATAGGCGTCCAGGTCGCGGAGCACGCGACGGACTCGCTGCTCGAGTTTGTTGAAGGGGTCTTTTATGGGGTCTGAGGAGCGAGCGCGGGAAAGAAAGTAGTGGAAGAAGTCGTTGTTGTCGAGGAGCATGCGGAAAATGGTACACTCAAGGTCGCGGCGCTTGATGATGTTGGTGCCGGGCGTAGGGTCGGTGAATATATCTTCACGATACTCTTCGGGATCAACAACGGCAACTGAGGCCAGGAGCTCACGAGCTTCTTGCACTCGAGATGGATCAAGATCTTCGTCGCCGTCGTCATCATCGTCATCATCAGGGTGAACAACTCGACAGCGCAGGCTGTCGGCGAGAACGTCGAGGTGAAATTCGGAGATGCTCGAAAATGGGTCGCCGACCTCCTCGGCAAACCCCTTCGGCGTCATGGTCAAGGGTGAAGTAGGGTCCTGGTCGTAAAGAGTTTGTCTAACCAGCTGATCCAGCAGCCAGAGCAAATGCTTGCAGGGTCCGTTTTGTTTGCCGCAAGAGCATCGAGGCGTCGGGAACTTGCTTTCCGATGAGCCGATACGAATAGACCTGGGCACCATCTCTGTCATCTGAAAAGCATACGTGTCGTCCTGTAGACGACAGTACTGCAATGACAGTCTTGGGGGGTCCTTGAAAGCTTCTCGGACTGTAGAGCGGGTTTCGTCCGAGAGCCTGTCGATCTTGTAAGTGAGCTTTGTGGGCGACCTCACTATGGTAGGGGTCTCATCCTCGGCGCTCGAGTCTTCCGAGTTGTCTTCAGGATCTGAACTCGACTCGGTCTCTGAGATGTCCAGGGGGAGCCGAGGTGTTTGTGATTTCGATGTTGAAGCCATGTCTTCAAGTGAAAGCTTGCTAAGCCTGGAGACGGGAGCAGACATTGGAACAAGAAAGGAACAAGAAAAGGTTGACTGTCGGGATGAGGTGGGAAGGAGGTTATTCAAGTCAGGTGTTTTGGCGGACTGGCACTTATACTTGACTGGTGTCAAATGTTGGGACCAAGATGGATCGGAAGAGGGCCCCCAGTCCGTTGGTGGCTTCCTCTCGATCGAGGCTAGAGCCACCGGCAGAGCAAGATGATGGCTCCTCCGATGGATGGGGCTGAAGGCAGTTGTCAAGCGGTCCCAGTCAGCCAGAGATCATGAAAACCGTCCCATGATGGTTGGCAAAGTCCTGCCCTAAGGTACCCAGGTAAGGTATCTAAGGTAATTGGGCCAAGAATAGTCTACGTCTGGAAGTGGAAAGACGGCAAGCTGGCGCCTGGTGAGTCTGGGTACTTGACGCAACATGACATTGTTCCGAGGCTGTGAGAGGTCTCCTTTCGACAGCCTGAAGATGCACATGAGAGAATGAGGGTCTTGCAAGGGGATGGTGGACATTTGACAGGTGCTTCTGCAAGGATGCGGGTGGGTTGTTTGAAAGTCAGCTCCAGTACTATGACGGCATCTAGGGAGGGGTTGTAGCAGTCGGATCTTCCAGTTCTGGTGCTTGGAGGGCCGGGTGTACGGGATGGAAGTAGAGAGCCTGGTATGGCATCGTTAGTCTGGTCATCGTTGGTGGTGGTGATGATGAGGATGGTGGTGAGGACGACATCAGGGAGGCCCATTATGTGGCCTGGTCCATCGCAAGTGGAGTGGAAGTCGAGTCCATGGCGGGACATCGGCGGCCACTGTCGGGCCGGCATGGGGCTTGGAGGGGCCCTGAAGCAGGCCCCTGAAGCAGGCCCCTGAAGGAGGCCCTGAAGCTCCCTGAGCGAGGAGCCCTGGGGATGCCCCCAGAGACCGCCGTTGGAGCGTCGCCATTGGCTCCTGTGCGGTCCCTTCTCAGAGGCCTCACCAACCTGTTGGCGAGGCTGCCTGTCCCGTCCGACCTACGGCTGCCTATAAAGAAGACCCAACCCTGCAACGGGCCTCCTTCGATGCGACCGCCTTCGCACCTCAACACCACTCATCGCCAGCCTTTTCCGTCGTCTCCCCTCTTTTTCACAGCCATGATGCGGCCACTGAAGGCGGCCAGACTTGCTAGCACCAGGGCCTCACTGTGCCCCCCGCCGTCCGAGGGACCTCCTGAGGCACCTGAAGCTCCTGAGGCATTCTTCCTCGTCGCCTTCGACACACATCAGTGTACACCGACATGGCTCTTCTTCCATCCTTCCATCCTTCCGACCTCGCAGCGTCTGCCGGTCAAGTGACAAGGGGCCCACGAGGCTGTGCTGGAAGAGTGATCTAACTTGACTTGAGGCGAGAGAAGCAACCCCCCCCCCCCCCCCCTCAAGGCTCGCTACCTTTCTACGCACCTTAGCTTGCTACACTTGTACACACAGTCACAGGCCAAGTCCAGGCACCTACCGGCGCCTCCGAACACCACGTCGTCATGTCGCCCTCTTGCTTGCCCTTCGACTCTAGAGCGTCGACGGCCTCAATCCCAACTGCCCTTTGGATACCACGTGTACCTCGACTGGCGGCCTCCCATGCTGGCCAACGCGGCTGCCGGGCTTGTTCATTATCGTGACATCGTTCAGATCGGCACGCCGCCCTCTCCTCGACTCTGACGGGTGGTGGTGCACACCGAGGCGTCTATCGCGCTTCCCCCCTCATGTTTGACGCACCGTGACACGTTTGCTTCTATTTGGGGGCCATCCCGCCAGACTGGTTGCCCCCCCCTCCCCGACCTGATGGCGATCGGGGCCGCCCTCCGCCCCCCTTCCAGTGCCGGAAGGAGCCAGCGGCTGCCATTCAAAGGACAATGTCTTGTTCTGTGGGCGGGACGTCTCATGAGTCGCCAGAGTACACGAGGCGTTGGGCTGCCAGGCCACCCAATCCCCATCGCGCAGCTGCGCGTTTCGAGGCCTTTGGCTTGGGGGGGTCCTCGCGATCCGGGCCAGAGGCCACAGGGCCGCTTGAGAGACCGCATTGGCCGGCGTCAAGGGAAGGCTGAATGCGCGCCTCTTGGGCTTTGCACGTGAGAACATGTGAAGTCAGCCAACTAGAAGGACGGTCTGGCGATGTATGACGAGACGGTCAGCCCATGGGCAGGACGAAGGAAGGCGTTATTGACTCTGGTCGCCCGTTTGAGGGAGCAATGCCACCATCCAAGGCGGCATTCTGGCCCTGCCCGGAGCGGCAGTCATAGAAACTCAGAGGCACCTTGCGCTTCCCGTCCCGAGGCCGTCCCTGGCGGCGCTGTCTTTCGCCCTCTGCCATGCCATACCCAATTGACCAGCGTCTGGTGCAGAAGGCCGGATCAGGCCTTTGTGCACTTTGACATTGATGCTGATGGTCAGCAGACCGTTCCACTGGCTCTCTGTCTTCCCCTTTCACTCACTCTCTCTTTCTCTCTATTTCTCTCTCTCCCCCCCTGAGTAGACTTCAGTGCCCCGGCTCCCTGCACGAGCCCAGAGCGAAGCTGCCGAATAGGGAAATGGGAGCCAGAAGCCGCCGGGCCCGGTCCCAAAAGTGCCCACACCCGGAGGAACCCCCAAAATGTGCCCCCTTCAGCCATTTCTTCTGTTTCTCCAGCCTGCTTCCCCGCCTCGAGCCCTACCTGTACCCACCACCACACCCGGTCGAACATCAACAATCCCTGGTGGCCCAGCTGGTTAAGGCGTCCGACTGTTAAGACAACAACTTGGCAAATCGGGAGATCGACAGTTCGATCCTGTCTCGGGGAGTTCCATCTCTTTTGCCATCGTTTATTACGATTACAGGCTACAGGAGTTTTGGTCTTGTTTGATCGGGTTGGGGGTTGGGGGGTAGACATCTCACTTTTGGCTAGCCTCGTGGGCTGGCTGGCAGGGACTGGAGAGAGACGGGCTGAGGTGTGGTCCATCATGCTCGTGGCCTGGACATGACCAACTGCGTCAGATCTCTAGATCTCTCTTCCAAGAAAGGGATTCGAGACAGGAGGATCTTGTCAACAGAATGGGAAATCATTTCACATCACGTACACCACTTCCTGAAGCGCAAGAAAAAAGACGAGTCAATTCGGGCTCCTTGGCCACGGTCATCAAGTATAAAACGCCGATCCCATGCAAATGCAACCATGATGATGACGAATGCTTCTGCTGCTGAAAATCCCTTCCCTCACTGCGTCGTCGACGAGTCCTGCACCTTGTCCTGAATCTGCGCCTGGACATGCTCCTCCCTGGCCTCGACGTTGGCAATGGCGCTCTGCATGGCGCTCGTCAGATCGACGTGGAACAGCGGCCTGTTGAGGCCGTGCACGACGACGCCGCGCCTCTTCGCTCCGACGTGGACGTTCGTCCTGCGGTCAGCCGACCCGCTCGCCTTGCGCGGCTCGTCGTCGTCCTCGGCGAGCTTGAGCGCCGCCTCCTCGTCGGCGGCCCGACTGAGCTGCGACGCAAACTCGCGCTGGTTGGCCTGCTTCTCGGCGACGGCGGCGGCCGAGTCGGAACCGCCAATCTCGGCGACGCTGAAGATGGAGCGCCAGCGGTGCTGCATGCCCGAGTGGCTCTCGGTCGGGTAGCCGAAGCCCGCGGCGGCGAGGGCGCGCTTGGTCCAGCGGTTGTTGATGCAGGCAATGTGCCAGTCGACGACGTCGGGGGACGCGTAGCGGTCGAGCTGGTTGCGGACGTCGATGAGCTGCTGGACCGACGTGATGTCGACGTTGTTGACCGAGCTGAAGTCGAGAATGACGGCCTTGAGAGTCGGGCGGCCCTCGACGGCCTGACGCTGCGCCGCGGCCTTGGTGGCCTTGCGAGAGGGGCCAGGGTCGTTCCAGGGGCGATCGGCGAGCTTGTCAAACGTCTCCAGATTCGTGCGGCGCGTGCGGGCAAAGATGTAGTCGGCGAGGTACTCGAGCGAGTGCGCGGCGTTGGGGTAGTTGAAGCCCTCGGAGAAGCGGTAGATGAAGATACCGGGATAGGGGTTATCGAGTTCAACCTCGGGGTTGGAGCCGTCGCCGTGGTCCACGGGGAGGAAGACGTTGCGAGCGGCGTTGTCCTGAGGGTCGAAGGTGCCGTACTCGCCAACGATCTGGCGGTGGTCCTCGCCGATGACGTGGTCGCCAATCACGGAGTGAATCTTGACCTTGCCAAGGATGCGGCCCCTGCCACGAAGGATTCGCCAGAAGAGCATGGCAGCCGAGATGGCGACCGTGGCATAGATGCCGTTCTCAATAGACGAGAAGATGGTGACAAAGACACCAATGAAGAAGATGATGCACTCGAGCGGGGACACGCGCCAGAATCCGTAGACGGTGTTCGGGGGCGTGATCAGATCGCCGACGGCGTGGATGATGACGGCCGAGAGCGATGCGCTGGGAATGTAGAAGAAGACGGCAGTCAGGGCATAGATGGCGAGCAGCACGACGAGACCGGTGATGACACCAGCAAACGGCGTCTTGACGCCGGCCTTGGACTTGATGGCCGTTCGGCTGAAAGAACCTGTCGAGGGGAAACCGCCGAGGAAAGGGGCGAAGATGTTGGTGACACCAATGGCCACGAACTCCTGGGAAGGGTCGATCTGGTAGTTGTTGACACGGCCGAACGACTTGGAGATGGCAATGTGCTCGATGACCAAGACGATGACGGTGGCTGGAAGCTCTGATGCGAAAGCGGAGATGAGACCCTGGTCCATGCGAGGCACACCGACGTCCTGGAAGCCTCGCGGCACGTTGCCGAGGATCTTGAAGAGAGGGTGTTTGCGCCTGTTCATGTTGACGAGCCAGCTGATCATGGTGTAGAGCAGAATGACAAAGGCGGTGCGCAGGGTAGAGAGGAAGAAGAAGAGGCGCTGGCGAGCGGGCCACCTCTTGGCGGCGTACGAGCAGGCGGAGCGAATCACGTACAGCATGGTCAACGCTGACAGGCCCATCGCGGCGTCCATCTTCGTGCGGCCCAGGCCCTTCAAGGTGTTGATGAAGACCTTGTAGGTAGCCTCCCTCGTCGAGAAGCCCTTGATGCCCATCATGGTGGGCGTTTGGCCGACAGCGATGCTGATGGCCGAACCGGTCATGAAGGCGGACAGGGACGTGAGAGAGATGACGTTGACGATCCAACCCATGCGGATGAGGCCGATGAACAGCACGATCGCGCCAGAGATGATGGCGAGGGCCGAGGCGATCTCGTGGGGTGCGTATTGCGGGAACTCGTCACGCGTCCTGCTGATAATGTTGCCGACGACGGTCGACAGAACAGCGACGGGCTAAGACTCTGTCAGCATCTGTCGTCGCACGAAAACCACCTGCTTGTTACAGAAGACAGAAGAGGAAAACCTACACCAATGGTGATGTCCTTGGACGTGGCGAAGAACCAGTAGATGAGGACACCCATGAAGGAGGAATACAGGCCAAACTCCGGGTCGAGGTTCGCAAGCAGTGCGTAGGCCATGCCCTGCGGCACGACGACGGCGCCAACGGTGATACCGGCAACCAAATCGCCAATGAGCCAGCCGACGTTGTAGTAGCCGATCCAGTTGATGAAGGGGAACAGCGACTTGACGTATTTCCTGCAGAACTCGGCGTCGGGCACCAGCTCGGCAAGCCATTCGGCCGACGTGGGCTGCTCCTCAACGAAGCTCTGGGTGGATATGACAGACTCGCCGCGAAGCATCTCCTCCTGCGGCTCGTTCTCCTGGAGCTTGATGCCCAGGACCTTGGCCAGGCCGTGGCCAATCTTGGTTCGCGTGCTCGTCATGGCGGCGAGACGGCAAACACCTCAGGGAATGTCGGGCGCAAGTGACGAGAGTTGCAATGATGGTCCTTTATGCGCTGCCAGGCAGGAGAGATGGGGTCGATCTCCCGTGACTTACACGCGTGGGCGACCGGGACAGAGAGGCGGGCGCCAGGCTGAATGGGGAAGAAATGATGAATGCCAAGAACAAGGCGAGCCAACAAAACTGAATGCCAAAAAAATAAAATAAAAGAATCCGCTGGGTGTATGAACCAGACGGCAAGCAGTGCACGGCAGCGAGGGAGAGAAGGAGGGAGGTAGAAGAAGTAGTAGGTAAAGGGGAGGACAGACAGGTTCACACAGGCAGGACGTGCAGGCAAAATAGACTGGTGCCGGCTTGATAATTCTTCATCATGGGAAGCAGAGACACGAGGTGAAGTACCCTTTGCCTCGAGCTGTGGGTGGGATGACATGGCTGACTGTTTTGGGGCGTAAAATGTTCCGCGTTGACGTTGCTGCCGGTCGAGGTTCGGGGACGAAGTCGATGTCGCAATCGAAGCTTGACCGTACCAAGTTTAGCGGCCCCTCTCACGGACGGGACCATGGGTAAGTCGGAAGCCAAGTCGATGCTTGAATGCCCATGGCAAACAATTCCTATGCTGTCATCCCAAAGCGTCAAATGCCGCATGACGGCCCTCTGGTCGTGGGGGCAATTGGTGGTGAGTCGCAGGTGCTGGCGAGAGACACGGGGTGGGATGATGGTGGCAGGTGATGAGGAACATCACGGTTCGGTTTGGGAGCCTTGCCTCTCTGCCTTTGCCTGCCGCCGGTCGGTCGCTAGAAGGACATGGCATGGCATGGCTCGCCCACCGCAAAGCCTAGCAACGATCGCCACGGCGGTCCCCCCTCCCCCCCAGGTGGTACTTTTCGGGTGGAGAATAGTGGGCAACGGTCGAAGGTTCTTGATGGATTCTCGCTGAAGAAGACCCAAACAAAGGGCCCCAGAGAAAAGAACCTGTTGGTACGTGAAGCTGAGTCGCGCGCAAACGGGCCAAGTACCGTGTTTGCATGTATGGACGCCCCCCCACCCGCTCAATCCAAGACATTTGCTCCAATCGAAGCTCGTCGATGCCGTGTCGTAAGCTGAACAGACCTGGATGAGCCTGAACAACCAAGACAACAGGTGCAGGCCCTGGCGCCCCTCCAATCATCTTGAGCTTCCACTATGATGTAACTCAACCCTAGGGATGATGCCATAGGACAGGACCGTGGGGATAGCTTCTGTGGAGCTTCCGAGAGTCGGTCACTCTAGGGCGGCTTTCTTCCACATAACCTTATAACGCACAACGAGTACCTGGCGACGGCAGAGGGGCGACGCCGAGAGCCCTAGGTGGTTCGTTTGTGGGTACTGGGTGATGTTGTCTATATCCGTGCTGCCACCCAGAACTTGCTTACAGAGCCTTTCCGCATCTTGCGCCATGCTCCGGTCTCGTCAGCGTGCCCCTGTCATCAAGGGTCGGCAACTCGGCTTCTGGGTGACTGTGTTGCTGGGAAGATATGGCAACATGCTTGACTGTGTGGTAGCAGCCGATGTCTGGTTGCGAAGGCTCATTCCGCGTCGTACAACCCCCACCGGCGAGTGGCCGACGCGTCATGAAGCGATGTTTGTGGAAGGACGAATCTCGTGTGAAAAGCCACGTGCGTCTGATGTTTTGGTTGCATCACCCTTGTTCAGTCGTCAGTCATGGAGAACTGCGATGCACTCCAAAGGACTGCGAACATTTTGCTGGTTCACCCGTGATCTTTTGGAGTTGCGCAGAGTTGATGGGTTTTTGGGGCTTTGCTGTTGACCCAGCCCGAGACACAGCGCAAACAGCCACCTCACACCACTGAAGGGTCACGTGCCGTTAGACAAGCAAGCGTGCCCAGCTTCGCCGCAACCATCCGGGAGGCATCCACAACACTTGACTTGCCTTGACTGTGCCTGCTCTGCCAAATCTCGGTAGCCTCCAGTCCCACGGGATGGTTAAGAGTATGGGATCAAGATAAGGGACTACCCTATGATGCACGTCGCCGGATCACCAGTGCCGGAACGCGCTACGCTACAGCACGGTGTAGGTGGGGGGTGGGCAGCGCCTTAACACACTTGGTCCAGGGTCCAGACATCTTTCGCCGGCTGTTGAGATGGCGGCTGAACAGAGGCAAGGCACCAACCAGGGGAGCCAGTAGCCGCACGATTGGGCAGGACGACATTGGACATCTCATCTCGAGTCTCGGTCGAACTGCCCTACTGGAGGATCGTCAAAGTCTGTGGCTGCCGAGCTAATGAGCCGTAGCGGACGAAGACCAAGAGAAGCGCCGGTCTCAGAGCTCAGCAGCATCGGGCACGACACCAGCCAGGCCACACCAACAGGTGCAATCATCGGCATCGCGAACCCGAGACCCTTGTTTTTCGAGAAAAGGGGAGCGCTTGCGCCATTCTTACTATCATGGCCCAATGGATCATTCTTTTCCGATCTTGCCGTGAGCCTGAGGTGCGCAAGGCAGACGTGGGATATCGCTGGCGCTGAGCTTCGCCCCTCAAGAGCTTCGTTTTAGAAGGATGGCTTTTCTTCGCCAATGAAGGGCGAGTTTCTGGCCATCATGGTGATAGCAGGGTGATAGCAGGGTGGCCGTTGAAGAGACGGCTACTGCTGGCCAAGGCTCGTTGATACTCGACAGGTAGGGGTACCGAATACGAAGTATGCCACAGTCAGTCATGCCGCGGGCTGTCAGGAACAGTTCTCATCCTGTGCCCTCGAGGAAGACACATGGATGTAGTCACTCCTGATCTGGGACGCAACATGTTGTGTTCAGCGCCTGCGATAGCTCCCGTCACTCACCAACCAAGCTCGTGGTCCTGGCACAGCCACACCGAGTCGGTGAAGGACAACCGACCGTTGTCGAGGCTGATGGCCCATGCGCGGCCCGTCAAGCCGAAGCCAAGCCAGGCCAGTGAAAGACACAATCAATTGTAACTGCTCCAGCCACCCCATCTCCATCAATGGCTCTGCATGGCTCATGGGAATGTTGCCAGGCAACCTGCCTGTCTTGCTGGGAACGATCAGTCGGCGCTCTGCTGCAGACAAACACATCCAAGAACACCAGGAGGCACGACTCTAACCTACCTACATCGCTGGCAACGAGAGCCAGTGACGCGAGCCCACATGTGCACAGCATCCTGCACCACCACCGCCTGGCGCTAGGCCAGGTACAACAAACATACAGCAGCCTCCAGGTCCCACCAGCAACACCAACCTCCTCCTCCACCGTCGTCCACCGTCATCCACCGCCCGTCCACCACGCAAGTGTGCCACGACTGCGCGGTGGTGCAAAGCTTCTTTCTCGTCACAACACCATCGTCGCACCGTCGCCGTCCTTGTCCCATCCTATCGCCCTCGCCCTCGCCCTCGCCCACCATGCCGAGTCCGAGTCCCACTAAGGAGTCCCTGCCCGCCTTCGTCACGGCCCACACGACCGACCTCCTGCCGCCGCCGTCTCCACGAACACATCGCGCCCTTCGAAAGCTTCAGTCCGCCCACAACCTCGGATCGAAAGCCGCCAGCGGTCCTTCCCTCATCGCGCAGCAGCGCCTTCACCAGCGAAACATCTCCCCGACGCGCCGCGATCTCAGCAGCCCGACCGCCCACAACACGCGCTCCCCCGCCCGCGGGCGCGCCAACAGCGATGCCACGTCCCTGGGCGCCCAGATCAACCCCATGGCTGCCAACAAGCGCGGCATGCTGAGCCTCAACTCAAAGTACGCCCAGGTGCCCCTCGCTCAGCTCGTGCGCGACGGGCCCGGCGCCGACGAGGACGCTGCCGAGGCCCTGAGCGCCGCCCGCCGCAAGGTCCTCAGCGAGGGCATCAAGAGCGACGCCGACGGCATGTCCAACCTGCGCATCTACGCCTGGCTCATCTTCCTCGACACCCATATACTCCCCACGGATGAATACCTCGGCCTCATCCACCGCGGTGCCTCCCCGGCCTACGCCAAGATCCGCAACGACACCTTCCGCACCCTCACCACCGACCCCCTCTTCCGCCGCCGCGTCAGCGAGGCCTCCCTCATCCGCCTCCTCAACGCCATCGCCTGGAAGCTGCACGACGCGCGCGAAGCCCAGCGCCTCAAGGACCGACCCCCGACGCGCGACAGCATCGCCTCCTCCTCCTCGGCCGCCACCCCGACGACCCGCCCCTCCACCTCCCACTCCCGGCCCCAGTCGTCGGGCCAGCAGCAGCAGCAGCAAGGCATCACATCCTCCCCGGCTGCCAAGCACCGCGCCCGCGCCCTGACCCTGACGACCGAGGGCTCCTCGACCGACCCGGCCCTCGCCTCCGAGCCCGGCCCCTACGTGCAGGGCATGAACGTGCTGGCGGCGCCCTTTCTCTACGCCGCGCGCTCCGAGGGCGAGGCCTTTGTCGCCTTGCACACCCTCCTGACGCGCGAGTGCCCGGGCTACATCCGCGGCGCCATGGACGGCGTTCACAAGGGCCTCGCCCTCGTCGACCGCGTCCTCGCCACCGTCGACTCGCGCCTCAGCGGCCACCTCCTCGCCAAGGGCCTCACCGCCGAGCTCTACGCCTTCCCGAGCGTCCTCACCCTCTGCGCCTGCACCCCGCCCCTGCCCGAGGTCCTGCGCCTCTGGGACTTTCTGTTCGCCTACGGCCCGCACCTCAACATCCTATGCATCGTCGCCCAGCTCATGGGCATGCGCGACCAGCTGCTCAACTCGCCGAGGTTGGTTCTCCCCCCTCCCCCCCTCTTTTTGCCCCGTTGATTACCCCCCTTTCTCCACTCCACATACACAGCGAGGTGAGGAAAATGGCTAATGAGAGGTCAAGTCCCAACCGGTTGCTGAGGGCCTTCCCGTCGCTGCAGGCCGACAAGGTCATTGAGCGCACGCTCTGGATCATTGAGCGGATACCCGACGACACGTACGCCGCCATCGTCACGCACGCCTTGTAGCGACGAGGTTTCAGCATGCGGCGCTGCTGCCGCGGTCAGGGCGTGTCAGCAGGCTCGATCCTCACATGGGGATTGCATGATCAGAAAAGGCGTCTTTTTAATTTTTATTTTGTGTTTTCTTGGGGTTTGGATCATCAACGGACATGCGGAAACGGAGGGTCACGGCTGAGGAAATTCATGCAACGAATTATTCGAACGGCTTTGTTTATGACGCATGGCAGGGAAAACTGTGTACACTAGCTACAACACGACATGGAAAGCTGGGAGAGCTGGAACGGGGCAGGTACAAAACACGAAGTCATGACCGTTTTCTTCTTCTTCTTTCATGGTTGCGCTTCGAGACATGCAAAATATGTACATCATTAAAAGTAGTATGTGCCATGCTATGTGCGTTTGGTATCATAGACGCCATGCGTCATGCCTCTTAGGCAGACGGGCGACGGCATTCCCGCACCGTCTCATCATTGCTTCTGGGCTTTGGAGACAGGACGTGGGCGGGCGGGTGTGTATCATGTTCGCCTCTGCATTTCGTCCGAGTGCTGTTGAAACTCGCGGCTTAAACTCCTCCGCGGCATCCTGCACGGGGGCAGGGCCCGTCGCGGGGGAACTGCTTGGCTTCTGGCCCTCGTGGTGTTCAGGTTGCAGACAGCTGTCATCGCCGAGGGTCAGGCTGGCACCTTGGTGCTAGGGTCCCGTCACGTTCCTATTTTGAGGAATCCTCTGCCTTCTCAGCGGGCGTCGGACGTGGTGCCACCGTGCTGTCCGCGGCGGCGATGACCTGCCGGGGCGCTGGGGTCCCTACCGTGTTTGCCGCACGACAGCTTCACGTGGCCCGGTGTCTCACATGCCTCCGTACAACGACTCTTCAGTAGACGGAACACTCGAGCTCCGCCCTCCGGAATGCCCCTTCGAAGAATGCCTGCATCGCGCTGTAGTGGAACAAGATGCCGCCGAGAACAGCGAGGTGCCACAGGTTGTGGCTGCCGCCGATATAGTCGAAGCATCCAGGCCACCAGCGCTCGGGAATCTGGCTCGCATAGACAATCGCGCCGACGAGGTACACCATGATGGACTTGCCAATGGGCGAGTAAAACTCGACCACAAAGTCACGGCCGTGGCTGTACCAGAGCTGCAGGATGGGCAGGAAGCCTGTGGCACCAAGGCCGACGAAGAAGGCGACGCGTGCCCAGGCCATGTCAGCCTTGTTGAAGGTCGGGTGCCAGGGCAGAATGACGCCAATGATGCCGAGGGCAGCGGTGCTGACCATGTAGGACCAGCGGCTGACGGGGTCGCAGTAGAAGGCCGTGTACTCGGTCGTCATGATGGAGGCGGCAATGAGGAGAGAGATGCCGGTGTAGTCGACACAAGCGAAGAGGGAAATGGCATTGACGTCAGCGACGGCATTCATCGTGTGCCAGATGGTCGAACAGACGAGCGTCAGGCAAGCTGTGAAGAAGAAGACGGCGGCGATGAATATGTCGGATTTGCTGCTGAGGGTAAAATTGGTGTTGCGGGGGTAAAAGTACAGGGCGACAGCCAGGACAATGACGAGGCCGATGGCATGCGACCAAATGTTGAACAGCTCGTTGGATAGGCCAAAGGCGGACGTGATACACTCAATCTTGGACTCGGTGAACCGGTAGCCCTTTCTGATGTGGGGGTTGACCCTCCACGGCACGGGCAGGTCGTCGTACACGATCAAGCCGGTCTCTCGGGCTCGCCCGACGGCGTACTCAATCTTCTCCTCCAAGCTCATGGCGGCCCGCTTTGCGCGCTCGATACCTTCGTCGACAACCTCGCGAGCGCGATGCATGCTCTCGTCAACCACACGGCGACCCTCAGACATGATGGCTCCGGCTGCATCGGCGGCACCGGCAAAACCATCCTCGCGGAACTTGTATGCGCGAGCCTCAAAGTCGGAGAGCATACCGTCGAGCAACTCAATGCCGAGGCGCGCCTTTTCGTTCAGGGATTCGGCCGAAGCGAGCCCTTCTTGATACCTCGCCTCGAGTGTCTCGACCATGAGGTGCAGCCTTCGACGGCCCTCGCCCAGAACCTCCTCTGATGCCTGAGAGCACCTCGCGCGCACCGCTTGCAGGGTGGAGAAGGCGCGGGAGATACTCGAGTCGAGTGTCAGATCACCATAGTTTTCAATAAAATCAAGTCGTCGCTCGAGTTCGGAGAGAAAGAGGTCAACCTATGAGGACGCACGAAAATCAGCAAAGAGTTCGTGTATGACTGCGAACTGTAGTTGTCTTCCCACCTTGAGAAGCAGGCCTTCCTCCGTCTCCATAATATGTCCGACAATCGACTTCCGCCTCGGAAGAAAAAAGGAGTGACGACGGCGCTGCAGCATATGGCCGCGGTCAAGCTGAGCGCCGGAGGACTGGCCGACAGACTCGTCGTCCTGAACGGTGCACACGCATGGCGATGACATGGCGGCCATGTTCGATAGGGGTTCCATGGCCGTTTGCGACCGGGCTTGCGTCTCGGGATTGTTCAAGCAAAGGAGGTGGGCCGCTCGCCCTTTTTGTTGGTGTTTGGGCTTTCGATGAAAGTCTGTCGCCGAAGTTTGATCGAACCTTGCGGGATGGAGATTGGCCGCTGCGAATGGGTTCGCAGGTAGGCCCACGAGGGGAAGATGTCTCTGATCAATTGGCTCGAGTCTTTGCAAGTGAGCCCGGCGACGGCCGAGGGGTGCGTGGTGTTGGGGCGGAGGTGGCGAGCGATCTCAACAAGAGTCTTTATCGATTGGCCTGGTGCAGCAAAGCGGATCTTTGGTGGAGGGTGGAGGGCAGATTGAGGCGGGCGGGACGTGGGAATGCGTGGTCCCCGAGAAAAGACCCTCCCAGGTACAGCACAGTGACAGGTACAGGCGTCTGCGGCAGGGGCGGGTGCAGTGCTGAGTCGATGTCTCAAATGTATGTCAAAAATGTCCTGGCCGCTTTCACTCGCACTTATGTTGAAGCGACAAGTCACCCGTGCTGATGATGTAGGTAGGATCGGGATGTTTGTTGCACGCGACGAGAATTGCCCCGTGACATGTTGAGGAAGAGGAGCAGGTTATGACGTGCGGGGACGAGGTCACAATAAAGGCAGGCGCAGACGAGAAGAGAAGGTCCTCCGAGCGCATTTTCAGAAGGACGGAAGGGGACGAGGGAGACAGTCCTGTCCTTGGGGGCAACCCCACGACAGAGGCTTGGCCTTCCATGTAGTGCCTAGTTTTCTCTGGTGATTTGTGGCCATGTCGGTCCTTGATCCGGAAAAGCTCGGTTGCTATGCCTGGGCTTCTTGCTTGGCTGTTGGCCGGGGTTGATGGAGGAGAGCTGGCACTGTGCTTACAGTGTTGTGATGCGTGGAGATGAGTCTGCACGACATGGCAATGGGCAATGAGGCGAAAACAGTGGGCCAGGATCTTACTTTTGCTGGTAGAGATACAGGCGGAATGATGACATGCTGCCTTTTGCGTTCGAAGGCCGTTGATGGTACTACCTAGGCAGGAACCCTGTGATGGCTCTCGGTGGTGTATGATTTAGGACTCTCAGTCCGGTGCTTTCTTCGTCCTCAAGTGCCATCTTCCCATAGGACACTGGGTGAATCTAAAGGCCACCCACGTCAGCGACGAGAGATGACCAGTAGCACACGACGGCCAGCATTCCTAGGCGCCATTCTACGCGTGCTAGGTCGGTACCCAGGTAGGCGAACCTAAGCGGAGGCATAGGGCTCCGACTGCCACGCAACGCAGCGGGGCTGCCACGCTGGACCTACAAGGCCTTCCTACCTAATCGAATCGAGCTGTTCACCCTTGAGCTGTCCTATCACATGGCTGTCTGTCTCCTGGTCCATGCGTCGTTGCCCCAGGTGCAGTGCTCTGTACTGTACCTGAATGCAAGGCCAGCTGGAAGGCTTCTGTCAGCCTTCCCTCCCTCCCCGGATTTTCAATCCCACCATTGCCCGTCAGCCTTCCGGCGCTTCCGCCATCCGCCTCGCATAAACCCTCCGAGGCCCCGACCGTCCTTCAACATACAAGTCCCCGTCTGCCCGCCTGTTCAGAACTCATCCTCTCTTCGTCGTCCTCCCGTAAGCCGACGTCCCTACGCCGCGTCCCGGCTCCGACCCAGCCATGACCTCCTCTCAACCCCAGGTCTCCGACCTGCGCCTCGACGCCGTGCTGCGCACCTCTGCCGAATCCCGCGAACAGGCGGATGCTCTCGTCGCCCTCCTGACCACTGCCGATGAAGCCGGCGCCCGTCTCCCTGCCGACCTCGAGGCCACCCTGTCTAAGCAGCAGAAGCTTCTGTTCACCAACATAGCCCACCTCCGAGGCCTCCACCGCGCCGCCCACTTCTCTGCCCGCGAGACGAAGGCGACTACCGCCGAGGACCGTCAGGCCGTCGACACCCTGCACCTCCAGCTACAGAACCTTTACTACGAGCAGCGCCACCTACAGGGCGAGATCGCTGCCTGCGACGAGTACGAGTGAGTTGCTCTTGCCCCTATCCCGCTCGTCGCCTCCTCCGCAATGCCACGGAAGACTGACATCAGCGCAGCCACTCGCATCTGCGCCTGCCGCTCATTCCTGTCGAGGACTTTCTCGAACAGCATCCCGACCAGGCGACCGACGACGAGAACGCGCTCATGACGGCGCGCATCGCTCACGAACGCGCTCAGCGTGAGACCCTCGAGCAACAGAGACAGGAGCTCCTGAAGCGCAAGCAAAAGCTCATCTCCGAGAACAAGAAGCGCAAGGATGACCTGGCGAATCTCGACAAGGACCTGGAGAAATTTATTGATGTCTGTTGTGCCCCCGTCTCCTTCCCTCTCCTGGCTGGCGCCTGCACCTAACCCTTTCCTCTCCTCGACGCGTATGCTGACTAGGTCGCGCAGGCCGCGAAGCCGATTCAGGTACTTTTCGAGAAGGTGGCGTGATCGCGGCCAACGACGAAATATTCTTTTTACGAGAGGGTCTGGCTAGGATGCCGGAATCCGATTACAGTTTGCTTAGAGATACCCCCCCCTCCCTTTCTCCCAAGGGCCGAAAAAAAAGTACCTTGTCGAAAAGGAGTTTACGGCACGCCCAATTGAGACTTCGACCTGAGACTGTTTGACTGGTACCCTGCTACTATCTGTCGCTATTTGACTCCTTGAGCGAATCCAAAACGTCTGCCTGGAGCATCAGTGGCTATGCAAATGGAGAACCCGACGCATTGGGCTGGATTTGAACGGTTGCCTGGAGTGGACAACGTCGCACCCATATGGGTAGCCGACGCTTAAGAGTGCCGGTCCCGTCGCAGAGCCCAGACGTGGGGTCACTGGCGGGCGGTGAAGCTGATAGCACAGAGCACAGCACTGGCCATCTCGTGTTCCACTCAGCTCCGCGACAATTCTCTTATTGCTCAGTGCCTTAGGGCCGGTTTCTATTGACACGCACACTTGTGGCGCAGGATTCATGACTTTTCGAAGGCGAGTCAAACGACTCGAGCAGAGTGAGGTAGCTCAGGCGGTTTTGGTCGTTGAACGCTGAACGCGTCCTTGCGGGGCCTTGACGATATGTACAGAATCGAAGCACAGCTTCAGGCAACGAGATGACTGCCCACCCCCCGATATTGTCTCCGTCGCAATATTCCCCCAAGCTCGAGGGGACCCGTGACGGCCTGCCAGACGGCAGTTCAGGCCGCTTTTCCTTGCCGAACAAGCGGAGCCAGCATGCACCGGTGTCTGATCCACTCAAGCGCCGTCATTTTTCACGTGGGAAATGAGTCGTCTTCACTGCACCGCCCCTGAACTCTATCGTTCAGCCGAAAGAGGCCATCTCAGCCGTGGGCGTGCTTTGGGGATTGGAGGACATTTTCTCTTCCCATCCGCCGATCGCGCCGCCTGTCTTGCACTGCGCGCTCGTTGCGATGCTGTTTGGGGGTATCACGGGGCTCTTATTCATGCGGGCAGGGTGATCACGATGATGCAAATGATAAGTTTTGGGCCGCACATGTTCACAAGTGGGTGTAGTCTCGATTGCTGTGCTCCCTCCATCTCTCTCTCTCTCTCTCTCTCCCTCGCTCTCTCCCTCTCTCTCTCTCTCTCTCTCCCTCCCCCTCGTCTGATGTACACACCCCTGGCGGAGGAGAACTGTAGCATCTGCTCGCGCTACCAGCAGGTGTTCACCCGAACCAGTACTCGGCGTGACTAGCGAATAAATACAACATGGATGGCAATGCACATCACGATATAAGTACCAGGGTCTTGAACTTTGTCAGCCATGCCACAGCATTCCAGCAAGCGTTGACGGCATGCCAGCCAAAACAAATAGACCATGGATGCTAACACGGACCTTGGAATTGAGACGAATCAACATCAGCTGAAGGTGCGAAAACGGGAGGGGGGGACAAGTCTAACTAGGGTCCAGACAGGGCGCACGCCTGGGGGCCGGCCAACCCACGAGATCTGGTCCCGTTCTGGAATACCGAACCACTCAGATGTGAGCTGGAGACAGATGTGGGGGCTACTGGTGCTGTTAGTACGGTCGGTAGAGGAAATGCAGTGAAGCTACGACGACCTCCCCAGGCGGGAAAAAGGAGGGGTCCAGGGCTCCAAAGTCAAAATGGTCGCCCCATCAGAGGGAATTCAGAAGCGCCCTGACATGATTCAACGCGCGTCCCATGCGACAACGCAGAAACTCTTCCTAGGCAGCAGCATTCACCCATCGGCAAGCCTGTCCCGAACCATCGCAAAGCCCATCAACAAGGCTGTGCCGCAGACCGACGCTACGAAACTCCTTCAGATGGAGTTGACGAACCTGGCCGAGGCCCTCGAACTCCGCGGTCCCTGTCCCCTAGAGCTGCCAGACACTGGTGCCGCGTCGACGAAGTTAGGACCGTTCGAGAACCCCTTCGGAGATTGACGAGCACCGCGGGGTTCGTCTGTCTGTTTGGTTGGCTGTCTCTTCGCCTCGCCATGTGAGTCGTCGAAATCGAGAGCGAGGGGTGTCAAACAACTCAGAGCAAGCCCGTCTACTCGAGGTTAGCCCGTCTCATTTCCCCTGGCCCAAGCCACGTCGGCTGGACTCGAGCGTTGGGTGCAACAAGATGCGCTTGCGGCCTTATTGGCTAGAAGGGCTAGGTCGTCGATATCGCCTCGTTTGTCATGAATACTGTCCCAACTGCTTCAACTTGGGCGCGCTCAGGTCTACTTGTAGGACTTTTCTCTTGTTGGCGAGTCAGACCGTACTGAGCAAGCGAATAGGCTGGTAAGAAAAAGACCAGGACAAAGCTGTGCTTTCTGGCACGAGTTGTTTCTTCGTACGTCGCAATGGCGTGTCTTGTATCGTGCCGGATGTGAACAAGTTTCTGCGCTTTTGTACGTTTCTTGAACCTGTCCTGCTGCATGCACTCATTTCCCAGCTACCTTTCCCTACCTTACCTAGGTCGATGCCATGGCAGTGCCAAGGAAGTCTCCCAGATCAATCTCGACGACAGCATCCAAGCCGTTCCAGCACTGGGGGTTCCTACCTACCTACCTGGTTCCTCTGGGGAGGACCCCCACGGCTATTTACCTAGCTCTGGTCCCTTGAGAACAGGAGGTGGGACCAACTTGGTGTGAACCACTTCATGTCGGCCTAGGAGAGGCAGCCGGTGCCATTCCCCAAAGAGGGCTCGACTGGCTCAACAAAGTATCGTGATCGAGACCCCACAATGGCTCCAACAACGGCAAAAAGGGCGTGCATCACGCAAGTCTAGGAGCATTGGGCATTGCCTAACGAGCCCTTTCTCCTTATACTCCTACCCCCTACCTTCGGAGAGAACCCTGTCCTTGACACCCAATCCCATCACCCCCCACCGCCACACGAGGTAGACCTGCTCGTGTACTGGACGGCGCAACCCTCTAGGCTTACCAGCCCGCACTGGCATCTCATCTCTCGACAGGTGATCGTGATGATGGCCCCGTTCCGAAGTGGCACTGACGGGGAAGGGGTGCTTGTTCGCCAGAAGCTTGGACAGGACCCTTTCCCCCCTCACACCCCCTTTGTCATAGGTACGTGATGGACGCGGAGGTACCTTAGTCTAGGTAGGTACACAAGGCAGATCTGGTCGCTCTTGCTGGCTATATGGAGTATCGTGCCGCTTCTACAGGTCCTGGATAGCTCACACTTTCCCTCTGTCTCAGACCGTGATGACCTGCCCTCTCCCATATCAAGAGCTCTCCGCCTTTCTTGTCATACTCAGCACACCAGAGCCACTTGGTCTTATTCTCTCTTCACTCTCTCCCTTCTCTTCCTGCCGGAACCAGCAGTGACGCTGCAATTTCATCCTTCCATCACTCCTCCAGCACACTACCACAGTCAAAGGGAGTTGATGACGACCATATTCGATCTCCTACACGACTCCCCTCGTCGCCCCTCACCCGCGAAACAGTTGCAACCCTAGATCTCTCATCAGTCTTGGTAGTTTGAAAGTCTTCTTGCTTCCAGGCATCTCTTCCCCCGAACCGTCACCAAGATATCGGGTGCCTCCCCTCCTCCCCCCAGACCCTCACTAGGCTGGACTTCACCACACGTCACAGCTATACCACACACGATTGTTCGTCACGACTGAGCCATGTCGCTCTTCGCTTGGTGCAGCCGCCGCGCTGGCGGGCTGGCCATGATCGCTCTCCTTGCCCTCAGCTACTGGGTCATCTCGCGGGCATCGGCTGCATCGCATCTCGCCTATGCGCATAACTTTCGACACCCCGGGCCACAGCCCGCTAAAGGCCCGACATCATTCTTCGCAAAGGACTGGCCAACCATAGTGTTCGCGTATTACTGCTTGTTCATCCACTTCCTGGTCTTCGCGTTCCCCTTTCGTTCATGTTACGCCGTCATCAGCATGACTTGGAACCTCAAGAAGACTGCGCTTAACAAGAGGCTTCGCGACTTTAAATTCGCCCACCGCCGCCGAGGTTCCTCATCCTCTCTCTCTAGCTCAGAGACCTTGACCTCGTACTACGCCTGTTCTTCCATCACCAGCCAGCCTGGCGATCCACAGGTTGAGGCCTATAGCGAATCGTCAGACTATGTTGCCGACCATGTCATCCACGCCATCATTATTCCTAACTACAAGGAGGAAGTGGACACGCTCAGGGAGACCCTCGAAGTCCTCGCATCGCACCCGCAAGCGGTCAACTCGTACGACGTAAGTGGCGTTTTCTTTTGATTGTGACGGTCATGTTGCTTTGGTTTGTGCGTAGCTGACCATAGCTTATGCATAGATCTATCTCGGCATGGAGTCTCGTGAAGCCAACTGCGAGCTTAAGGCTACCTCACTCATTCAGGAATTTCTGAAAAAGTTTCGCAACATCACTTACACCGTCCATCCATCCGATATTCCAAACGAGGCTGCCGGAAAGGGCAGCAACGTGGCCTGGGCAGCACGGATGGCAAGCCAGAACTACGCCTTTGCGGATCGAAAGGATGTCATTTTTACCGGGATTGATGGTACGTGGTCACCTGTCAGCACCTTATAGCGAGTGGCTTTGCCTGGGGAATCCCTGAGAAAATACGTTCAAGCACGATGCGATGGCTATCATTTGCTAACAATATTTGTGTGCAGCGGACAGCCACCTGTCAGCCAACTACACGGCGCTGATCACCACCATGCATATGGCGCATCCAGAAAAGGCTGATACGACGTTGTACGCGGCACCCATCATCTTTGATCGCAACGCGCACATCGTCCCCGCAGTCGTACGTGTTGCGGACATTCTTTGGGGCGCCGGTGGTCTTTCCGGGCTTTACAAAGGGTCTTCTGTAGCACCACCTACCTCAGTCTACTCGCTCCCCCTGAAGCTTGTCGACCGCGTGGGAGGGTGGGACTGCGACAGTGAAGCCATCGGCGAAGACCTGCACATGTACCTCAAGTGCCTCTTTGCTCTTAACGGAAACCTGACCTGTCGGACGGTGTACAGCCCAGTCAGCCAAAGTAACGTAACAGCTGGTAGCATCAAAGGGCTGCGTGGCGTTTATGCCGATATGCAGGCACGTTACAAACAGGCCCTCCGACACATGTGGGGAGCTCTAGATACAGGATACGCCATGCGCAAGTTCGCGGAGCTCCTTCGGGAGAGGAAGCATACTTCGAGGGCATACCGACCTTTGCATACGCCCTTGGATAACGATTCAAATGTTTACGTTCCCGAATTACAACCAAACACCGATCAGTCCCACGAGAGCGGTGTCTTTTCTGACATCACCCAAGACACACTGTCGGGTCCCAACTGGTGGTGTCTCCTCGTTCTTAGCCATCGTCTTTTCGAGGCACACTTTCTCCCTGTGCAGATGACGATTCTAGTCATCGCATCAACGCTGTTTCAATGGGTCGCCGAAGGAAACGAAGACCCTCACAATCTTGGATGGATCTTTACCGTCTCCAACATCATCCGCACAGTTGGCATTATGGAGGTCGCCTTGTTCTTGTTCCTTTACGAACGATACCACGACGTGTGCGTACGAACGAGGGAACGCGAGATGATTGAGGCGGGTCTGGCACAGGATATGAACTTCTCATATCGCTCGGTGAAGAGGAATTTCGTTGATTACGTTATGGTGCCGTTGGTCGCGCCACTGTATGGCTCGATTCCATGTGCGCAGGCGCAAATCTGCCACTTTTGGACCGTGGACCTGGTCTACACGGTGAGCGGGAAGATAACACGCCAGAGATCAAAGTCCGTTACGCCAATCGAACAGATGGCATGATGGCTCGGCTGCTGTTTGAGAAAGAGCGCTTCTTTCAACCGGCACTGCAGTGACGAGCCGAATACTTTTCCACCCTTCTATTCGCCCTCGCCATCAATTTCGAGAGTATTCACCCGATACCGGCTTTTAATGATTTTCTGCTTTCGGGAGAACAACTGCAGGGGCGTCACGTGTACAATGACCATTATTTCTTCTTCAGCATCGGACTTCGTTCTAGAGTATAGACACGTTTCACAGCGACGAGGGTGTTGAGCGGATGGATGAAGCTTGAGGATGAGCAGGCAAACGTTGCGGTAATAACAGCAAAGTTACGGGCTTTGGGTCATAGCGTAAACCACTCGAACAGGGACGGCTGGAGAAACTGACAAACACTAGACGTAGCGGGCGTATGCTTCACAAGCACTTCGTAGAGGCTTTGTGCAGCTTAATTATTACCTTGGGATGGGAACTCCAAGTAACACAAAGTGGTGATCCTTGTCCTTGATGATATGGGTAACAGGTTAAGAATGAAGCAGGCTGACTCCACGATTTGGGGTCCCAGCCCAAAGTGGTTCTCTGGGAGGGTACTCCTACACAATAGCGGGCACGACTCTTAGGTGCGGCTTGGCTCTTTCGTGTCTAGTGAAAGTAAACCGTGGCTTCGGAAGTTACATGCAACATGCATTCGTGTAAGTCGTGGACTCAGCACGCGAAAGCTACCAAACAAAGTCATCTTGTTCGAGGCACCGAGTCCGAGAACAAGGTCAAGATGGACGTCTTGGGCCCGACCGAGTGAGAGATCCTCTGCGTCACCTCCAAGGCCAACGTCGAGGCACTTTCCTCTGACAATAGGCCTCAGAGGAGCGCCGACACACCACGTTAAGCACGACGGGTGGACCCTGTGGCAGTGGGCATTGTGATCGTGCCCGGGCCGATGCCGGGTGCGGGCACGGGGGCTGCAGGCCGGGCGTGGCTCAGTGTCCAGCAAGTCCCTCGCGTCTGAGGTGGGCGAGATGGCGCATGCTGTGGCAGAGGCCGGGGAGCGGTCGCGGGTGTAATGATTCAGGTCGCGGCGGCGTGGCAACGAAGGAGTAGTGTGTAGGGGTCCCTCCTAGGTACTTAGGGTAGGCTGTTGCGAATCTTGTCTCGCCCCGTCGATCCGAAAAGTCAATTCAGTTGACAAAGCCGCTGAGGCCTGGAACCAGCCCATGCTTGATGACAGAGAATGGCATCATGTAGCACCTCACCGCTCCGGTCCTGCCAGTGGATCTATCCACCGCGCCTGCTCATGCTGCTGCTGCTACTACTGCTCTGCCACTGCCGTATGGTGGTCCACAATCAAGTACCCTGCGCCTGCCGCCTGCATGTGAACCCACCGCACTGGCCAAGGACTCGAGATGGATGGAGACGGAAGCAAAGAGTTCAGGCGCTCAGGTGTTTGCCTTCCCCAGACTGTGCTGGACCTCTGCCTTGCGCAGGCTGTCGTCCCGCCGTTGCCATAGGCTCGATAAGAGGGCTTATCAGGCTAGCGCCATCCGTAGTGGGGTGCCGCAGAGAAAAAGTTCTGGGACACCCTGAAGCGTCCAGGAAAATTTTGGACTGGAGCTCTTCAAGCCGCGCCTTGCCCATCCATCCATCTGCCTGCCTCTTGACAATCTTCAACGCAAGTTTCTTCACACCTTGCAACGAACTCCGTCCACCTCCCGGATCCTGTTCCTACCACCACACGAACACACATCAAAGATCCCCTTCACCTCGCGCGCATTCACTTTCGCGTGACTCTTCCTACCACCTACTTCATTACCTCTTTAATTCACATCAAACCAACAAGATGGCTCCCCAGCCTGTCGCCATCTATGGCCTCGAGGTCCGCCCCGGCAAGCTGACCCCCGCTGGTCCCAACTTCCCCGCCGGCGTAAGTCCTCCATCACTTTCCTCATCATCAAAAGGGCTCGGTGGCTGCCATCACGGCGGTCCATTCTGCACATGCCCACCGCGGCAAGCCGACATGCGCACGTTCGGGTTGACCGTGGCCTTGGCCCGGCGCTGTGCCATGTCGCCTGCTCGCCGCCTTTTCAGCAGTCCATGCTGTGCTCCCCAGCTTGCGCATCGCATCAAATACTAACATGCTCCCAGTACCGCATCACCATGGCTGCCATTGACCCCACCAGGCCTGAGGGTCCCGAAGACGAGGACTCGGAGATCCCCTCCAAGCCTCTCGCCGTTCTCCGTCTCCTGAAGATGCCCCTTGACGACGATGAGGAGGAGGACTCTGATGACGAGGAGATCGACGAGGAGTACCTCAAGGCTCTTCTCGCTGCTTCCCCCGACGACGAGGAGGACTCTGACGAGGAGGCCAACGGCGGCCCCAGCGACCCCAAGAAGAAGAAGAAGGGCGCTGCCCAGCTGATCGCTGCTCTCAAGGGCGAGGACTCGGACGAGGATATGGCCGAGTCTAAGACCAACGGCAAGAAGGGCAAGGGCAAGGCTTCCGACGAGGACGATGAGGATGATGAGGAGGACAGCGACGACGAGGACTCGCCCGACCAGCTCGAGCAGTACGTCCTGGCTACCTTCGACGGTGAGCGCGTAAGTCAAGACCCGACCACAGCCCCTCCTTCGCCAGCGCACTACTGACAACCCGACCAGCACTTCCAGCAGGCTCTCGACATCTCCGTCGGTCCCAACGAGCAGGCCTGGTTCCTTGTTGACGGTCACTTCTCCGTCCACCTGACCGGCAACTACGTTGTCGACGACGAGGAGGAGGATGACGAGGATGAGGACGACGAGGATGAGGAGGACATGTACGACCTCGCCTCTGACGAGCTCCTCGGCGGCGAGGACAGCGACGAGAGCGATGAGCTCGACGGTCTCGATGACCCCCGCGTCATGGAGGTTGACAGTGAGGACGAGGAGGCCCCCAAGCTCGTCGAGGTCAAGAAGGGCAAGAACAAGCGCGCCGCCGAGGAGGCCGAGGCTCTCGATGACCTCATCACCAAGGACGACGCCAAGCTCTCCAAGAAGCAGCAGAAGAAGCTCAAGAACAACAAGGGCGAGGCCGTCGAGTCTGAGGAGCCTAAGAGCAAGGCCGACAAGAAGGTCCAGTTCGCCAAAAACCTCGAACAGGGCCCCACCGGCTCTGAGAAGAAGGGCAAGGCCGCTGTCGGCGTCAAGGTCGTCCAGGGCGTCAAGGTCGTCCAGGGCGTCACCATCGACGACCGCAAGATCGGCGAGGGCCGTGCCGTTAAGAACGGTGACAATGTTGGTGTCCGCTACATCGGCAAGCTCGAGAACGGCAAGGTCTTCGATGGTAAGCTCATCACTGGGGATTCGATCACACAAGAGATTGACTGCTAACACTTTTCTCTCTTCAGCCAACAAGAAGGGCAAGCCTTTCTCCTTCAAGGCCGGCAAGAACCAGGTCATCAAGGGCTGGGACATTGGTATCCTCGGCATGACCATTGGTGGCGAGCGCCGCCTCACCATCCCCGCCCACCTGGCTTACGGCTCCAAGGGCCTCCCCGGTATCCCCGCGAACAGCACTCTGCAGTTCGACGTCAAGCTTCTTGAGATCAAGTAAAGGAAGAGAACTGTGATGGTGGCTCGGGCTGTCCGACGCCATGCTCCACTGTTGCCGCCGCCGCCTGGAAACAACCACGAGCCTGCATTGGGTCTTGCGGCGGCTGTATTCTACATACACTCGAGCAAAACCGGGTCGACTCTGTCCCGGCTGCTCAGCCACTTTTCGGCCTTTCCTTTATATTCTCATCACCGCAATGCCGTGTTGAAGAGTCTCCGACCTGCGGCGGTCCGCGATCTGATGACGCGGTCCATGTCGGATGGGATGACGAGGCGAGGGCTCTGCATTGCATTGGTCGGCGTCAGGGGGTAAAAGCTTTTTTTTGCTTGATTTCCTTGGGTTAAGTCTGCCTAGGTCTCGAGGCTACCTCGTCGTGTAGTAGATAGATGGTGTGCTCGAGTGGCAATGAACTGAATCTTGAATACTTGGCTGACTGATCTTGTGTGCATTGTGACTGATGTGTGCGTTGAATCATGGGATCTGGAGAAGTAGAAGACGGCAACGACAATGGAGGGGCACTGCTGCCAGAAGCCGAGGCCATTGGCAGCCGTTATGGCGATTCCCAGTCCCCTGGGTCAATCTTGCGACTCACTTAGAGGAAGAAGTCAGATTTCGAGCAAGGAAGGTGCTGGCCATGAAACGCCTTCTCTGACCAACAAATGACTCTTCCGCCATCACCGGCCTTGCTCTGCAAACTGCTCACTCGCGGCACCCGACTCCCCTTCCTTTCCTACAACCTTCCACATCCATTTCGTAGCATCAGCCGTTGGCGGCATCGCCACGGAAGACGTTCTCAATCATTGTATTTGCATTGCTCGTTGCTCGGTCTCTCTTTCGGTATTCCCATATCATAAAACATCCGCCATTGCACTGCGGGATACGCATCGTTGTCCCCCGAACACTACCAACATGCAGTCTGCGTTGGCCTCTCCGCAACCTGGCTTTGGTCAACCAGGCCAGCATGCTCACAGCAGCGGCATGGAAACAAGCTCCCTACCTGCAACGAGCCAGAGCCGCGGAATCGCGGGCAGAATCCACAGCAAACTATATCGCGTCTCAAAGCATCGTGGTACGAGCAGACTCGGCCACTGCCAGCGAAAAGCGAGCCATACACTGACAGGCACAGGTCCGAGCTCGCTGATACCATCCCCTGCTTCGTCTCTCAAAGGGTTGGTCAGGCAGAATTCTTGGTTCTCTGCTCTGCAACCCAAAAGCCTTCCCGAATTCGCTCGTCATTTCGTCGGTGCTCGTGTGACAGGACAGGCTTCGACCGACGGCGATAGCAGCTCGTCGCCGAGTGTCATCCGGTCCTCGCCCAACGACACACAGGTTTCCACACGCCAAACCTCAATTGGCTCGAGCCTGCGCCGCACTTCCCAGTTCGATCGAACGGGCCAGCGTGCACAGTTCGTCATGGACGTCATCAGGTAGAACCATATGAACCCTGGCGTAGAGGTCCCCGTGTTGTTCTATCCCCAGGACGTCAAGGTTCGGGCAATGGAGAAGGCGGCCACTGCCAAGGCTCACTTCGAGACGTACTACAACGACTTGTTGCAGGACGGTCCATCACCTCGCTCCGCAAGGCTTGATGGCATAAGGTCCGTCCTAGATAGCAGCCCCATGGTACTACCTGAAGACAGGAAGGAGCTCGAAACCGCATTTTTTCAACAGGAAACCCATCATCTGCGGCAGTCCAGGGTTCTGAAGTGGGAAAGTCTTCGCGCTGCTAATCGCCTTGTCGATAACGGCCAAGGACCATGCGCGAAGAAGTACTCGACGCTCAAGAACTTGGGCAAGGGAAGCTTTGGCGTTGTACGCCTGGTTCGAGAAAAAGGTGATGGAGACCTCCAGAGCGGTCAACGGCGCCAGAAGAATGTGTACGCCATGAAGGTGATCAGAAAGACAGACATGATCCGCAGTTCACAGGAAGGTCACTTACGTGCCGAGCGGGACTTCCTTATTGCGTCCGAAACCTCCGAATGGTGAGGCAGCCTAGGATCAGCGCTGTTGGTGAACCGTTTCGGATGTGCTGATATTTTGCAGGATAGTCCAGCTGATATCCAGCTTTCAGGATGCTACGAATCTCTATCTCGTCATGGAGTACATGCCAGGAGGCGACTTTCTTGGTCTTCTCATCCGTGAGAACATCCTAGAGGAGCATGTCGCCCGCCATTACGTCGCTGAGATGGTGGTTTGCGTGGAGGAGGCCCATCGTCTGGGCTTCATACATCGCGATGTCAAGCCTGACAACTTTCTCATTGATGCCCATGGGCACCTGAAAATTTCCGATTTTGGACTGGCTTTTGACGGTCGATGGCAACATGACACGGCTTACTACCTCTGGCAACGCGACGACCTTATGCGTAATCTGGGCATTGCCGTCGAGGGCGATGCGACCGATCAGAAGGAGGACACAAAAACGTCAAAGGCGCACAAGCGTCACCAAGATCGGGTCGAAAGAGAGAGGCACAAGCCTCCATCCTGTTTCCGGGCGAACGCCGAAGGCGGCGAACAGATCCCCCTCGTGGGCAGCCTGCTAGATTGGCGGGCCACAAGGAACCGCACATACGCCAAGTCTGTTGTTGGCACCAGCCAGTACATGGCTCCTGAAGTGATCGAGGGGAAGAGATATGATGGAAGATGCGACTAGTAGAGCATTGGCATCATCCTCTATGAGTGTCTGTATGGGTGCACGCCGTTTCTTGCCGAGGGAGGCCGTCATGACACAAAGAAGAAGATTCTCGTAAGTGGCCGACGCAGGTTTGGGTTGGTCATATCATTGATTGCAGTATTCTAGGCCCACGATGCATCGACCTTTGAGTTCCCGAGGGACATACCCGACGTCAGTTACGAGTGCCAGCACCTCATTTTACAACTACTTCAGAACCAGGAATCCCGTTTGTCATCTCCAAAGTACCACAGCCAAGACCCTCTTGCACCGCAGCACTATGTATTTGCCGAGGATGATGCGATCGACATCAAGAACCACCCCTGGTTTCAGTATCTTGATTGGAACCATCTGCACCGGATGACACCTGGTTTCGTACCACACCTCCACGCCTCGGACGATACACGCTACTTCGACGAGGATGAGCCCGTCTCGGACTGGTCAGAGACGGCGGAGTCGGAAGAACCCGTCATTTCGCCGCACAAGATGAAGCGACTGCTGCGGCGTGAAGGGTTCTGTAGCCGGTCCATTGGCAGCTTCATGGGGTACATTGCCACGCCTTTCGACACGACAAGACTACGGCAGATTGACCAACGAATCGAAGGCAAGGCGCACTTCAGCGAGGAAGACAAACACGTTCTCAAGTATCTCGTGCGAAAGTTTGGATGCAAAGAGCGCAAGGGGGCGCGGGACATTCTTCTGCGAGACCCCACGACGCGGCGAGACGTCATGAACGTGCGAAAGCAGAAGGCTTTTGTCGACTACACGTGGAAAAGGGCGCCGGCGCTGCCTTGCGTGCCGGTTACCGCGGTAGACGATGATGGCGTGTGGTACCATGAGGAGATGACGGAGACGTCCCAGCAGGAAAGAAACGCGTACGAGGCCTATGCCGCACAAAGGACGTACTGGGAACTGGATGGACAGTATGAAATAGGCGGGGGGCCGTACGCCATGGTCAACACCATGTACTGGCAGGGGCAGCAGCAGTACGAGCAGCGGCTCGACAGACCGTACTTTTGGGACGGAGAGTATCGATAGAGGGTGGGCTTTGAGAGGTGTGCCCGATGGCAAGATGAAGGGCGGCGGCCCGAGGTCCCAGGCCCTGAGTATTGTTAGAAGGAGTAGCATCAATTAGTATTTGTTACGACGTGATTGTTCGCTGGGTAGTGCTGTGTTAGGGGTGAGGAACACGGGACTACTGGAAGGAAATTAGGTTGTCTCCCTCATGGCCGAGCACGGTCATTGAAGAGGAAGAAGAAGAGGAAGAAGTAGGACGAGGAGGGCCAGAAGGGAGTACTCTATAACTTGTCGTCCACGAGGTCCAGATGACCATCTTCGTCGAGAGCGCCGGGCCCCTCGCCGTCGCCCAGGGCGGCAGCACGGGCATTGAGGACCTCCCACTCAAACTCGTGCAGGGCGCGCAGCTCGGCGGGGAAGAAGAGCAGGGCCAGCAGGCCCTCGACGACCGAGGCGGCGAGGGCGAGGCTCCCGACGAGCAGCAGTAGGAAGGCGGGCCAGCGGCTTTTCGGGCGGCCGTTGCCGGCGGCATCGGGCACGAACCAGACGGCGACGAGGGCGGCGAGCCAGAGGGCGAGCAGGGCTAGGGCGGTGCGGGCGCGGCGGGTGCGCTGGGCGCGCTCGCGGCGGCGGTAGGCGGCTATCTCGGCGAGGAGGGCGTCGTATTCGTCCTGCGAGAGGGGCAGGGCGTCTTGGGCGGCGGCTGGCGGGGCCGGGGCCGGGGCCAGTTGGGCGTCGAGGGGGGATCGGAGACCGGAAGAGGAGGGGCTGTGCAGGGTCAGGGTCGCCTCGACGGAGAAGTGGTCGCTCAGGGAGCAGTGAAGGTCTGGGTGCGGGGCGCGCATGCCGACGGCGGCGGACTTGACGACCCAGGCCGGGGTAGAGGGCGAGGCGGAGGCGGGCGGCGACGAGAGGAAGATGTAGTCGAGGCGCTTGCCGGTGGGGTCGGGGTCGTCGGGGGCGACGACGCGGCGGGGCCGGTCGGCACGGGCACGGGCGAGGGCGCGCTGGTCGCGGGCGGGCCAGCGCCAGGTGCTGTAGGCCGAGTCGGAGGTGGCGCCGTTCTCGTCGAGGTTGAAGAGGGCGCCGGGGACGGGGCGGCGGCGCGGCTTCTCGAGGGGGTCGGTGGCGTGGCCGAGGGCGCTGTCGGGGTGGAGGAGGCGCCAGGCGTCGCGGACGGGGGCGCGGGCGGTGAGGATGCGGTGCTGGAGGGAGGTGGGCCGCATGTTGAAGTCGCCGAGGGCGAGGACGAGGTCGGCGGCGGGCGAGGCCTCGGCGGCGGCGTGGGCGCGGCGCAGCAGGGAGGCGAGGTACCACGACTGGGCGAGGCGGTGGGCCGTGTACGTGTCGTTGTAGGGGGCGTGGGTGTGCGTGTTGAAGACGTGGATGCGGCGGGGCGGGCTGGCTCCGGCGTTGGCGTCGGACGCGGCGTCGGAGCCGGGCTCAGCGTCGTCGTCGCAGCGCAGGGTGGCACAGGCGACGCCCTTGCCGACGTACCAGTCGCCGCGCCAGAAGGCCGTGGGCCGGCCGTTGAGGGGGTAGGGCAGCGTGGCGGCCTCCTCTATGGGCCAGCGCGAGAGGAGGGCGAGGCCGGCGCCGAAGGGCCCGGCAAAGTAGAACTTGCCGTGGGGCAGGACGTGGCGCGTGGCGCGACGGATGGCGAGGTAGTCATCGTGGACGAAGCACTCTTGCAGGGCGACGATGTGCGGGGCGGGGTCGGCGACGGCGAGGCGGCGGGCAATCTCGGCGAGGCGCTGGGGCCGCTGCTTCGAGATGAACTTGAGGCCCCAGCAGTTGAGGGTGACGATGTGGATGTCGGTAGGAGGGGCGGCGGCGGCATGCGAGGCCATTGTGGGGGTGGTGATGCTCCGTGGTTTGGAGTAGACCTTGGAGGGGTTCCTTGGGGTGGAGGCCTTTGCGTGCAGGCTAGGGGAGCATGATGGTGTGTTTGTGTTCGTGTTGGCGTGGGAGCTCAAGCTGGAAGACACGAGGCTGAGGGCGAGGCAGGGGGCGAGGCAGGGAGCGAGGCAGGGGCCAAGGCAAGAGACGAGGCAAGAGACGAGGCAGCTGTTGCCAGATTAGATAAGTTGGAGTCGGCACTCGGCAGCTACAGAGGCCGTGGAGAAGGAGCGGCCCTCCAGATGCACCCCCTCTCGGTCTCGATGCACCCCCCTGTCTCAGTCTCAGTCTCAGCACCCTCGAATCGATATGGACCATCAATCAGCCAGCCTTTCTTAGTTCGCCCTGCCAGACCCATTCATCGAGCCTCAACCACCAACCCTCACGTGCATCACGAAACGCTGACCTCTTCCTCTCGTCGCGGGGCCTTCCACGACAACTTGTCTCCCAGCCCGTCCTCGGTGGCTGCCCAGGCACCAGCACTGCCTCTCCTTCCTCTGCACCATCTTCCACGACGACGACCACCACCACCACCTCCACCACCTCCACCATGGACCTCGACGACACCATCCTCCCCGAACCCGCGCCCAAGCGACGGCGCGTCTCGACCCTCAAGAGCACCACCTCGACCCCTCGCTACAGCTCCCCCGATGAGCTCGCCACAGACCTCAAGAAGAGCTCGCCGCGCCGCGTCTCCATCAGGAGAGGCAGGCTTAGCAGGTCCCCGCCCAGCCGGAGGTCCAGCGAGGACGAGCTCAACCACGCCTACTACACTCAGTCACCCACCCCGGACACGAGGCCCGCCTCGCGCTCCCCCTCTCGCTCGGCCTCGCCCTCACGGAACCGAACGCGAACCAGAAACCGAGCCCGCTCGCCCTCTCGTTCACCATCTGCCTCCGACGACGACTCAGCCCGCTCCCGCTCCCGCTCCCGCTCGAGACCCAATGCCCTCTCCCCTTCGCCGTCACCGTCGCCTCGCACCCTCGCCTTTGACTCGCGATCCCTCTCCCCCGCCGCCTCCGACCGCACCACACCCCAGAGCCTCGCCGACAAGGTCGACCGGCACCTGCGCCTCTCGCCACAACAAGACCACCCCCCACCGCCCCCGCCCCCGCGCCATAATGTGCGGCCAGACTACCGCCCCAAGATGACCCTCACCGGCCACCGCGGCCCCGTCTCCCAGGTTCGCATCTCCCCCGATGGCCGCTGGATCGCCTCGGCCTCGGCCGACGCCACCGTCAAAATCTGGGACGCCCACACCGGCCGCCTCATGGACACCCTCGTCGGCCACATGGCCGGCGTCAGCTGCCTGGCCTGGTCCCCCGACGGCGACACCCTCGCCACCGGCTCCGACGACAAGGCCATCCGCCTCTGGGACCGCGTCACCGGCCGCCCCAAGGTCAGCGCCAAGGGCATCTCGGGCGCCAAGGACGGCGCCGCCCGCCCCATGCCGCCCTTGCGCGGGCACCACAACTACGTCGTCAGCATTGCCTTTTCGCCCAAGGGCAACGTCCTCGCCTCGGGCTCCCACGACGAGGCCGTCTTTCTCTGGGACGTCCGCGCTGGTCGCCTCATGCGCTCCCTGCCCGCCCACTCCGACCCCGTCTCCGGCATCGGCTTCTCCCACGACGGCACCCTCGTCGTCAGCTGCTCCACCGACGGCCTCATCCGCATATGGGACACGTACACCGGCCAGTGCCTCTCGACCCTCGTCCACGAGGACAACCCCGCCGTCACGGCCGTCTGCTTCGCCCCCAACAGCCGCTTCGTCCTCGCCTTCAACCTCGACGGCTGCATCCGCCTCTGGGACTACGTCGCCGGCACCGTCCGCAAGACCTACCAGGGCCACAAGAACGCCGGCTATGCCGTCGGCGGCTGCTTTGGCCTGCTGCCCGACGGCGGCGCCTTTGTCGCGTCGGCGAGCGAGGACGGCGACGTCGTCCTCTGGGACGTGTCCTCCAAGGAGGTCGTCCAGAGGCTGCACGCCCACCCCGGCCTCGTCTGCTTCTGGGTCGATGTCAGGGGCGACACCATGGTGACGGCCGGCCAGGACGGGTCCCTGCGCGTCTTAGTCCACGCTACAGAGGCGACCCACGCCACAGAGGCGACCGCCGCGCCGACGAACGGCAGCGGCGGCGCCTATGGGCACGCGGAGAACGGCGTGACGCCGCCATTGGCGCCCGCCGAGACGAGCCGGAGCGCCGAGCCGCCCATCAAGATGGAAGACGACGACGTCGCCATGGACGGCACGAGCGCGTGAGCATAGGCTGCGTCGTCTAGCCTGCATCGGCGTGCATGAGTGATGAGAGCCTGTTGAATCTGGAAGGACGTAGAATCCCCCTTTTATCTTACAAAGTGAATACTCATCATCATCTCGATTCACCGTACGGTCTCGCGAAAATGACATATAGCGTTCGTTCATCATTGGTGTGTGTCTAAACCAGGGGGGGAACGATACAGCGAGAGTGAGACAGAAACGCCCTTCATGCTCCCCGCCCCCCTTCCTTTATGCATTTGTCCCGTCTCCTGTAAGTGATGCGTGCCCCTTCAATGCGGTGCCCTCCGCTGCGCTGCGCAGAGGGGCTCTCGACGAGCCCCCTTTACCTAAATCGTCTCCCACCCGCCGTTGTTAATCTCGGCCTCGAGCTTGCGGCTGATGAAGCTCGGCACGCCGTGGCTGAGGAACGTGTTGCGCAGCATCGAGTCGTACCGCCGCTGGCTCAGGAACAGCTGCCGGCCGTGGCGCAGGCCGAGGTCCGTCTCGCCGTACTTGTCAATGTAGGGCGCGCTGCTGTACGAGCCCGACATGCGGGAGAGGTAGAAGATGCAGCACTTGCGAATGTTGAGGAAGAGGCCAATGTTCTTTTGGCATCTGTGCCTATCTGTTAGCGAGCGGTTCATGACCCTTCACAGAAACGATGGGTGTGTGAAGGGGGGGGGGCGGGGATCAGCGTGGGTAGGGAGGGATCAGTGTGGGTAGACGGAGGGGGGTGAGGCTTACTTCCGCATGTGCTGCTGCGACCCGCCGATGCGCTGCGGCTCCCGGTTGCCCGACAACGCCTCCTCCTTGAGGCAGCAGACGGCCTGACCGCAGAAGACGTCGCCGCACAGCAGGCAGATCATGGGGTCCGACACGTCCATGCCGGTCGAGGGGCACTTGCGCTTCGTCGCCTCCTCAATGAGCGTGTCAAACGTCTTGGGCAGGCCGACGAGCTCAAAGATGGCCGGGTGGCTGAGCTGCGCCGACGCCGGCAGCTCCTTCTCCTCGACCGAGCCGGGCCATAGGATCTGGTGGCGGACCCAGCCGCTGACGAGGGCCGACGTCGAGGGCGACCAGCCGGCGTGCGGGCCGTGCTCCGTCAGCGAGGCGACCATCTTGTCAAAGTCGGGCAGCTGCAGGGCCTCGGAGAGCCGCTCGAGCTCGTCCTGTTCGGGCGCCGGCGACACGTGGCTGTTGAAGTCGACGCCGTACTTGACGTACAGCAGCACGACCGACTTGCGCAGGAAGACCTGGGCGTACTTTTTGACAAAGGCGTAGTAGCTCTCTAGGCTGTCGAGCTCCGGTTGGCCAAATGCCGTGTTGCTGAGGTCAAAGTCGGACCCCACGTCAGAAGGCGCGGCGGTTATGTCCATGGCCATTCTCGTAATGGCCAGACAGAACTCGGCAAAGTGCTTGAGCGACGCGTCTCGCGCTTGGCAGTTGACCAGATAGCCGACCCAGACGTGGGACGGAATGTTCTTGCTCATGTGATAGACAACCTTGACAATCTCGGCGAGGTAGCAAAGCTTGAGAATGTGGTTGACGTCGTACTCGTGCGCCTGAACGAGACCAAAACAACACTCGTTAAAGAAGAGGAAGCTGTCCTGGCTCATCAGCGGAGGATAAATGTCGACGGGACGACGAGTGTTGTCTGTCTCCTCTCCGAAATATTGCGACATGAACAATTGGCAGTGCTGCCTCTCGCTGTCTCTTCGGAATTCTTCCTCGACGCGGTTGTCGCCGCGCGCCTTGAGGCCGCCTACAGCAATGTACGAAGTCGTCGTCTCGGAGAGGATTCGAAGGTGCGTCAAGACCTGCTCCGGAATCTTCTCCAGAAGCGTCAGACCACTTTGAGCCTCCACACCTCGCTGCTGGATTTCGGTCGCCGAGATGGAATTGCCTACGACTCGCACCAGCACATCACTGTAGACAATTTCATTCCTTTCCCGCATCTCCCTTGGGTCAACGGGATGCCTCGTCTGGCAGCCGTTCATCTGCACGACGTCACGCAGACGACGGTAGACCCGCACGAGCTCGCCCAGGAGGCCGCCCGCGTCGTTAGAAGTTGAGCGACGAGACGTCACGGGCGTGTTCATGGCCGAAAACATAGAGCTCAGTGGCGTGACAAGAGGCAGCTCGCCGCTGGACGAGTCTTCTGTGCTCCATGCCTCTTCGTAGAGCTGGCTTGCCTTGTCTGCGAGCGCCGTCGTGATAGCGTCCTTTGTGTATCTCGCGAACGAGGACTGGAGCTGGTCAGGCGGCCGGGTAGCCCCCCGGACGTAGTACGCACTGCGCATTTCCGTCTCAAGGAAGTCGGCAAAAGATCGCGAGCCCTGGTCAAGCACGCTGGGGTAAGATTCTTCTTGGCCCTTCCAAATGACAGGAAGGAATGCATTGCCCAAGGCCTTGCAGAGAGGGCAGACGAATTCTCGCCGCCGCAGGTCTTCCGGGTGGTGGCGCGCGATCTGGTGAAGGTGTCTTCGGTTGGTCGCCTCGACATACGTCTCGAAGCAACTGAAGTGCATCATGTGGCCGCATCCGATGGAGACAGGGCCGGGTCGGGACAGCTTCGCGGGGAAACCTTTTCCAATAGTTTGACGCTCAGCAGTGAAGGACTCTCCGTTCGCATTGACCTTGGTCACCTCCTGGCGGTTCTCGTGCGCCACACCGAACGGGCGAATGTCTTCGGCAGACCGATCAAGGTTGGCAGGAGTATGGAATGCCTCGCGTACAAAGTCGGGGTCCTGGAGATCGGTTTGTCTCAGTATCGAGCTCTGGTTGAACAAGGCAAAGGTGCCGTAGAGCCGGCGGTCATCAGTGTCTTCCTGACACAGGATGCAAGTCCCCGTTGGATATTTCCATGTGTTCTTACGGTCCTCGGTCGGCTTCAGCGCGTCATCATCTTCAAGATCAGAGCCCCAGTCTACATCGCCCTGGTTGTCCATGAAGCTCTTTTGCTGCTGCTGGAACTGGGCCATGACCTTGGCCTGTCGACTCAGCGCCGCCTTCTTCTTGCGTTCACGCTCTTCCTCCGCCGAATTGTTCGCCGGAGAGGCGGTCTCGATGCGATCGACAGAAACACCCAGGCGCATGTAGGCATTTTCAAAGCTGCGAGGCCGCTTCTGGCGCATTCGCTTGAGGATGAGGCCGATCCGGGGGTGGCATGCCTTGAACTCTTCTTTCGTCGACATCATGTCTAACAAGGCCACAATCGTCTTCGCATTGGGAGCCTCTGGCAGGAAATTGCTCCTGGCAGGCCTTGACAAGGCGATGGAGATGAAAGACTTCAACGACTCTTCAGTCACGTCGTCCTCGTTGGTGTGGTCCTCTGATACAGCGATGAGGACCAAGTGCAGGACAACCTGCAAGAAGGTCTCGATGCGCGTCCCTGGCACCGTCGGAGTGAACTTGGCGGCGACCAGGGGATACAGAAGCGAATAGTAGATGGTCTGCGCGAACATGCCCGCGCCGGTGAACGCCGAGAGGTCCTTGAACAGGCCAGAGGGGATAGGGCGTAGCTTCGGCTCGTAGACAATCTCCTCAACGGTCTTGCCTGTCCTCCTGGCCATCTTTTTGCGGTAGGCCGTTTCTGACTCTTCTCTCTGGTTCTTGTTGTAATGGGCAATGTACGGGTCGAGATACTCGAGGTACTCGTCTTTGAGCTCGAACGTGCCCACATCAGAAACACCTTCAGGGGGTTTGAAAGTTGTCATCTCATCCAAAATTCGGTGGAAGTCCTCAAGCTCCTGGAACTTCTCCGGCAGCTTGTTGGAGATCTCGTTGAACGACAATGGCTTAAAGCAGAGCGTGTGGATAATGTCGCGGCGAATGGCCAGTGTGCCTGGGTTGGGCTCGTCTTCGACGGTGATCAATGATGTCCGATCGCTCAGCAACACAATCAGCAGATGGATCATGTCTTCCACAACGTCCAAATGCTGATTGTCGTCCTGCGCGTTGGGCTTCTGCTCGAAAAGGCCCTTCACCCACTTCTCCATGCCAAAACGGTCGATAATGGCGGTTAGCACACGATTCGGGTCGCAAATGACCATAGCGGTCTGTAGCAGGAAGATATCACGGTGGTGTGACACATCGCGCTGGTTGACTCCGCGATACGTCGCCGCTTGGTGTCGAAGACTGATGCCGTTGCGAACCCACATGTTGGCCTTGATCTGAGCCAACCAAGCACAAACTCGCAGCGGATAGTCGATCACAGCCATAAGATGGTCCTCGGGAGTATTGTCACGCCTTGCAGTGCTCTTCCGACCCATAGACTTGGGCTGGAGCAGCAGGTCCTGGGGGGTGAAACTCAGCAGCGCCCGCATGCTAGATGCGGGCAGCGACTTGCCGCACTCAATCAGCCACGACAGAGTGTAGTGCAAGGCATGATGCAGACTGATGGGGTCTTCCTCAACGGTAAATTTGACGACATCGTACCTGGCTGACTCGTGGACAAACTCAAAGTCGCCCAGCGTCTTGAACTTGACTTCGTCCTTGATCTCGGCCTGCTTGAAGCGGTGACGTTCGGCGCCAAGCGAGTTCAGGATAACCGTCTTGGTGGTCAGCCTGATAGCCCGCGCAACGTATTGGACCTCGTTCTCGGGAACGTTGCGGAACGAATCGGCGAGCTGTTTAGCCAGCCTGTTGATCTCGCGTGTGACCAAGGACGCTGTTATCCAGCTGTCCGTCTCGTATTCGACATGCTCACCCACCGCTCGAACATTGGGGCCGATGCCCTGGTGGAGCTTGACCAGGTCCAGGAACTGAAGAAGGTAACGTTCCTCACAACGCAACTTCTCCTGCACATGGGGTGACCCAAAGAGGTACTTCAAGTCGAGGTAGAAATGATACATGCGCCTGTTGGTAACTGACCCAGAATCAAATGCCAGGACCGCGTTGGAGGAAACGTCCCAGGGGTAGCCGACCTGCCTGGTCGTGAGGAATGTGTAGAGAATGGCGAGAAGGCTGGTCATGAAGTTGCCCCGTTCAACAATTTCCGCAGTGATACTCGGCGTAGTGAGCATCTGCAAGGATAGGTTGATGATGGAGTGGTCTGGCTCTCGGTCTCCAATGAGATAGAGCTGAGCCAGCGTTGTGTAGAGCCCGGCAAATCGAAGACCGAGGATGCGCTTGAACTCGGGTATCGAGACAACGGTCGAGATGTAGAGCGACCTCAAGTCGTTCCTCACCTTCTTCCACATTCGCAGATCAAACAAGATGAGCCAGTCCAAACGAACCCTCTGGAAGACGTCTTCGGCAGGAGGCATCTCGCCGCGGTCCATGTATCCCGGAGGCGTCTCCAGCCAGTACCTGCCTGGCTTGGGAGATTGCGTTTTCTCTGTGTTGCCAGGCGTCTTGGGGATCTCGAGGTTCGCCTTGGCGTAGACAGCCGGGGCAATGAGAGGGTCCGCCGTGTCGGAATCTGAGGGGGTGTTGTCGCGCTCTCTATTCGCGCGGCGCGCGGCTTGAGCTGGGGGCGGCGGCGGTGGAGGATACCCAGCCATGGTGGCCTCGTCTTCTTCCAAAGCCTGATCTGACCCTCGCCAGTCGATGCCCATTTCTCCGGGGTCCGGCCTCACATCAACCATCATGACGTCGTCATCGCCCCCGTCGCCACCGTCGCTGGACGGCGGCCCGCCTTCTTCGCGGCCCATGTCTGTGTCGTCTTCGTCGGTAAGCTCACCGTCGTCATCATCATCGTCCTGCTGGCCCGGAATGCCTCGCATCTGCAGCATCTGCAGGACAAAGTGGTGTGCCATGGCGCTCTGCATCTCAGCCTGTCTGAACAGTTTCTCCTCGTCGTAGATGCCGCTCTTTCCAACGACAGCATGCGTTCCAGGACTGCCCTTGCGCCACGGCTTCATCATCTCCTGGCAAACGAGCTGCCGGAGAATGTGGTGGTCGTTGCCGACACTGCATCCAGAAATGTCGCTCAACCAGTCGATGAGCGTGCCGCACATTTGCTCCCGGAAGGTGTCCCGCGAAGAGCGAATCGTCACCGTGACCTTGATCTCCTCCAGCTTCTTCGCCATCTCGAGCAGCCGATCGAGGTCGTCGAGGTGGTTGAGAATGCTCCGTCCCAGAAAGTCCGTCTCGGTGGCGCGTGTCAGGCCGACGGCCTCGGTGGTCCGGCACGCTCTGGCGACCTGCTTCTGCACGTCCTCGACCGTGTGCTTCTCGTCGTTCCACAGCACCAGTGCAAACTCGGTGTTGCCGATGGGCCCCTCTCCGTATGCCTCGGGAGACAGCCTCGACAGGAGCTCGTCTTGCCGTATGGTCTCGGCCGACTTGGCCTGGCGCAGCTGCTCGGGCGAGCAGGAGATGACGTCGCAGATGTAGTCAAAGACGCGGCCAATGGTCATCTGCATGCTCTGCACCAGGTCCTCCGGCAGCCCCACGGGCTGCTTGCCCTTGTCCTCACGGCTCTCGGTGGCCTTCTCGGAGTGGATGGTGCAGAAGAGGGGCCGGCGCCAGGCCTCGTCGTCTCCGCAGTCGCAGCAGCCGCTGTTGCCGACGGAGATGGATATGCGGACCATGTGGCCCTGGTGGTCGGTCGAGTCGAAGCAGCGGCTGCAGAGCACGCACGTCTCGTCGGTGCTGCAGGTGCGGCACGAGTACGAGGCCTCGCCGGGCTTGAAGATGTGGCCGCACCGCTTGCCGCGGGCGGCTTCTGTGTACTCGGCGCCCTCCACGGCGCCCTGGGCATCGCGGAGCTTCATGTCGTGGGAGGGACGGCCCTGGGGGAAGAGGAGGCCCATGTAGCGCTCGCCGCCGGCCAGGGACCAGAAGAGGCTCTCGAGGAGGTCAGTGGGGGCGGACCCTTCATAGCGGTAGTTGTGGCGGGCGGGCAGATCGCGGAGGAATTCGCAGAGCTGTCGCTCTTGTGTGGTTGTGGGGGGTTCCATCATGAGGATGATCGCATGGTCGGTCTAGAGACGAGAAAGGCAAGAGTGTGGAAAGATCCACCAGTCGGAAAACGGGTGGTCGAACTCGTGGTGAACTGCAGCAGCGGTCGGGTATCGTAGGAGTAAGTCGCGAGCTGTAGCTGGGGGGAGGTCTGTTGGTCAGCACTTTGGACTGTCGTGAAGCTGGTGGCGGAAAATGACGAGTCCTCACATAAATCCGGTACTGGGCAGAATACTGATGATCCTTCCTTTGAAAAATTCAATGGCAGAGTGATTCCAGAATGCGCGATGGACCGTCTCACCAGAACTTGCGGGCGAAGGCGTGTCGTGCTTGTGTCAAAAGCTCAAGCACGCTTCTATGCGCTGTGGTGCAGGTGCTGGAGGTGGCGGTCGGAGGTGGGGGGGTTTCCACCGCCGGCCGGTTACATCAGCGGGGGTCAACGCCAGGTCTGACCCGTCATGACGAGGACTGTGGTGCCTCCCAGACAGTTGTACAGGACACGGGCACCATCTTGATTCACTTCACTAGAAATGGCCAAAGATGGCATATGCATCAGGACGGCTAGCATCATGGCGTTTATGCAGAGGCATCTCTGCCTCGCGGGAATCAATCCCCGACAGCGTTTCTCTGGGGCATCCCCTCGATGAACTCAACAAATCAAACCGATAGGACAAACTCAAAAGCAGACAGAGTCAACTCACTCACTCCGACGCCTCCATCATCTCCACGCCCACTTCGTCGCCGAGCCAGGCGCACAAGTTCCTCCCCGCCGTCAAAACCCGCATGGGCTCCATCTCCTCGCCCTTGTCTCCCGCCGCGATCGTCTCCGCCCAATCCAGCAGCTGGCCCATGTTCTCCAGCGCCATCCTCTCCGAACGCAGCACATAGAGCCTGTCCCGCATCGCCTGCTTCCACAACGCCGTCGATATCCGACTGACGTTGGCCAGCAGCGAGCCGGTGGGCCTCTCGCCCGTCGAGCTGCGGCGGCGGCGGTGGCCGTGCTCGCCGTCGCTGTCCTGGCTGGGCGGAACGTAGGGCATCCAGCGGCTGCCACGGGGCGACGACGAGGGGCGCTGCGGGCGTTGTCTGCTGACGCCGCCGCCACCGCGGAGCCGCCAGTTGGCGCGGCGTTCGCTGAGGTAGGATTCCGTGGCGAGGAGGCAGATGGTGTGAACGTCGCTGGCCGGGTTGCTGGAGCTGGCGTTGTCGACGCTGACGATCGTTGTGCTGCAGCTGAGGCGGCCGTCGCGATGGTGGGCTTCACCCGAGGGGAGGACTGTGGCGGCTATGTTCGACGTGATGCTCATAGGCGAAGGGGCTTGGTGAGTCTTGTGAATGTGCTCGTTCATGTTGATGTTCGTCATTTGAGGCCGGTATGGATCATTGTGATGGCCGTGTGGTGGACAGAAGGGTTGCGCGGTAGCGGCAGGTACCTGTTTGAACCCCTCGTATTGGCCTTCGAAGCCCAGCCCGTGGGTTTCTTGGTTCGTTGTTGCTGTCCAGATGGGAAACGGGCTTGATTTGTTGAGTATCTGGCCTGTGGCATATGGGACGCCGATGTTTGTATCTTCGCCCTGACCGTCCAGAACTTGTCCGCGAGGATATTGTCCTAATCTCCAGTTCGGAGAATACCCCTCGAGTGGTGTGTTGGCGGGTGGCGCCGGTGGGAGATGGTCAAAAAAGCTATCATAAACATGGGTGTTCATCATGGGCGTCACGGACGGACGCTCGTAGATGAATTCGCTTGGTGATCTCTGTTGGCTCATGTCGCCGTCGTAAGTCTGCGCACGGTCATTCCGGACATGAAGAGAGGAGAGCTTGATCGGTGTATAAATGCCATCCATATACAATGAACCGGTCATGATCTATGCGACACCGTTTCAGCATATCTAGAAGAAGCATGCACAATCACTGACAACGCATCAGGCAGCTCAGAGAAGCAGTGCATCTTATGGACGTCTGATACTGAATCGGTGTCCCTGAAACATCAAAGGCTTTCATTGCTAACTAGATAGCTAGTCTAGATGGACCAGATGACAATCCTTCCATCGACGCCAGTGGCTGCATGGCAGGTCAGTAATCAATGACATTGTGAAACAAGGAAAGAAGAACTCTTTCAAACAGCACTTACAGCTAATCTTAGTGACGTTGCCACCAGAAGATTCGTAGGCACGAATGGTCGAAATGGTGTTCTGGTGAACCGTCTTGAGCTTGGTGTCGTCCTGGGTCTTGCCCTTGAGATCCATCTGCCTGAACATGTTGAGGGCAGACTCTTCACGCGCCTCGCCAAGGCCAGGACGGCCCTTGGACTCAAGGCTGCCCGCCAGCTGCCAGCCACTCTCGCCTCCCTGGAAGCGAAACGCCTCGCAGTCGTAGCCAGCAGCGATGATCTCGTCCTCGGAACTCCACAGGAGGCTCATGAAGGGAAGAAGCTGGGTCGCGATGTTGAGAACAGCCTTGGGGGGCTGGTCGGCGCCGTTGGGGTAGACAACCGTGATGCTGCTGTCATGGGCGGTGAATGCGAGGGCATCTCCGCTGGGCGAGAAGGCAACAGAGTGAACCCAGCCTGCAGAGTTGTTGAGGTACTCTCCGCAGACAGTGTTGAAGGGAAGCCTCTCGCCCCAAACGCTGGGCTCGGGCCTGGCGTCGTTGCCCTTGATAAAGGCAGAGAAGACACGAGCGTGAGCATCCGCAGATCCGGCAGCGAGGAGCACCGAGTTGGGGTGCCAAGCGACCGAAGTGATGGTGCTGCGGATGGGCTTCTTCAGGTGCTTCGACACCCACCAGTCGTTTTCCTCCTCGAAATAGCAAACGGCAATGAGGCGGTCGCCGGAACCGACGGCGAATTTGGTCTCGTCGGGCGACCAGCGGACGAATGTCGCGGCGCGGCTGATGCGCAGAAGCACAAGAGTCGGCTTGTAGCCGGAGGGAGAGGGCTCCCAGACGAGGGCATTACGATCTAGGAAGCACGTCAGCGTCATGTTGGACCCTGTTGTGTGGGGTGGCCGGGGGTCGCTGACCTTGCGAACAGGTAACGATGCGACCGCTGTTGGGGGCAATGTCAACGCTGGTGACCCTCTTATCGTGGCCCTTCAGCTCATCCTTCAGCTTGAAAGCACTGCCTGCCTTTCCGTAGAGTTCGATAGTCGAGTCGCGGGCGATGGCGAGAGTCGAGCGGTCAGCCGAGAAGGAGTGGTCGGCAATGGGGTTGTGGAAGAGATGGTGGATTTCGGGAGCAGCCATGATGATGAATATCTGTGCGGTAGGAGTAGCTCTCTACTACCACTGCGTATGTTCAGGGAGGGTGAGAAATGGTGGAGGATGAATTCGGACGGTGATGATGCAGGCTGGGTTCGCAGATGGTGTTCAGTGCTGCCAGAACATGGACACCACAAGTCAAGCTTGGTGGGGCTGCGCCGCTGAGGGGTTACGTAGCTCAAGGCGCTAGCCGCACCCTGGGAGTCCAGGTTAGCCTTGAGTTGAGCTGGGGTCGGATGCTGACTTCGATTGGCGCTGCCGGATGGGCATGGGATTTCTCTTCACCGCGAACTTTCGACAGCCTCGGCGCAACACCCAGAAGCAAACGACCACGACGACGCACGGCGTGACAACGCATCAAGAACAATCGCAGTACTTCGACGGACAGATTTCTTCGTGTCTAGAGGACTTGCGCCAGCTCGTCCGCCATCCACCGCCATGGCTGCCGTTGCCCCTCCCCGCGGTCTTCCGCCCAATGCCTCCCTCCCCACCAAGGTGACCCCGATCGCACCCAACCAGACGTATGTTGAAGCTGTCAGATAGGCACAGAAAGGCTCGCTGACACCAGGCAGACTCTACATCACAAACCTCCCTTCAGCAAAAATCCAGAAACCCGACCTACGCACCGAATTGTACCTGCTCTTCTCGACCTATGGTCCTGTTCTCGACATTGTCGCGATGAAGACCATGAAGATGCGCGGCCAGGCGCACATCACCTACCGCGATATTCAGACAGCGACACAAGCCATGAGGTCGCTGGAGGGATTCGAGTTTCTCGGTCGCCCACTCGTACGTTCACTCATACTGAAGTCATCCACTTCCTCGGGGTGGCCCCGTACTGACGTTGTTCCTACACAGAGAATCCAGTACGCCAAGAGCAAGTCGGACTTCATTGCCAGGCTCGACCCTAACTTTGAGCTGCCCAAGACGGGCGCCGCCAAGGTTGAGGTCACATCACTGCAGCAGAGCATCTTCAACGCGCCAGCGCCTGGGACCGCTGCTAAGCCGGCGCCCGCCGCGGACACAACCATGGAGGATGCGCGCTCGGAGGGCGGCCGGGGGCAGAAGAGGACAAGAGACCAGGAGGAAGAGGAGGAGAGCGACGATGACGGCGACGTGGCCATGGAGGAGGACAGCGACTGATTGGTATTCTTGTGCTTGACAAATCGGATGACGAGCGCCACGAAAAGGAGGGTGGCGCCTAGAGAGAAGAAGAAGAAGCGGAAGAAAAGGCTTTACGGAAGCTCTACGGGAAGTCCCACGACGGACGGGCTACCTCAGCCATCTCTTTGGGCACCCAGAGCCCAACACAGCCGCCGACCAACCCGAGCCAAGCCATCAGGTAGTTCTCCTTGGAGCACTCGAACCCGGCCATGGCATCGCCGAGCAGGCAAGGGTGGACGTAGAAGGATGGGACTCCCGTGAGGGGGTGATGCTGCCGGACCTTGTTAGCAGAAATATAGGCATGGCGAAAGATAGTGCCACCAATCGACACAATACAAAGCCTCTTCCTCCGTTGAAAGTGAAACTCACATCGCATGAGATGCCGCCGATGGGTCCTGTGCCGCGTAGGGCGCTCTTGTACTGGTCGGGCACCAGCCTCCTGAAGACCGTATCGATGTCGAATGGGGGCTCGTCCGCCGGCAACCCGTGCAGCGTGAACCAGAGACAAGGCATCTGATATGTGGGGTGAAGGTGAATCTCGTAGACAACATGTCCCGAATCGGGCGGTGCTCGCTTCCTGGGCATGGCGGCCTGTTCGTGATTAGCCACGGGACACGCCTATGCCCCGAGGGACTCGCAGTGATGTACCTCATCCGACTCTTCGGCATCCATCATGGCATGGTCGAGCTCCAGCGCGTGAGACTCTGGTTTCGCCTGGCTGCCAAAGGAGAAGCCGTCCAAGAACAACGACAGATCGTCAGGGTCCAGGGTTGCTTCAAGGGGTCGTATAATTTGGATATAGGTGGTGCAGTCGGCGCCCAGGCCAAATGCTATGTCAAAGGCGCTGAAGACTCTCATCTTCCATCTTCGACGAAGGGCACCTAATGTTGCCTGGACATAACGGTTGTCAAAATGATGGCAGACCTCGGCGAACTCGTCTCTTGTCAAATTGGGAAAGTTCTTGAGGTCGGAGTAAGAGGCCATGGTGCATGCATTTCGGGAACTACCCCGATCTGAATGCTGATTCAAACGTTCGGCTTGTTCTCAGGGATGTGCAGAGTTTCTTGGTTGAGATCAACTGGATATGGAAAGGCATTCATCGTGCATGGTCAGATGGGGTCATGGCCAGCTGGAAGTCCGATTGTCATTGGCTGACTAAATCACGATACCTGAGAGAGGTTGACTTAAGGTCTCATCTCGAAAATGGGCAACAAGATTGTCATTTCGAGAAGCTGATACTGCACTTAGCAAGACCGTGTTTGACATCTTGACATCTCCGACCTCTGCATCTCGTTCGCTAGCCGACATCTCCTGCTGACGTGGAGGAAAGGGAAGGTTTCTATGGTGATGAGGTAGGAAGCATCCACTATGACAGAAAGGATGGGTGCAGGTATCTGAACTTGCCACCACATGCAGCTTGCCCTGAGATCTATGCCTTTGGAAAATACTCATGTTCAAGACCAGCGATGTGATGAACAATCGTCGTCGAAGATGGCCACTCTAGGGAATCCCAGAGCCTGCCTGGTAGTGTGTCGTCAGGGGGGTGCAGCCACTAACACCGCACCTTTTAAGTGTCCTCTTCAAGGGTCCCAGCAAAGGTACATAGGTATACCAGGAGCAGCCCCAGCGCGCTCTTCTATTCGCTGGTTTGCAAGCCCACCAGCTTGGCGATGACCCTGTCTCGTGAGCTCCAGCTTTCAGGCTTCCCTTGACAAACGAAGACCTGTCTCGCATTCTTGTCTTTTCCCCTTCAAGGTCTGCATCAATTGATACACAGACGACGCAAAGCCGACATCGCGAACCTCATACCCGTACATGCTCTCTACAACAACCTGCGCCATGCCACAAACCCCATTCTGAGAACGTCCGAGACCACGTCAAACCACACGACACACCCCCAGGCCACGGCCCACGGCCCACACATCACCAAGGACAGGTAGTGGTGTGGGGACCGCCGTGCTGCTCGCATAAGGCAGAGAGACCAGGAAGGCCACGACATACATTATACCACCGCCTTCCTATTCCCCTTTCGGTCGACGACATCATGTCTTTTACAGTCCCGAAGAATGCTCCGTCCTTCGGCAACCCGCAACGACTGATCGAGGATCACATGTGGTCATCCTCAGGCGTCACGGCCCGCGGTTCGAAAGCACAAGCGTCCGGCATCCTCGACGGCGTTCAGCACCGCGTGGACGATTTCTTGGGTACGCGCGGACAGCTGCCCATGTACAAAGACAAACCATATACCTATGCCGCGTCCAGGCGCCTGCGGCCGGCGTGGCGGAGAAAGAGAACCATACTGCTCCTCATACTGCTGGTGCTGGGCGGCTGCTGGTTCTTTGGCGCCTTCGAGGATGTCGACACGCCGCACATTGACCTGCAGCGGTGGATGTCATCCGAGGCGGCCAAGGAACCGAGTGGCAAGAAGGTAGACTGGGACAAGAGGAGAGCAAGAGTGGTGGAAGCCTTTGAGCTGAGCTGGGATGCGTACGAGCGATACGCTTGGGGTAAGTGACCTCTGTGCGACTGCTGACAACAGTCAACTGACACTCTACGTTTTTCCCAGGCTACGACGAGTACCACCCCGTAGCGAAGACCGGCAAGCACATGGCACCTAAGGGCCTCGGCTGGATCATCATCGACTCGCTCGACACGATGATGCTCATGAACCTCACTTCGCGGCTGACGCATGCCCGCGAGTGGCTGTCCCAGTCGCTGACCTGGGACCAGAACCAAGACGTCAACACATTTGAAACGACGATTCGCATGCTCGGCGGCCTGCTGTCGGCGCACTACATCTCGACCGAGTTCCCGCAGCTGGCACCATTGGCTGACGACGACGAGGGCGCGCCGGGCGAGGACCTATACCTCGAGAAAGCCAAGGACCTGGCAGACCGATTGATCGGAGCATTCGACTCGGAGTCAGGCGTGCCGTACGCAAGTGTCATCCTCAGCAAGGGGGAGGGTGTCAGCTCGCACGCAGACGATGGGGCGTCGTCGACAGCCGAAGTGACGACGCTGCAGCTTGAGTTCAAGTATCTTGCCAAGCTGACGGGAGAGAAGTACTACTGGGACAAGGTCGAGAAGGTGATGCAAGTGGTGGACGACAACGGGGCGCAGGACGGCCTCGTGCCCATCTACATTTATGCGACATCGGGCAAGTTCCGCGGGTCGAATATCCGGCTCGGCTCGAGGGGCGACTCGTACTACGAGTACCTGATCAAGCAGTACCTCCAAACGAACAAACAGGAGCCGGTATACCAGGAGATGTGGGAGGAGTCGCTCGGGGGCGTGCGCAAGCACCTCATCACGTACAGTGAGCCCTCGCGCTTCACTGTACTGGGTGAGCGACCATCAGGGCTCGACGGCAAGCTGTCACCCAAGATGGACCATCTCGTGTGCTTCTACCCTGGCACGATTGCGCTCGCGGCCACAGGCGGCCTCACGGAAGCCGAGGCGCGCAAGCTGTCGACGTGGGGCGCCAAACAGGAGGCAGACATGGCGTTGGCGCGCGAGCTTATGCATACATGCTGGGGCATGTACAAGTGGATGGCCACGGGGCTGGCGGCCGAGATCACGTACTTCAAGGTCAACGACCCGCCGCTGCCAGAGTCGGCCCCACACAGGGCGCCGAAAGAGTTTGACTCGGATCCGGAGGCGACATGGCGGAAGGACTACGACGTGCACAGCAATGACGTGCACAACCTGCAGCGGCCGGAGACGGTAGAGAGCCTGCTGTACATGTGGCGCATCACGGGAGACCCGATATACCGGGAATGGGGATGGGAGATGTTCAAGTCATTCGTCACCCACGCGTCGGTGGAGGAAGGTGGCGGCTTTACGAGCTTGAGCAACGCCAACACGGTGCCCCCGGTGGCCAAGGATAACCTCGAGAGCTTCTGGCTGGTAAGTGGTGCATTTGAGACGATTTTTTGAATGTGTTTCTCCTCTTCCAGAATTTGGCCCAAGTGCTGACACGGTTACAGGCCGAAACATTGAAGTACATGTACCTGCTGTTTTCGCCAAACGATCTGATGCCGCTCGACAAGATTGTCATCAACACGGAGGGACACCCGTTCCCGCGGTTTGACATGGGGCCGCTCTTCTCGACGGGATGGAAACGCAAGCCGCGCGATGACAAGGGCAAGATCATTGTATGAGATGGGAGACGATGAGACGAGGGGCATGACGCCAGGAGACATGTGTATCAGAGTACGATAGGGTGGTGACGACAAATGTTGCAACGGCCGAAAAGTACGTACGAGCATTGACTGCATCAAGTCTGGTATTGCCTGCTGAATACATGCACGCGTGAAGTTTCTCCCGTTTATGGGCCGTTTATGGGGGGAAGGGGGGGGGTTGAAAACCTTTTTTCCTTTTTTAAGATTGGCTGTATCTCCAAAATACCTCGGAAGAATACCGAGACGCATCAGAAGGTTTTGGTGTCGCGTGTCGGCCGGCACATAGGATCTTCGCCGTGTGGCGCCGAACCCAAGGCAAGTGTAACAGTTGAAGAAGTGAGTGGAGAAAAGCGAGCGGGCTCCAACATTCGCGTTCGGGGGATGCAGGTCTGTCAAACCATCGTCCCACCTGGCTCTGCCACTGGCGCAGCCACTGGAAGACACCATGCCCAGTTTGGCATGTCTGTCTGGTGGCGCGAGAGGACCCTGCCAGCTATGGCCTGGCCCCAAAGAGCCCAGTGATTGTGAAGGCAGGACCCTTGGCAAACCGCCAGCCATCCCATCCCACCGCGCGCCCTCATTCGAGGTATACAGTCCAATCTTTTCTCGCCCAAATGTCCTCATCCTGCATGCCATCAGCAAACTTTCTTCTTCATCGTGTGCACTGCAACCCATTTTGCATTATATATTCTTGACTTCCATGTGACACGCGGCCAAGCGGCACTCGCGGCCCTTTCCCGTCCCGACTGGATGGTCCGAGGTAGCAGTCATGACAAAGGTCGAATGTGGCTCGACCCAAGCCGTGCACCGTGCACCCCAGGTGTCAGCCAAAGGGGCCTTCCAAGGTGCCTTCGGTAAGTCGGTGGTGCCCTATGGGCGTTAGGGGACCAGTCAGTGGATGGAGTGCTTGCTGTACGTGGCCGGGCGCTCTCCGCAATCTTGTTTGGTGGGGATGCTGTGCTGTCTTGCTCTTGATACCTGCTGCCGATGCCACCTCGTTCCCATTCTTCAAGCAGCTCTGATAAGCGTTAGGTCAAGAGACCGGCCTCAAAATGGACACATGTTCGGTTGTCTCGTCCTGAGCTAGTAGCTGCGATGCCAGGGGAGAAAGAAGTAGGGACAGTCATGGTGAGGTCGATTAACGCTCGGGACCGATGCAGCTGGCTGCAGATAGCAAGAACGGCACCGCTCGGCTCTTGCGTGCTCCCAACGGCTGCCCTCGTGCTTCACTTCCCGTCCGCTCTTTCCCTAAACAACCCCCCACCCCAGCATCCTTGTCAACGCCAATGCGACAAGTCGCCCGTCTTTCGTCCCTGCCCCAGCCCAGATAAGCATCCGATTGTTCCTTCCTCTTCCCCCATGCCTGTCCACCAACGTCCGCCCATTTCCACCAGATGGTGCCTCCCCCCCCCCCCAGCCCAGCCCCCATGCATCCAGGAACACCGCCGCGTCCTTCTCTCCGTTCCTCTCTGTCGCCTTCGCAAGACTTCATCTCACCGAGTCGCTGACAACAAGACGCCCATCCTCATCCCATCCCTTGCGAAACGCTTCCGGGCGCTCGATCTGGCCTTGTCAGATCCCTCGAGTCGTCACGACCCACCACCAATCATCTCGCCTCAACTCTCGAACATTTGAACCCTCGAATCTCCCTGCTCCCCCTCACGACTCACCACTGGAATGCCGCTGTTCAGATACCCGCCCAACGTGTGATTATTGACCCTCCACATCGAATTCTGCCATAATCATTGCCGGTAGCCTTCATTGCTGCCGCCGCTGCCGCCAGCCTCCCTCTGCGGTTCCCAGGAGACGCTCCGTCCCGTCCCAAGGCGGGCCATTTACGACCCCGCCCACGCCCAAAGCCCTAGGGACTCCCGCCGTCTAGACCATGGCATCGCACCGGGATATAGAGCTCAACACACTCAAGTTCAAAGAGGACTCCTTAGGCCAGGGGAGCAGCTACAGCATGCGCGACTTCAGCCTGCGCGAGCCCGTCTACGACGCCTCCTCCAACCCTTCTCGCTGGAAGCGCTTCGCCGAGAGCTTCCAGCGCGATCCCGACCGCAGCATCCTGCCCAAGCCGTCCAGCGCCACCGGCTTCCTCGACGAGGATGGCGAGGAGCACGAGCTCGACCCTCATTACTATGACCTACGCCAAGCCACTCTGCAGACCGTCAACTCGAACCTCGTGAGGAGTCTCAAGGGCCGTCACCTACAGATGATCGCTATCGGAGGCTCTATCGGTACCGGTCTGTTTGTTGCTTCAGGCCGGGCCCTCGCCAACGGAGGGCCAGCTTCCTTGCTCATCGCCTTTTCTCTCGTCGGCGCCATGCTGTACTGTACGTGTCAGGCTCTCGGCGAGCTGGCCGTGACCTTTCCCGTCGCCGGATCCTTCTCGGCCTACTCGACGCGCTTTATCGACCCCTCTTGGGGCTTCGCCATGGGATGGAACTATGCCTTCCAGTGGCTTATTGTTTTGCCGCTGGAGATTATCGCCGCTTCTATTACCATCAACTATTGGGATGAGTCGGTGACGCGCGCCATCTTTGTCACCATCTTCCTCATCGGTATTATCGGCATCAATATGTTCGGCGTTAAGGGTTATGGCGAGGCCGAGTTCATCTTCTCTCTCATCAAGATCATTGCCGTCATCGGCTTCATCTTGCTCGGCATTGTTCTCAACATTGGTGGCACCCCGGGCGAGGGTTATGTTGGTGGGCGCTACTGGCAAAACCCGGGCGCCTTCAACAACGGCTTTAAGGGCCTATGCTCCGTCTTTGTCACTGCCGCCTTCGCCTTTGCCGGCACTGAGCTGGTCGGTCTCGCGGCTGCTGAGACGGCCAACCCGCGCAAGTCCCTGCCTACCGCTATTAAGCAGGTTTTCTGGCGCATCACGCTATTCTATATTGTCGCCCTCACCCTTGTCGGCCTTCTCGTGCCACACAACGACCACCGTCTAATGGCCGTCGAGTCTCCGATCAACGCTACCGCCTCCCCATTCGTCATCGCCATTGAGGAAGCCAAGATAAGCGTCCTTCCTGATATCATGAACGCCGTCATTCTTATCGCAGTCCTCTCCGTCGGCAACTCGGCCGTGTTCGGTTCCTCCCGTACTCTCGCCGCGCTGGCCGACCAGAACCAGGCTCCCCGCATTTTCTCGTACATTGATCGCAAGGGCCGGCCTCTGATGGCCATCGGTGCCGCCGCCGTTATCGGCCTCCTCTCTTACATCGCGGACATGCCTGAGCAGTCCGATATTCTTGACTGGCTCCTCGCTACTTCAGGACTATCTTCAATCTTCACATGGGCCTCCATTTGCTACTGCCACATCCGCTTCCGCCAAGCCTGGCGCGCCGCCGGCCATCACCCGAGCGAGCTCGCCTGGCGGTCCCAGGTCGGCGTCACCGGCTCTTGGTGCGGCCTCATCATGAACTGTATCGTCCTCGTGGCGCAGTTTTGGGTAGGCGCATGGCCCATCGAGGTCGACGAGCTCGACAGCAGAGGCATAGCAAAGTCCTTCTTCCTGCGCTACCTGGCCGCCCCCGTCGTCGCAGTGTTTTACATCGGCCACAAGCTCTACTACCGAACGACATGGGTCAGACTGTCCGACATGGACGTGGACACGGGACGACGGGATTTCCACCTCAACATCCTGATATCTCAGGAAGAGGAGGAGAAGAAGACATGGCCAAGATGGAAGAAGGTGTACAAGTTCCTGTGTTAGCCGCCGTTCTGGAGAGGAACAAGCATGATGTGTGAGGGTCGGTAGTGGTTACGGGTAGCCTGGCGTTCGGTGCTTTTTTCGGATTCCCATGGGGTAATGATTTGAATACGTGTTCCCAGGGCGCGGGAGGGAAGGCAAGGATCCTGGTGTCCTCGTCCTCCTCGTCTAGCTGCAACACGATATGATGAGACGGTCATGGATTGAAGGGCCGGCAATTTTAGGATATGAGATAACTATGATTGGTTCGCATTGCCAGATATAACGCTGGCACTAGCGCGCCTTTGTTTTTTGTTTTTTTTTCACAAGAGGCAGGATATACCTTGTTCTTACTTTTGAACCCTAAGTCGGGTGAATGTTAGTAATATCGTCGTAGTGGAAGTGACTGAACATTCCGAAAACCCGTGCTGACGCAGGCATTTTCATCACCAAATCTCCTTTTAGTAACAGCTGATTGAAGGAAACTCTGCAAGTGGATACGTCTTTTGTTTTTACTTCGTAGGCTATCAACGGACGTAATACAGGTAGACAACTTGTAGTAAAAATACGCCCTCAAGACCATTCGTCTCACGGGAGAGGTGGGAGGGCGGCCTCCCCGGTTATCCAGCACGAACCGCCCCCCTCTCTCCTACCCCCACCCCAGATGGCGATGCAACAAAACAAATTCAGGAGGAAAAACAAAGGGGGTAAAGAGGCGAATCTGCGCCGCATGGAGACAAGAATCGAAAGCGAAGAAGCTCATGATTCATAAGCCGCGTGTCCGTGGCATCGTCAAGTGACAAATTGGTGGAAAGAACAGAGAGATTAAATAGAGTGCGGACAAGTCAGACTGCTGTTGCCGCCGGTGCTGCAAGAGTCACTTAAAAGTCCCAGTTGAAGCTTGAGTTCTTCTGTGCTCCCGACGTGCCCTGCTTCTTGCCATTGTTGGCCTTTGGCGTCGGTTCCGAATCTTCGCCGTAGAGCCAGTCTCGGTTGGTGCCCTTGCGGCCACCCATGCCGTCGCCGGCAATGTGAATGCCTCCCGCGTTCTCCTTCTTGGCCTCCTCGGCAGGCTTGTGCACCTTGCTAGGAGCAGGAGACTTGTCCTCAATGGCGAAGTGAGGGTCAAAGTCCTTGTGGCGGTCCGACAGGTTCGTGATGTTACCCAGCGCTCGGTTGGGAGCAGGTGTAGGTGCTGATCCGTCTTCATTGTACAGGTTGTTCTCATACAGATGGGAGCCTTCGTTCTGGCCTGCACCGCGGGGCCGGCTAGAGACGCGACTTCCAGGCTGGGGAAGCCCATCGTCAAGGTATTCGAAATGGGCCTCGGCATCGCGGCGAGGCTTGGGTGGTGCGTGGTGCACAGGGGTCTCCTGGATACCAGAGTCCTTGTCCGCGTCCCAGTGGCGGACATCCTGGTGGCGGAACGCCTTCGAAGGCTGGGGCTTGTGGGGGGTGGTGAAGTCTTCGAAGGACCAATTTGCGCCGTTCTTGGCAGGCTTGGGCTTGTGCGCGTCGCGAGCAGCGACCGCGGCGGCAGCATCCTGAGGATCAGAGCCATCGGCGAAATCGAAGTGGTCGTACTTGGTGGGATGAGGACGGTAGGCCTTGCTGGGGCTCATGGTGGCCTCGGGCGATTCGGGCTCCAGTGGCGCATTGGGGTCAGCGTCGAAGAGTCGCTGGGGCTGGAAGTTCTTGCCGGCGCCAATCTTGGGCGCTCGCTCGCGCCCGGTGCTGGGTGAGCTAGGGTCTTCCGCAGGCGCATCCGTCAGGATGTCAGTGAATGACCTCTGGTGAGGGCGGGTGCCTGCGTATGGTGACACGACGGACTGGCCGTTGGTCTCGTCAGCCGCCTGCTGCTCGCGAGAGGCAAATAAAGACAGGGACGCGTGCGGGTCCCTCAGGATGTTCTGGGATGCTCCGCGGGAACGAATCGTGATTTCGTTCGTGTCGGGTGCGCTCGCGATTCTGCCGGAGGCCTTGAGGGCAGTCGTGATCAACTTGGTTTGTTCCTTGCCATCGCGAATAGGCCAGTTGCGTCCGGACTTGCCAATGATTTCGAGCTGCTTCAGAAGCGAGCCCTGATCCCAGGTCAAGCGGATCTGTGTGATCTTGCCTTCGGCATCGAAAGTCACGAAGTGAGTCTGGGCAACCAGAGGTCAGTACACCATGTGGGTAACCGAGTTCGCGAGCTCTTTGCTGGCCAAACATACAATAGTGAAGTAGACCTTCTGGTCAGCCAGGAAGTTGTCGTCGAGACCAGGCAGGTAGGCACCACCGCTCGTCACGAATTCAAGGGCCGTCTCAATCTCGGCTGCTAGCGCATCACGACCCTCCACCACGTCGAGTATGTCCTCCTGGTGCTTCTTCAGCTGATTCCGCTGGGTGCTGAGGTGCTTGATGATGTCGGTAGGGCCGTTGAAAGTCGAAGTGGTGGTGATGTAATGGAGAGTCGCGTTCGCGGCAAGCAGCGCCGAGTTGGGGGAGGCGAGAAACTGCCGGTACGCCGCCGTGGCAGACATGGCGAACGGAAGCGAGATGGAACGTGGAGAAGCGAGGTTAATGTTCAGTGTCTCGGAAACTTGTATCGGCGTCTGATCGTGTGGGGTAGTTGTCGGTGGGTAAAGTGGTAGAAGATGGCTTGCAAGTATGGGAGGGAGCTAGAAGAAGCTGGTGACGATGAACTGAAGACCGATGTTGATCAAGGTAGGCAGAACAACAAGGGGGGGAAGTGGGAAAAACAAGACAAGAGACAACACGTGTGACTGGCTATGCTTGACCTGGAGGAGGGCCAGAAGGGAGAGGGGGAAGCTACCGTGTGAGGGTGGATGGAGGAAGGAAAATTGAAGGGATTGCCCCTGTTTCTGTTGTTGGTCGTGGAGGGGGATGCAAGGGGGGCAAGGGGAAGCCCGAACGCGACTCTGGAAGGTGCCGCAGCGTGGTGCCTGCCAGGCGTTCTGGCGCCGTGGCCACCCCTGTGGCGCGCATTGGGTTCAGGGGACTGGAGGCCACTAAACAGGTACTGTCGTCCATGCATAATATTGCCCTAAATTACAAGTCCCCGTTAGCATCACCTAGGAATCCCTTCGTCGAATCTAGAGCCGGGCTGTCGGACAGCGGGGGCAGGTGGTGAGTAGGATGCGCCGCCATGAAGATGGCGCATGCTCGGCTCCCGCAGTTGGGATGGCAGGTCAAGGGTCAGGACAACGTGCCAGTTGGCGAAAGACATGGCATTGTTTGTTTGACCCAATCGAAAATGACACAACCTCCATCTGTCCTCCCCGGGCATGCCTAACTCGTTCAATATGCCGTCCATCATCATCATCAAGATAGCCATAACTTGTCAGTGGAAACGCAACTTGTCCACAATGATAATAAACAAAGCGAGAATCACGACGCGAACCCAAAGAAAGGGCTGGCAGGGATGTCGCGTTTCGGGCTGTACTGTGTTTCACATGGGCCGCCATATCATAAACGGCTTAGCGTGGGCACCCCTACCTATTTGGGTTACACGCAGAACGGCACGGAGAGGCTCCTCCTCCACGACTCCGCGATGCACGCCGAGCTTGTGGACAACGTCATCGGGGGGCGGATCTCAAGCCATGGCGGATGAAAATGGCCGTTATTACTCAAGCTCTCACTCTACCTGATAATGTCTCAACTCGGCTCTTATCCGTTGACGATGACGCCGCCGTTGCAATGAATAACCTGTCCGCTTAGGGCAGAGCTATCCGTCGAAGCCAGGAACACGACGCACGTTGCAATCTCTGATGGCTGCGCCGGACGTCCCATGGGGCTTGTGAAGTTCTTCTGCGCCTTCTCATTCATTGTCGCTGGTATGAGCGGCGTCCACACTGGGCCTGGTGCGACAGCATTCACGCGGATGCCCTTGTCGACGTACTGGTTGCTCAAACCTCGAGTAAACGACACGATGGCGCCCTTGGTCGACGTATAGTCAAGCAGGTCCGGTCGTCCAATGTAGGCGTTGATGCTCGCATTGTTGATAATGGTCGCGCCCGGCTCCATGTGGGGCAGGGCATACTTGGACAGGAAAAAGAACGGGTGAATATTGGTGTTGAAGGTATGCAGCCACTGATCCTCGGATAGGTCTTTGATGTTCTCTACCATCATCTGGTAGGCGGCGTTGTTGAAGAGAATATCAATGCCTCCGAGCTTCTCCAGTGCTTCATCGACGACTTTCTTGCAGTTGGCCTTGTCGGTGACGTCGGTAGCCAGCAGATAGCACTTGCGGCCGTAGTCCTCGACGCGTTTCTTGGTTTCTTGGGCATCGTCCTCTTCGTTGGGCAGATAGGCGATCAGCGTGTCAGCACCCTCCATGGCGAAGAGGATCGCAGAAGCGCGGCCAATGCCGGAATCACCGCCGGTGATGATAGCCTTCTTGTCTTTGAGTTTCCCAGCAGCCTGGTAAAGTTTCTCGCCGCCGTCGGCTGTAGGGATCTTGTCGAACTTAGGTGTTGGGTGAGGCATGTCGCCTTCCTTGCCTGGAAAGCTCTGGTCGGTCACGGGGACCTCATGGCCTTGCAGGTCGTGTTAGAATCGCCAAGGTAGCTATTATGGTGAGATGGTGTATGGCGTACCAGGTTTAAATTGCTCGGACATTTTGAACGGGTTGTGCTTGCTTAGGGTGCTTGAAAATTCCTGTTCCTCTGAAGATACGTGCAAGAAAGTCAATATCTCAAGTTCTTCAACGCCTGTAGTCTTATGTTTTCATCGGTCCCAATGAATATAGTTGTGGTGTTTCGTCATAGGTGCCTCACCAGAAGGCTTGGGCGGTGTAGCGGGTCCAGGCAACATGGTCGTCATTGACCGGTAATGCCCTACTTCTCCAACCAGGTCAACCACAAGGAGAGGTTGAGACACCGTTGATTCAAAGTGGTGTTAACCGTGCAGTGCTTGATATGAGCCGCCAAGTATGCAAAGGATACATATTCGCAACAATGCGTAGAACCACTTATCACCTGCTGGCCAAAATGACCCCGCAAGCCCTGAGCCCGAACTCGGTGGCCACTAATTTTCTAGTTTCCATAATCACAGTGATTCGACTTATTGACAGCTTGCTTGTCGACACGTGCGGCGGGATAACCACGCATTGTGGCGAGAAACAACGTGGTGCGAGATGGGACGCGGTTGCAGGACGCGGTTGGTCAAGGTGGAAATTGAGCTAACAGCGACGAGCTCTCTATCATCGATTACCACTTAGATACCTAGCCTTGAGTGGCAGAAAACTGCCTTCCAGTCTCATGAAGGTTTCGGTAGCAGTGAATTGCATGCGCGAAACACCTCTACAGGATCGTTTGGTCCTCTCTGACGTCACGTCGAAGCCACGTGCGTGCTACATCAAGTGCTTGTTTTCGCCGAACATTATGTCAACCCCAAGCTTAGCCGATAATGCAGTCATGACTCTCCGAAATGAGGCAGTAGAATTTGGACCCCGAAAAGTCCTCTGACAGAGCACTTTCTGGTATGCGGGAAAGTGTAGAATGGATTTTCCGAAGGGGGGACGGGGGACGGGGGACATCACGAAAATACATCATCCCTTTGAACCCGAAATTGATATCAGGTACAAAAAATACGTACTGGAAGGACCCAACTAACATGGCAGAAATGAGCTTGACAGCTAATCAAATCATGCACCTAGCCCACAGTACATTCACAATAAGCTATAGTACTATAGCCCACCTAATGACATCAGGTGTACTGGGTTTATAGCGAGGATCTCAGATGGATTACGTTAGAATGAGGTAGGACTCTAGGTAGTGAGCAAGGTTAACAAATGTAGCAGCGCTAAACCTGATTATGAAGGCGGTATACGGCTTGTGGGGCGCTTGCTTGTACTGAGATCAAGTTCGGGTTCAAAGGGATAAGAGAAAGTACCTTTAGAGGAAACATGACAGCTCCGACCATAATTGACCAGAGTGCTGTAAACGGCCGGGCATATGTCCTAGAAAGACAAAGCTTGCGAGGGACGGGGGGGCTCCGATGCACGATGAGCCACTGACAGATTGGGAAAATGGAACAGAAAAAGAAATATACAGGGTCCAGCAACCAGGTCGAGATGGATGAATAGGAGGGCCGGATCGATATAGCCGCAGGATCGGAGTACTCATGCCTACCTACCAGGTAGCGGGCAACTCGTGAGGACGCAGAGTATGCTGCATTAGAGAAGAAAGCGGCCAAATGAGGAGGCTTCATGGTTCGGCCAGTCCACATGGTCCAGTTAGATCAAGCAAGGCACCTGCTGGGGAAGGACGCACCGCAAGGTACCTACCTTACCTCGGCAGGTGAGTAGGTACCTAGGTGGGGAAAATGTGCAGCGGAATACAAGGCGCAGCCAGTCGAGGCAGGCAATGCAAGAGCTAAGCTTGGACCGCTTTGTGATGGCTCACCGGGAGGCAAGACCATATACCTGCCAGGCAGGACGTGGCAGGTTTGACAGGTTCAAGGCCATATCGCACCGACAGTCATTGCCCCGATTTGCCGGCCCGGGTTGATGGGGCCTTCCGCGAATCGGGAGCAGGGTGGGTTCGGGGGAGGCAAGAGGCAGGAGGCAGGAAGAGGGAGGTTTGGCTGTCGTCGATTGGCGAAACAACCCCTGCTGGCGGCACTGCTTGTATCCAGACACCACGTTGCTTCCTTTTTCTCCAGCTCCTCCAAACTCCTGGTGTGCAGTCCCTCATCTCCCCCGATGATCATGGAGACTGAGAGGCGCCGCGAGTTCCAGGCCATGTCCATACCAAGAACCCCGCCATGAGCCTTTGTATCTCTACAGCCACCCGACGTCGTCCGTCCCGTCCGACCCACCCCACGTCGGTAAGATCTGGCGACATCTTGTCACGTCTCGACATCGCCGCGCCACAGCGCCAACAATACCACCCACACTTCCAGGCCACGGCACTTCAGAGATCGAGAACAGCTTGTGACGCCTAGCTTGTAGCATTGGCCAGCATTGGCTATTGGACGGCCTCGCCCTCGGACTCGTCTGATCTATCATCGGTTTGAGCACCGCGAAGACCGGTCTCAGGGCTACCAGAACTCTCTGTCGGCATGGGAACAAGATTACCCACCTTCAACGGCAGGAGTCGCAAACATGTGGTTTTTCCCATCAAGGTTTTTGTCAGAGGATCGAAGCAGCAGCGGGTGCGCCCACTTGGTCACGATGAGACGATGTTCAGGGTTACCGCCACGGAACAGGGATCTGGCGCAAAGCCGCTCGCAATCGTGGGCATCGCCATACTGCCAGAAGCCAGCTCCTGTGCTCCCCTCATCCGTAAGGCTTCGGTAAGGGGAGGCCAGAGGAGCTTGAGCAGCTTCATTTGTTCTTACCTACATCATCAGCGCCGCTCTGTACCCCCACATACTCTTACGACGCGAAACATGGCCACCGTACATACTGTACTACACGATGCGACACACCATAAAACTGAAATCGATATGTGATGACTTTCGCAGCTCTCCCCCTCTCTACATCTCCACTTATGCGCTGCCGGATCGAAGCCGTGCTCCCCTGGATGGTCGAGATCTTGAGATCAGCCATGGTGCTGGGTCCGTGCATCATAGATGTCCTCCGCCCCTTCTCCGCCCTTCTCGCTTGACACGATACAGCCTCCATAGGTGAGATGCAGGCGACGACCGTTGGTGACGATGGGGGTGGAACGCTTGCGCACCTCCTGCCTCCCCGTCTTCCCTTCCCGCACACCATGGCCTCGATGGTATGACAAGTCAGATGCGCTAGGACATAGATGTGTGACGACCCTTGATCCCGTGGCTGACTTCCTCATCCCGGCACGCGACGTTATTCCCGCACGGTTCACTCCATTCACTGACATCTTGCTTCTCCTGGCTTTGCCCGCAAAATGTGACCCCGGCACTCCCTTCACGGAAGCTGATGGACGTTACTCAGTGACAAATCTTCGCCATATCTCCCTGCCGTAACAGATGATGGCTGGTTCTGGTCTGATGTCTGCCACATTGGTGCGTGCTCTGCGCGAGAAACTATGTGTGAACCCTTCCATCCCCTGCGTTCGTCCCCTGGTTAGACGTGTTTCCCGCCACTCGTCCGCACTCTCAAACCTATAAATGCTCCATGCCCTCTTAGGTTACGGGTACGCACACGCCTCGGTCACAGCCAACGCTGTTGGGGGTTATCAGACGCCATAGTACACCCGCGTTGCCCACCATGGAAGACTACTCAAACATCAAGTCAAGGGGAGTACAGATGTTCTACATCCAGCTCGTATTCCTGATAGTTGCAGGCCTCTTCGTCCTGCTCAGGGTCTATGTCAGGACTGTGTTGGTCAAGAAAGTAACTCTGGATGACTGGCTTATTTTCCTTGCTATGGTCAGACTTCTTAGTTCTCCCATTGTGGCATGAGCTAACTCAGTCAGCTCATATACCTTGTGTATGGTGCTGTTGCTCTCGATGGCATTCGAAACGGCGCCACTGGAAAGTCCCTCGCCGAGCTCGAGATAGACGATGCAGCTGTCTCACTGCGGGCTTGGTACATCTGCGAAGTTCTCTATGCTCCCACGACCTTGGCCATTCGCGCGTCAGTCTGTGTCTTGCTCCTCCGTCTCGCCTCGAACAAGATTCACCGTTGGATCATCTGGATCAATCTTGCCGTCGTTAGCGTCGTCTCCATCGCCTTCTTCTTCCTACTGGTCTTCCAGTGTAGCCCCGTACATTTCTTCTGGCGCCAGCTATATGGAATTCAGGGCACCTGCATCGATCATAACATCGTGCCATACGCAACCATTGCTCACAGTGTCATCTCGGCTTTGTCTGACTGGTGCCTGGGACTGCTACCTATTGCGTTGCTTTGGAACGTAGATATCAACAGAAGAACGAAGGTCATCATTGCGATTCTCCTGAGCATGGGCATGGTGTAAGTCTTTGTCGCTTGCTTTGACGCCGGGTGCTAACAAGACGAAGTGCTGGAATTGCCCTCATTGTCCGCATTCCTTTTGTACGCCACTTGGACATTTCCATGGAGTTTCTATATGCGACAATGTAAGTCCCCTGACCAAGCTCCCGACACCACAATATGCTGAGACACAACATCAGTGACGTAGCCATTTGGTCCATCATGGAACCTGCCCTTGGCATCATCGCAGCTTGTACAGCTACCTTCCGTCCTCTTTTCAAGAATTGGGGTTTTGGATGGACAAGTAAGCGAGACCCTCGCGACGACAATATCCACAGCCGTGACCAGAAGGGCACGGAGCTTTCGTCGACCACTCACACGGTATCCAAGCACCTGAGCCAGCTTGGACCCAGCGGCGAGTCACAGATGGAGCTCAATGTTGTCTCAATACCCAGCTCGCCGCGGGATATCGAGAGTGGGCAAATCCGTGTTAGGTCTCCATCACCGACATACCGAGCGTACAGTCCTGATGGGCCGAGGGACAGTGGAGAGGGGCATCCTGATATGCCGGCACCACCGGCAGCGCGGAGGTAGCTTGCCCCCGCCAGTCATTCAGAGCAAGCGTGACGAGATTTGGAGGCGTTCCAGTAAACGTTCCGGTATGAAATTCATGATGAGAGCAGAGATAGACTTAGAGGGAATGCAAATCATGACTTGTTAATGACTCCTCTGCTGAAGTTACTAGAGATGGTCTCCAGCGAGTAGGAGCTGCAAACAGTAATACTGCTGCCACCTGACGATCTATATAGCATTTACAGAAAAGGCCGCACCGCCCCCGAACCTTGCCAGATTCAAGGGCACATCGAGTGCTGCATCAAACATCATCTAAATCCATGTCCGTCCACATCATGGCACATCGCGAGGCGTGTAGCATCACGCTTGATACTTGACTCCAAAAAAAAGAAAGAAAGCAGAACAATAGGTAGATACCCAACTCGATTGTGCGATTATTCTCGAACATGTTAGTGGTCGCCGCGTTTATCCAGATAACACAGGAGCTCGGTGACTCCCTCCGCTATTTTCAACCCGGCTCCGAACTAGGAAGCCAGCATATCCTAAACATCTTTTCAGCCAAGACTGGTTGCTATTGAATGCGGCGACTTGTGTTCAAGCATCCAACGCTTAGCTGCTAGATGCTTAGCTGCTTCAACTCGCAGATGACCGTGCAAGTGGCGGGCTGAGGTATCGGACGTGGACAAAACGGCCCGGAGTGTGAACGGAGACTTCGAAAGCCAGATTACAGGCTTCAAAACTGTCTGGAACTACTGCTGAGCAGACTGATATGATGCTGCCAAGTCTGGACTTCAATGTACCGTACGCCATGAGCCGACCCTATGCCTCCCCAACAAGCCATGTATGTCACGATGAAGATATGCCAGGTAGGTCACACGTCGAGGGCGTAGCGCGCACAGCAGCAGAAGCATCATCACAATTATCACAACAGAACATTGCCTGGCATTGCTCAACTTCGGCAACCACTGACTGCAGCAAGACCGCCGTCTCGTCGTATTGGTACACAAGGGGACAGCTCCCAGGCCACCTCCAGCCGTCGCTGTGCAGCCGTCAGCGCCCAGGCCGGTGTCGACGCCCTCTTCAAGATGCCTACAAAGCTCCGAAAAAGAAAATACAAAGCAACATGCCAGAAAACGCCAGGAGAGAGAAATATGTGTGACGTCTCCTCTATTGTCTGCTCGACCATCCTCCCATCCATCTCGATGATCGAATCCCCCCACCAGCCAGCCTTGGTATCGTATCGCAGGTCGCATTCGAATCGCCGCCGCCGCCGTCTCCTCACAGCGCAATCGCCCCCCTGCGGCTCTCTCGCATGTGCAGAACGCCCTGCATGCCGCAGAAGACCAGGAAGCCCTGCGTCGACACATTAGCACCAGTCATAAACTGAGACCTTTCAGGTCAGAGAGGAGAAGCGAGGAGAACTTACCGCGTAGATGATCACAGCAACGAAGAGGGTGCTCGCGACAACGGGGCCGTTCTTGGGGTCCTCAATACCGCCGACCAGCTCGTGGTTGTTCGCCCTGAAGAGCAGCCCCAAGACGCCGAGAATGAGGATCGCGAATACGGAGATCACCGTGCTGCAGTGAGCATACGCACGTTAGCCTGCTGTTGATGGTGCCGCCGGACTTGTCGACATGTCCGGAGCTACAGATCGCGAGGACAAGAGAGGGATACATACCACGACCACGCCTGCATAGCACTCACGACAGGCTTCATGATTGCGAAGTCTGGGTTGTCTGGGGCCTGCGAATTGGTTTCTGTTTCTGGATGCTGTTGCAATGCCGGTCAATCGTGGATTTCAGGCTGTTGATGCAGAGCTGCCTAGAGGGTACGGGTGTGTCGTCAGTGGAGGTTCGCATAGGTGAGGCTGGAGCTAGGAAACGGGCTGTACTGTGGCTTAATCTGCACCGCCACAAACAGGAATCGCGTGTCACGTGATGGTCTCAATCTCCTCGACAAAAGCCCACATCACTACTCCGCAAAATTCAAGTCATCAAAGCAAGAGACACAAAACTTGTAAGAGTGTATTCATAATGATTCTATGTAAGCGTACTTTGTCCAGTCCATGCGCCCGCAGTCATCTAGCCCCTGGCTTCTTGGCAAAACAGTTGGGAGCTGGCCCCTTAAATCACACATCAAACACTGAATAGAGCAATGAGCCCAACCATCGTGGAGATCAGGATTGCAGAGACACAAGCTTTGTTGCCCAGGTTTTGATCGGCCTTGCTTTCTTTGCACTCCTCTGAATCGTTGTTGCATGCCCTGCACCACTCCTTTCGGCTCACGATCGCGGTCGGCTCGTATTCAGCTGAGAACTTCTTGTAGCGCAAGCCTTTGCCATCGGGCCCGAGAAAATGTTCCTTGAAGCCATCTAGCTTCGAATGAGTGTAGAAATGAACGAAGACGTCTTCGTGATTTCCGACAGCGGGGTCCTCAGCCTCCTAGATGAGTTCGAAAACCACAGAGGTGGCACGCGTGATGATCTTCTCAGCCTCTGGAGAAGAAGTGTCGAGGCGAGCGAGATGGAAAAACGACGGAATGGCATTGAATGGTCCAATCGATATTGTGAGCTGCGGCTTCTCGTAATCGGCCTTGATGACACCATCAAAGGCCTTGATGACTTGGCCCGCAAGCACTCTGCCAGCAACTGAACAGGCCTCCTTGACACCTTTGCCTTTTGGGGTGCACTCGGCCCAACTGACTCCCTTCTCGGGCCCTGCTTTGTGCGTCAATCCATCTGACTCTTTTGAATGTTTAACCCTCGTGGGGTTGACACTATGATGGACGACGACGTCTGCCAGAATGTTCTTCACTGAAAACTCTTCAAGGTCTCTGTGAGGAGAAGTGGGAGGGACTCGTCGCGTGGTGCAGAAGGTTTGGCTCTCGCGGTGGCTATCGGGAATCAGACCATGGGCGAGGCCGATGCAAGCGTGCCGGACAGCATGAATGTTCTTGTCGGGGAGGATAACTGTGGCTTGTCCCTTGACTATTTCATCAACCTCCCAGTTGCTGAGCCAGGTGGCTTCACTGTCAAAGTACCTGCTGAAGAATGCTTGGCCAGAGTGTGAGCTGCTTGTGTTTTCGTACCACTCCTCGGGCATCTGGAAATCGTGTTTGGTGTCACATTCTTCCTCTTGACGATGGTAAATGACAACACTGCGGGTAAAATTTGCAGCGTGGATGAGCGGCAACGTGAACAGCACGAGGGCAACGTTCGTCAGCATATTTGCAGCTGAGAAGTGGACAATGTGGCCGTGGGATGGGACGTGAGTACGAAGGGCAGGGATGAGGGTCGTGTTGAGATAAAAAGTAATGGGTCAAAGAAGATGTGCTAGATAAACCTGGGATTCCTGAGCCGATACTGAACCAGCTTTGCGAGAAATCGGAGGATGTGGCAGGTGTATGGTTGACGACCGTTGTCTTTCCGGGATGGTAGCGTAAAGAAAGGTGGTGCAGTGGCAATTTGTGGTGACTATAAGAGAATGTGGCAGCTGAAAGACAATGAGTGATAAACCAAAGTCGGTTCGAGGAGCTTGCTAGTAATGGGGGACAAGGCGATGAAGATGGGAGATGTGGAAGAAGAGATGTAGAAGAAGAGAGGTGTAAAAAGAAGAGGGCCAACGCCAAAAGTTTGTTCAAGGGGAGTAGGGGATTCTCGGCCCATCATGCCAGGGAAGCAACCCCATTGTGTGGCTCTTGAAAAGAACTAGCCGGGGCCTCCAGCGAAGGGAAGGAGGATGGGAGGCCTTAGATCTCTGGCCCGAAGTGAAAAGGAGGGAGCGGCCCTGCCGGTACCTTCCACCGCGGGGTTCGAGGAGCAAATGCGTCTGGGCACATGGCAAGCTTGCATCAGCGTATGAGGGCCACATCCAGCGAAATTCCGTAACCAAAGGCGACCACTGTGTTGATAAAAGTCTATACCTACGCAGTACTCTGCTCAAAGCTTGGCCTCCCCCTTACGCCCGCTCTTGACATTATTGGAGAAAGAACCTGACAGAATGAAGTCAGGGTACTTCACATGGTCGTCGAGGCCGACTGCCGTGCTTCCAGACCGCCTCCATGCACCACCGTCGACGGGGATGACCTGACCATTAACGAGACTTCCTGCGTCACTGAACAAGTAGACGGTCGAATCAGCAATATCCCTGACCAGACCCCATCTACCGAGGGGAATGGCAGCCTCCGCAGCCTTCATGTCGACTGAGCTACTCGACAGTCGCTGCATCCCTTCCGTATCCTTGATCGGGCCAGGAGCCACCACGTTGCTTGTGATGCCGTAGGGACCGTATTCAAGCGCCACCGAGGCCATGAGCGAATCGACAGCAGCTTTCGCCGCAGACACGTGGGCCTGGAGAGGCATGCCGGTGTAGTGGAACGTCGCCGACACGAACATGATCCTTCCGCCGGTCAAGCCATTCGTGCTCGGGTTGGGGTTCCTCTTGGCTGACTCGACCAGATACGGCACGGTGGCCTTGATCGTGTTGAAGGTGCCCAGGACATCAATATCCATGACTGCTTTGAAAGCGTTGGAGCTCATGCCAGAGATGGGAGCAACGAAGTTTCCCGCGGCTCCAGCACTATGTCGCGATAATCAGCATCGTGACCCGGGCAAACAGGTCCGAGGAAACTTACATGACGAAATCAATGGCACCCAGCTCCTTGACACAGCGATCGGCTGCATCTTGCAAGCTCTTGGGCTGCATGGGCTTCGTAAGCAAAACGTCTTCACTTGAACTGCACAGCGATTGAGGGCACGTACGCTCCTGACATCGCATGCGCCGATGCCAATGACCTTTGCACCTGAACGGGCAGTCGCGATGTCCTTGGCGACAGTTTCCGTCTTCTCCACGTTCCTGCCGATAATGCAGGCGTTCGCGCCCAGGCGGACAAGAGCTCTCGTCTGAGCACTGCAAATGGTGCCTGCTCCGCCAGTGACAAACACAACGCGATCCTCTGAGAAGGTGTCAGCTGGGCAAGCTCATGCAAGTGGTGAGCGGTCACAAGGGAAGGGGCTCACTGAAGATGCCGTCCTTCCAGACGGAGCTCACGTATTCAGACTCGGGAATAGGCATTTTGGGAAGGATGACTGTATGCAAGAGAAGGAAGGATAGAAGCGATGAACAGTTTGTCAGATCCGCGATCTTGATGTATGCTACGTAAAGGAAGTGGAAATGATGATGAAGTGTACAACGACCGTACTCCGAGGATACGAATGAAGCTCGACTAATCAGTGTCACCCGGGCCTTGCTGAGAGTTTGCCAAGGATCGAACCTCGGCAAGTCATCACCACCATCGTGAGCTTGGACTAAGAGTGGGCCCAAAGTCTGGGGAACTTACCTGTACTCGCCTAACGTGTGAGGCAGCGCGGGCATCAGCTGGGTGTTTGGAGTGATTAGGTAAGGTAGTTTGGCTCGCATCAGTCTACGGTTGGCCTGTGAATCCTTCCCCACATGACCCCAATACTACTGGAGCTTGGAGGCGCCTACCTCCACAGCGCTCCGTTTCCAGCGACAGGCGCTATCCTCCGACGGCCACCAGCGCCTGCCCAACAGCATTCGACCAGTGACCAGCCCCTCATTACCACCTGCCACGCCGCACCACGACCTTAGTCGTCAGTCATCAGGCACACCCCCCCCCGGCTCCAACCACCCGTAGGGAGGTACCCCAGCTCTTCGTACGTCGAACGACAGGCGGTCATCAGCTCTGTCCCATTCCCTCCCACTTTCGCCCTTCAACCTCCATCGGTCCCCGACTCCTTCAGCATCACCTAACCACCTGAGCCATGGCTTCCAGAAGAGTTTCGGCCCTGAAGTTCGTGGGCACTGTCTCACTAGGTCTCCTGACGGTACGTCTTGCTTTTTCTCCGCCCTGCACTCTGTTCACGCCGGGTTCCGCGAGCGGCCGGGTGGGTAGTGACGCCACCACCGCCTGTTGGACTCCCCGCACCGCACCGCACTCTCGTCCGCAACTCGGGAGGACATCTCCCTGTCGCAGTCAACGACCACTAACGCGAACACTCTCTAGGGCCTCTCCTACTCTCTCTCCGCCGTCACGGTGCCCTCGATTCTCGCCCTCCCCTCCGCTTCTGACGCCGTCCGCGCCTTCGAGAACCTCACCTCTTCCTCGACCCTCCAGCTTCGCGCTTTGACCGGCCTTTCGACCGCCTCCTTCCTCCTCGCCTTCTTCCTCTCCCCACGCGCCTTCCGCCACCCCTACCTTGTCTACGCCTCCGCCTTCGCCCTGACTTCCAGCCTCGCCGAGCAGATTGCCTCACGCTCTCTCGCCGCCGACTCGTCCTCCCACGAGGCCGCCCATGCCAACCTCGCCGCCCGTCGCGAGAGGCGCGCCGCCCGCAACGCCGCCCGGACGGCACGCATGGAGGCCAGCTATGAGGTCGTCGGCGACTCGCACAGCGACGGCACCGGCAGTGTCAGCGGCGCAGAGGACCTCGATGCCGAGGAGGAGGCGCTCAACGGGGAGCAGGTGCGCGGCGAGGTCGAGGCGTTTGGAAAGACGCAGCTGGTGCAGGCCGGTGTCGCATCTGTCGGCTTCCTGATGGCCGTCGTGGGTATCTGGGGCGAGGGCGTCATTTACGTGTTTTAGAGAGTCGGACCTGGGTGCATGCTGATTCAGTCCATCAGTTTTCTCGCTTCCGGTGTTGGGTGTCGAGGATTGGCTTTTCGAAGTATGGATACACGAAGTCATCGCTGGTTTTTAAAAATGCCGTTTTCTCTCTGAGCTGCCACCTTCATGGATATAGGTTTAGGTCTGGCCGAATTAGACCAAGTATAAAGCTGAGGGTCACAGTCCTGTGGAAATCGTGTGTGAAGTGTCGCCTGCGTGCTGTGATGACATGTCCCTTTTTGCTCTAGAGTTACTTCTACCTATGCTACTATTCTGTTTATGCGGAGGACTACCCATTTGTTTCGTCATATTTGCATCAGATATTTCCAGTGCAATGCTGTGCATGCATGCCAGGCTCAACCCTTGAGCCTCTCCGTCCCAGCCATGTCGTCCTGCGCATCCTTGATCAAGAAGCTGCGGCCGAGGTCAGCACCACCCAGAATGACGTCGCGGCGCGCCAGACTACGAGACAGAAAGAAGGAAGGGGGTGACGTACTTGTACCACAGCACCGTCGGCGCAATGGTGCCGAGATGCCACAGGCTGTGGGCGTCGAGGGCGCCCCAGACGGGGGCAAAGTCGAAGAGCTCGAGGCTCATGACGGTGATGACGCTCGCGACGACGAGACCGGGCCAGACGGCCCAGGCGCGCTTCGTCTCGCGGTACTTGCTGTAGCTGTACCAGACCCAGAGGGCGTTCTGGACCATGCCGACGGCGACGTTGGCGGCCATGTTGTAGGTGTAGTCCCAGGCGACGCCCTTGAGGTAGGCGACGTGGGCGGCGTAGAGGAGGGCGCAGAGCAGGGACCAGGCGCGCAGGACGCTGCGGCGGCGGGGCGTGGCGCGGTAGAGGCGGAAGATGCGCACGACGGTGTAGTAGAGGCCGTAGAGGACGGAGGCGCCGGCGGCGAAGTAGTCGAGCTGCTCGGTGGCCGTCGAGTCGCGCGTGTGGAAGACGGCGGAGAAGACCCACGAGGCGATGCCGACCTGGGCGAGCAGGACGTAAAAGGGGTGCAGCGGGTAGGCGGTCGGGATGGCGGCGCGGAGCTTGCGGAGGCCGTCGCGGTGCGCCACGAGGTTGCCGAGGGAGAAGAGGACCGAGGCCGGCTCCTGCATGCCGAGGAGGCGGTGGAAGGGCCACTTGCCGTGGAACTGGACGATGGGCAGCGCGCGGTCGACGCGGCGGTTTGTGATGATGTGTTGGCAGGTGTAGTCGCATTCGGAGGAACATGTCCAGAAGAGGAGGCGGCGGTGGAGAGCTGTCAGGGACGAGAAAGTCAGCGTGCTGTCGTGGCGGATGACAGACAGGGGAGGAAGAGGTCCGTTCGTTGTCTGGTCGGGGGGGGGGGGGGGGGGTAGGCGGGAAATGCATACGAATCGGTGTCGGATTGGAATTCAGGCAGTTCTCCTGCTTGCAAACCTGCGATCAATGAGCTGGTGTCCCTCAGGGTTGCGGGGAGGGCATCACACGAACCTCGACACACTCACGAAAGTCTGGGAGGCGGTCTCCCACAGAAGCGTCAACAACGACGGCAAAAAGGAGAAGCAGGGCGATGCTGCATAGCAGTGGCGAGAGCCATGCTCTCGCACTCGATCGGATCATGGCTGCAGCATGGACGAAAGGCAAAGGTAGAATGGAAGCAAAGTTGCCAGTTCCGAGCGTCTGGTGAATGCAAGAAGCCGACAGCGTGTGCTCACTTCCTCCCCCCCTCCCCCTGCCAAGCTGTTGCTCGTCACTGGCTGGCGGTTCAGGGCTGATTGATTGGCTGCGTCTCGGAGCTGCACTGGCCCCCCCTCCCCTCCCCTCCCTCCTCCCCAGATCTCGGGGGCGTGCGATGGAGCGGCCCGAACGTGAGACCCTGATCGTGCAATCGGGCGTCTTCGGGCGTCGGAAATGAACAGCGATGAAATGACTAGCTTCATTCCTCCGTTGCAGTCCCGCTCGAGGCTTCGTGTACCCCTGGTGCAGATAGGTTGTGTGACTGGACTTCTGGAAGGGTCAAGACGCCATTACGGAAGCATGTGTCGAGCTTAGTAATCAGATCTGTGTCTGCCGGCCGAGGGTGGGGCAATGCCCCTCCGTACCCCGGGCTTCTGTGAACAATATTCGGAGGGGCATCACTTGGGATCAGATTGACATTCTCAGCGTCTGTGTTCCATTCATCATCGAAAATTGAAATCGGCCATCCTTCCAACCCAGATACCACCTCAAGACTCTGCAGTCAAGTTGACGACCAAGCCGTCACCATGTTCACAGGCATCGTGGAAGACCTCGGCAGTAAGCCCCTCCCTCATATGACTCCCTCATATGACTCTCACCTCTGTGCGGACACACGCACTCACACTGCATGATCGCAGCCGTCACCGAGCTCAACGCGCAAGACGCCACCGGCGGTACCTCCCTGACCATCACGCTGGCCCCCGACTCCCAACTCCTTTCCGATGCCCACCTCGGCGACTCGATCGCCGTCAACGGCGTCTGCCTGACCGTCACCTCCTTCACGCCGACGGCCTTCACCATTGGCGTCGCCCCCGAGACGCTGCGCATCACCAACCTCGGCGCCCTGACGACGGGCTCGCGCGTCAACCTCGAGCGCGCCGTCCGCGCCGACACGCGCATGGGCGGCCACTTTGTCCAGGGCCACGTCGACACGACGGCCACCATTGCCGCCGTCACCCCGGACGGCAATGCCCTGACCTTCCGTTTCGCCCCCGCCGACCCCGCCCTGCTGCGCTACGTCGTCTACAAGGGCTTCATCGCCATTGACGGCGCCAGCCTCACCGTCACGCGCGTCAACGACGACGAGGGCTGGTGGGAGGTCATGCTCATCAGCTACACCCAGGAAAAGGTCGTCACCGCCGCCAAGAAGCCCGGCGAGACGGTCAATGTCGAGGTCGACATGATGGCCAAGTATGCCGAGAAGAGCCTCGCGGCCTACTTTGGCAAGGCGGGGGCCGCCGCCGCGGGGACGACCATCAAGGACATTGCGGCGCAGAACCAGTGAGTGGGTGCGTCAGCGAGCAGTAGCAAAAGAAATTAAAAAAATTAAAAAATTGCATCAATGACATGAAATTCGCTTCGAAGCGTGAGACTATCCTAACGTCCTGTGTGCGCGCCGTGCTACAAAGACAATGAGCCTGTTGTGGGGGACGATCCCGGCACGACTCCTCAGACATGCATCTGTCACGCATCGGTCATGCGTCCCCCCATACCTCGGCAATCCGCTGGCTGACGGCCTTGGCAATCTTCTTCCTTCCCACCATATGGGCCAAGCCGTTTGACACCATTTCGCGCTTCCTCTTGAGACCCTGTTCGCAGGTTCCGCACGCCGCAAATGCCTTGACAAAATCGTGCGGTGTTTTCCACCGCTTCTGTATCTCGAGTGCCTTTTCGCCAGTGACACCCCTCGTCGTCATGAGCATCTTCAGATAGACGTCCCTCAGCGTCATCATATCCGACTTGGAGGCCAGAGATGCAAACGCTGGGTAGCTGATGTAGTAGCCCCTCTCCGGCTCCTTCTCTCGGAGGTGCGCCAGCAGGGGGAGGTAGTTCTGCGCCGTGAGCACCTTGGTCGGAATCACCAACAGCGGCTTGCTCTCGTACAGCTTCTTCAGCAGGACCGTCATCCTGGCAAGGTACCGGATCGTGTCGTCCACCTTCTGCGTCTTTTTGAGAAAGTAGCCGTTCACTACCTGCGTCGACGCCACCGCCGACTGCACCGACTCCTCGTACTTGGAGAAGTGGTTCGAGTCCATGGCGATCTCCTCGACAATGTAAATGACGTTCTGAACTCCGGACTTGCGGAGGCGGAACTTTTGCTCGTGGAACCGACCATCTTTGATACTGCTGACAAGGTCATCGAGACGTTTGCGCTCGACGATCCAGTCGAGAACAACCTCGTCGCCTTCGGCACCGTGGGCAGTCAGAGCTGTAGCGTCGTGGGTTTTGGCGATCCACTGCGCGTCACCGACGTCGAGGGAACGCATGATGGGCTTGACGCCCTTTTTGATGAGCTCCTCTTGCAGATAATCTCGGTCTTTTGTGGCGCGGATTTCGCGGACGTCGAGGAGGAGGTGAACCGTGAAGGATCCGGGGGCGAGCTCGATAGGGGTAAACTGGGGGAGGCTATCACCAGCGGTGACGGACCCGTTACCCACGACGCCCTCGTAAGAAGCTTGAGGGGCGGTTTCAGCGGAGCTGCCTGCTTCGGTGCGCCGCAGTGCTCCCGTGGACTCTGCTGTGTTGATCGGTGCTGGTGCCCCGCCACTTTCATGTGCCGCCTGGGGCGCGTCGGCGGCGCTGGCGGCCCCAGATGGTCCCCCGCCGCCCGTTGTGGTCTGCTGGATCCGCCGCGCAACCTCCCAGCCTTCATCCGTCAAGGCGTACCTTCGCAGCGGCCGGCCTCTCTCATAGACAAACTCCTTGTCCAGCAGCGTCTTCATCGAGTTCCACGCCGTGTAGAACTTGGTGGGATCGCTCGGTGCCGTGAAAGACGAGTCGCTGTGCTCCTGCGCCTTGTCGACGAGATCGGCCTTGGTCATGCCCGACGTGGCGTCTTCACCGAGAGTGGCGAGGGCCAGGACGAGAGCATACGCGCCGGATCGATAGGCAGGAACGTACGGTTTCGGCTTTCTCGTCTTCTTGGGCGCCGCCGAGCCCTCGCCCTCGCCCTCGCCATCCTGCGTCTCGCCGGCGTTCCTGTTCTTCCGGGGACGCTCAGGCATCGGCAGGCCGTTCTGCTCGCAGTGTTTCTTCATGCGATCCGTCAGCCGCGACGACATTTTCTCGCCGAAGCCCTTGAGCTGGACCAGCTGCTGGGGGTGTTCGAAGGCCAGGGGACATGCTTTCAGGGACTCGTAGGCGTTTTTGTATGTCGTGACGCCTTTTGAGTTGCGCTCCCTGGCCGTGTCGAGCCATTCCTTGACCCAGTCCAGGAGAAGGGGGTTGGCGTATTGATCGTGTTCCCCCATGGTGGTGCGAGTGGTCAATCCTCATGGCAATGGCCAGGGCTCATGGGATCGGGGTGGCAGTGTGGCAGGGAGAAAGCGCGGGCAAGAAAAGCAGCGGCAAAAAAAAAAAAAAAAAGCTCCAAACGACGGGATGAGCCAAAGACTGGAGAACTGGAGAGATCAGCCATTCAGTAGTGGCCAGACGCTCCCAAGATGGCAGGGAAGGCATCGCCAATGGTGACGCGACGAGGTTGCGGCGGGTGGGGACGCAAGTGCGAGCTAGGCGCGCGAACTCACGTGATCCCCAAGGACGGGTCGGTTTCTATTCTCAGCGCAACGTTGCGTCGTATTTGCGTCACCGACTGACTTGCATCAGCCCGGCAGACACGATAAAAAGGTCTTGCTGCCACCCCACGCTAGCCTTGAAGCGGTCAAGCAGCAGGAAGCAGGGGCCACCACACGAGCTGGCCATGGCGGGGTCTCACCTGTAGCTGGTCCTGCTGGTCCACCCAAGAGGGGGCCACCCCGGGCGAGTTCGCTCAGGCACCGCAGCCCAGTGCAGGCCTTCAGGGCATCCCGCCCAGCCCCTCCCTGCCCCTCCAACCCCTACCTACCTACCTACCTACCTACCTACCTCACCTACCACTTCTCCCACCCCACCCTCCGCCGACGTGCGTCTTGTCTTGGTGCTGGGCTTGACCGTCTCTCAGACAACTTTCTCAGCTTGTCTCAACAACCACCAACTTCAACTCGACGATCAATTTTTATCTTCTCTTTCTCTCTCTTCCCAATTCCTGACAGCCTCTCTGCCCGCGATCGATTTCACACTCTCCCAGCCATGGACGCAAAGTTCCTCGCCGCTTCCCAGAAGCACCCCATCCTCGAGGGCCATACCTTCAAGTATGGCACTGCGGGGTTTCGCATGAACTCTGACCTCCTCGATGGCGTGACCTTCCGTGTCGGTCTGCTCGCCGGCCTTCGCAGCCGCAAGCTCGGTGCCACCATTGGCGTCATGGTCACGGCGAGTCACAACCCGGCCGAGGACAACGGCGTCAAGGTCGTGGACCCCCAGGGTGACATGCTCGAGCAAGACTGGGAGGCCCATGCTACGCAGCTCGTCAACAGCAAGTCCCACGAGGCCCTGCTCGAAACATACAAGGAGCTCGCCGCCAAGCTCAAGATCGACCTCTCCGCCACGGGCCGCGTTGTCTTTGGTCGTGACACCCGTCCCTCCGGCCACAAGCTTGCCATTGCGCTGGCCGACTCGCTCGACGCCACCGACGTCGGATACACCGACTACAAGATCCTCACGACCCCCCAACTCCACTACCTCACCCGCGCCATCAACACCCAGGGCACGCCCCAGGCCTATGGCAAGGTCAGCGAGGTCGGATATCACGAGAAGTTTGCCGAGGCCTTTGTCAAGGCTCTGAGGGGTCGCAAGGTCCAGGGCCAGCTGACGGTCGACTGCTCCAACGGCGTTGGTGGTCCCAAGCTGGTCGATTTCCTGAAATACGTGCCCAAGGACGTCACGGGCTTCGATGTCAAGGTTGTCAACGATGACGTCCTTCGTCCTGAGGTGCTGAACCTCGACGTGAGTGCCACCGCCCATTTTCCCACCTTGGCTCCATCTCTCTCCCACAAGCTTGCCCCCTGCTGACAGCACCTTGGCGTATATCCAGTCCGGCGCCGACTACGTCAAGACCAAGCAGAGGGCCCCTCCCTCGCCCAAGCCCGTCCCCGGCGCCCGTTGCTGTTCGTTTGACGGTGACGCCGACCGCCTCATCTACTACTGGACCGACCCCGACACGGGCTTCTTCATGCTCGACGGCGACAGGATATCGTCCCTGGCCGCCTCCTTCATCGCCGACCTCGTCCGCTCCGCAGGCCTGACCGACCTCCGCATCGGCGTCGTCCAGACCGCCTACGCCAACGGCGCCAGCACAAACTACATTGAGAAGCACCTCCAGCTGCCTGTCGTCTGCACGCCGACTGGCGTGAAGCACCTGCACCACGCCGCGCTCAAGTTCGACGTCGGCTGCTACTTTGAAGCCAACGGCCACGGCACCGTCCTCTTCAGCAACGACGCCCGCCGCGCCTTCCGCGAGACGCAGCCCCAGTCACCCGCCCAGAAGGACGCCCTCGAGACCCTCGCCGCCGTCAGCGATCTCGTCAACCAGACCGTCGGTGACGCTCTCACCGACATGCTCCTCATCGAGGTCATCCTCGCTCACAAGAAGTGGACCCTCAAGGACTGGGCCACGACCTACACCGACCTCCCCAACCGCCTCGTCAAGGTCGAGGTCGCCAACAAGGACGCCTTCACCACCTACGACGCCGAGCGCCGCCTCGAGACCCCCGCCGGCCTCCAGGACAAGATTGACGAGTGCGTCCGCAAGTACACGAGCGGCCGCTCCTTTGCGCGCGCCTCCGGCACCGAGAACGCCTGCCGCGTCTACGCCGAGGCTGCATCTCGCTCCGAGGCCGACGAGCTTGCCGCTCGCGTCGCCGAGTACGTCACCCAGTACGGTTCGTAGAGCGTCCGCAGCAAGAGGTGCCTGGGTGGGGAGCAGCAGCAGGCAAACGCCACGCTCAGCCTTGACGACGTGACAGACTTGATCTGGGACAGCCCGCTGCTGCTCTGAGCCACTTGATTTCTTTTTTTTGTGTTGTGAATCAAAAAGTTTTTTTCTTTTAACTCCGAGAAGCATTCATTATCCCACCCCATTTGAAATATGGAGAGGAGCAAACCGGGCGAGGCAGACCACAGGCAGGGGAGCTAGCCGGATGTTCTTTCCCACTTCTCGTCATGACCCCTTCACGACAAATGTCATTCGTTCCCTTGGTGACACGGAAAAATGAAAACCTTGGATACATGACCGCCTCCAGGGACGAGCATAGACAGAAAGCAACGCAGGTGGTCAACGTGTTTTCGTCTTCTTCTCCTCTCGTCGTGTGGGTGATTTGTGACATTGTTGAGGGGGTACAGCGTCGTCCCAAGTTCGTCCGAACCATCCGAACTACAGATGACCGATCCGTGGATGGTCCAGCTGTCATGCTGAGGATATTATGAGTGTGGGGGGGCCAGGAGCAGTACGATTGACTAGACAAAGTTCACCCCAGGTCCTCGCGTCACTACTCACAACATACAAGTCTCATCACGCCAACTCACCCAGCTGAACACAACCTCATTACCAGGCCAGGTGCCGCGAGGGGCACGGCCAGCCAGCTACGTACATGTTCAGCCCTGCCCAGCTAGCCAGCGTAGAATATATACAAAGACTCGCCAGGATGATGCAGCGAAAAGAAAACGGGGAGAACAAATTGGCAGAGCCAATCAGCCATGCAAGAAAGCCAAATCCCATCCAAACTCCACCGCCCTAATCTGCACACTACTCCTGAAACACGCCCCCCGTGTCGCACCGCGGTGCGGCAGATATACAAGCTGAGTAGACGTCGGCTTTATGCAGAACGGGAACAGAGTACGTCGTCTAAGCCTCTGAATCCCATAAAAGCAAAACTCCAGAGTGTGTTCCAATGCCGATATATGCGCTTCGCTTGTAAAATGAAAGACACACGACCGCAACCTGTCGGTTCAGATTGCGGCGCCTCATGCGTTACCGCTCAGCGTCCTGAACCGGTCCTCGAACGACTTCACCCTCTCCTCTTCCAAAATGCGCTGGAGCTTCCTCGTTTCCCGGACCGCCGCCTCGCGTTCCTCCTGCAGGTTCAGAACCTCGATCTGAGCAGCGCTCATCCGCGCAATGACATCCTGCATCTCCGTATCGGCCTCTGACAGCGTGCGCTCCAGCTCCGTGACTCTGGAGCGGAGCTTGTCGACCTGGACCTCGTCCTCGATGGACATCTTGGGCAGCGGCGAGCGCGGCGGACGCGAGAACATGGGCGACGCCACAGGACTGAGCATCTTGCGAGGTGATCGGCCGCCGCTACTGGCCGGAGAGGGAAGAGCCCGGCGAAGCTGAATGTTGTGCGCCTCCTTGATCTCCTTGATCTGCTCCTCGTGGCGCGCGACCCGGTCCTCTGACGCGCTCTGCGCCGCAGAGACCTCCTCTTCTAGCATGCGGAGGCGGCCTTGCAAGCTAGCGATGCGCTCAACATTAGCCTGGCGATCGATATCGCCTCGCGCCACCGTATCAGCGAGACGCTGTCGAAGGCTGGCGTTCGCCGCCAATTGTTGTCGGACCTGAGTGGCAAGCTCTTCAACACGACGGGCCGAATCGCGAAGCTCGTCGGCGAGCACACGTTCGCTTTCAATATGCTTGGCCTCGCTCTCATGGAGACTGTCGGCTTGAGTCTTGTTGTCCGACGCCTCCTGGCGAGCCGCATCGCGCTCCATGATGGCGGCCGACAGGGAGTGTTGCAGCTTCTCCAAAGCCAATTGCGTCCTCTCATCGGAAATAATCGCCCCACCTTGTTCTTCCAGCTCCTTGATCCTATTCAAGGCCTCTTGGTACGCAGCCTGGAGGTCTTTGAACGCTGCCTCGAGCGACTCGGACGTCACGGGATAAGCATCCGAGTTGCTACCGCTGCTGGAGCGCGCCATCGAGGGCGGGATCAGGATGTCCTTCTCGTCCAGGAGAGCGCGAAGCGAGGCAATCTCCCCTTCGGCTCGGTCTAGGTCCATCTTAAGACTGACCAGACCCTTCTCCACCTGGAACTTGTCGTTCACGGCATCCTCTGCGCGGCGCCGCAGCACCTTGATCTCGTTTTGCAGATCAGAGACGTCTTTGGCGAAGCCGCCTCGCCTGGGCGAATCCGAGAGAAGACGTTCGCGTTCCGTTTCGAGGACCCTGATCTTTTTCTCATTTTCGCGGTTCTGGAATTCCTGACGGTCAAGAAGATTCTTGAGCGCGCTGTGAAGGGCGTCCCTTTGCGCCTCCACGTCCTTCAGCCGTTCTGACAGGGCCTCGCGAGACTCAATACCACCCTTGACAGTATTGGATCGCGTCAAGCCGGTCGGGGCTCTCTGCAGCTTGAACGATCCTGCGGTAACCGAGTTGGACCTAGACAACGCAACGGACGACCGCGTGGAGCGTGTGGGGGGTTCCTCGACAGAAGCCTGCTTGATGGTGCGAAGATTCTGGTTTTCGCTCTTCAAGGCGTGGAGTTCCTGTTGCAACTTGCTCGACTCGTATGTGAGGTTGTCGTACTCGGAGGCCTCAGCCTCAAGACCCTCAACACGCGCCCGGAGCTGGGGTACGACCTCGTCACGAAGGTTGTCGCGCTCATTTGATGCGCTCTGCAGCTCGCCTCGTAGAGCAGCAAGCAGGTCCTCAAAATTATCTTTGACCTTCTTCTCCTCAGAGAGCCTTCGGCGGAGATCCTCGCACGTGGCTTCGAGTTCCTTCACCCGTCCATTGGCATCAACGTTGTTCATCTGAGCAAGATCGATCTGGGAAGCTCTGTCGGCGAGCTCCTTAATTTGTTGGTCGAGGGCTTTCCTCCTCAGACGTTCTTCTTGCACCTTCGTGGTCAGTTCGAGTCGGATAGACGCCTTCTCTTGCTCCGACCTCCTCTGCACCTTTTCTACTTCTTCTTTATTTTGGTCATATTCACTGAATTTGGTGGAGCTGACACCCGAGTCGGAGAAGTAATCACTTGTCCTTTTGCCCGGGGCCTGCGGGTTGCTGATCTCGGACTGTAACCTGTCCACAAGATCCTCTAGGTCCATCTCGCGCCGAATGGACGAAGCCAGTTCGGCGCTGATGGCCTTGAGCTCATCTTCCATCTCTTGTATCTGCGCCGGTGGTAGTAGGGTGGATGCCGGCGGTGGTGTGAGTAAATTCGTTTCGAGGTATCCAAGGGGGTTGGCATTCGCCTTTGAGCCCTTGCGCTGCAGGATAGATGGGGCTGCAGAGAAACCGGCTTCATCTGTCGAACCTGGGTTCCTGGCCGAGAGCGGCGACGGTAGGGATGAGAATTCGGTGGTAGACGGCGAGGGTGAGATGGCCCAGCCGAAAAGGCTTCCGAATTTTGTTGACCCGGGGGATTTAGGTAATGGCTTGTTGATTTCGGGCAGTCTGCTCGAGTCGATGGCAGTTGTTGGTGGCGTGGATATGTGACTATTTCTTTCGACCTTGTCCAGGTTGAGGTGTGGTGGTGTTGGTTTTGGTGCGATGATGGACATGGTACGATTATCATTAGAATAAAGACTGTATGCCGACTCTGACTCGCTGTCTGTGGTGTCCGCCTTGGTCGCGTTTGGTAGCAAAGGTGCGTCGAACGAGTGTGGGTTTTGCGTGACGTTGTTGGTCAGTCTGGCATGTTGCGGCAGGTCGTCTGAAGTTCTCGTTTGAGGGGAAGCCAGGTTGTTGCTGGGAGTGTTTCGCGTCAAAGGGTGTGGCCCGTCGTCGTCCTCTTCAGCACGGTCGGTGTTTGTTGGTGTCCTATTGGAAGAAACAAGTTAGAATTTGTTTGCCAATAGCAACTGGCCCGTGGTCGGACCAATACCAGGCGCACGGCGGAAGACCTACGGCGGCTTCTCGTGCGGTAGAGTAGTGGGCACGGTCGGGAAGGAGTCGAGGATGAAAGGAGCTAGCGAATGTTCCGAGGCTGCGGCCGGGTACTCGTAGAGCGTGGGGCTGTCGACAGAGTAGGCTCTCGAGAATCGCGTCTCGGGCTTGGGCAGGTGAATGCTGAGGGTGGCAGCGCCTTCAGAGAAACGGGTGGCTAGGGGCGAGGCGGTCGAGGAAAGGGGTTTCCTCTTGATGATGTTGGTCTTGGGTGTGCCTACGACAGGCGTCGTGTGGGAGCGGGCGTGACCGGGTGAGGGCTGGCGGGAGCTGGCGGCAGAGGGCGGCGCCGTGATGGGCGAGTGCGCAATGTAAGAGGCGTGGGCGTGGGAGGTATGCTTGCCTCGCTGCTGGACGTCTGTGTGGTTGTGGTGGTAGTGGTAGTGGTAGTGCTGCTGCTGCTGCTGCTGCTGGTGGACGGGTACTGGTAGCGGGTGACGGCCGCGCGGGACCAGGGGATCGGGATGGGGTGAAGGTGAAGCGTGTTGTGTCTCAGGAGCATCTGTGTATCCTCCTAGCAGATCCAAAGTGTCGACAGTGTCGCTCTCACTTTCGCTGTCGTGGAAATCGCGAGGGAGAACAGGTCTCGTTGGTTCAAGGTCCATGTCGGGCATGATAGTCAGGGGCGTCTGGGAGCGAGATGATGTTCGACCTGGCACTCTGGCTCTGGCTCTACCTTTGGCTGGCCCTAGGGTCGGGCTTGGGCTTATCTCACGCGGAGGAGGAAGCGAGGAGGTCAGCTGTCCATCGACGAGCGAAAGAGGGAAAGAAGTCCTTCGATGTCGGTGAGTCGGGGCCATTGGGGGCAGGCGTGGTGGACACCTCTGGGCGCGGCAGCAGGGGCGCAGGGTGGGATTGCGAGGATTGCGAACTGCGAATGGACAGAAAAGGCCATATCCCGTCGACCCGCTTCCCCTTGAGGCCAGCGGCCCCAGCCAGTGGACGGCGCGCATGGTCCCCAGCTTACCCCTTCGACGACTGGTAAAGGCCATAGCGGCCTGTTGGTGGCCAATGGTAGGCGCATAGAGCGGCATGTAAGACATGGTACCTTGCGTTAGCGGGGGGCCCTGGCGTCTCTGGTCGTGGCAGGGGTTCGTGCCTTGTCGAGGCAGTGATCCTGGTTGCTCCCAGTCAGTGCTCATGCTCAGGGCTCACGCTCACAGGTGGCTGCCCCCGCGCCCTCCCAAGGCCCCCCCCCAAGATGCTCTGCCCTTCCAGTGCTTCTGAGAGGTTGAAGGGGCGGGGAAGCGGCGTTGGCGGCGGCCCTGTCGACCATTTTGGGTCTGCTGTAAATTTCCGTCGTGGCTGGGCCAGATCGTGAATGGGCGCAATGCAAACAACCCCAACCCGTCGTCTGTCCCATGCCCCTTTGTCGTGCGTGTTGCATGGTCGCTTGGCGATGCACAATCAAGCACATCGAGCACGTTTAGCTGGCTGGTCGGCGCCGCCACGGGCGCTGGCGCCGGCGCTTCAACTCAAAGCCCCAGCCAGGTACCCACGAAGAAGAGGGGGGTGGGAGGGTGAGCCTTTGAATCTGATACACGTCAAAGCCGGACGAACACCTGTCATGAGCACCTCTTTGACCCTGACATCGTTTCGTTTCACAACGGCAACCAGTCTTGTCGAGGTATCGGTTGTGAAATGTTTTTTTTTCTCCTTCCTCCCGTTCTCTTCCTCTCTCTTCGGACGAAACACCCATGTCCTCGCCAGGCCAACCTAGCTCACAGTGGTGGCTAGACCGGAACGAAGCGTCACTGCGCCTGCTCTTGGTGAACGGGTCTGGTGGACGGATCTGGCCCGATGAACGCGAGAGAGCGCGTCAAGGGTATGCAGTACATGTACGTTCGAGCCGTCAGGAGGTCGGGGACCCGTTCGATGGTGGCAGGGCTCTTTATGGGTCGGCAACGAAGCAGGCCGCCCGCCCCTTTTGACAATGCAATGCTCGCACAGGAATCCCCACAGCCTGCCACTTGCGGCTCTGGTTCCCTGGTCAGGACGGCGATGGCGACTGGGGTGGTCAACGGTCTTGTCGGGAGCATTGTCGGAACTCGGGTCCCCGAAATGTCGTCGTCGTCAGCTCCAAGCAACGGCGGTGTCCATGAAGAACCCGATGGCCAGGGCAGCAGAAGCAGCACTGTACGTGTAGGTCAGTAGACTAAGAGAAAGGCCACCATGCGACACACGCTGCAGCCTGCCCGCCGGCATGTGTCCCCAAGCTGCATTTCTTCAGCAACCGTTGAAGGTATGTGAGATGTTCTGGCGCTTCCTAGTTCGGCACGGCGCTCACGTTCGCTTTGCTTTCTGTGCTGTGGAGGGTTGGAAGCGTCGAGCAGAAAGGGGCAAGACGTGGACCTTGCCCAGTTAGGACAAGTGCACCTAGCAAAGTTGGGATCTGGCAAGGCAAGGGTCCCGTGCTAGTGGCTTAGAAGACGCCAGTCTCGGTCTGGTTTGATTGGCACAAATCACACCAGTGACCCATGTGGGTCCATCGGGCTGGTCAGCGCCCCTGAACGTACTGATTTGTCGGCAGCCCAGGCCCCAAGTGTCTTACCAAGGCAGGCACCAGGTACCCTCCACTGATTACCGTACCTTCCCTATTAACTTGGTGTTCTGGCCATCCCTCTGATCCAAAACCCACACACAGATCATCCATCCTTGTTGCCTGGTGCACGAACGCGTGGGTAAGTGAGAGCCGAGAAGGCATCGAAGCGCCGTCTTTGATTCTTATCTCCTTCATGTCATGGCATCTTCCACGCAACGGGCAGGCTTGGTCCCGTCACGGTCGAGACGCTGTCACCGCCACGCGCGCCAACACTCTCCCACCTGTCCAGTCAACTGGCGTCGACAGCGCTACGCCATTCCACCTTCTCATCTCCTGCCACTTGAACTATCAATCTCTAATCAGATGATGATCGACGCAACGGGACGGGAGACAATGGACCCCTTTTGTTTCCCCCTTACTTGCGATCAGCGACATGACGTGCCTCCCATAGTGCCCTGTCTGCCTATCTGGGGAATCTGGCCATATCTGGACAGCATGTGGACCAATACCTCATTACATGCTGCTACGAGACGCGACAAGCGGCCCTCCCTGTCTGCGTTGTCATCGAGACAATGGACAATGTCTCCTCTGTCGGGACATTGTCTTGCTCGGCAGCTCACAGCTCACAGCTCGGACATGGACCAGCACTCCCGAGTACCGGCCGCCGCTGATTCTGTTACTTTTGGACGTTGCTCCGGGGATCCCGGTGCCCTGCCCTGATCATCGTGTCTCTATATCGAGATTTGTGGGACGGAACTCCGATTCTCGCCTCCTGGACAATGGTCCGCGTGAATATCATGCACGTTGATGCGAACACAGCCAAGACGGTAGTCGGCGGTTCTGCATCGTCATTGCCACTGTCACCGCCTTTGCATCAACCCTAGATACGAATCTAGGGGCAATGTGCTAACGGTAATTGGCAGGAGAAAATGGACGCTGCGGATGAAGCGAGGAGAATTGGCCAGCATGCCCTCGCTCTCGCTTCCCAGAAGTCGCTCCGTCGCATCTCGCACCCACAGTGTCCAGCGGGACGGGGAAACCTTAGCCGGGCCGCCTGGCGGGTGCCTGGCCAGCCCGCCGTAGCGTAGCGTATGGATTAATTGGTAGGCTCCAGAGACACCTACATGAATACGCAGCGCCGGCCAGCGTTATCAGATCCGACGACCTACCCCGGCAGCAGAACCTACGGGACGCCCATGGTCCATTGCGGGAGCCCCTGCCGTCCCGATAATGTCAGTCCGACCGACGTACCTTGAGTCAGAGAAGGCCATCTGGCCCGGGTTAAGTCCTGCCGACTGGAGTTTCCGGTGGGCTCCGAAACTGCTGCCTTGAGGTATCGCCTGAACAGTCGACAGATGGCCAACGTCTTGGCTGCGTCTGCGGGTCATCGTCGGCGGGTTGAGCTGGCTAGCGCGTGAACGTTGCGTATCGAAAATCAATTGATTTTCATGTGCACACGAATGACGAGGGCTGGGCTGGACGAACTGTTACCAAGAATAGATACGGGTCGAAGTGGACGCATGTCAAGTTGCATTGTGCAGAGCAAAGCCCCATGTCTGCTATCGTGGGTAGCTTCAACAACGTCACTGCAAATGATTCGTTAGCCAGGTCAACAAACGCCGATGGGCCACAATAAGCGACCAGAACTGCAGGGGTGGTTTGTCGGGCCCAACCGCTTACTCGGGCCGGCGATGAGACAAGCTTCGGATTGAGTTTGGATCGTAGGGCTGGAAGGGAGTAACGCTGGCTGCTGCCTCGAGATGATGTCGTCACGACGACGAAGCTTCGCGACGAGACGAGCATGAGCCATGGCTTCCTTCCGATTGAAGGAAACGACCTGACATGGCAACAACTTGAGAGAAAACCACCAGCAGTGGCAAGCTCGAATCACTGAGGACCATGTTGTCACGCTTTTGTAAGGCTGGGTGGGCGCTGAGAAATTCGCTTATCACAAGGCTTTGGCGTGCTTGGTCAAGATTATGGCATGGGTGAATCGGTCAAGGGCCCCATTAGAAGGGGGCGTCGAGACGGGCTGCTACGAGGCCGCCACGACGTTCAACGTTAGCTCGTATGCGGAGTGCCCGCAGCTTGACACATCACACTACTGCTGCGAAGACCAGAGAGAAATTACCGTGTTTGGTTGACAGTGTCAACTCGGCGGAAACACTGAGCTCTTCTTCAGCGCTTTGCACTGCAAAATAACGGCACCTTTGGATGAGCCATGCCGCGAACATGCTGCTGCTGCCCTGGCTGGCTATGCCCTCAGCCCGGTCCAGCCCGCGCGCCCTCGTACTCCCACTTTTGGTTCTAGTTCTCAAATTCCAAATATCAAAGGCCAAGGCCCCATATTCCGGGGCCGTTGCAAATCGATGGCTCAGGCTGACAGACGCTTGGGTGGACATGGAACTGGTCCAAGCCAACTTTGCCGCACCTCTGTCATCATCATCATCAGTCATCCCGTGGACACCATCCGGCTACTAACTGACGGTCAAATACCTGGTCAGAAGCCGCTTGTCATCGTATCCGCAGCTTGGTTATGCCACGAGCAGTCGCCTCGCTTTCCTCCGAAAGTCCAGTCACGTCTTTGGTTATTGGTTGACATCCCGATCTATCTCCTTCCCTAGCGCACGAAACCCAGAGCCGGAAAATTGGCTTATAAGGAGGTACTGGAAACCACCTTGCACACGCATCTAAGCTAACACGACTTGGTGTTACGGAGTGTGTGCCAAGATACCATAAACCCGCCTGACGTGGCGACAAGAACAAATCGTTCTGTAGCCTCCGACCCAGAAGTCCGGTCAGTTGTATGAAGATCAGAATTACGGAACGCAGAAAAGCTTGGGCATCAGTGTCTTGGCGGAGTTCCGCTGTTGCAAAGCTTAGCATCAGCGAACCGTTCACAGCTTGCACTGCTACCTCTACACCCAACGCTAACGCCATAACACTTCGACTGATACGACGGACGCCCAGCGTATTCTTGGCCACAAGACCTATCTCTGAAGTCGATCGAAATCTCCGTCCCGGGGGCGGACTCGGAACTTTTTCTCCAGTCAGCAATAGACGCACGACTACGTCCGGGCTGCTATCATCCGCATCAAGGACCTCGTTATTGTTCCAGAGGAGACGCCTACGGTTAGGGGATTCGACAGCATGTCTGCCCAGCCAACATCATCCTCAACCGTCCCGCCGCCGACATCAACCCGCCGCCGAGCGTGCGCAGCATGTCAGCAGGCAAAACGTCGCTGCGACCAACGACTACCTCGTTGTGGCAGGTGTGTGCTCAAAGCGCTTGACGACTGCCACTACCCCTCACTCGAAGCGACTGTGGCAGCAGCCAACTTCAATCTCTTTGCCGACATGCTCAACAGCGCAGCCACACCTCCAGTTTCGAATGAGCAGCCCATCCCAAACACCCTTTCTTCTGCGACTTCCACTCTAGAGTCAGATAGTCCTTGGCCGCCGCTGTTCTACAGCCCGTCCTCCAGCCCATCCAATGGCGCAGTCAACAGAGATGCTGTCCTTTACTGCACGGAGCAGTTCCGCAGTTATCCTAAGAGATGGGTCAAGCAAAATGGCTTTGCACCCTTCGTCCACCCCTCTCTCTATCTCCCCTCTTCAACTGGTTGCCCAGAGAGCATATTACCTCTGACTCTTCAAGATGCATTCTGTGCTTGCGCAGCGTATGCTGCCAAAAATGATGAAAACAGTGATCTGATACTCAGCATTGTCGAATCCAAAGCCACAGCCCTTCTTTATGCTGACCAGACCGCCTGGAGTCTTCCGGAGCAACTTGGGGCATTGCAAGCTCTGATCATGTACCAACTGATACGCTGGTTCGACGGCGATATCCGACAGCGTGTCCTCGCTGATGCCGTCGAACCAGTCGTGGCCGCCTGGACGTCAGCCCTGCAGGCTCGTGTCGGCGTCGCTGTATTCCACACCAGTCAAGACGAGTCGGGCGGGAGTTTACCACCAAGTCCGCCGTCCTTTGCGCAGCAGCAGCAGCAGCAGTCATATCAGACTCGACATCAACAACAGCATTCGCCGCCGCCTCCGCCTATCTTTCCCTGTTCCACCCCTTACTACGCCCCCTTCAGCATGCCGTCCGGGCCTACCGAGATAACACCGGTCCGCAACCCTCCCGGGAGCACAGCGTCTGCAACCTCTCGTACCCTCAGCAAAGAAGAGCTTCGCCTGGCTTGGCGCCGCTGGCTTCTCGCCGAGTCGATTCGGCGGACCGTTATTACGTCGCACATTGTCCGTGAGGTCTACGCAAATGCCCGCCCTGGTGACATAATCTCTTGGACTGGCGGCGGCAGCGACAGCCAGAGCGGACTCGACAGTCCCGGCTCAGGCTCTGCCGTGCTCTCGGACATGTCGTTCACTGCCTCGGCCCGGTTGTGGGGTGCTTCGACGTCGGAGCAGTGGCGTCGAGCCGTGGTGGAGGCATCGGGCCAGGTGCAGGACGCCTCGACTTTCGGCAATGCGCCGCAAAATTGGTGGTGGGTGGAGCGGATGGACTTCTCGGGCGTCTTCGGCGTTGTGGGGTTGTCTAGCGTCGATGAGTTCGCTGTGCTAGCAGCTGTGGTCGTGAGAGGCCGCGAGGCGGTCGAGGATTGGATCGCGCAGGGGGGAGGTGGAATCTAAGCCCTACCTGCCTGCCGGCCAGTCTGGACCGGCTGAAGAGGAGACGAAGCAAGGGACGTCGTCCGAGGACACGCACAAGATGGGCCGTGATGGAAACGGATTCATTGCTCACACCAATGACACGGGGACGCACGTTCAGTAACAAAAGCCAGATCCAGACGGTGCAAATACGGACGCGGAAAAGCATACGAGTAATGAATTAACGGCCGTTCGCGTCACGTTTACTAGCCTGGTGTTCTTCGATAGCTGAAGGATCGTAGGAATGGCAAGAAAGGATAAGGAGGGGGGCGGGGGGGCGGCAGAGCCACGGCGTGGCTCGGCATCCGAATCAGGTTATGGGTATTAGTTCGGAATGCCGAGATCTGGCCATGATCGTGACTACCGACAGGGGAGCGCTGCGATCGCGCACGCGCGCGGGGTAGACGGCGGAGAGGATGAGGCGCTCGCGAGCCGGGGGAGCACAAGGAAAACAACCACCGCAGGCGAGGAGAGGGGGCACCGGTCAAGAAGTGGAGGTTTGGCTTGTCAGTTAGCCCAACAGAACGATACCGAGACGAGTATGGCCCCCGTTCTGCCTCCAGCGACTGTCACCCGCAGATGCAGGGAATACGCCCTTGTACCCCAGGAACCGGGGTTGCTTAGCACATAGCTGCAGGCAAAGGAAATACAACATGACAAATTCGCCCACTGCGTTGGAATTGCCCAACCGTTTGCGTCCGTCGTAAGCTTAAGCAGGCCGGCCACGAGGATAGGGAACCTGCGTGGAGAAGCCGGAGATGTAGATGTAGTTGAAAGAAGCGTCCTGGGGACCCTCGGAGCCGGCTAAACGGCTACGCGCCGCGGGCCTCGTCGTCCATGGGTATTACGGGAACTCCATCCACCCACAATGGCGTAAGTTGCCGTCGCGCCTTGCCGATCTGGCGTGCTCGATCTCCGTCCAGGGCCAGGGATTGAACGGCCGGGAGGTTCCGAACTCGACGAGATCCGGGGAGCCGGTTTGCGCGACTCAGGGTTGGCTTGGCTTGGCTTACTTGCCGACAGGAGGCCTGTACGGCGATGAATCCAAAAAATCCAGGGGAGGACAGAGAAAAGGGAGGGGTGGGAGGCTTCCCCCCCCTCTTTTTGCGTGTCGAAGCAAGTCGAATAAGTAGAAATTCTCCCGCCTCAAATGTAAGTCCACATCTTAGACCAAACGGTCAAACCGAGCTGGACGGACAATGGAGGGGAAAACAAACGGCCTCCCTTATAGGATGTATTCATTATGGCTTGACGTCGCTGATAAGACGTTACAAGACATGGTAAAATGTTGTTGCTGGTGGTGGTTCTTCCAATATTCATGCTGTCCCCTGCCGCGGTCTTCAGCTCCTGGTCCTCCGCTATCCTACCCTATCTCCGCCCCCCGTCTAGTGATTTGGTGCTGCGCTCACACCTTGTACCTAACGCGCAAACAGGAAATGGAAAAGAATTTGCCTATCCTGCTATATATGCGAGACCACGCCTACCAGGACCAAACGCCACCGCGGAAACAACCAGCCGATCTAGCGTGACTCCTTACCCCCCCTCGTCCCTTGTTATCCGTAATTCTTTCTTACCGCACGTGTTGAGACACTCGGAGTGTTGCTTTCAAAGAGGCTCGGTTCGTCTTTGAGGTTGTTCCTGTTGGAGAGCCCCTACCCTGGGTATGATGTCAGACGGGCATCATCAATTGCGACAAAAGCCGGCAGTGGATCGAGATCAGTGGACCGATACAAGACCAATCGTGTCTTTGCGTTTGCCGAGACTAATCGTCCAGGCGGTACATCCCTCGAAGCACGTTCCAGCACCATTCAGCTGTGGCGTCAACGTCTTTGAGGTCACGAATCCAGGCAATCGACAAGTTGACTGTATCGGTGGCATCCATGTCGAAGGTGTTGTCGCAGAAGCGAGCCCGAATGTTGGATAGGACCGGCACTTGCTGTGAAAGGTGTAAGAGAATGAGGACACCAAGCAGGTTTTGCGTCCAGAAAAACAGGCAAGGCACAAGTCGCTTCCGGTGACAGGTGGGGGCCATGATGATGGGCCACTTGAGCGAGGCCTTCAAGCACTCAGCAACGGCCTTGGCGTCATCGGTACTGAGCATATTGGTATGGTGGAGGGCCTTGTAAATGGCTGGTCGGTAGAGCAGGTACTTTGTGTAGTAATACCGGGTACGGAGCATGGCGACTTGCACATCCGTGGCGTAAGGGTAGGGTGCCGACGGCGACGAGATGTCGGCAGTGAACATGGCCTGCATCTGTTGGGGTGGGTACATGCCGCCTTGAGTGAAGAGGTCAGGTATGGGTGTTGAGAAAGCGGAGGCCTGGCCGTCACTCCACCGCAGGTGCACGGGCAGCAAGGCACGCCACTGATCCAACTGGTATGCTAGGTGGTTGATGGTCGTAATCACCGGGTTTGAGCCTTCGGACGGCTGAGTCTGGCGGTCGGGAGGTGGGAACGGCATGGGCGGCGCTGTGGGGCCGGTGGCTGTAGACGAGGGACCCTGGTTAGCAAGCTGTCATTGGTGATGGAGCGGGCCGTAAACGCTGTAAACGGCACATGGACGACACGTGGATGGGGCCAGAGGTGTCTTGACGCTAAGACCGATTCGCACACGTCTAACGCCCGTCTCCGTGACGGAAAAGCCCAGACTCGACATCCCCGTAACGCACCACGGCTTCCTGACCGGAACTACGTCATTGGCAGCCCCCCTGTCCTTTCCTCCTTCGGGGTCCAGGGTAAGCCAGATCGGGATTGGATCCGTGTCGCCCTGACAGGCTTGTTCGTGCGAGCGCGAGGAATTCAGAAACTTACCATCTCTCATGGTGTCGTGGAAGCCCACGGACAGTTGTCGGAGGACAATTTGCGATGCAAAGTGCTCTTGGAATCGCGACTCTTGGTTGCCCAGGTAGTCTGCTTCACAAAAAGGACCGCTAAAGTCTGGAAGCCCAACCTTGCCTTCCAGCTTGTCGAGCCCTGTCAGAGGGATTTCCAATTCCAGGTTGAGGTATCTGGTGCACAATTAGCACACGCCCAGCGCGACTTTTCGTTGACGGGCTGCTCTCACGTCTCCATGATCGAGCAGTGCCAAAATACTCTGCGGATAAGGTCAAGGCGAGGTGATTCCAGTTCCCCTGGGTTCCTGCAATCAATACATCAGTCAAGCTCCCCAGGCAAGTTCTCCTTCCTGATAACCAGGCCTGCCGCTGATCAGACTCACGCAGATATCAAGGCATGGCATGCCATGGAAGCCGAAATGGTCATCCGCCAAAACTCCTATTCCCACGTCAGTGCTGTCGCAGGGCTGATCTGGTGGATGGGGCCTCGTACCAGATGTCGCGAGCAGCTTTCGTAGTACAGTCCGGCCAGAGCGTGTATCTGCACGCTCTCCAAGCTGCACTCTGCCATGGAGAAGCCCAGTCTTTTCCTCGCTTCGTTGAAAAAAGCCAGCCCCGGCGGTCGATCGGCTGCCCGATCTGGCGGTCTCCCCATCTGTCCCTTGTACCGCATGAACGGCATGTTTTGCGAGTCTGCGAGGGCAACCGCGCCAAGGGCAAAGACCAGGCACACCAAGGTCGACGCCACACCTTCGTTGAACCCATTTTCGACAACAGAGGTGAGTATGGTCGTATTGAAAGCCTGTCGGTCCATGATCGGGTATATGAAGTTGAATGTGTCGAAATAGGCTTTGGAAAGAGTCTCCACCGTGGGCCAGTCTAGGTCTGATAGTCGGACAACCGTTGGGTTTCTGTGCGCATCAACTCGAAGGCCCAGCAAGGCTCTATCATCCATCGTGAGACCCTCCATCCCATCAGTGGCCAGCTTTCGCCGGCTTCTTTGCTGTTCGAGGAGTTCAAGGGGGGGATCACGATCCTGGATCACGGCGTGGAGATTGGGAATCTCAGTCTGTCCCGAATCAAGAACCTGGCGCACTACGGGCCACGCCATAAGCTTATGCACGGCCGAAACATACTTGTAAGGCTGAGGCTTTTGCGGCGTGGGACTTGTTTGGCCTGAGGGCCGAATGGAGGCTGTAGTTGGTACAGAGTCCCCGCTGCCTCCGCCTGCCTGCGCAGGTGCAGGGCGGGTTTGGCTGCGCTGCGAGGGTTCATATGGTGAAGGATGCACTTGCTGAAACCCCAGTTGGTCAACCTTTCCTTCGATGAGCTTCAGACGGTCTAGAATCTCAGATAACGTTTTGTCTTTTCTAGACGGAAACCAGCGTCAGTACCCGTGGCCGAAAGGCGATCGAGGTAGACGACGCCTCGAGTGAGAGAAAACCCACAGCGACCGTGGCCTTCTACCGGAGGCGTGCGCCTATGGGTTGCAGGTCCTGCAGGGAGGCAGACTTACTTTGTGGGCTGCGGTTCCCTATACCGACAGTCCAGTTTGAACTTTTGGCACGTCCCACACTTCGGTCGGGCTTCGTCACATTTCTGTTTTCTACTGCGACACGTTTCGCAGGCCTATCCGGTTACCGTTAGCAAACCTCGGGGATTATACACCAACTCGATAGTCGACACGACACTGCATGCCATCGTCAGCCGAGGGCGAGCAGCCTGCTCCCGTGAGATTGGCTTGTCGTCGGCGCGCAACTGCATAAGACAACGAACAACAGGATTTTCGGGTAGGCCTACCTGTGCTGCGATGGCACCTCTTTCCTTGCGTTGGCTGGGTGGTGCGCCCGACCCGGCAGAACTCGAGGTGGCCGAGGGAGGTTCGACATTCATCTTTCACCTGATAGTGACGGGAGAGACGAATCGGCTGCTTTGAATACTGGCCTTCCGAAGATTGCCTTATTCCACGCGTTGCGATTCTCCGTTAGTAGCGGGTTGAGCTGGGCGTGGTCAGGATACTAGACCAGGCGGTGGAGGGCTTAAGTCGGCCGCGATCAGATGGCTCATGTGCTCCATCGAAAGTCTGCCTCAAATCCTGGAATGCGGCCCAGGCTGCTCGGGCCTCAGCCAGGCGAAAAATAGATGCAGTCAGTACAGGTTGCTGCTAAAGTCGTCGTTGTCGTCGTCGTCGTTGCCCGAGAAAGGTGAGAAGTGGCTGATGTCGACGGGACAACCTGGCGGGCGCGCTTCTAATTTCCTCGCGTCGCCAGCTCGACTTCCCCTTTCTCCTCTCCTGTCCTCTCTCTCCAATGCAGTTTGGCGATGAATTCCTTTCGTCCTTCGGCTGCTGGGTCTGAGCGGTCCTCTCAAATCCAGAATGGGTTCATGTCACGGTGGCAGCGCGAGACCGGGTCGGGTTAGGTGGGCAGCCTTGCGAAATATCAGGTGAAACTCTGTGCAGAGTCTGGTTCTGGTAATCCGGTAAGGGTCGTTGTGGAGGTGGCAGCGGCAGCAACGGCGGCGGCGGCTGCGGCAGGACTAAAGACGAGAGTTGGTGCGGGTGCGGGTGTGCGTATGTGTGCGTGTGAAGCCACCACGATTAATGGTACGTCGGGCCCTGGGCACGGGACACATCGGCGTAAACGGAGCGAGGTGTTTTTTTCCCTTGGTGGTGAGAAAAAAGGGCAAGAGGGTAACTGGTAAGAGGGGGGATGGGAAAAATTGACCCTCATCCGGGCATGGTCTGGGGGACAACTGTAGGTGAGGGAGGCCGGACGGCGCTGGTATGGGGCTGGGGATTGCGGAAGAGAGCCCGACTCCGATGGGGGTCCTGTACAATGCGCGACAGAGTCGGCGGCGGAGGCTGTAGGAGAATTGAGAACTGGCGCCCGACAACAGGGCAGGCCCGAAGCATGTCTGCAGGTACCTGATCCGTAATGACAACCGAACCCCATTGCCTGAATGAACGAGACACATGCCCGAGCCATGGAGCGCCTGGAGCTGGAGCCCGCGCCTGGAAGATGGAGTCCAGAGGCAACGTGGAGCCTGGCCCCAGAATCAGAACTAGGAGCCAGTGCAGTGTGTACCAAGTACGGCGAGCTGTGTCTGTGCTGAAGAGATGGTCAGAATGGCCAACCGTGACCGCCAAGCATTGTGGAAGACCGGGGACACCTCCCACTCGGATGGAAGAGATCTGCGCTTGCCTTACGAATAAGTTAAGGCATCTGCAAGTGCAGGCAAGTAGTGTCGACTAGGCTTGCTTGCTTCGCCCCCCCCCCCCCCCGGCGACCGAGACTTTCGCTCGCATGGGACCCAGAACCGCACACGGCGGGTACATCGCTAGGGGCTGCTACTGACCGTGACCATCCGAACAACCTGGACAGTATGGGTTGGTGACCTTCGAGTTGCCATTTGCGCCCTCGCGTGTCGGCCCTTCCAGATGTCTGCCAATCGACGATGCCTCAAGTTTGGCGGTGGCGAGCCTGCGCCGCGTTCACGAAAATTGATCCTCAAGATGTTATTAGCCCAGTACTCCCAGTCGGGGCCTGGCCCAGCCTGGCCTGGCCACCTTCATTATGTTCTTGCTGCTTCGCCCACCTTGGCCCCTCCGCGGAGACGGTTGTATGAGCCTGACAAAGCGAGTCGTGACCGAGCGTTACGGCGCAAAGAAGCCGAAAGTGGGCTGCCAGTGAGAGGGGCCTGTCCATATCCCGTCGCTTTGCCTGATGTTGGCCGTTTCTCCCCTACTCTCGGTACATACCAGGCGCACCCACCGATATCGCGGAGGCGGTGGCAGCTGCGGCTGATGCAGTTGAAGGATGCCGTTCTCGTCTCTGAACGGAGCGAGGTTGAGGCGGCGTCAAATGAGTCGTGTCAAGTCAAGTCCACGCGCCCCGCCCGCGAGCCGGATGACCGGGAATGTCGAGCAGACCGGTGTGTTTGCCGAACATGGATTCCAGGGGTTCACGGCTAGAAGCATTTTCTGCTTCTACTCTGCTTCTGTTTTCGCTTCAGTCTCCAGATGACCCTGAAGAAGCGTCGTGAAGCGGGCGACTCAAATGTCCGTCCAGGGTGTGCTTCAAGCATTCGAGCATCAGCAAAGGTCGGATGCAAATGTAAATCAAGTTGTTGCACAAGAATGCTGAAGTGAATCATAGTACATCGACAGGGCGTGAATTGACACTGCAGATCCTGTCTTTCAATCTCACAGGGAAGATGACGATGGGCGGGGGGGGGGGGGAGGAGGGGGGAGCTGAGAAGCTGAGAACAGGCAGCTGACAGGTGTGGGGGAGGAGGGGAGATTGGATGCAGTTCGCACGTCCAGTGTCACTGCCTGTCAAGCAAGCGAGCGCGCGTGTGCGCCCGCTCGCACAGGGATGGATTATTAGACGGAAAGCGCTCGATCTGATGTACTCGTGATGATGAGCTGGCAGGTGTGTCGCTGCCGTGGTCGAACCTTCCGTTTCAAGAGGGGCTCTTGCGCTTGCGCTTGCTTGCGTGCTCCACGTTGCAACAGTTGACAGCACCTGCCCGTGCACCAAGTCTCATATCCAGGTGGGTAGTGGCGCACCTTGACACCTCTATACGGGAGACTGGTCGTTGTGGCCGTTTTTACGAATACATGGTAGGCCGGCAAGCGCCCTCACAGCAAAAGCAGCTTAAACGGATACCCCTGTGCGGCAGTCCAGGGGTCTTGTCGCTGTCACTTGGGTTCTGGGTGCTGGGTACTCGCTGCAAGCCAGAGACTTGACAGGGACGAGGCAGGCGGGGGGTGCTCTGAGGGAGGGGGGGAACGACATGACGTTACTTCCCCTCAGACTAGCGACGTCATAGGGGTGCGCCAGGGCATCCACCTGCACCTCCAGAGTGAGCAGCGTCCAAGGGAGAAACAAGGAACAGGCTTGCTAAAAGAAGAGGGGGCAGGAGGGGCACTGGGACCGTCGTCCACCTAATAAAGACAAGTTTGCATGCCGCGTCGTGTAGAAAGCCTGAGGATGATCTCCTGCTACAGTGTCAGCCCACGAACCAACATCAGGCGCCTATCAACATCACCAGTTTGATTTTCTTGCCGCTGGCAGTGCCCGGTCTCTTCAATCATGTGGTTCATTGACGATCTCGTCCAACAAGCCATCCACACAACACGGCAAAGCCGGCTGTTTGTTAGCGCATGCAATCTCTTTCGATTGATCGTCTGTCCCACAAACGAAACCCATCCAAGTGCAGCATAGCATGGCGACTGTTGGGCCTTTCGTGGACCTGGAACAGTGCGAGGGGCAATTGATACGGGAGCATTGTGGTGGGTCACCTCATCTCAGACTGGTAGCGCGGGCCAGACACGATGACTGGCGGCTGACGACGTGTGGTCGTTCAGCGGGGACGAGAGCGACAAAGGGACGCCGTCGACTCACGGGGACTCGCAAAGGACAGGGTGAGGCAATTTCTTCCAAGTCCGAGTCCCGGGGGGTCAAGCGTGTGGCCTCCGTTTCGTCTGCCTTCCTGGGGTACATTTTTTCGTTTCCCTGCTCCTCTGTTTACTGAACAAGCAGTGTCGATGGTCTCGGTTGGGAACGCGGAACACCGGGGAGCAGGAGCGCAACCCTATCCTTCGGCGCAAGTCCCCCTCCTCGACCTCCTTGACCACACAGGGAAAGCGTCGGTCAAAGGTGCTGAGAGGGGCGTCCTTCTACGACTACCTACCTTACCTACCTACCAGGCAGGTATGTAAAGTACCTGGTGTCGTCTGTCCGGACAGCCCAAGCCAAGCGCTATGCCTCGCAGCTTGACCCACCTACCTTGGATCAGCTCAGAGGTTGTAATGGAGTGAATGGACCACTTGATTAGTAGTCCTGATAGGCTCAGGGTCCTGATTTGGCCGCCGTTTAAGATGCGCACTACTCGCGCCCGATCTCACCCCAAACTACGGATCAGTATCGATCGATCTGCTGCCAGTTATCTCGCCAAAGCACCGGCATGCTCCCGAGGCTTTCCGTTGTTCAAGGGCTTCCGTCCAAGGGCTTCCGTCCAAGGGCCTCGGCACCATCACCCCACCGAAAGACCCCGAGGCCCGCTCGTAATCCATTTGCGTAAGTACAAGGCAGCCCGCTCTGCTCTTTTCTCTCGTTTTGCTTGTTTTGGCCTGGCCGGCATTCTGAAACACAAGTGACATCGCTTGCTTTGTAGACATGGCCAGGCATGCATGCGCCTGCCAGCCTCGTGTCCCTGAAGGTCTAGCAGAGGTCGCTAGCCTCGTGCGCATTGCTCAGGAAGAGGGACGCACGCGCTTCCTGCTGGAGCAAACGCTCCCATGGCCCGCCCCCCTTTCCCCGAAGGAAACACCGAGATACTAAGACACATGAGCTGACAATCCCAGCCTTGTCATGTACATACACCGTGCTTGCGCCAACTGATCTTGACCTGGTCACGCTTTGAAGGCTCGGTAACCCACCAGGCGAGATGCGGCGGCCTTGGACGGCAACGAGCCGCAAGGCACTGTCCACTCAAGAATGGGCGTGTTGTGCTCAATTCCCCAAGGATGCCGTGAAGAGAGCGCCCATGACTAGGCAAGCGCCTGTTCGAGGCCAGCTAGGAATGAATTGATGTGTGCCAAACATCTTTCTCCCTGCTGTTGTTGATGGCTTCAAGTATGCGGCAGTCATCGGGACCACTTTTACTTCCTTCACTAGTCGTTCCTGTCGTATCACACAAACAACAAATCTCGGCGTCGTGCGCTGGTTCGACGCCAATCAGAACGTCCCGGAGGCCGCGTCCGACTAGCAACAGCTTTTTTGCGTCGAAACCACTAGACACTCGCTTCACTAGGATCGGAGCATCGGCGACGCCTCCTACGCCTCCGCCGCTAGCGACGTCCAAAGACATGGGCCAGCACAGCTCATTCGTGCCCGAGACTCGGCCGTGAAGAGCTCTTGCCGCCTCTGGCCTGGCGGTGTAAACAAAGAAACAAGGTGAAATCGTCGAGTTTGTTGTCCGGTGCTGCTGGGGTCGGTGAGTTGAGGAAGCCTGGCCGGCGCTGTTGCGCCCAGGGGCTTCTGGTCGTTGGGCACCAACACGGGCGAGGGTGTTGCGTCGCCCAACCGCCAATGTCGGATCGCGCTCGGAGGCCGTCTCATTTTACGGCGCCAGGCAATCTGTTCCGGACCCTTGAATGACACGATATCACATGGATGTCAGGACACCGGCTCTCTTTGTCTGGGGTCAGGGGGGGGCGCTCGTCGGTCATCACTCGGTCGCCTTCCGTGCTTCTGTCATTTTCCACAGCCTTCTGACTTTTGTTGCCGTCGCTACCAAGCGAAATCATTCTCACTGAGATCCATTCTACCTGACCGGTCAGCAGCGTCGCCAGATTTCCTCACGCCAGGAGACCATTCTGGTGTGGGAACCACCAAAAAGGGGGGTGTGTGTGTGCGTCACACCGGGTTCGAACCAGTGCTATTAATTTTGGTCAGCAGTGAATCATTCAACATTTCGGGGCGCAAGACGCACTTTCTGCCTCTCTACTGTGGGAGGGCAACGAGTTAACCACTACTCCAGTGACGCCTTCCTTGTTGCTCAAGAGGTGCCTGCTCTACCTGAAGTGGCAGCCGGCGAACGCGGGCGCGGTGACGGCAGGAGCAACGGGGAGACAATCCGGCTCACCCTTTCAAGAGCATGGCACGATGAGGTAGATCCCTAGGTACGGATGCGAACCTCACACCTCGCTCAAGGCGAGAATAGAGCTATGCATTCGAGTAGCTCACTGAATCGTATCTATGGCACTCAGACATCATCTATCTGAACATAGCGTCAAAATATTCAACATCCTGGCGCACCGCCCGCTCCTCCCGCTACCGTGAATGTTGGAAACTTCGTACCAAACGACGGCGGGCCTATGCCAACCCGGCTGCTCTACATCCAAAAGACAATCCAGTACTGGCAAGCCAGCCACATGGCCACAGACCTCGCACCATGTAACGCAAAATCGACTGTGGGATCCGGCGCATCGGCGTCGGGATGCCGGCTAATCATCCCCCACACCTCTGCATAGCAAGCCTCCAGGTTTCGAGTCCGGGGCCTCGGGTCCAGAAGCAACCCCATGGCGATGGGGATGCGGGCTTGAGCAGACTCCTGGACCAGGCGGTCACACACCCATCTGACTTCTTGCTTCGGCTGCCGGGCCTGCCTCCGTGTCCTCTGGCCCAGACCTCGGGGCGATATGCGCGTTGCCACTGGCCGACTTGGGGATTCGAAAGGTCGCAATGGCCGTTTGGCCTCATTTCAAATTTTGCCAGGTCCCTGGGTGCATCTAGCGGTGGACAGATGGCGAAATCTGCTGGGGGCCTCGCGCCCCGGGTATCGGAGTGGCTCGAGGACGAGGGCGTCGTCCATGCCTCGCATTAGCTCACTTAGTCTGGGAGGGTCAAGAGGGTTCATCCTACAGTAGTGCTGCGAGCTGACGGAGGAAAACATCCAGCTGACCGCCGTGGATGAGTCTGGCCCGCGAAAGCAAGAATTGCCTAGACCGCGCCCATCATGATCAGGCGCTGTGCCGCTCGTCGTCCCCGAGGAAGGGAGAATGAGGAGTGGCGGCCCGTTCCGGCATCTCGATTTCTATATCACCCATGGGACTATCATTCAAGGGAGAAGACATCGATCAGTCCCAGGGTTATGGGCGTCCAGATCGTCGATGAGAATTCGCCACGCCAAGGGGGGCTTGTGGGGAGAAACGTTATGTTGATCACCAACAGTTTGGTGTGCAGCTGACACGTGACAAGGCGTGGCAATTGGGACTCTCCCACATTCAAGGCTATGGTTGTGGTAGACGTGTACACAACGGCCTGTTGTCCCTTTCAATCGTTCTAGCCAAGGCCTGCGGCCTGTTCGAGAACATCGGGTATGTACCAGTGCCCCATGCATGCATTGTAAGGTGTGCGGTCATGCACCACGGTGCAGATGGACGACGTGCTTTCAAACATTGTGGTGTAACGACGGGACTTCTTTCTCAGGGACTAATAGGCTTCACTCTCACGCCATCGGTCGTAGAACACAACTTTCAGGGCTTGGCCGACGTCGTCGGAGGTTCCAGTCAAACTTTGAGTATATCTATCACACCAGGCGCCGCGCCAAATCAGGGCCGAGCAAGCATCTATGATAAGAGCTAGCCGCTAGCCGGAGCATGCTCTGCAGAGGAGAAGCCACAGCTTTCCTGCTCACAAAAGAACAAGAAAAAGATCAACATAAGAGATGTCTAAAGAGTTAACTCGACTAGTACTGCAAGCACAGCCTCGGCCTGACCACGTCTGCCAGCTTAGCGTCCCGCGAGCTTCTTTGTCAAGTAGAGGATGTCGTGTTTGTGATAGTAGGCTCTCACTCGCTTGCCATAGATATCTGCTCGCTATTAGTACCAAACCCTCGTGATAAAACGCCCGGGAACAAAGTTGGCTTACACATTGGTATGCTCATGGCACAGATGACGACCTGGACGCTGGCGATGGACAGCATCGTTTTGCGGACGCCGCCTTGGATAATCCAGTCGTACGCAGTCCACGTGAGGGCAAAGCTGAAGAAATTCTTGAAGATAATCATGGAGGTAAAGCCCTCAATAGCGAGATCGCGATACGCGTCGACAATGTACAGAGAACTCGCCACGGCCCCGATGACCATGCCGGCGACCTCGAAGCCGAAGAAAATGAGGGGGACGGAGTAGTGATACTTGCCACCCAGGATCTCGCCAGCCGTCAGGGCGAATCCGTACAGCCCAATGCCGCCGATGATGAACATGGGAAGTACGAGAACGATGCGGAACTCAGGTTCGTAGACGCCCTTGTTCAGGCGCGTCATGTACTTGGCGCTCCAGTCGGAAAGAGCACCAGCAATAGCAAAACCTGCCAGGGCCCCGATGAAGGGACCGAGGTAGGCGTAACCCGCGCTGACCTCGTTCCAGAAGAAAGGAGGTCCGAGGAAGACGGCGGCGACGATGACGCCGATGAAGACTGTCCAGCCGATCATGGTGCCTTGAATGAGGCATCCCCAGATGAAGGCCGGGTGGGCGAACAGAGCGAAAGGTCGTAAAAGCAGGTCGAGGTACGAATCGTCCGTCTTCCTGCCGTCAAAGAGTGCAAGGGATTCAATGTATGTTTTCTTGGGCGTGTCCGCGCCGCGGTAACTCGCATCATGTGACGTAGCGCGCGCAGGAGAGACTGTCGCAGAATCCGGCAGCTTTCCATCCGCGCCACCGTCGCTGGTGATGCTGGGGTCAGCATCCAGACCTGGCGACAGCTTTTCGAGGTGAGTCTTATCGTCCTCAGCAATCATGTCCGTGTTAAGAGACATGTCACGGCGATAGGCGGTCTCGGGACACATGAGATAAACGGCCACGAGCGACATGGCGCAGAAGATTGCGGTCAGATAGAATGTCCATTCCCAGCCGATGCTGTGGGTGATCTTGCCGACCAGAATCGGTGTGAAGAAGGCACCGCCGAAGACCGCCAGGTTCGTGAAGGCCATGCGAAGGCCACGCTGGTGGACGGGGTACAGATCGCCAACGGCAACGTTGACAAGGGTCTCATAGGGTGAGCATGCGATGCCCTGGACAACACGGGCGCCGATGAAGGATTCGTAGTTGGTCCCGACGGAGCCGCCCCAGGCAGACGAGGCTACCAGAACGACGGCCCCAAAGATAAACAGATGACGCTTGCCCCAGATACGACCGGACGGGACGAAGAAAACGGCAGCAGCACCAACGCCGAGGAGGAAGTACCCTGTCAGGATAGCGATGCGGGTGAATGTCGTGCCAAAAATAAGGGCGAGCGTGACAGTGTTGGCAGCCAATATGGGACCGAGGGCGGTCGCAAAGATGGCGGTGACAGAGAGGACGAAGGTGATGAGATCGCGTTTCCACAAAGGCCAATTCAGAGGATCGTTCGGGTCGTCAGAGGGCTGGGGGATCTGTTGTCGCACTCGTCAGCCAGGGCGATCGAAGTCCATGGGATTAGGAGAGGTACCAGGATGATGGGTACTGGACCGCTGTCGTCGACCTTGAGCCCGCGATTGGCACCGTTGGCCGGCTGAGGCTGCGAAGGGTCATCGTAGTATCGCGTCGTGCCTGTACCACCAGATGTCAGTCGGTGCCATCATCAAACAGCGTGTTCCTTGGCATCCGGCGTGGTCAGACGGCGAGGAGATGGGAATTGAGGCCACAAGCATACCAGGAACATGGTCGAGAGTCTTCGACTCGAGCACACCTAAACCCATGGCGAACAGTCTTCAGACTAGTCTGCAACAGCTTGGTCAACTTGTTGTGGCAGAGCCTGATGCCGTAGTTGCGATCGCGGATGGGAGGATGGTGCTCATGAACAATTGCGAGCGTCGTCAGCCTGGCGACTCGTCGCGAGTCGCGATTCGGATCGTTGCGAATGCCCGCAGCGCAGGGTTCAGGTACCTGGGGCCGACACGCGCTGTTAGGCAGCGGGGAAGTGGCAGGATCTAAGTTCGGCAGATGCTCAAAGGGAGGCGGAGGGCAAGCAATAGCAGGCGGGGCGCGGTACTTCCCGCTGGGTTCATTAGCGGTTTCTTCGGTGGGTTCACCGGCCGGGACAGCGCGACTGCACTCACCGAGGACCGCAATGTCTCTTGTTGGGACACCAGGGCTGACGACACTTCCCGTATACCATCCCAGGACAAATCAACTCCATGGAAGCATTGTTTCGAACGAAGAAGCATTGAAACTCGACAATCCACTCTTTTCTTCACGCTTTTACAGCGTAGTCTTCCGACGAGATTGCTCGAGTCATGGGTGCAATATTGCCAGCTTGAGTGCCACATCAACAGCGGCTGGCGATCCTCAAGAACCCCCCAATATGCACCGAGGGATGCCATGTCTTCAACAACACCAAGTCAGGCGAACATACCTCTGGAGGCTCATGTACACGAGAGTCTACAGCAAGTGGCTGTCATGTCGCTCCATTGGGTGTGGGGGGCACGCAGTATACCTCAGGAACTCAGGAAGATTGGCAACATCAGAAAAAGTCTCGTCTCGTCTCCTCATCCGCGAATTCCGAGAGTGTCAAAACCTTGGCCAAATTTGGCAATAAGGTTTAACGCGTTTTCGCCCGCCCCTATTATCAACGTTGCATCCGTCACCTTTATCAAGGCACAGCCTTGTCATTGCACAGTAGATGCATACGAAACCCTTCGCGCCCTGAATCGATGTAAATGCACACGAAAACTCTGAACGACCAGTTGTCCCTCTGACTCAATCACTCGTGAAGAATACTACGAGACAGCACCACCCAAAGGGCTCCAACCAAATAGACATTGGACACACGGATGATCAGGGCGTCTTGTCAGTTCAGGGGAGCAAAGCTACCTCACAAAATGCCCGGATCACCTCAACACGACGCGAGAGCTGGCAAAGGACACATCTGGGAGCCTTGTTGGCAGCGTAGCATCGTCTGCCGCAGCATGGAGTCGCAACTTGAATCGCCATGAACCCTGGTTACCAACCAACAAGACTTTTGTCCCTGCCGATACCTGACAGCGTTGAACGATCATGCATGGACTCTTCTTTCTCCACGTCGCTTATTCATCGAGACTCGACGTGTGCATGAGATTCTGGAGGGTATACAGGACGCCAAAGGCACCCTGCCATGTGAAGAGACTTACAGGAAGAATGATTTGGCCTCCGAGCTGGACGGCCATTCGGAACCTTCGAATCGTCTAATTCATGAGGCTGAACACTCATCCGGCCGGACCACGAAACGCGCATTTCCGTCGACAGTCACACACACGAAAGGAGTAAGACCTCCGAACGTCTCCCTTTCTCATGCGTTATGGGTGAGCACCAAAGTCTGGAGCTAAGAGACGACTCACGTGGCGAAAGTTAAATCATCCATATGCCAGTAAGGGCGTCCATGCACATTTGAGCTGCTCCGAATCACAAGGCCCATAAACCCACTGCGGCAACATTGCACGCCCCCCCTTTCCTCTCCCTCCGAGGCTGAGGAGCGGCAGAGGAGGTGGAGCTCTTTGGACTCCAGCGTCACAAATGGCACTAAAGACCGAACTTACATATGCACAGTGGCCGGGCTCTCCATGGGCGCCGCACCGTCGCCTGCTAAAGCAGTTTTCTCAACTCCGTTACGGCTGACGCATGCTTCGGTCATCGAGAGAGCGGCAGATCTGGTCCTGCCCCCCCCCCCCCCCCCCCCTTCCCCTCAAAAAAAAAAAAAACCGGCTATCGCTTGGCTTGAACGTTGGCACATACACGTTGTAAAGCAAGCTTCTTCTTTCACTCGTCTATGGATTGGTGTACAAAAGGAACCTGAGGGGAGAATGCTGACCAGGAGAAGAATATGGGACGGGACTCTTCGTAAGTTTCAGACGACAAGACGGCGACGCGAAGTAACCTCAAACCCGCCCATCTCAACTGGGACAACTAAACACAGCGGCGAGATGGGCAATTCTTGGGCCCCACCGGGAGGAAAAAGAAAAAGAATTCCCTGCGGCAATGGGCAGCATAGGTTTTGGCCAGGCCACGTTGGGTTTCGGTGCCGCCGCCGTCGCCAACGTCGCTTACAGGAACGCGGAGCATCGCGAGAGAGCTGGAGGGAAAGTGTGGCCACCGTGACCATTTCTCCCGCGGTAGTGTGGTCTACATGTACAAGCCTTGTGGAGCTGATTTGTCAAACTTCATATCGATCAGAGACGCGCCCGCACGTCAGTAGGAGAATGAACGAAGTACTAAAAGCGACAACCGTCACGATCTGACATGGCCCATCCACACCCCATCTCATGTGCAGTGGGCTCCGAGCGGCGAGGCGGCCCATCCAGACGGATGCCTGCAAGCGCACGTCCGAGCCCGCGCCCTAGCTCCTAGCCCCTCACTAGGCCAGCCGACTGCCCTGGGGGCCGGGTAAGGCAACAACAGCAAAATAGTAGCTGTCACATTCGCTCGCTTAACAGGAGCACTGGTAACTCTCCCTTAAGCGATGCGAGCTGCGAGGCCCGTTGGCTTGCGATGGCGCTTGCAAGCGCATGATCGGACGTATTCCACAGAGCCTCGTATCAAACCAGCGGGTCTAGCCTCCCAGCGCTTGTGCCCTAAGCCTTCTAGCCTCTGACGTCCTCATCAACGTGACGACGGGAAGCGGACGCCGTTGTTTGGTCCGTCTACGAGTCTTCAGGGCACGCGATGACGAACGAGAAGGCCGCCGCATTGAACGGGCGTGGGACGAGAAGCCGCGCCCCTCGCGCAGACATACTTAAGAGCCCTGGACAAAGCAGTGCGCTGGGAGAGCCGCCGCAAAGCTACTGCCCCTGACCTGGACCCAGGAGCCGATCATGGCGCAGAAACGACGATCGTCTGCACTCTCAGCCTTGACCTCAAAACCAACACTGCTGGCTTTTGCTTGGTTTGCCACTGCATTCTGCTCGGCTACGAGAAACTAAGGTAGTCTGAACGTAGTCCTCTGGCCCGATTTCGAAACCAAGTCACAGCTCGTGACCCTCATGCTGCTTCATCGTGATGGGGCAAACCTGCATCGCCTTGATCCTGCTCTGGTGAGCTGCCGGCCGGCACCCCTCCATATCGCAACGGCCCCTCATCTCGCAAGCGGGCTGAGTGGAGAACAAGACTCGGGAATAACTGGGCATCGCCACTTCCAGTTGGTCCAGACCTTGGTGTATCACACGTCGATCAAGCAGAAGCAGCCTCGTCTGCCCATCTGAAGGTACTTTCTCCGCCATGTTTGCAAGTACAGGCATCGCGAACAAGCCAGGCTGAGACCTGCCGTCTCGCATCCACGTCTCTTCTCTGGCTTGGTCTGCTTCTTGGTCCCAACTGCGAGACACAGACACAGGTGGCGCCTGCAGGCAGCTCCAGGAGAAGGGGGGCCACGCATATGCACAGCACACGGAGGCGCGCGCACAACACACACCCCTCTCGATCACCACCACCCCTGCCTACCACCCGCCCGCCTTTTTTGGGGGCCCCTCTGTCAATCGCCTTGTCATCCCGTCATGTTTTAAAATTGTCTCTCACGGGCCTCTTCTACTCGGGCGCGCGGCTGTCTGTGATCTGTGTATCGGGGTCCTCTTCTCCAGTCGATTCGCGACTGGAGAAAAAAAGCAAATACTGCTGCATGTCCCCGATCGAGAGCCACAGTTGCGTTCCATGCCGTGCGTGGGCTGAAGGAGGAATCGAATATCGCCCAACGCGCTTAGACCCGACGTGAGATACGCAAGGGTCCCGCGGTACGGCTCGGGCGGTCAGCCGTCTGCACCGCAAAGGCCTGGGCCGCCAACAACAGCTATCTTTGGTGTTTCGGGGAGGGGGCGTGGGCTGTGTTGGTTTTGGCGAGGCACCTAAGAAGGCAAGGCACCTAAGAAGGCAAAGTACGTAAGGGAGAAAGGAAGCGACCAACACGTCAATATGTTCACTTTCCTCAATCACAAGGTGGGCCTGCGTGTAGTCTCCCACCCCCCCTTCCTCTTCAACCCCCTTCTCTTCTCTGTGCTGGGGGGCCATGGAAGTATTGACAGGTCCGACTCCCCGGCAAACTGTGAAGTTATTGACAAAGCGTTGACAAAACTGCTGGTTGTAGCCGTCGCCCAGTAGTGGGGAGCAGACAGCGATGTTCAGGTATCATGCTCGTCTTGCTAAGACAATGAGGCGGTCGTTGTCTTAGCTGCCACCCAGCCATTCGCCCATCAACAAGGCGAAGACAAGAGGGCAGCCCCTCTCGCCCGCCCCCGGGCCCCCTCTCGTTGCGCCGCAGTATTAGCGGGACCGGCCATGAGACCGTGGAATGTGTCTTTCCACGATGACAGCTGCCCCCGCCTACAGCTCAAGACACTGGCCAATATCCCCGTCCCCCGATTCCTTCAGCCCTGGTGGCCGGTCAGCTTGGGGTGAAAATGGAGTGATGTATATATGTGTCATCAGCTGTAGCGATGATCCCTGGACAGCAAGCTATGATGGAGAGATACGCATGTGTAAAGAAGAAGAAGAAAAAAAAGAAAAGAAAAGAGTATCATCATCATGACCCCGATCCGGCCAGGGTAACCCTTTCTCACCCGAGTCACGGGGGGGGGGGCAGAGGTATAATGCGGCTCTGCTATACCATCCACAATCTTCACTCCCGCCCCTTTCGGGACCTGCCAGCCCTCTTTCGCAACCTCTTGCCCCAGACGGTCATCGCTGCGCATAGTCCTCCCCACTGACGCAGCGCACTGTCCGCATTCGTGGTTCCAGTCATCGTGCAGTATGGTTCTGCAAACAGCCCAACAGGGTCATAACAGATACAAAGCCGTTTTGGAACCGTCGCCGCTGTTGTCGTTCCCCGCCAAGAGCACACAGGCTCTCGAGGCTCCCAGCTACGCCAGACAGCTGGTTCACTTCGACAGAGATTCGTCGTGCCGTGAGCACTTGAGCTCGATGTTGTACATCGGAACGCGGGCACAAGGTGGCCAGAGACACGAAATAGTAGACCATGGGTGATGCTGGACTGGTTGTGAACTGTAAGCGCCCATGCTGCCCTGATATCAGATCCCTCGTGTGGGTGACAGGGGTTGCTGGGGGAGCGAGCTTGTCGTGATCTGTTCAGCGTCAGCCCGCAATAAGCCTGTCAATGTGCGGGGTCCGGGCAAGGAAAGCCACCGGGCACACCACCGAACATCATGGGCAGAGAAAACAAGATTGGCAAGCAGATAAGGGGGGGTTGGTCTGTTAGGACGGAAAAGCAGGCATCTTGCTCCGAAGAGAGGCGCGCGTGCGTTGTTTTTTTTTTCTTTTGGTTTCGCTCGTCGACGTCTGATTATCACCTCCTTGCCCTCAGGCTCCCGAGTGCTTCCCGGTTTGCCCCCAGCAAGTCTGGATACAAATCCACCCTGACCTATAACAAATCGAAGCCCGTGTTATCAAGTCCTATTACCGGAACCTGAATTCTCCTGTCCAAGGGCATGCCTGACTGTCGCATTCCCTGAATTTTGGAGTCTTTGAGCTTGCATCCGGCTAGGGTCTGCTCTGCAGGGTCGTATAGCGGAAAGCACAAACGTCGCCGATGACTCGCCGTCCTACATCCCCTCCATCACTTCCCTCCTCTTCGATGCCGAATCCGAAGCTCGGCCCGAATCCCATCATCAAGCGAGATCCGGCTCTGTTGTTCGATGGCGAGCTGCTCCGAACTAGCAATGTCTTTGTGACTGAAAAAAATACCAAACGCACAGGCTTGTGCCCGAAAAGAGAAAATGTTCGCTGAATGATGAACGCCAGTAAGTCTGTGAGTGTTGCACGACTTGACGAATCGGAGAGTACAAAATGCTCCGAAATGTTCCCCTGAACTCCTTGCCAAAATAAAAAGCATAAACTCCCGCGAAAATGGTTGGTGACTTGAGATCGTTTCGGGTACGATGTGTCAGTGACGTCGCGAACCGGTTACTTCCTGTCCGGAGAGGCAACAACTGCGGATGAGTCGATAACATTGGGTTATTTGTTGCTTGAATACCACAAATCGATGTCGTGGTCAGCTTTAACCACCGCAGAGGGGGCAGGCGCCGGGAACCACGATATAGCGCTCATGAGGTCCTTTGACACATGATCGCTTGTGGCTACCATCGGTAGAAGTCCTGAAGAAATGCGCTCCAGGGTCGATACACGACGTGTAAATGTAGTAATTTTTGGTGAAATCGCACATGATGGGCAAAACCAGCAGTGCTGTGGGTTGTCTGGTTATGGGTCAGCTACAGTGTTCTGAGCTCATGGCCTGCGGTGAGGGTGGCGGGAACTGATCCGTACGTGGAGCTTGGCGTCAGCTTTGATACTGAGAGCAGCGATCAAAGAGGCACTGATCGCCTGCAGTGATGAGATGGTTCGCGAGTTGACACGAGGTCAGGTGCCTTGCCACGGCGTATGTACAGCGTGACAGCAGCGTATGGATGTGTCGAGCGTGATAATATGAGGAGGGTCTTAGAAAAGCAGAGGACGAGTCAAAAGCATGCAAAATGCTCGACCTGTGAGGGATAGATGGTACAATGTCCACCGAGGTGAAGTCAATGAGGCGTCAAAGCATAAGGGCCATAGAGAAAAAGGGAGCGGCGCCAGGAGCTATATATGAGGGGGGTGGAATGGATGGACGGGAGCGACTTGGTCTTACCTTACCTGGATGCTAGGTGAGGACCAGGCGCAAAGCACAGGTGTTTTAGGCCGGTAATTATTTTGATGGATTCCCAGAGTGATGGACCCTGTCCATGTCTGAGCCATGACGGCAGCGCTTGCATCAGGAAGCGTAGGAAAAACAAAAAACGGCCGTTAGGAGGGATAGGTACTTGGACGGGAGGCAAGGTCCTTGTCCCATGTCCGTGACCAGGGTCGAGGTCCCTTCTCACGTTTCCCACGGACTAACTGCCCAGGTCTGCGACAATGGGACCGAGTGGGAAAATTCCCCCATTCAGCCATGGAGGGGCTTTGACAGTGGACATTGACTGGGGGGGGGGGGGTTGAGCGGGCCAGGGAGGGGTTCGTGTAGAATGAGGGGTGGGAAGGCGTTTGACACGGCCTGCCTTGTCACGACTAGGGGTGTGCTCAACGACCACAAATCCGGTGATGGAGGCGTGCGAAGGGCAGCCTCCAGCTCGTGGACGCCCCTCCTCCCACCTCGGGACAAGTAGTGGGTGTGTATCGTACTCACACCTGGTTTGTTGCGTTGGCACGTCTGCCAAAGGTGGACAGCGAGGAGAACGGATCGGTTCTTGGGCCTGATGCAACTGCTTGAGGGTTCGCACCAAGGCCAGTCGGGTCAGAGCGGCATCGTGGCTGCGGCATCGTTCGCACTCCAACACGGGACTGAGATGACGGAGCCTCGGACCTCTCTCCTGTCTCTTGATGAGCGTGGTGCATTCATCTGGTTGCTCAGTCAGTCTTTTCTGCCCTGCTTGCTTTGCTTCTCATGGCCTCACTTTCCCGCTTGTCGCTTTGGCCTGGTATTCCGTGGGATTATTGAACGGCCTGTGGATCTTTGGGAAAAGAAAGACTGCTAAAGATCGCTGCGCCCATGCCGAGTGCCTGTCAAGCCCGAGAAGCTGAAGCTAGGCGTATAGTAGGCACCCGCACAGAGTAGCCTGACAGCGAGGGGGTGCGCTGCGCACGAGCCCCCCGGACGACATGTTGACGCACCGACCCCGTCGTCCTAGCCTTCGTGCCCAAGGTTCCTTTGCGGGCGGCGGGGGTGGGATAGGGATCGGGCTGTAGGTAACACAGTTGCGAAAACGGCGGGCAGAGGCGGTCGGCCTTTGTCCGCCGTACGACTATGCACCAGCCAAAATCGCACAGTCTGACTCGACGGTCCCACCGATCGGTGAATATGTTTGTATCCTATACCCCCATAAGGTGCCTCATGATGCCGAAGGAGAAATGGCACGAGAGCCGCATTGGATGGCTACACTCTCGTTCCGACAAGGGGGTTGATTTATTGCCCTGTCCCCCTGCTTTCTACCACGCGGAAGTCTGTTGTGTGTGAGGAGGGGCAATTGTCTCAATGTAAAGGCGACGTGCGAAAGCGAGCGAGCGAGCGAGCGAGCGACACGGCTTCATGGCCTATAATGGGCAGATCCGAGTCGAGACCGACAACGCCCGCGAACGACGCGCCGTGGAGCAGCCAACAGCCAACAGCCAACATTCCGGGAGATGTGGTGGGGGCCACGAGGTAGACTGACGTAGGCGTGAAAGACCTAGCATCGGCGGCGGGCTCGATCTCGACATGCATGTTGTCGTTGTGCTTGACCAACGTTGCGCTGAGAGTCATGACAGGTTGTAACGGTAAATCTGCTCGCCCAGAATCCATGCGCCCACGGTTGAAGAAGGTAGCGCTCCCCATAAAGCGAGCTTCTGGGGTGTACCATGCTCGTCTGATCCTGCCTCGATCCGTATGGTAACTTTGCCAGTGGCATGGACGCGGTAGGCCGACGTCGTATTGGATCAAAAACGATTCCCTGACGAATCTGCCACCATGTTGCCTGTCGTGCTGTGCCAGCTGCCCCATCATGTGCTTAGATTCGGCGGCCTGCGCTCGTGGAGTCTTTGTTCTGTCCTTGCTAGCATTTCCACAAGCAATCAAAGTCCATCAACCGGCAGCTCGCAGGGACTGTAATAGGGATATTGCTGGCTGGCAGGTGCAAGCATCGATCCCCAAGGTTCTGAACAAAACCTGCAGAAGACAGGACGCTGCTGTCTCCACTAATCTCGAAATCGACAAGCTGCTGAGGGTCGCACCTCCCTCTGGAATTGCACTCGGGCCACCTGATTTGGACAGGCTGGAAGGCGGCAGAGAGTGCCGTGCACGGGGTAGGTACTTGTAGTGCACAGGCAAGACAGGGCAGGTACGCGCTGTTCGGGGGAAGGCCCGCCCAGGTCTCACACTCCTCAGTAGCTCAACCATCTGCTCAACATGGTACGCCGCCAAAGCGGTACAGTGACGCGATATCTGCTTGTTGAACGTCAGTTTGGTGTCTCTGCTGTTTGCCATATGGCTTGCCTCCCATGGCCGTTCCCAACCGTGGAATGATTTCATGCCGACTGGCTCCTATCAAGAAAGAGAAACAGTCTGACGAGGCCACCACATGTACACTCCGCTGTTCTACGTTTCTAGGTTCCGTGGTTTCTTCGAGGTCAAAGCACTGCTACTCATCGACCTGCACTTGGTTTCGACGGTAGGCAACGCGGCCTTTTGCTGCTCGTGCTAGTGATACCGTTCTGCCCACATATCCACTACCGTGCACTTAACCGTCCTCTTACCCTGTGACCCAAGGACGATGCATTGGCATGATGCGCCAGCAGAGCTTTCGTGTCACAGCGCGAATCCGACAGCATCTTACAATATTCAAACCTAGTGGCGTCCTTCATGCCGCTCAACATCTTGAGCATCGCATTCGCAAGAAAACCTTACTTTTCATCATGGTTTATATGCTACCTGAAGCAGACCAGACACCCGTGAAGCCCACCACCAAACTCACGGTTGCCACCGCAGCCCAAAGAATGCATGGCCGGTACAAGGTGCTACCCTACCTGTTTGCCATGGCAGGCTGCACGCATGTTGCTTCCTGGGCTATTCGACCGATATGTACCGAACTGCTGATTCGCACAATTCGGGTTTGGGTCGCTTAAAAAAACCAGAGCGGCATGTTGATCCCTTCCCCTTCCTCGTCAGGGACCTCTTCAGGTACGACACTCGTGCTGGTCCAGATGCGAATCGCTGGTTATCTTTCCCGGAACCGAGTGGTGACAGCGCGCACACCCCCACAATGCTGAGGCCAACACCGATCGGCCCCAGTTTCGAGAGTCCTTTCCCTCGTCAACCATCCCCACATTGCTACCGCCGCCGCTGCCGGGCGCCAGCACGCATCTGTACATCCGAGACAATTGTACAGACGACTACGACCTCACACCCGTCTGGGACTGGTATTGAAACCCTCAGACGCTGTTCAACTCTGAAGCGGCACATGATCTGGCGAATGTCGCACCTCGACAGTTCCGACATTGACCGACATTGATCATGGTGCACCGTGTTCCTCCCCTTTTCATGACTGGTCAATCCCTTGAAGGTCGAGGGGCTGTCGCGGAGTCTCTATTTGACGTTCGCGCTCAGATGTCCATCAAATCTCAGATCGCGAGCAAAAGCAATGTTCGCCAGCATGGACCCGCCAAGTCGGCTTCATCTTGAGTGCCGGGCTCCAGCAGCCACTGATTTTTCCAGCTTTACCGTTGTCCAGTTGTTCAGCTCTTCAGCCTCGCTGTTGCTTGCAAACTATGCTTTTACTCGGACCTCTGCAAACCTACGGCCTGGGCCGTCACCCACAGGAGACCAGGTGCCGACCTTGCACAGTATATTGATCGCAACCATGGTGCGCGACGCGACGGCCTCAGCTAGTTCACTTGCTTCGACTCTTCCAAGCTTACGGATGGAAGTCCCCACCCGGGCTGGGATTGATCTGTGGATTACGCAGCTCCACTGGTGACCAGGAGCTTTAGACGTCACGATCATAGATTGTGAGGACTCCAAATAGTGGAGTGGAGGCTCCCGCCCTCTGCAGTTCTTCCTTCCCATTCTAGCTCTGATCGCCTGGCCTCTCTTATGCAAAAAGGGCTCGCTCATGGTATGATTACCGAGATATCTCGGAACACGCTCCATTTCAAGGTCCCGCTAGAAACCTTAAGCACCTTGATGGCCAGCGCAACGACGTAGCATGGCCCTGTCAACACGTTCTCCGTTCCGAGGCGCAGTGGTACAAAAGGTTGCTGAAGGAAGTTGCGGACGAGCACAGAGGATCCGTGCTCGGCAACAAAGTAAAAAAGGAACACTCATCATTCTACTGGCACACCTCCTTGGCTGAGTCATCTTTCTGGATCAGCCTCCCGCACATCTCATTGTGTTGAAAACGCCGTATTAGACATCGCGTTTGCAACACGGCATACTGTGTGTTGAGATGTCAAAGCGCAACGAGAGCGCCGCCCACACCCCTCCCCTCCACCTAGCAGTCACAACCACCCCGGTAAGTTTCACACCATGACAACAGAGGTCAAAGCGGGAGCAAGGCTCCCCGGTTTTGCTGAGCTGCTGTGGCCTTTCCAAACCTTTCTGCTCTCATCTGATGTTTTCGACCCCTGAACCCAACTAACACACTTTGTGCCTACGAATGCATCACACAAGATTCGGACGAAGCTCGGGCCATGGCTGCTTCTGCCCACCACCTACCTAGGTGGCTTGGCATCCTTCTTTTCGCAACTAACGACGAGACTGGCAAAGCTCAGCGCATCTTCACTTGAAAGACATCCACTCCCTGCGAGTGCCTAGACGCTTGATGGTTAGATGGGAACTTTGACAGCCCGGAGTCTGTGGCTATGACCGCAGGCCCACATGGCTGAGAAGAAAGATGCTCGATGGCACAGAGAGGGGGGGTGCGAGATGCCAACGGCCCACGATCTCAACTTTGCAGAATAGAACAATGCCAACACACCAAAGAATCGACGGTGGCCAGGCTCTCAGCGGCGTTGTTATGTTGATGATCTGATATCAGAGCTTCGACAGGGCTGACTGACCCTTATGTTGCTTTGCCGCTCACTGCCTTGTTCCCCCTGGCTGCAGCTTCCCCCCAAAATGCACCCCATCGTGGGATGTAAAAGCAAACAGGGTTAGGTAGCCCAGGCTCCATGCACGAGGCTCAGAACGGCAGTGTTCTTGGGGACGATGAATTGTCAGGGAATTGCACGTCCTGCAGCGCGGCTCTACAGCCGGACACGAGTGGGGCTGTTCCACATTCGGGCTCTCCGCCAAGGGGTGTCCGAAGATCGCAAACACCCCAAGCAAACGCAGGGCACCTCTGACGCGGCGTGAAAGGCTGTGGGCAGAACCGAAATATCAGTTGCCATGCCCTGATTATTTTCTCCCTGTCATCATATTGCCACGCAAACAGGCTGGGATTGAATCGTACCCGGCGAGTCATAAGCCAAGGTTGTGCTCGAACCTCACTCAAGCTAGGTTTACACTACCTCGCAGATATCGCCTGATCTGGGGTATGCTGAATAATTAAGCGCCCAAAGTAACCATGATCACGCCGTCTCTTACTCTAAGCGCTACACTTGGGACTTGACACGAGATCACCTACACACATGTACATGGTATCTTCTGAGCTCCGCTTGTCCACTATCATCCCTGCCTAACAAGGATCGTACATGTACATCGGATTCCCTTGGCGGAACGGAACTCGATCTTGACAAGAGTCTCGAAGAAAGGGGCTCGGACTTGTCCAGATTGACAGATGCAGCTTGCATCACTGCGCAGTCAGTCTACTCGTGTTGCCTTCTTATTCGATTGAACGACACCTCGATACTAGCAGCTGGTATGCTTCACAGCAAGTCATGCTCAGCGGTTCTGAGCTTGACAATCACCTCATCTCTCGCCACTACTTGCATTGGAAGTAATATCATGCAACGTGTATCCCTCACACAGGGCGATCGAGCCGATCCCAAGGCACGACCCTCATGCATCTACATAGACCCCAGTTGATTTCAACAACTCGATTTGGCTATGTGCATGAAGACCTGGTCCTGGCTGCTGAAACTTGGACCACCTGCTCCGACAACACCGTTGCAAAGACGCGCACGGAAGTTTGCTCCTTTGAGGGGCCGGACTTGCTGTATACCATGTACGTTGCCATCTCTAGGATCGGTTGACTCAAAGACATCAGGCCTGTGAAGCTGATGGACCTGGGTTTGCAATCATGAAGATCACTCGCGTAGCCGTCTAGACTTTCTTTCCTGCCATCTAGCCAGGCCCTCGGACAGCTCATCGCCACTGCTACCAGGCCTCGGACCCCGCTACCGGGCGACCCGACACTCATCTCGCTGGTCACTCTCCTCCTGTCCGAAAGGCTGGGTCAAAGCGTCGCAAAACATCAGGCCACCAACGAGAGTCCAAGTTGGGATGAAAGATGTCAACCGCAAGCGAGCATCAATGCATAGCCTTGGCTCCTATCGTGAACGAGATTTCGACTGATTCGGTAGAGGCTGACCCACGAGGTCCATATAAAAGAACTTGGTGAACATATCATCATGGTACGTTAGTTGCAACCCCGTGGCACAACTGTGGTTTTCTAGTACGGCGTACCTGAGTCACAGAAATCGAGGAGCGCAGACTCAGCACATAACCAGCCGTCGGCAATGCACCGACGACAGTGCGCTGCCGTATAGGTAGGGTGCGTGCCGTTTGAAGGAGTCTGCAGCGTTCCATCCCTGCCCATCTGGTATGGGGCCTCAGAGAACGGGGCGGACATGACCCACGCCCACATGATGACCAAGAGCGACATGCATGCATACGGGCGATATTCGAGAGAGAGAGAGAGAGAGAAAAGTCTCCGGTGCTTCGCTCCAGGGGCCGAAGTATTCTTCACCGCGTGGCAGATGTGCGGGTGAGCAGACCATTGTCATTTCTCACATACGACTATGACTATTATTGTCCCTGGCTGGCGGAACCAAGCTTTCCCAATGCTGCACCACAGGCAGGCATGCTTGCCCATGGATCTCAGGAACGAGGGCTACTGCACCCCGCCCGTGGCATCACTCTTGTTGCCCTGCGCCTCTGCGTCCTGCCACCCGTGTCGACGTCTTCGAACCTACAGCATGGCAGCTGCGGCGATGAGGCCGCCCAGCACGCCGACAGGCATCATGGTCGCCAAGGGCCCTGCGTTGGGGGTAGAGGTCGAGGCCGTGTTCTGCGCATTGGCGGCCGAGCCAGTGGTTGATGCCGTCTGCGAAGCTGAGGTGGTGGCAGCGGCGGTGCCTGAAGCCGTTGTCGAGGAGCCGGACGCCGCTGTCTTGCAGACGACCGAGTCGGGCAGATCGGTGACGCCGGAACCTCTGCAGAGGCGTTTGGCAAAGTCAACTGCAGCCTGTTGCTCCTTTTGCGTGCAGCCGGCGGCAAGGCAGCATGCCATGTCGTCGAGGAAGCTCTTGTTGCTGCAGATGCACTTGTTGTCGAACTGGCCGCAGCCTCCAATGTTCCCGCCGGTCGTGGCCTCGATTACGCATGGTTGCTGTCGGCGGCAGAATGGTCAGTCTCGCAGTCACCAACGCATCACCAAAGAGCCAGAAACGAGACCGACCGGCGAGGCCTCAAGACCGATCGGCGAGGCCTCAAGGCCGCCAGTCATCAGAGAGCGACGACGATTGCTTCAAAGGGAGAGGAGAGGGTCAATACGCACGGCGCACTTGGGCAGGTCGCCCGTCGACTGAGCAGCAACGAGGCCGACGAGGGCGAGAATGGAAGCAGTGATCAGCTTCATCGTGATGTCAGACAGGGACTAGACTACACAGAGAGATGGTGGATTGCGCAACTGTTGTTGGGTGTGGAAAAGTGGGATGGCGGTACGTCAGGGCGCGAAGAGGAGAAGGGGCGCGAATCCGCTCCTGTCGAACGAGGCACCAGGCCCGAGCCCCAAGCCCCCTTTGAACACACGGTACCTTGCCTCCTTCCTCATCCCAGGGGTTGCGCGGCCGAGATTGGCTGACCGCTGGGGGAAGTCTCGGCCCAGATCGATGCTGCCCCACTGTTGGCGACCTGCTTGCCTGCGTCCCCAACCATTTCCGAGGTGCAGAGCAATACTACTGGCGAGCCAATGCAGGGCAGGATCTACTGCATGCCAAGGAAGTGCATTCCCCAGGATGCGGAAAGCTTGAAGCAGCCACAGAGACAACGTACATGTAATACAGGAATGAGGCTGGTGAAGATAGATTTCAGCCACCACGTCTTTCCAGCCTCAGTCACATCAACCTCCCACAGCCTCACAAATGATGGGTTCCTTTCCAGCAGCTCTGCTTCGCTACCGCTGCCGACCCCTATCGTCTGCCTTGTCAGAGCCATCGAAAGAACGCTGCTCGAGAATGCGACGCGCGTCTACATGTACGTCAACATTCAGCGGACGAGTTCATAAACCTGTCGATCCGCGTACTCGGGCACCTCCTCCGTCTACTGTGCTCATGCCCGCAAATCGTCCGCTGGAGCGTTCCAACGCAATGCGGACATGCAGTCAAAGCCAGCGTGCGCACGCGTCATTGCGCGGCTAAGCGGGCCAACTACATGGTACGCAAGTACAGTGCATTGTCGAGCCACGAGCAACATTTGATCCCACAAGGCGAGACCACGACAATCTCCGACTATTCCGACTATTGCCGTGCACAAAGTTTAACAACGACCATCACTACCCTGACCGAGCCTTCCTCACTGGGCACCGGAGAGCAGGCTGCCGCCTGGCACGGCCCAGCTCTACAGCCTCTCAGTGCCGCCGGTACCTACAAGTACTCACTTAGTTCTCTCGCCCGTCTGTCTCCACGCAGAGGAAATGCGTGTTGTTGTTCCGCCGCAAGCCACTCCCGGGCCCACTGCGTCCTAGACTCTGCAGAAGGTTCAAGCCGGTGTCTCTCGGGCCTCCCGCCTGCAAGCCTGAAGCCGCCGCCATTCCCGTCCGTCCACGAGACGAGATGCCTTCTAGGTCTTGCGATACCGAGCTTGTCACTCGACGGCGCGAGCGACGCGGGTAGGACAGGCCGGCCACTCGGTCATTTCGTTCTCGTGCAGCCGACTGCAGCCCGAACCAGAGCAGCCCGACCGCATGATCGACAGCGGCAAGTCCTGCGGAGACTTCCTCTACAGGCCAAGACCCGGGAAGCAGACTGGCTCGTCTCTTGCCTGTCCGACCTAATGACCCGCTGAGCGCACATCGCTGATGTCCTACGCCAAAGGGGAGAAAGACGGTGGGGGACGGAGGGCCGAGCGACTGGGACCATGGGCCGCTCAGAACAGCTTGCTGGGTCGGCGAGAGCTTGACCGCCGCCCACCCGCCCACCTCCTCCCATCCCTGGACGCCCTGACCACACCGTCGGGCTCGTGGGCCGTCGGCAGGGCTCGGAGGTGCGGATCATCACTCCGACAGTCTTCTTGGTGACGCCGGCATCATGCAGCCAGGGTGGGAAGAAACGCGGTGGCTCGAGTTCGTCACAGCTGCAGGCCTGTTCGATGCAATTGCCGGACCCTCCCCACAACGTCGTACTGCACATCTCATCAAACAGGCCTCTGCCGGATCGCCCCGCCCTCTGACCTCGAACGATGAAGGGTGACCCTATGATATGCAGTGTTCCAGGCGGTATCCTGGCCGAGACGAGCTTGATTGCACAGCGGCCAAGCAATTCATGACAATCTAGCGCATCGAGTACAGAGTGTGGCGCGGATAGAAGAGTGCTTCGGGCTAGATCATGAGATGGCTTTGCGGGCGCAGCAAGCAATAGTGGTGGGCACATCAGTCTTTGTCCGTGCTGACGCTCAACACGCCCTTGCCCAGACTATCGTCGAGCTCACATTGGAACTCCGGCGCCATATGCGCGTTGCAGCATCCTCGCTCGTCAACGTGCACGACTGATACATAGAGGCGCACGCTTGACTGGTCGAGGCTCGTCTACGGCGGAGACGCTTTCTCGGTGCCGTGCGGAGATGCAGTTCGCTCCTCGCCGAGATACATGTAGAACACAGCAAAAACCAGGACGACGGGTCCGACGCTGCGCCGTGAAAATTTCACAACTGGACAAGGATGAAGCGCAGGCCTGCTTACATGTGTAGCGTCCGGCACGCTCCGTGTGAGGCTGTCACCCTGCATATCTGGCGCCGTCGATGGAAGCACCGAAGCAGGTTTGCCACGACAAGACAAGAGGCCCACGATAGGTTCACACCCAGCTAGGCGAATACCATGAACCCGTGTGAAACTCTGATATCTGGTTCGAGTTTTGATTTCATGGTAGCTTGCTTGATGCATCCATCCTTGGACATGCATCGTGCCACTAGCCGATGCAAAGTTGGATGATAATAACAGATGCGCATCACGCGATACCAGGCGGGCACCTTTGCCTCTTCCGTCCTGGTGTGTCACCGCACTGATGGTCTGTCACGGCAATCATGGTCCCACCGCAACACCCGAGCCCGACCCTCCAGATCAACTGCCGCTGGTCCCCTTGGCCAAAAGTGTATCCGTCGGGTCGTAATGTACCCTACACTCCAAGAAAGAGAAATTTGCTCAGCCCAAAGAAGTCTGCTCTGATATGCAGAAACCACGCCACTCTCAATCCAGGAACTTGGATTGTCCCCCTTCTTGTTTCGGTCGAAACGTGGGGGCGGGGGATCTTCCCATGCCCATTCAGGAACATGTTTCCTCCCTCCCCGCCTCCATGCAGAGCGAGCCAAGGCGTTGATGTACATGTACCGCTGCCTCTCCCCTTCGCTTCGGGCGAATAACGCCGACAAGGGAGGCACTCTCTCTGACTTTCCCTCCCCTCCTCTACTTGTCACGTCGGGGATCCGTACGCACCGGTCACTAGAAACTGCCGTGCAGACGGACCACCCAAGCGCGCGCACATCGGATGTCGTGACTTTATTCGATACGGATCTCGCAAAGGCGCCGAGGCGGCTTTTTGGGGCGGGGGTTTGACACGGCATCCGTGCCGTGCCCACCCTCTCGTCCTTCCTCTCACCTCACCTCACTCACCCTTCTCCTTACCCCACCCAATTCCCTCGTGGGCAGTGGACATTTCGACATGCCTCACCTCGCTGACTCGAAAGACGCGGTCATGTCATGTCGTCTGGGATTGTCATGTCTGAGCGGCGGAAGAACCAGGTTCCGCTTTTTCTCACCCCCCCCCCCCCCCCTCCAAACGAACCACCCCTTTCCCAGCCGCCGCCGTTCCCTCTCTCGTCACAATCGTCCCAACGTCAAATCGTCAATCTGGAACAGATCCGGTACGCGAGGTCGTGACCCAGAAACTTCTTACCCTGGGGGCGGGAGGAGCTAGGGAACGACGGCTCGGTCAGCCGCAAGCCTAGGCCGAGAGGCAACTAGATTCGAGGTCCCTGCGAGGCAACATTTCCATTTACGCGGAGGTATCGTGACCTACAGTACACCAAGCAGGTACACTAGATTCATCAAAAGGCGGGTGGAGCCGCGAGCGAAGAGGGGGGGGGATTACACGCTGCACTCGTGCCGTTTCCTCTTGTTCCTTTTCCTTTCTATTGTCTCCTGCTCAATCTTCTCACCATGTACGTTTGTCTCCCCCCCCCCTGGAAGGATCCATTCTCATCTGTCGGTTCCCCATGCGAGGTAATTTGAGGCTCTTGGAACCAAGATGGCGCAAACCTTATTTCCGACTTGGGCTGCAACCCCCTGGCTTGCCAGTGCCTTTGGTACTTTACCCTGGTCTCTTCCAGCTTGACCAGTCAGTCGTCGCTGATTCATGAGGTCGGGGGTGGTGGCAACAACGGTGGTGGCACGTCGTGGAAACGGGCAGAGCACACGTCAATACAGACCCCCGTCGTCAAGGGTCCCAAAGTGGAGGGGGAGGGAAGAACGCAGCAGGTGGTCTGTTCACAAGGGAGGAGGGTGACATCCGTTATGGGGAACGGCAGTCAGCATTGGGTACCCAACAACCAAGATTTCGTCCCCTTCCTACATTAGTCTTCTTTATCGTCTCTTCCTGAAATTCGGGTGCTTCAAGCAATCCATCAGTGCAGATCAAGCTTTGATCCCTGTCTGAGCCGAGACCTCGCATTGCAAGTGGAAACCCCAACCTCAAGCTACGACCACCTCGTATGCCGCCGTGATCAACTTGACCGCTCCTTCGTCGTCGACAAGTTTTCCCTCAAAGAAAATGTCACGCAGCCCGTCCTCAGTCCGGCACAGCTTGTCCGCCCTGTACTGGAGCTTGACGAATAAATCTCCGTCGTCCCAGATCTGCTGTGACCCCTCGGTCAGGGTGGCCATCAAGTGGAGAAAGACAGCCAGAGCCGCGTGGTATTTGTCCGTATCTGCAATAATAGAGTAGGAGCTTCCGGTACGGAGAAATTGTTCCAGGATGTCAGAGTCCGAAGGGATAAGGTATGTTCCGTCTAGGGCTGAAAGCGGAACCGCATAACATCGATCAGTAACGGCTTCTGTGCCAGCGCCGCGTTCGTTGGACGTCTCGGTCTGCTTGTTCACCAAGTTTTGGAGTGCTTTGCTCGCTTCTCCTGGACCACCTTTCTTCTGTAATTGAACGTGCTGCTCGGCGAGATAATGCAGGAGCCGCATCCAGACGAAGCGCTCAACGTCCTCGGGCCCAACGTCCTCCATGAGGCCAGCGAGGCGGACGAGCACGAGGAACCCGTCAATCGGATACTCGAGTAAGGGGCTTTGGTGGATCGTGGACTGGAAACCTTGGAAAGTCACGCGAAGAGCCTGCTGCAGTGGCATCGTGTCATTGACCACGCCTGAAAGCGGGCTGCCCACCGGCGTCAGGCCAGCCATGGTGGAGATGCCGGGAAGCTTCGACAGCTCTCGACAGCACCATTCCAAGCTCGGCATGAGGGTCTGGCATTCTGACTGTATCGCGCCGTCAACCAGGTCCTCAATTGTGGTGCAGAGGGTGGAGAGGAAGACGAGGAACACAATGCTGTCACGGAAGCGGTGACCGTATACTTCCCCCAGCTTCTCCTCCCACAACTGCCTGTTTTCACGCTTGTGGAGCGGGACCAGCGGTAACGCAATCGTCACACGGTCGTCATTTGGAAGCTCTCCAGCCTGCAAAAGCAGGGAAGCGCACCCATCGCAGCATGTTATAGGCAGAATGACGTCCGTCTCGGGATAGTTGCCGAGTACGAGAGGATACATGTGACCAGAGCGCTGATTTGCCTTTGGCAGATGCAAAGTCTCTGGCTCATCGGAGCTGGTCTGCAGTAGTAGTGTCTGTATTGACCTGGGTTCTCTGCATATCGGGCACGTAGCATATGCGCCGGGTTGCCTGTCATACACAGTGCTTCGCTCGCCTTTGTACCCTGGGAGGAACAACAGGTCCTTGGTTCGTCTGCTTCGGTGACCGATATACGGGCTGAGTGCAGCTTGCTGGTACGTGGCTGGACCCGTGTCCTGGTGATGATAATAATTTCGTTTGGGCCCAGGGCTTAAGGGGCTCATTCTTGCCTCGTTCCTGGCGGAGCTTCCACCAGAATAATGCGCTGTGTATGGCCGTCTTCCGCCTCCCACTGGGGACGACATTGGTGTGAGCATGGCTGGACTTGCTGGGGCCCGCGCATCGTTCATGGTCATAGTCGAGAGCACTTCGGCTAAAGTGTCGTTCAGTTTGCAGGACAGTTCCCAATCCGCCTCAACCTGGCTTTCGAAGTGGGACCAGTTCTGACGGTGTGCAACGCGAAGCCCTGATCTGAAGCTGTCGATGTACGTGATGGTGGTGGCCTCGGACATCTTGGCCTCGATGCCATCAGGTGTTTCATCACGAGACAGTAAACCCCACAGATCTTCAATCCTGTATATCGGGGCTAGGCTCTTGACCTCTTCCAATAAAATTTTCATGCAATTCAATCCATTGGAACCAACATCCTCTCGCGTCATCAAGGCCGCTTCTGGAATCCTGTGGTGACGTCGAGCACTCTCGATCCAAAATTTCACATCTTGATCTTTGCCGCGAGTTTTGGCCGCAAGCAGGATGACATCCAATGCAGAATAGTCTGCCAACAGCTCAATGGTTTCTTCCTTGGACAAGGTGTCATTGTACAGGCTTGTCATATCGAGCGTCTTTCCCCCTGGGAGGACCACAGCATCTGCCGAAAGACGTGTCGGTCGCGGGACCTGAACCCTGGAAAGGTCTTCGTAGGTGATCCTGATGAGATCTTGCCATCGCGTAGTCGGTCCAAAAGGGGTAAATCTTGCATGCTCTGGGAGGAGAGTGGTGAAGGACCCCTTTGCTTGCAACACGTAGAGATCACCGCTTCTGACATCGTGAAAGAGGAAAATGCAGTGAGGAGCCACAGCGAAGACCGAAAGACCAACAGACACATTGCAGTCATATGGAGACTGAACACGGTAGCCATAAAGTATGATGACAGATGCTGTTCCGTGAATGCCTGTTTTGGAGATGGCGTTGGCAAATTTGTTGATGAGCGGCTTCTCGATGAAGCCGTCGGTCATGAGAAACCAAAGACTGGCTTCCTGGAGCGCACGTCGGGCGACTGCATCCTCAAGAACGACAGAAGGATCGGTCCCAGCACCAGGGGTGAGAAACGGGGTTTGTTGCGGGTGTATGACGCCGAGGCATCTTCCATCCCAAGGGATGACACGAGATAGTGTGTTCGACTCAGCGGGCTTCAGCCCTCCCATCAAGAGGCTGATGGATCGTTTTTCTTCATCCAGGATTCGCCCCCGTGTGCTCCCTGAGACGTCGACTGCGAAGACGAGCGGCAGGTCACGAACTTGCATATCGTGCCCAACCCCCACACCTGGCGATGGACTGGGACAAGCCGGTGACGCAGCATGCAGCGGGGGTGTTGGAAGTCGAGCCCATCCCGGGCGGATGGCTGGTGGTGGAGGCGCTCCCATCGGTGTAGCTTCGCTCGATGGAGTAGGGGGTTCAACAGCTGGCGACACGGGAAGAGAAAGCTGCTCGCCGAAAAGTGGTGAAGGCAGACCAGGCGTTCTCGGAATAGTCTCATTGGCTTGACTGGGACTTATTGCAGGTACATGCCTACCGCGCAACCCTTAAGCAGTCAGCATTCTCTCCATGTTCTTGGTCAAGCAACTCAGAATTATCCAGCGTACGATCGCGAAGCCCTCGCAAGCCAAAATTGGCCGCGATCTTGGGGGGCATAGGCCGGTCAGGAGTGGACGGCATTCTTTTGACTTGTGCGCACACTTTGGTCTGGTCTCCGCAAAACGTGCTCCTGGTATATTGAACTCTAGGGGGTAGTCCTCTCAGGTTGGGAAGAAAGTGGTATGGGAATACACGACTTAGGCTTGCTTGGTTCCTTACACAGCAGGGGGTGGGTTTGAAATATGTCTTGCCTCTCTCCGTCTGACATCGGCGAACCAGCATGAGGATGGCGCAGTCACAAAAGAAGGCGTCGCGCAGGCTCACTAAGCCGCAGCGAGGCTCACTCGGGCAGCCAATATGACGTTTTCACACCACACCACAGTGAGGGCGCCTGGCATGCCGCGCTGCAACCCGCAGTTCAGCCCTAGATGTCTCGAGCGAGATCCAAGAGACCTCTCGCCCGCATAACCAAGTCATAGGACTCCTTGAGGTGAATAGTTTGGCTTCACAAGAGGCACAACTGGAGGAGCATCATAGCCTTGGCTGCCGCCATGAGGCGAGTGTGGTAGTCGAAAGATTGATGGGGAATTCGACTGAGGTGACTGAGTGCTACCGGCCCCCACGACTGAATGTCTGCCGTGAGTGGAGTGGTGGAGGCCTGGCCGCTGTGGTTCGCGGACAGGCTCATCAGCTGCCTCGTCGAAAGTATGGTGCGGCAGCGGCAGCGTGGAATCGACGGCATCCTCGAGCCAATGCGCGTCGTGTTGGCTTGCATAGCGCTTCTTCTTTACTTTGCCCGGGGTGGCAGCACTTTCGCGTGATGACGAATTGTCTTGCGACTGGCCGAGGGCATTGTCAACCGCCATGCCACTCGACGGGCCGGGACGTTCGATGGATTGAGAAGAATCGGACGAGCGGAGGCCTCCAGGCTGGTACGGCCGGAGACCAAGAGGGGCATCAAGATGTTCAACATCCGAATTGGCCAGAGCAACTTGTTCATCCTCGGCCACAAGGCTCTGGCGCTCATTCGATTCGTAGGGGTGCTGAGCCAGGTCGGAGCTGCTCAGAGAGGAAGGCTGCGGGGTATCTGCTGTGCTGGGGCCCGATGACACTGCATCTTCAGCCGCTGTGATCCAGGAAGCGTTTAGGGATGATCCATTCGGACGAGCCCTGCGCTTCCGATGGCCTGAGGATTTGCCGGTGCCGGCGCCGGTGTCGATGCCAGCCATTCGCGGTCGAAGGGCAGACGTTATGTTGATGGCGAATGCCAGGCTTGTGGGAGTGGGACCGATAGTAGCCAAAGCTGGTGAAGAGTAGGGCAGGGTAGTAGATAGGAGTCAGTCGGAATCGAAATCGGATGCTCAGATGAATGAGGAGGGGTCGGGCCGCTCCTTGGGCGACTGGACCAGCATGCAGCTGCATCTGACTGAGCTGAGGATCCGACCACAGCCGCACCACAGCCACGAAATCGCGTCGAGCCTGCCTCGAGCTGCCTCGAGCCTCCTGCCTCGAGCCTCCTGCCTCGAGCCTGCCTCGACCAGATGGCGAGGCGGCCGGGCCACCGGCCAAGACAAGGCGGACTTGAGCAGGTCCCAGGGAGCTGCTTGCCTTGGACAATCAGAAGGGAATGGCAGGCTTCCACAAATACCTTGACTGCCAGCCTACCGGTCGGCCTTGCAAGGTGCCCTTTGCCTCCTTACTGTGCTTTGCTTTGTTGTGAATTTGTTTTAGCTTCCTCTCGCTGTCCAACGTCGCGACTGCTCGAGTGCTCACGGCGATGACGCAGTCATTCAAAGACACCTACGCTCCAGAATTGTCAGCCCTCTCCAGTCACCGCCCGTCCTTTGATTCCCGAGTTCTGCCCCTAACCTAATCTCGAAGAGAGGACATCAAGACGATCGCGAGATCCCTCGAGGCCTTCCGCGAATCTCACCTGTCAGAAACCACAGACATTGCTCATGTCCTCTGTCAGCCAGGAAACCCAAGAGAAGAAAAGACACTGGCCAGTTCGACTGACATCGCAACCCTCGTAAGTCATGAGCCGTCGTGGTGACATCTCCATATAGACTGCAGGGACTGCAAGGACTCGCTATGCCAAACATGGAGCTTATACTAGTCCCAGCCTTCAATCAGTTCTGCATGCCACCAGCTATTGTCCGCCCTTCCCACATCCCCGAATGAGAAGAACAAAACAGAGTGGACACAATCTTGACCAGTTGACCCTAGCTTCATATACAAATACCTCATCCAGCGGCCCCTCGAGCCCGTCCCTGACGATGCCAACAAGCTTCAGATATCCGCCAGCTCTCTCGAGAGCCTTACCAAGCACCTGAAGCTGCCCGCGGCGTTCATCTTCGCCCTCACCCGCTACTACCTGCCCAACGGACGAGGCAGCCGCCAGATCAAGATCGGCGACAAGACATGCCACGACACGTGGTATTTTCTCCCAGTCCGGGTTCAGGTCGAGGCAGTCGGCGCCAACCCTACGGCGAACCCGCCCGCGACCACTGACGACGATGACGCCAGCCAGATGAACCCCTTTTACAAGCTCCATCTTCCAGACGTGCAGAGAGATATCCACCGGTCGTGCGTGGGTATCTTCTCGCGCGTCGACTTGGACTCGCAGCGCTTCACATTCGTGGCCTTTGACTTTATGCACGGCCGCTGGCCCAAGGTCGCCCTCGAGCCAAGGGAGCGCATCGGTGACGTTCTCAAGCGCCACGCCCAGAGTTCCGACGCCAGCTTTGGCCGCGAGCACTGCGTGCACCTCGTCTACCTGACGAGCGCCACCCGCTGGTGGACCAATTCTCTGTCGAGCGTCAACGAGCAGCTCATTGCATACGAGCGGCGCCTGCAAGCCGAGCTCGACAGGGCCGGCACCACGCCCGAGTCGGTCCTGACGGAGCTCAACAGAGCGCTGCACTCGATCGCCGCGCATCTCCAGCGGTACCTGTCCGAGCTCAAGTCCCTGCGGGGCATCGCGGCCGACCTCTCTGCCAATCACGCCTCTGTCCACGCGAACGCCGCCGAGCATGGCAATGAGGACGCATTGAAACAGGCGGCCCGCGGCTTTGCCCAGGTTCTGTCGCAGGTCGATGCGGCCCACGAGCTGGCCGTGGAGCTCGAGAAGAAGACGCAGAACATCCTGGCCCTTGTACGTAGCTCCTGCCGCCGCCTCTGCCATTCATCGAGTCCTGCTGATTCCTCTCGGCAAAGCTGTTCAACAGGATCCAGATCAGCAGCGACCGTCTGCTCGTAGCCAACGGGGAAGCAATGCAGGGCATTCTGAGAGCCATGCAGGAAGACGCCAGCCTTGCCCAGCGGATGGCGAGGGAATCGCACAGGCTCGCGCAAGAGATGAAGAAGGACAGCATTGCCATGAAGACGGTAGGATTTCGCCTTTGCACGTGTATAGATGCCGGCAGTTGTTGATGTATGTATGTTTGCGCAGATCGCCATCGTCACCATGTTCTTCTTACCAGGTGCGACATTTGCGGTACGAACATCCAGTGACCAGGGGTTCTCACCATTTCTCCTGCTAACATTCGGTAGACTCTGCTCTCCATGCCATTCTTCAGCGACAACGAGTGGATGGGCCACGCGTCCCGGTTCTGGATCTGGGTCGTCTTCTCTGTGCCGTCAACTGCTGCTTGCTTCATCTTCTACAGCATCTGGCGGAAGCGGGCTCAAAAGTTAGTCAGGGAGGCGGAGGATGGGTTACCGCTGCAAGGCTTGCCGAATATTCGGCAAAACGGACGCGTACGATAGCACACGTCCATCTGTGGGTATCCAGGAGGAAGGTTGGTTCCTCTGAGTGACGGCAGTCCTGTTGGTCTTCATGCTTTCGGGGGTTGGGCCGGGTTTCGGTTTTGCAGCTAAGTGCACAAAGGGCACCATCGGGTGTGCAAGGCAGAATGTAGCTTCCCATGCATGAATATATTGTCTCTGACGCAGCGGCGGCCCTCTTGACATCACGCACTGTTCCAGGACTGCCACGCAGCCTCCCCTAGAATGCCAGTCCAGGTTGTACATCTATATCGAGCTTGTCATCTGAGACAGCCCTACATGCCTGCACAGTCCCCAACAAAGAAAGGGTGACTCCAGTACAGATAGATTACCGAGAGCTTGGACCAGATGCAGAACATGGAATCAAAGTGGGTATATGCCAGGGTTGGGTAATGTAGAAAAAGAGGGGGATATCTTTCGCCATGTGGTAGGTGCAGAAGAAATTCAAGATTCAAAAAAGAAGAAAGAAAAAACGCTTGCTCGCTCATACACAAGAATTCCACAGAAACAAATCAAGACACGAGCCACTTCTTGTCCCACGGACAGGCCAGGCTCAACCCGTGATCTTTCTCCACCAGCTGCTTCGAGGTGGAACCGGCTCGGCGGCTGCGCTCGTGCCGCCGCCCCCGTAGAGAGATCGCCGCCGCTCATCGCTGCCTTCCGAGCCACCCGCCCCCGTCGGTGCTGCGCCGTTGCGCCGCTCCCGCTCCTCCCGACGAGCGCGGCGGCGACGATCATCGCCCTCGTCCGCCGTGGCATCCTCAGTCTTGGCTCGTCGACGACGCTCACGCCTCTCGCGCCTGGCTTCGTCTTCGGTCTCCGGCGGCGGGGGCGCATCGGAGTGCTCCTTGACCCAGGAAGATGTACCGGAATGGGGCCACGCTGGCTTAGCCTCGCCCTTGCGACGGGATCTTTGCTTTGGGTAGACACCTTCGGTATCTGACGGATGCGTGGAGCGGCGTCGGCTGCTCCGATGTTGGCCATTGTCTTCCTCAGCCGCGCGAGCAGCACGTCTTGCCTCACGTCGTCGCAATCTTGCCTCCTCGTCTTCAGATGCCTCGACTGGCCGGGCGCGACGTCGCTCATCGCGCGCCGCACGTCTTGCCTCAGCTTCCGTGGCCTCTCCAGCGGCAGCAGCCTCACGATCCTTGCGACGGCGTCTGCGTTCAGCACGTCTAGCATCGGCATCGGCATCAGCGCCCGCATCAGCGCCGACGTCAGCGCTGGCACGCTTCTCTTCTTCCTCGCGCTGGCGAGCTGCACGTCTTTCAGCGCGTTTCGCTTCCTTCTCTTCGTGACGCCGTGCCTCCGCCTCCTCCTCACGTTTGCGGTGTCGCTCGCGGCGCGCCTTGTCCTTGGCTTGCCGCGCCTCCTCAGCGGCCCGCTCCGCAGTCTCTCTTTCGGCGCGCTCGGCGCGCTTCGCCTTACGAGCTGCGCGACGAGCTTCGCGATCGTCATCATCCACGGGCGCTTCATCTGCTTCAGGGTCGCCAGCAGTGCTCCGCTGGCGACGTTCACGTCTTGCCTCGTCGTCCGTCGTCGCGTACGTGTTCCGCCGTTGCAGCGGGTCAGGGCGCTCAGCCTTTGGTGTCATGAAACCACTAAACATGGCGCCGAAGCCCTTCTTCGCCGTCGAGTTGCTGCGTGACAATGGCGGGGGCTCCGCTGGACCGTCGCCATCCACCATGACAATGTCCTCGTCCTTGGGAGCCTTGGTCCGCCGCCGCCGTTGCTCCTTGGTGGGGCTGACATCTTCGCCATTGGCGCCCACCATGACAATGTCGTCGTCCTCTGGAGCGCGCCTGCGACGTTTGCTCGCGGACTTGTCGACGCCAAAGATCTTGGCGGCTTTGGATGCCATCGGAGGAGGGGCTTCCTCCGGCGGAGGGGAGGCAAGGCCGCCGACATCGTAGGAATGGCGTCGCGAAGGCCTTGCACTGGCACCGAGCCTCTTGTCTCGGGTCGACGTGGATCGCGAGACAGGTGGGGTGCTGAACATGGACATGAGCTTGGGCCGACCTGGGGCCTCCCTCGATCTGTCTAAACGTTCGGCCTTGTCTGATGCTGATCCCTTGGAGGAGCCCTTTTCTTCTTTTTCGGTAGGCGACCTTCTCGACTTGCGCTCGGACGTGGTTCTTGACGGTCTCTTCTCCTTCTCCCTTTCCTTGTCACGTGTAGCTGGCGTAGCGGCGTTCCACATACCCCAGGAGGCAGAGCCCTCGCGGTTGATCTTGGTGCGCTCCTTCTTGAGGGGCTTCGCATCGTCGGGCGGTGGCGTTAAAGGTTGAGGCGCGTCGGGAACCGCAGGTGGAGGGGGAGGCGGAGGTGGTGCTTCGGGTGGGACATCCTCCTTGGACCTCTTCTTACTCTTCTTGCTGCTCTTCTTGCCCGGAGACATGTCGATAATGCCTACAATCTCGTCGTCATCTTCGGGAAATGACCCGGGAAGCTCAGATTTGTGCTTCCTGGGATGACTGGCTTCTTCAACGGGCTCGACGAGCGATCTGTCCTTGTCCCGCTTGGAACGCTTCTTCTCCTCCCTGGTCGGCTCTGGAGGTGGCGGGGGCGCGAGTGGGGCTTCTTCGACTTCGGGTTCTTCGACGGGCGCTTCAAAGGCTTTGAGCCGGTCGGCGAGTTTGCTAGCCTTGCGAGCGGAAGACGATTTCATGACATTGTCGGCGGTCGAAGATGAGAAGGTGTCCTTCCAGTCGCTCGAGGCAGCTTCTAGAGGTAGGATGAGTCAGCAGTGTAATCTCGGGTACGGCCGAGGCGTGATGCAGCTCATCTCGGTGAGAATCTGGGGTGAGTGGAGATGATCAGGGGTGTGTGCCACCAGCCCAGCAGCCAACAGCACACCATCATGCAATGAACAGCGCCCCCCCCCTGCCTTTTTGGGCCACATACCTTTTTTGGAAGGCTTCTTTGCGCCCCAGAAGCTGAAGGCGTCGCTCGACGGCTTCGCCTCCTCGGCCTCAGGAGCAAGCAGTTCCTCGATCTGCTCGGGACTGAGCTCATTCATAGCGTCGTCCAGGTCAGCCCCACCTGCATCGGGCGCCGGTTCGGGCTCCGGTTCGGGTGCTGGCTCGGGCTCGGGCTCGGGCTCAGGCTCCTTCGCCTTGGATTTGGACTTAGACTTGGACTCCTTCTCGGCCTTGGCGCTCTTCTTCGATTTTTTCTTGGAAGATTCAGCTGCGGCTGCGGCTGCGGCTGCTGCTGCTTCTGCCGCCGCCGCCGCTTCTGCCGCCGCCGCCTCCTCTGCCGCCGCCGCCTCTGCCGCCGCCGCCTCCGCCGCTGCAGCTTCAGCCGCTTCCGCCTCCTGACGCTCCCGCTCAGCCTGCTCCTCCGCTTCGCGGGCAAGTCGCTCCTCTTCTTCCTTGGCCGCTTGCGCCGCGGCTTCTTCAGCCTCCAGCGCTGCCAGCGCGTCGTCGCCGACATTCTCCTCCGCGGCAGCTTTCGCTTCGGCGCGCTCGTTGGCGGCTTTGGTCAGGCGGTCGAATACAACCTGGTCCTTTTTCAGCAGCTTACCCCCTCGCTTGGCCTTCTTTGTGATGAGAGCCTCGAGCTCCTTCTCCTCCGCGCGGATTTTTTCCGCTTCTGCCTCGGCGAGAGCAAGCGCCTCCTGCTCAAGGCGAGCGGCCTCGGCGGCCTCGGCAGCTGCGGCTTCTTCCGCTTCACGAGCGATGCGCTCTTCCTCTTCCTTTTTCGCCTGCTCTTCCGCCTCCTTCTCCTCTTGGGCCTTGCGGGCAGCCTCTTCCTTCTCAGCCTTCTTCTTCTCCTTTTCGAGCTTCTTCAGCTCCTTCTCACTTAGCTTGGGCTCCTTCTTCGGCTTCTCCGGTTCAGGTTCAGGTTCTGCTTCAGGCTCAGTCAAGTCCATGGGAGGGGTCGGTGCTGGTGGCGGAGGCTCGGCAAGTATGTCCTTACGGCTTTTCTTTGACTTCTTCTTTGAAGACGTTCCCCAGATGTCCAGATCGTCAGCGGCTTTGCTGTCCTTGGTCTCTTCGACAGAATCCGGCTGCACGGTTTCCAGTGCGGGTTCTTCCTCTACGATTTCGACCGGGACGTTCTTGGACTTCTTGTCCTTCTTCTTCTTCGAGGAGGCTGCGCCCCATATGTCCACAGGCTCCTCAATGGCGTCCGGCTTCCAGGTTTTGTCAGTAGTTGCCTCTTTCTTCTTGGTCTTCTTCTCGAAGGAGCTGATAAAGTCATCCTCGGCCATGGGGTCGCTTACTTCCGGAGCTGCAGGTGGTGGTTCTTCCGCCGCGGGCGTATCGTCCTGGCCAAAATCAACCAAGGCCGATGCTTTACCTTTCTTCGCGTCAGTTTTTTGGCCGAATGCACTCATCCAGTCGGTTCCAGAGGTTCCAAAGACTTTGCTTGTGGCGTTGTTGGCTGAGGGGGTTGCTTCGTTACCTTTCTTCTTCTTATCCTTGTCCTTTTTAGAGCTAACGGCACCCCAAATGTCCCAAGAACTAGGTTCGGCGGCCGCTGGCGCAGGCTCCGGCTCCGGCTCCGGGATGGGTTCGGGTTCTGGCTCAGGTTCCGGATCCGCCCCCTTCTTCTTCTTCTTCTTATCCTTCTTAGCGACAGCTGTCCCCCAAATGTCGACCTCGGGTTCTGGCTCCGCCTTGTCCTCCTTCTTACTACCGAAATCGTCCCAAAAGGCATCTTCCTTGACAGGCTCCGGCTCGGGTTCCGGAACAGGCTCGGGTTCAGGCGGAGGCGGAGGCGGGGGCGGAGGTTCCTCAACAGCGCCCTTCTTTTTCTTCTTCTTGTCTTTTTTGGAAGTGGCTACAGGGGCACCCCAGGGGTCGTCCTTCTTCTCCGGTTCCGGCTCTGGCACTGGTTCAGGTGGGGGCGGGGGCGAAGGCTCCGGCTCAGGGGTGTCCCAAATCGATGCCGTTTTCTTTTTCTTGTCCTTCTTGCCAGTAGCGCCCCAGCCACTCATGAAATCATCGTCGGCCTTGGGGGGTTCTGGCTCCGGCACCGGCTCTGGCACAGGTTCGGGTTCCGGTTCGGGTTCAGGCACCACAGGAGGCGGCGGTTCCGGCTCCGCAGCAGCGCCTTTTTTTTTCTTCTTCTTGTCCTTCTTCGAAGTTGGCGCTGCAAAGTCGCCCCAGGTCTCGTCGGGCTTGACAGGTTCAGGTTCAGGAATCGGTTCAGGGACGGGTTCCGGCTCAGGTTCCGGCACCGGTTCCGGCTCGGGCTCAGCAACGGCGCCCTTCTTTTTCTTCTTGGTACTTTTGCTTGTCGCTCCCCAGCCCCAGGCGTCGTCCTGCACGGGTTCGGGCTCCGGTACAGGCGGTGGGTCTGGTTCTTTTGGCGGTTCCTCCTTCTTCTTCGTTTTCTTTTTCCCAGTCCCCCAGCTATCCCAGATGTCGTCCTCTTCCTTCGGCGGATCAGGTACTGGCTCTGGAGCAGGTGGCTGCGGCTCCGGTTCTGGCTCGGCCACACCCTTCTTTTTCTTCTTCTTGTCCTTCTTGGAAGTCGTTGTCGTGGCCATCCAATCGTCGACAGCGGGTTCTGGGTCGGGAGCTGGAGGTGGTATCGGAGCTGGTTCCGGCTCGGGCTCGGGCTCCGGATCCCCCCATGGGTTGTTCTTCTTCTTCTTATCCTTTTTAGAAGCAGCCGTGCCAAAGGAAAAGCCAATATCTTCTTTCTTCTCCTCTGGGGGAGATGTCGCCGGGGGTTCTTCGGCAACTTCTTCGACATCACCAAACCCAAAGCCAATCTTGCCCTTCTTCTTGGGCTTTGGACGATTGATGCCCCAAGCACTGTCGTCCTCCTTGGGCTCAGCAGGCGCGGCGTCTTTGTTGGTGCTGGAAAAGTCCCATGCCCCTCCTGTGGTCCAACTGGTGCCCCACGTGCCAAAGGATGATGGTTTGGTGTCTGTGGTGCCAAAATTGATGTCGAGCCCGCCCGAGCCCACGTTTGGATCGTCTAGCTTGATTTCCTGGAAAGAATCGGCGGGCGGCTCCTCGGGGGTAGGGTCTCCCGCAGCGCCCTTCTTGCCCTTCTTCTTCTTGGCGGGTGCGAAGCTGCCCCAGTCGTCAACAGGGTCAGGCTCGCCGCCGCCGCCACCAGCGCCGCCATCCCCTCCATCACCTCCGTCCCCGCCAGCACCACCGGCACTGCCATCATTCTTGCCAGCGTCGCCACCCTGATCGCCGCTGCCGCCTTCGTCGTTCTTCTTGGTGCCGTCGTCGTCATTGTTGTTGTTGTTGGTCTCGACAGGCTTGTTGGCGGCAGCTTTGGCAGCAGCGCTCTTTTTCTTTTTTGCAGCTTGCCAGAAGCCGTCCTCGGAAGAAAAGTCAACCTCAAATTCCTGGGTCGGGTCGGCGAAGAAAGCATCGCGACTGCGCCTCCGTCGCTCTTGCGGGGTAGATGTTGGAGGCAGCGGGAACGATGACAGCAATGTGGGAGAATGTTGGCTGGCGCAGGCGTCAGTAGCGGTAGGGTCCATGACCATGTCGGTCGAATCCGAGGGCTCGGGCAGAGGGGCGAAGCGTCGAGACCATCGCGGGGCGCATTCGGGCACCGTGAGGGGAGATGAGGGGTTGTTGAGGGCTGAGTGAGAGTTCCTCCAGAGGAGGGTATATCGAGTCTGTGCAAGTCACGAGATTAGTTCCGATACCAAAAGAGAGGAGAACTATGCGCAGTTGATCTCAAGGGGTCCAGGCAGCACCCCGCCTATTGCCTGAAGCGTCGCCGGCGAGACACGCCGTCGCAACGCCGTCGGGCTCGAGGGGGGGTCTGACGGGTCTGGGATAGCAGTAACTGCGAACGGGTACCGGGTGCTACGCATGTAGGACAGCTGGTGCTGGAGAGTGATTCGCCCTCTTACCGTAGCATGGCGCCTAGCTTGCAACCACGCCCGGGCGATCATGCCCAGGCGGATGCTTGTATCTTGTTCATCCCAGCCAGTCGGTGAGGGCTGGGTCGTTGTTCTCCAACCACATGCGCTTTCCAGAATTGTCCCTGGGAACGCCAAAACCTCGGCCGTAGCCATTGTGGAATTTGGAACTGGCGATGCGATGGTCGGGTACGAAAATCATGGACGCTGTGGGAGGGTCGGTAGAAGCCGCTGGATCGGAGGAGGTCGTGGGTTTGTCGAATTGCAACGACGGGACAACGGGCTCGTTATTGAGGCGGGGAGAGGGTCGAGGCGAGTCTGGTAGCACGAACGTGTGTACACTTGGGCAGAGCGAACAGACAGCACAGTGGACGGAGAGCACGTTTCCGAGTTTGTCTCGTCTTAATCGGGCCTGGCGATGTAGGTAGCCTGGTGAGCAAGGACAGCTAAGCCAGTCTGCCCTCGAAGTGTGGAGGGACAAAGGCGAGACAAGGTGGTGATACAGAGCAGAGCAAAATATTTTTGCGCTGTCGTCTGAGGTTGCGTAGAAATGGACGGGCTGGGGAAAGGGCCCTGTGATGTGAAAAGAAGGGTCGGATCGATAAGTAAACGGAGACCGTCACCAGGCGCCGAATGACGGTGAAGAGCAGGGGGCAGGGATGTAGCTGTTCCGATCTCCCTCTCTCGTCGCTGGTGGCCTGTCGCCCTGGGAGTCAAACAATGCCCGCACGCTTGTGTCGTCGGGTGCTCGAGCCCGATTTCAAAAGCAGAAAGAGACGACTCGATCGCCGACGATATTTTCTCTACTGATTTGGGTGGCGATTAGATAGGTTTCACCTGTGTCTGTTTTCCTTCCTGCTTTCGATCTCTCCTCCTGAGCAGCGCAGGAGCAGATACAAGGGCCGCCAATGGATCATGGGGGCGTGAACCAGCCACGCTGCGACCCTGGGAGCCAATTGCGCCTTGCTCTCCCCTGCTTCTTCTCGATCTCGTCGCTCGACCAGGGCTGGCCAACGCAGGCGACAGTCCAGTCGGAATGTCCTCGTAGGCTGGTCCAGTGACCTGGTGATCAAGCAAGAAAGCTGCAGGACGAAAGGGGGTGGTGGGTGGTGGTTCTGTCGTGAGCGTGTGACGAGAGGGTGTCTCGGTCTCGATGGTTGGTTGGTTGGTAGGTCGGTCGCCCTTCCAGGCCGTCTCTTCTTCAGCAAAGTGGCAGGGAGCGTTCTGATCGCACAATTCCACAGTGAGCAAGTGAACAAGGACTGACGAAACAAAGCCAGCCAACTAAGGATAGCGAGAATGGCGAGTATATAAAACAGGCAAGTCAGAGTGCAAGGGCGTACATACATGGGGAAAGGCATGACGGGATGGTTATACAGCAGGTAGTAGTATGGATGCGGCCACCAGGGGGGGAGGGGCTGTATGGATATCACGCACTTGCTTCATCCCACCTTGCTCAAGGTACCTTACTCTCGAGGTGTTGGGCGTACAGGTACATGCAGAGCCAAAGGCCCCGGCCAGGTCAGAGCACTGTGGCCCTGCATGAAGACCACTAGTTGCAGTACAATGAGGTCGTCCCGTCCTCTGGCTCCCGGGGCGGTGGTGCCCATCGTGTCCACGGTTTCCCAGTACGCACGCCAGCGCATTGATGAGAATCAGAGATGGGGCCTCGTAGTCCATTCAACGTTTGGCGAGAAAGCAAGTACTGACTGCAGGAAGCAACGAAGCACCTCCGGTAGGTGGGTACCTACCTAGGTAGGTACGAGACAACTCGAAGAAGGTCTGCTCCCTCTGTCCCTGCCGTGCACCTTCCCAAATCCACATTATGGAAGGAGCCACGCGCGCGATGTTCTGGCCGTCTTTTGCTGGAAGGGCTGCCTCGATACATGACTGGCCGTCACTCTGGTGCCTACCCCTGCTTGTGCCCCCCCTCCATTCCAAGAAAGTCTCCATTCCCTGGGCACCACCACCTTTTCCACCACCACGCTGTCCACTCTTCTACGGCTTGACTTTCTTGACCAGGTGGCTACGGCAGGTGATGGTTTCCCTCCCATGTTGCCCCCTTGTTCCCCTTGTCCTCGTTGCCCCCCCTTTGCCCCCCTCCCTAGTGGCCTTGTACTGATGGGTCACCTAAAGACGGTCGCTAGCCAGGTAGAGCTCGATCAACCAGCACCCAGCCGAGTTGGACCCTACGTACCGACCAGCGCCCTCGCATGTCTCGACCGTTCTTTTTCTTCTGCTTCTCTTTCCCGTGTCTGATCAACATGGGCATTCTTGGTCCTCCTCGGCGCTTTCATCGTGGTGGACATCGAGACCAGGTCAACGAGTGCTGCCTGAACTGCCCCTCGCCCCTCGCCCCTCCATCCCACCAACAGGAACAGCGGAATTTGTGTATCACAACCCCTGTCACAACCCTTATCCGCATATGCCCCGCGCTTCGCTAGACCCAAGACATATCGCCGTCGCTCTCGCTCCCGCGCTCTCCTTCTGGTTGTCTCCTGGTGTCTCCCTGTCATCACAAGCCTGTTATTCCCTCGTCTGAGGAGAAGGGAGGGGGCACGCCAGGACTCACAGCACTCACTCAGCCTACAGCACATCGCAGAGTGCAGGTGGGGAGATGCTGGTCGATCCAGCTGTCAATGCAAGCAAAAAGGCAACCGGGGAACACATGCCACGCCTTGAATCAATACAGTTCATGCCTGAGTGCGCGTCGTTAGCATGGTCGCTCTGGGCACGTCGCTCGACCGCAGAGCCGGAGACCCCAGCAGCCGTCAGCACAGAGACGTCACCGATGGGGAACCAGAAGCGGCACTCTGGGCTCGGCTCCCTGGCGACGACGAACCGACCCGTCGGCCTCGCCCTGCCGGGGCCCTGCCAACGCGGGCCCCATTCACCATCAACCCACCACCACTACGTATGCCCTTAAGGTACTGTTACATGAGGACTGGGCAGCCATGCACCGGCTGACCATGTATCTTCGATTCGATGCGGCAGAGGAGCGGCAGCATGGACGGGTATTATCGCAGCTGGGAAGCGCGCATCACATCGGGAGCTAACACGTCTCGTCTCCATCTGCCTCCACGCCCATGCGCCCATGCGCCCATCTCACGCAGATCCGTCCACTCATCCCCCAGAGTGGTCCCAAAGCGGTATCGCGTCGCCTTCACCGCTCCCCGACTGTAAACCTCGAACAACACGCCAAACCCCGACATCGACCAACCAGCACAGCCATGAGTGCAGCTTCGTTGTATTGCGGCGGGCAGCAGCGCAAATTTTTCTCGAATTTTTTTTTTTTCTCAGTCCTCGGCATGAGACACGACCCTCCAGTGGCCCTGCTCCCACCATGGTTCGCCGCCGTCACGTACATGGGCCGGGCGAATTGGTGCAGTTCGTGGCGGCGGGAAGACGCAGTAACGCAGAAGGCAAAAGGGAGGCAGGCAAGCAAGACGAGGCAGCCAGTGCATTAACGCAGCAGGGATCCCCAATCGGTCGACATGCCTTTGCATTTGCGTCGACTTACCTTACCTCCCGGCCGCAGTACACTTGTCGTCTCGTGCGTGGCTGTCTAACGATGCCGGCGCCCCATTCAGCATCCACATCCATACCCAGCCACTCACTTTTTTTTTCAAGCGCCTTCTCTGCAAAGACGAGTCCTCTCAAGCGGTCAGACCCGAGATGGGGCGCAAGGCTTGACAAGGTGTCCCTTCATCGCCCGTGGCGCTGCCTTCAGGTTGAAAAATTGGGTCCGATGAAGACAAGGCAAAACTGGTGCTGCAAGTCACGGTACGTGGCCTCCAAGCCGGGCCAAGCGGGCACAGAGCGGGAATCGCATCGACACTTTCAAAGGCACGACATAGGGCGCACATAGGGCACCTCGTGGGAAGGACCTTCTTACCTCCACTGGTAATCCCGTCAAGGGGTGGTGACTACAAGTTCTCTCGCAGTTGTCCATAGGTATGGGTCACCACTCAGACCTCGAAGCTTCATCCGCGGAAGCATGGTTGTCGCGTGGTAGTTATCAAGTACCGGGGTCAGAAAGCACCTCAACAGACGTGAATCTCCACTGCTTTTCGGTACAGAAGCGATCGAAGGCCGACCTGTCTGCTTCCGACCCGGCTCCAGCGGCCGTGGCCGATCGTGTTCCAACGAGGGCCGAGAGGTGGCCAAGCTGTCAGTGGCGGCCACTGTCACGGTGATGCAAGCCACAATGCTCATGAGGCGGGTCGTGCCAACGTCGTTAGCTTCATGGCCCAACATCCTGGAGCCGCCCAAGGGACGGGAGGCTGAACCTTCACAACGAGCCGTTCCTACGCCCGTGGCTTCTCAGACACGCCGTGCTTGCAGGACCAGGATCGGAAACAAAGAGGGTCCCAGGACCGAAGCTCATCAGACGTGATGATAAGCTGAACAATGCTACCAAACGACGGTATCCGGGCTGGTCGAGTTGGCCTCAAGCATCTTGGTGTATCCTGATGCATTCTTTGTCTGGTAATACAGTCACCTGCCCTCTAAGCCTTCGGTTTCGCTGAAAGCACTCCGCTCTTGAGCAAAAGCTCACATTTAAGGTTCCGAGCATCATAGCCAGTTGCCCCTGATCATAAGATAGCTCATGGGTGATATTGCCACGGCGAAATGACACCTTTCATCGTGTCCCAACCCTTCCTGCATCGTATCCAGAGGAGACCTCGCGCGCATCATTGACGTCCTCCCCTTGTGCCTCACCACCGTATCCGCCGTTTCTGCCAACAGCCAAAAGAGCACGCAGTGGGCTGGTGCACACCAGTCGTGAGCCATATACGCCATGCCCGTCACACAAACCTTCATCATCCGCACGCCCATCCCGCCATCCATCCCACCCGCCACCGTCCTCGCCCACCTCCACCAGCACGGTCCCGTCTTCCGCGCCAACGACTCCATAACAGCCTGGGACGCGATCCCCGTGCCGTACGCCTCCATCGCCAACGACCCGTTCTTCCTCCCGGACGCCGACAGCATCGCAGCCTATCGTGTCCGCGAGAGCATTCCCATCTTCGGCTCCGTCAGCGCGCCGATCCGCTTTCCGGCCGTGTTCCAGAACGGACCGACCGGCATGAGGGTCAGGGTCGACGCGCCCGGAGGCGTGCGTGTCTGGACGCAGTACATCGTGCGGAAGCGCGGATCGGGCCCCCTGGGCGACAAGGCGCACGGCGGAGGCGAGGAAACATGGTCTGACGGGGAAGACGACGCCGCGGACAGCAGAGGGTGGGAGATGGTCGAGATCCTGAAGATGCAGGGGCCCCGCTTGTTCATGCCATTCGCTACCGGACAGGCGAAGAAGGCGCATCAGGACGGCAGCCGGAAATTCATGGAGCAGCTTGTTGACGAGGGGCGGGACAGTGCGCAAGTGATGGAAGGCCGGGACATTTGAACCATCACTGCTGCAGTGAAGAGAGTCAGCGTATAGAATAGCGACGAACACGGTTCTCGATATGTATCTCTGTTGCTAAGTTTGTGTTCATTTATCGCCAGATTTTGGGGTCTGGCGTGGTATCTATGTTTTTTGATTTCCGTTGTCTTCTTCTCAATCCTCTCACAGCTTCGCCTCGTCCCTGTCATGCAGTCAAATCGTGTAGACAAGTTTTCCAGCGCTCACCTTGCCCTCCTTCATCTCCTTCAAGCCAACCAGCACGCCCTCGAGCCCCTCGCCACCGCGGTTCGGGATGACGCGGATCGGCTTCACCTTGCCCTCGGCCAGCAGACGGCGACTGAGCTCCCAAAAGGTCTTGCCAAACTCGTAGTTTTCCTTGACGGCCGGCTGCGTGCCAAAGTAGTTGTACTCCTCGCCAAAGATGGTGTAGTACATGCTGAGCTCGACTTTGATCTTGTCGTTGACCTCGGCGACCTTGGTGCGCGACACGGGCAGCAGCGTGGCAATGTGGCCGCCTTCGTCTGCGAGGCAGCGGGCGGCGAGGAGGGCCGACTCGTTGGTGGACTGGCAGTCCCAGGCGTGCCTGAGCTGGCCGTTTGTGTAGGCGCGAATGTCGTCGACGAGGGTGGGCGACTTGTAGTCGAAGACGGCGTCGGCGCCGAGGGACTTGACGTAGTCAAAGTTGTGGGGCGAGGCGGTCGTCACGACGGTGAGGCCCGAGAGCTTGGCGTACTGGATGCCCGAGATGCCCATGGCTGTGCTGCCCCCATAGATGAGGACGGGGAACGGCTTTTCGGCGGGGGAGGAGGGGAGGGGCAGCTTGAGGGTTTGGTAGAGTCCTTGGCCCTGTGTATCTTGTCAGTCGCCTGTTCACTAATGCACACGCGGGGAGAGAACTCCCAAATATAGATCAAAGGAAAGAAGGGGAGGGGGGCTTACAATGGTGGATACGGCAATGCCGAGCGTGGCGGCCTCCTCATCGCTAATGTTGTCGGGTGTCTTGATCTGCAAGTCGCCCTTGACGGCAATGTAGCGCGCAAAGCTGCCGTCCGTCTCGCGCAGGCCATTGGAGCCATTAACGGGTCCGCAAATGCGGTCGCCCTTCTTGAACGCCTTGGTCACGCCGGAGCCGACCTCCTCGACGACGCCGGCGTAGTCGCAGCCGACCCAGCTGTTCTCGCAGGGCATCTTGTCGGCGAGGTCAATGTGCTTCCAGTCGGTGGGGTTGATGGCCACCGCCGTCGTCTTGACGAGGATGTAGTCATCGGCGGGCAGCTTGGGGATGTCGGCGTCAACAACCTGGGCGTTGCCTGCGGTGATGGTCTTGACGGCTTGGTTGGCGGGCATGGTGGGCGATGTGGTGGTGTTTCTGCTCAATGCTCAATGCTCAATGCTGGAAGAATGGAAAGTTGGTTGCTTGAGAGTCGGCTTCGAGAGAATACAAGGGAGCAGCCGTTGCGGTTTTTGTACGAGGACATGTCCATAACGTTGTCGCGGACTGCCTGATTTCAAATCAGACATCCACTGTCAGCAGAAAACGGACGCATCCCCGCCTGTGATGCGCCGACCAGGTGGGCGCCGAAGCCAGTCGAAGTGGCCCCGTGGGGTGGCACCGGCGGCTGGATCGCATCATTGACTCGAATTGTCCCTTGGCCCAGAAGGGAGAAGATGTCACTGACGGCACGCCGCCCCCCATGTGGTCGGTTGAGCCAGCGGCCTATCGGCCATGCATCGAAGCTTTTGCCGATCATCGGGTTTCCCGACAATCCTCGTCCTTGGGCGAGATGCTGATTGCTCGGTCTCTTCCTCCCAGTGTACCATCGTTCCAAGCAGCATGAGTTGTTCTCAAGCCTCAAAACTGTGAGAAGACCTGCCGATGACTGCCAAGCTTCGTGGCTTCAAGGTTGGGCGTTGACAGAGGCGTCGAACGTACTGAGGTAGTGTGCGGTAACGAAGTAGTATGCGTGGGGCCAGCATGGCCCCGCATGCATGACGGGCCATGACGTTCAACCCGAGAGCTTGGACGCAAGGTTTGCGACTGCCCTTACTAAGTCCAAAGCAACACGCGTATCGGTGGCCGTCAGCCACTGCTGACACGACAAATTCACCTCGCTTACTCTGCGAAAGCACTTGGAAAGCACGCTTGGTATTATCGAGACGGAAGGCTAGCGGTCGTGTGGCAGTCATCTTGGCAAGAAGTCTGATCGCCTGCTTTGTCACCAAGAATCCCGACCAAAGTCACACCGCCTCAAACAACAATGAGTTCAACGTAACGTTCATTCAGCGTGGTATCTATGTAGAAACAAGGCCATCTATCGTCCAGAATTCACCAATCCAAGCCCGAGCCTGAGCCCGACACCAAGCCGGTCCTCTCGAATGCGTTGTGCCTCTGTCCCACCCGAGTGCCCGTTTCAAAGCCCCCCGTCAAACAACGCCGGGTTCATGGTAGGTAATGACAAGTCGTAGGTCCGGTAAGGGAATCGCAATGAAGAAAGAAAAAAAAAAGGTCGTCGTAAACTTGTAAGCGAGCAAGAAGCCGCGTCAACGGGTGGGGCCCGTGAGAAATCGATCAGGCCGTCGTGACCAGGATGAGAATGGCCATGAAACATCAGCAAGTCGTAAACCTGACGCAACGCAACACAGCACACGAGACTCTCAATACGAAGAAAAAGGAAAGAACACAAAAAAAAAATGCACACCTAGCGACCGCCATAGTCGCTCGCATAGCCCACCTCGCCAAAGTTTTGGCTCACACCTCCGTCACCGAATCCCGTACCCGGGCCGCTGACGTATCCGCCTTCTTCGCCCTCGTAGTCGCTAGCATCAAACGAAGACCGTCCCGAAATATCGTCCTCCATGCCACTGTTGGCATCCTGGCCTGACCAGTTCATGCCCGCCAGTGCAGGGTATTGCACCAGCAGGGCTTGCGGCAGCCACTGGCCGTTGGGGTCCATGGGGTAGCCAGGAGGAGCCTCCAAGCCGCCCATCTGGGGAGCCGTCATGTTGTGCGCCATGTTCTGCATGCGCTGCTCCTGCCAGACGCGGTTCCTCTCGACCATCTCCTCGTCGAGCAGCGGCTTGATGCAGATCCGACCAGCCTCGGACCTGAAATGCCTGCCGAGAGCGTCGGCACGAGCAAACCGCCGTCCGCAACCCCACTGACCGCCGGCTTTGAGATCGCCCTTGCAAACAAACTTCTTCTCGCCCGAGTGAAGGCCCTCGTGACGTTTGCGATCATGCTGGCGTGCAAAGGCCTTGCCACACACGGTGCAGACGAACGGCCTCTCGTCCGTGTGGGTCCGCAGATGCGATCTCAGATTGTACGCGCGAGTAAACCGCTTGGGACACAAGTTGCACTGGAACGTCGCTGGGTGCTTTTGGACCCTCTTCGCATTGCCACTGTCCTGCGCATTCTGGTACTCTGGGTCTGCCAATCGCAGGGCAATCACGTTGTTGGGCACTGCAGATGTCGACTGACGCCTCCTGGAAGGGCTCGTGCCCTGGCGGTCGAGAGGTGACAGCGAGCGCGCCGCGTCTGATCGAGGAGAAAGACCCGAGTTCATATGAGGGGAGAGGCCCGCGTCTGAGTTGCTGTGAAGACGTCCCACAATCACATTTCCTCCGCTGTTGAACGGGTCCGTGACGGCGCGAGGGCGCGACCGCGGTCGTCCTATGGTTGTATGGTCAGTTTGGCGTCTGAGATGCTTGCAGGTTCATAAACGCTTACCTCGCTCTGGCGGTGTCAAGGAGTCTTGGTCCATGGGGGGTTTCGGTGGTTCGAACGAGTTCTGGCGAGCTGCTGGCGCAAACTCGATGTTGATCGCAGGAGCCATCTGCGGCATTTCAGGACCGCTATGCTGCTGAAGCGTGGGGAAAGCTTCCGACGACTGCAGCCCGCCGTATGTGCTGTGATTTGCCATGCCGTAGGTCGGCTGCTGGTGGAGATCGGTCATCGACTGGGGAAGAATGCGCGGCGACATGGCCGGGCTATGCGAGGGGCTTCGCGACGCCTGAAGGTTCGGGCTGCTGTGGGTAGCGTCGGAAATGGTGAAGCTGTCGAACCCCTGCATTGAGGAGAACAGGGCAGGGTCGGTAGGGCGTTGCATGGGCGAGTGATTACCGATGCCCTCGAAGCTGTCGGAGCTGACGAGGTTCGGCGATGGCGCAGCCGACGAAACGTCGGAGTGTGCTGAAGGGCTTCTCCTGTGGCCCTGGAACTGCGGCTGGGTCCAGTCGCTCATCTGGTTGGGGAGAAGGGCGGCTTCCGGGCCAAGTGACGCATGCCGTGAGTGGTTGCCCGGGGGCGACGAGAACTGGTGCTGGTTGAAAGAAGGGGAGTGGTGAGCAGAGCCAGGTTGGTGAGGATCAGGGTTCAGTAGATGGGGAGGCGTGGGGGAATGATGACTCTGGGGCATGGCCATGGTGCTCATGTCGGTGGGATTGAGAGTCGGGTCGAAGAGAGGCGAGTTGAAGTGATCCCCTTGGCCTGGACTATTGGCTGGAGGAAACAGAGAGAATTCGTTGCCAGCAAAGGTCGGATCGAGGAAGGCCTGGCTGGCTTGATTGCCGGCAAAGCCTGCCGGGTCGTTCAGGCTGGTCTGTCCGAATGACTGACCAGGCTGCTGGCTGTTGAGGAAGCTACTGCTGTTGTTAAAGGCTGTGAAGTCGGGATTGGAGGACGTGGCTGCTCCGGCGAAGGCTTGGGTGGCAGATTGATCAAGACCGAGACCGAGACCGATGGAGGGCTCATTCTGGGCCGGGTACGGAGCGGGGGACGTAGAATGTTGTTGTTTTATATGAGGCTGTTGCTGGTGGCCGGCAGACGGGGACCGCCCGCGATGTTGAGCTTGCTGATCCATGGTTGGGGACGTGTCGTGAGTACGTCAGGTCCAAGAGCGAGGTTGCGTGAATGTTGCTGTCTTTAGAAACAGAGTATGTTGCGGTGCGAGGCAGTTTGGCAGTCAGCCTTTCCAGGGACGGCACCGCCCTGGGGCTGTGCTTAGGCGAGTCGAGTGGTGGGCGCCGGCGGGGGGTCGGGGAACCTTGGCGCGCGTGCTCTTGCGATCGTCCTGTGATAGGCCGCTCGGGAGCTCTGGTGGACGCTGTGAAGCAAAGGTCGAGTCAGAGGATGGTCTCTGTCAGTCGGGCTCGTCGTGAGACAGGTCTTGGGGTGCCGGCGGTTGGGGTGCTTTGTGAGGGAGACGGCCGGAAATGGTTGTGTGACTGGGGACTCGTCGGTGTGAGTTGGGGAGGAATAAATGGCGGGGGTGACGGATGACACGAGACGAGTCGAGACGAGACAAAGCGAGGCGAGCGGCGGCCGGACGTCCTTGCGCGGATTTGGGGAACTCGCCAGTAGAAAGGACTTTTTTTGATTCTGGCGCGGCGTCTCAAGAGCGTAGTGCAAGAGGGTACAGAGGTGCAGAAAGCCCGGTGTGTTGGCGCCTGACGATTGTGCTGGTCGCGTTGAATGAACCCAAACAGTGACGGGACAGGGTGGGCAAGTGCTCGCTCGGTATGCTGAGGAGGGGTTCCACCCTTTTCTCACCGTCACCTACTCTGTTGCTGGTTTTCTGCTGCAGTGTGCGCCGGTTCCCAAAGTGGATGGTGCCCACAAGGCTGTGCACGTTTGAGATACGCGGTACGCTGTCAATGGTAGTGGTGGTGGTCGTGGTACTTAGGGTATTGGGTTCCCTAGTCGATGGGGGAGGGGTCCAGGAATCAGGTCTCAAGGGAAACAAGGCGAGTTGGAGTAAAGATCAGTCTAACCACCTCGGTTTGGAGTGCGATGAGACAGGTACCACGATGATGTCTTCTTTCTTGGACGTCGAAATACACCTTCTGCTTCGGACCGGATTGGCACGGGCTAGTCAATGCCAAGGCCTTCTGGGCCCCTAGGGTAGATGAGCGCTGGAGCCTCGTTGGTGACTGGATTGATGAAGCACTGTGTAGGTGAATGCGCACAAATGGGTCGCAGATAGATCGAGTATGACTAGGTAGAGGCCAAGGGCGTTACAGTTGTGGTACTGGCGATGGGCCTGCGAGGGGACGGAAATGTGCAACAAGAGCGATGGTGGGAGCAGTGGTAAGCGCGGGGTCGATGGTACTTGACTTGTGACCGACTGGCGGGCGGAGAGGGGGGGGGGGGGGTTCCAAGATACGCTGTTGTCGAAAACGCAGGGACGAAGATGAAGGCGATGGAATGCACTGAGCCCGAGGAAGGTAGGGAAGGTACCTTCGCTACCTCACCTAGGTCTCTTGGGTAGGTAGGTGCCTGCTGCTCTTCCTCAGAGCACCCAGACGGGGTTGGGAGCACAAGTCTCGGCGTGCGGGAAAGTCAAAGAGATGTGCTCGACAGTGCGGTACCTACTAGGACACTCAGGTGAGAGACGAGATGAGATGCGCTTGAAGATGAGATGAGGAAGTAGGGGGCCCTGTCAGTGCCTTGGTAGTGTCGAGAGCTTGATCGTGCCGGGCAAGGTGGGATGGGATAGGAGCGAATGAGTGGGTTTAGGACATGGGCTGCCTCCGTGCATTCGACTTAGCAGACCAGTAGCCCATCCATCGTCTCAAGGGCGAGACCTCGCTGTCTACAACACATAACGTAGTAACAAGGCGCTGGCATGGAACGAGTCCACGCGTGGATTTGGTAGGTCGGCAGGCAGCACGGCAGGGAAGTGAAAGGGGGCACTTGATCACTTTGACTTTTTGGACGAGAGATTGCCTTGCACAATTGCCTGGCCTTGGCAACGGTAGCGCCTGACAACAGGCCAGCACGCCCGCGATCTTGTCCTCGCCCGAGGCATCGACCATCCGTGTGGTGTAGTGAGATGAGGCGAGACGAGGCAGGAACAGCCGGGAGGGGCCCTGTGCGCCTGCTTTGTCCATTCATCCATGCCTTCCGTCCGAAATGACACTACGCAGCGCTTATGGCCTGCCTGTCTGTGTACCTAAGGTAGGTAGGTGATGAGGTAGGTACGTTCTGGAAACCCCAACTCCGTACCCATGGCCAGTCACATGATGCAGCGTTGTCTATGAACTCGGTAGTGTCGTGCCAGACCCTGCTCACTGGCAGATACCGTTTCCTCGTTCACCAATCGACTGTCTTTGGTGCCTCGCCACGCGCAACCTGCGGGAGGCACAGTCATTAGCCTCAACTGAATTCAGGTTCCAAGCTTGGCCACCGAGCACCAAGTTTCTGGGCTGGGTAAAGCGGGCGTCTGTGGCAACACCAGCCCACGGGGGCATGCACACCCCCGTCGACGACATTCGCATGTTGACCCAAGATCAATCCATGTCGTTGTATTTTTTAATATGCATTTGGTACAAGCCTACGAAGACCAACACACCCCAAGCCTCACTACCTGAGCGAGCTACTCACCAAGCCAACCCTCCTACTACATCTGCGTCAACATGTAATGCTGGGCTTTCGAGCTTGGGGTTGTACACCGCTTGTCAACTGCTCACCGAGTCCAGAGTCCAGCAATTGAGTTGTTCAGAGTCTGCACAGCCCCGACAATTCGCGGCCCGCCTACGTACTACGGGATGACCTCACCAGCATTCCCATCAACCCCCAGCATCGTGAGCCGGGAACCGAATGTCTCCTAGGCCCTTGTGTCGGTCGGCATCTTCGTCGTGAAGCTTCTTGCGACCCGCCGTGTCCTGGCCAATGCAACTTAAGCTTGTTTCGATCCATCCGACACGTTTCAGACAACTCGTCGAGCTACGTGATTCGGCCGTCCCACGCGGGCCCTCCCCTAGAGACGGCCGGCACGGCGTGGCCTGATCTGTGGCGGGGTTGCATGTCGCCTGAAGCTCTCCTCGAGCCGACCACCCACCTGCCTGTCCCGGATTTATTTATAGAACCGACGCCATAACTGCCGCGGGGTAGCGGTAGGGGCAATGTTGGTGATTAATGAAGCATCTCTTTGGGTCTCGTCCCGGGCCGTGTCCTGCCCGCCGTGTATACGATTTCCTCCTCATGACTACGGCAACGCACACCTGGACAGCCATTATCCGTCAAACCATGTGGCAGATCGCGCTGTGTTTTGTTGGACCGCGTTATCGCCCCTTGTAGATGCTCGGGCAGTGCTGCCAAGATGACTGTCGATCCCCCAATCAATCTTTGCGTCTGGACCTGCGGCTTCGTGGCAGATCACCAACCCCGCGTCGCGCCATCGTCACTGGTGCCTGTCCATCATGGACCGAAGCGGAGATGTGCTGAATATCGGACAAGTCTGCCTTACCTCTTGGCATTTGTGGGGTTGATCACCAAGTGTTGATTACTAGCACAAGACTCAATGCCATGATGGCGTCTCGGGCAGTGCAACATCGGTTCACGACTTCAAAGGATACGACGATGCCAAGATGCGTTGATGTGTATCGTGACAGGTGATGTGAGCAGTCGAAAGAAGTGGTGACCAATTGGCCATCCCCAAGTCTTGGTCATGGCCATCTGATGATGGCAGCTTGCAGATATTCTACACGGAGGAGGGTACGCCCAGCGGCTAACTCCTAAAAAAAGCATCAAACTCCCCAGTCTAATGGTATCATCGGTTCGTATTGTACAATTCTGCCCTGGTTCCTTTTCCTTCCGATACTGACAAAGAGAACCTGCCAGTGAAGTCCCTAGATGACCTCAGCCCTCTCGTACCCAGCCGGCTTGAGGGCTGCTGCCGGCTTGTGACCGTCTTTGTACTCGCTGGTGAAGGGATTCGGGTCCTCGTTCTGGTTGAGGTTACTCAACGTGTGGTTGACGCCGCGGTGAACAGCCTCTGCCAATATTGTCAGCAAGAAATTCGCGAAGACCGCTGCCCCAAGAAAGTACTGACCATCAGCTCTGATGTATAGAATCAGATCACGCATCGTCCTCTTCCCCTCTGGAATGTTCCAATACTGCACTGCCAGGTCGGGAATGTTAAAGTTGGGATCCGACCACTTGGGCAGTTGACCTTCCTCGATCTCGCGGATGCAGCGCGAATACGTGTGTACGGCCTCCTCCTCGAGGTAGCCGACGAAGCGATGCGTGATCTTGGGCGAGACGAGATACGACAGGAACATGCCGTTGAAGAAGACGCCCTGGGCACCGATGAGCATGACCTTCATGAACCAGCCCGGCTCCGACATCTTCATAAAGGTCAGCAGGTGCATGCGCTCATTGTAAGACTCCTCGAGCAGCGTCTCGATCCAGCCGTTGTCACGCTTCATGCGACGAAGGCTGCCGAGATGGCGGAGCATGCCAGCGACCATGCCTGGAACTGTTTGGTTGGATGTTAGCTGATGGTCGTTCCATGCCATGCCAATACGGGGAAGGGGTTCCGTACCTCCCGCTATGCTCTCCAGGAAAATGAAGCGTACGAGCCACTGTGCCTCTGTCAAGGGCTCGTTGGCCACCACGGCGGTGGTGGGATTCTTCTTGTCGACCTGCTGCTCAGGCTTCAGTCCCGTTGCGCGGTCCATCGTCCACCTGGCGACGCGCACAAACTTCCACGCAGCCCAGTCGCCCCAGGTCTCAGGGGCGCGGTGGCCTGGCACGACGGCGAGCATGTCGGCCTCGGAGTAACCCTCGTGTGGCCATGCCGGGGCCGTCTTGCGGATCTGTTCCGTCTCCTTGGCTGGGAAGAAGTCACGGAGGCGGGAGGCTGGGGTGCTCGAAAAGTTGCGCTGGGAGGACGGGTGGTAGAGAGTCGTCGTTCGCAGGGATGCTGGGTGGCCGAGGAAGGCGATATGGCTGGTGCTGGTGCTGGACAGGGCAACAGCTCGTGCTAGCTGGGCCGCTTGCCGAGGGGCGCAGAGCTTGGTGGAGGTTCTTGTTGAGAGCATGGGTGTTGGTGTTGACAGAGTATCGGATATAGTATGATGTGTCGTTTAGGTAAGATGGGTAGTCAAGGATGATATTGAATGATGATGTAAGTCTTGATGGTGTACGACAGTCCAACCAGCACGATGCTCGAGGATGCTCAACGACTTATATACGACGCCCGCGCCGTCACCGTAGAAAGCCTCTGTCCTACCCAAGATGGAGACTGCAAGGCCACAAAGGTCATGAGGCTCCATCGAAAACACAACCCAGGAACGTGGGCACGAAGAACGGCCGGGTCTGCCATTCTGACGCAAATCGAGAATTTTCTCTTGTCTGTCAAACCCCGAGATGGAGCCCCAGAGAGCATGGCCTCGATACGAACCGAGCACGGGAACAACAACCATGCCATTTGGCAGTCGCCGTCCAAGGTTTCGTGGCAGTGCCGTATTGGGAAGTATGCGACGAATGACTCTTGTTTCCTGTCGGGACGTGCCGGGACAGCCTGCCACAGAAAGGGAGGCTTCCGCGCTATTTTCGTGCTGGTCGCGCGACCGCGAATGGCGCTCCTCCTGGTCCTGGTGGATGCGCCTGGAATAGCCTTTTTTCGCTGACCTGATCGAGTCGCCCCGGGCCTCTTCGGTGTTTGATGACGGGGTCACGACGCCGCCAGTGGTTGGTTATTCAGCGCAAATGGGAGCAGTCGTGTCGCTGCTTTCTGGAGGCTCGTGGCCCCTGCGGCGGTTCGGGATGGCGGGAATAACACACACGCTGCGCGGCCTCGACAATGAAGCGGCCGAGGGTGTACCTGGCCTCACGGGTTGTCAATCAATATTGGTTGGCTGTACTTTCGCTAGGAACGAGGAACGACGCGAATAGGACATTTGTGCAGCGTTTACGGTCATCATGCAGTGAGAGTGAGGCTGAAGCAAAGAACGAGCTCAGCTCCACGTCATCTTTCCTGTCAGCACATGAAATTGGCTGTCATTCAAACCGTTGACGGCGATCACGTACAAGACCTTCTTCGCTGTGGTCCGCAGACCAAGAGCAATGAAAGTGGAAAATGTCCATCGAGAGAAACGTGTCAAAAATTCCCTAGCCAGCCGAAGCCAACTAGGAGTGGTCATAGGTTATAGTTTTCAACTAGCAAAAACACGATCTCGGACGAATCCTCACTGATACGCGTAAAGCCCTTGCACTCAGATAAAGAAGAGAAAGAGGAAAAGAAGGGCAAGAAGGGGTGGGGTGACCAGAGCAATTTATAGATGGGTCCTGCAGCCAAGGCGCTCAACGCAATCAGCGAGTGTGGAGCGGAAGGTCCGAGCTTGCATCAGTGAGTCACTGCGCTGTAGATACAGGCGTGGGATTTGGCCTCATTGGGGAGGCTTAGGCAGCAACACAGGCTGATTGGGCTGTGCGGTTGAGTTCGATAGGGCTAAGCACTCTGGCAGTCGAGAACAATGCCTCACAGGCTGCAGGGGAGTAGAAGGGCACGCGTACGTAGGGTTGGTCATCGAGTCGAAAACACCATGATCTTCGTGATGCGCTCACAAACCGCCGTTGGAGATTGGCCTCGAAAGGCCTTCATGCGAACAGGTTCCATCCCCTTCCTTCATCCCGCACAACTGGTCGGCGAAAGCGGCCCCCCATGCAAGCAATCGAGCGCAAGCGTGCCTGGCCTGGTGGAGCCCGGCCACCTTGCTGCAGCAGCCTGCCAGTGCACGCGCGCACAAACAGACCTAGCCCAGAGGCACATGCAAACCTGTCATTGTGCAGGGGGGAGCGAAAAAAACAGGACACTGTTGATCGAGGGGTTGGAGGGGTCATCAGCCCAGCCGAGGTGACGTAGTTTCGCTGTCGAAAGGAACCGTGCCTCCGTCCAAAACTCGAAGAATCCCCTCCCTGCGGGCCTTTTGCGCGCCTTTCCCACTCTGAGTGAGGGGCAGGTGGATTATTGTTTCTTTTGGTGGTGATGCATTTGCAAACCGCCCTCCTTCGTTTTCTCGTCGTACTTCGAGACCGTGGTGGTTGGTCAGATCACGCTGGTAGGTCAACGTGCGGTTTCGTGTGGTGGACGTCGATCAAAGGCATGGGTACGGCATGGGCATGGGCATGGCATAAGCATGGGCATCTGCATTTCTTCGCTTCGGGCAGTAAGTACTATATAGCCAGTGCTAGGCTATGCCATGGGTCGTGTTCAACCTCGAGCATAGGCGTATCATTGTACAGACTGAATGGGAGACACAACGACGGCAAGGGGAAGGAATATCTGGCCTGAAAGTGAAACCTGTCGATGAACCCCCCCCCCCCCCCCCCCGACTCGCTCGTTGGCCTCGTTGACGCGCACTCACATCGGCAGGAAATTGCTTTGCTTCAGCTGCAGCAGTCACGGTCGCAACCAAACCAGGCAAGGGCGCATGGCCATTTAGGTCAGGTAGACAAGGCAGTCACAGTCACTGCCCTGAATTTGGGGTCGCGCCTTCCGACTCGTTCCCGTCCGTCGCCTGTCGCCTGTCACCCGCCTGCCTTTTGTCCAAGCCTAGCCCGGACGGACCCTCCCTGCCCAAACGCCCCTTCCCGCCCGCCTACATTCTCCGCCCCCTTTCGCCTTTTGAACGCCAAAACCTACGTTCGCCCTTCTCTCAACTTTTTTCCCCTCCAACCTCCAACCTCCAACGAAATTTCGCCCTCGATACTATTCCAGCCTCACCAGAAGCCTTTCGTCACCAAACGCACCCATACTCGACACACGCCCGCAAACCACACAAACCAAACCTGACATCATGCCTGCCAGACAGTGGGGTAAGTCCATCACCACCGGCTTTGCGCGCGCGCACACAAATCCAGACGGTCCGCGGCAAAATGTCATTTTTCTCCTTGCCAAGCAGATGCCGAGCCATACACGACCGCAATACGCTCGCGAGACCTTGATTGCGTCTAGGACCTGGCTAACCACAATTTACCCTCACAGAAGACGAGGAGAGCGATAGCAGCGCCAGCGGCTCTGCCTCCCCCGCCGTCGGTGCCACCCGCCGCAAGTTCGATGATGAGGAGGGCGATGACAGTGACGTATGAGCCGCTCTCTTGTACTCCGCTAAGACCTCCAAACTGACATTGGATACCAGGTCCTCGAGTCTTGGGACGCTGCCGAAGACTCCGAAGTAGAGCGCGAGAAGGCGAAGAAGGCCGAAGCCGCCAAGCTTGCCGCCGAGGCTGAGGCCAAAGCCAACAAGAAGTCTAAGGCGCAGCGCATCAAGGAGCGTCAGGACGCCCGCGCCGCCGAGCTCGCCGCTGAGGGCGAATCTAGCGACGAGGAAACCGAAGCCCAGAAGCGTGAGCGTCTTCGCCGCACCGAGAAGGACTCCGACATGAAGCACGCCCAGGACCTCTTCGGTGACGTCGGTTCCGTCCCCGCCGGCCGCAAGGCTACCACTGCCGGCGCCGCTGTTGCCCTTGACGCCAGCGACCCTACCCGCACCGTCAACATTGCCGACCTGCCCCTCTTCAAGCCTACCACCAAGACCCAGTTCGAGAACCTCCGCAACACCCTCGTGCCCATCATCGGCGCCCACTCCAAGAAGGCCCACTACGCCATCTTCCTCCAGGAGTTTGCTAAGCAGCTGGCCAAGGATCTTCCCAGCGATCAAGTCAAGAAGGTTGCCTCCACTCTCACTGCCCTCAGCAACGAGAGGATGAAGGAGGAGAAGGCTGCCCAGGGCGGCGGCAAGAAGACCAAGGCCTCCAAGAACAAGACGTCTCTTGTCGCCAACCGTGCTGATGTCATCGACACCAAGACTTACGAGGACGATGGCTTCGGAGAGTAAGTCACCCGCAGGAACATGATTTTTTAGTGGGAAATCTTGACGTGCTAACCCTCATTGTCAGTGATGATTTCATGTGAACGGGCTGTTCAAGTTCTCAGAACTTTTCCTCCCTCGTCGGCGTCCTGCCCCGAGCACCTCCGCATGTACGACTCGCAGCTCTGCCTACCAGCTGCGCGCTTCGTACGACGCCGCATCAAGCATCAAGCGAAATCGCCGACACTCCGGCGTCGCTGCCCACGTGTGCATCCTCTCCCGCGCCATGCTGAGAGGAAGGAGAATAAGGAGGCCTGGACTTCGCCAGGGGCTAGAGGACGTCGGTGCATGAATGCGGGAGGCGTTCATCAGTCAGTCGCTCCGTAACGGCGGCGGCAGCACCAGGAGCAAGGGGGATATCCGAAGGGGTCGTATGGTTAGTCCTTTTCACAGGCTCATGCGCCAAGTGGCGAGCATGATGGCCTAGGACACTTTGTTTTACCCAAAAGTAATTGCGAGGGGGGAACGCTGAGTATGGTTACGCAAGCTATGCTTATATGGCTGGTTATGACGAGATGGACAGTCTACACAGTAAGGGTCTAAGCCAACAATATGAATTGCTTTCATTGCTTTATATGCGTGTGAATGGCTAAGTGAAGTAGCAGAGATGCACTCGGAAACGCCGCGTCCAGAACCAACGACAGACATAACTGGGATAGGGTCCTTACGTTGAATACTGGTATCTGGCGATCGAGCAAGTCCATTGCGAGACGAAGAGACTGTTGCAGCATTGACAAGTTTGTATATTCGGGCCGTCTCAGCCGAAAGGTCACATCAATAAATCACAACCAGACACAGGTGTAAAGGGGTATCATTTGATATATTCCTGCCCCGCCTTGCCCTTCTTTCCCTACCTATCCATACACATCCAAATCATCAACGGCAACGCGTAGATGCAGGGATTTCACCACTGTCCCCTGAAAAAGAGAAGACCAAACGCCCCGAACCCCGGTCCCAGCAATGGTCCCGCCCCAAGTTCCGTTTCCTGTGTCCTGTCGTATATCCACGACTTGCACCCATGTGCACAACACGCAGTCGCTGGGAGAGGAGTGATGAAGAGAGAAATAAAAAGACGAGATGATGACAACAGCGCAGCGGCTCGCCAAAGTTGCGCAGAAAAGACGTAGTTATAGACAGTAGCAGCAGCAGCAGCTTCAGACAACGTTCCCGGCCATGCCCATGAAGAGGGCGTGCACGGCCAGGCTGAGTGTCCAGAAGCCGACCTTGCGGAACCGGCGGACGCGGCTCTGTTGGTTCTCGACGTCGCGGGCAAAGGCCTCGTACGTCTCGGCAGAGAGGTCGTCCATGAGACCGCAGTCAAAGACGGTCCAAGAGCCGTCAAAGTCGGAGGCGCGCTTGACGATGCGGCAGGAGATGGGAATGTACGTCTTCTTGGCGTTGATGTAGGCGACAATGGGGCGGACGAGGGCCTGGTTGATGTACGACATTTGGTTCGTGAAGAGGGGCACGGCGGCCTTGACGTCGTTCATGTGGATGCGGAGATCCATAATCAGGTAGCGGCGGTCGTCTTCTTCCGCGTCGCCGGGGTTCGCGGAGGACTGATCCCCCGGCGTTGAGGAGCTGGTCGAGGCCATGTTGAACCACGAGCCGGTGCTGTTTTGGCTGTCGGCAGGTGTGAGGGGATCTGACGCAATGTCCTTCTGGAGCAGGCGCAGGCGGTTTGAGATGACAATCTCCTCGAGCTGGTCGTAAAAGTCAGACATGACTTTTGTGATACCCTCGTCGGCGTCGACCGGGAACATGACGTCGGCGACAATGTCGACATTGCCCTCGTATATCCAGCCAAAAGGTCCGTCGACGCCACGGTTCAGGTGGTCGAGCTTCATGCCGTCGATACGGAGACGGCTGAACTTTTTCCACACATTCTCGTCGCCCAGGCTCTCCACAAGGTCGCGGTTGTCGCCTGCCATAGCGCCATGTACTTGGCGAGGGTGAATAGTGAACAGGGAGCCATCATAGGATCCTGACATGTGCGTCGCAGAGAGGAAGTCGTAGAAGAGCCAACGTTTCCGAAGTTGCGGCAACTCTGCCGAAAAGATGCTCACAGAAAAGGGGCGGAACCCCCCTGGCTGATGAACCGTCACCAGGACGTCCTCGAGCTTGAACGAGTCGATTTCAAAATCGCCCGGCTGGTGCTCGTGTCGATAGGAGAGGGGGTCCACGGGCTCGTCAGACCAGTGAACTGATGTACGATCCACGACACCACGCACACCCTTTACCTCGACATCCTGGAGGAAGCCCTTGCCGTTCCACCACTTGAGGAAGGACAGCGTGACATTGACGTTGGCGATGGTCACGTCGAATTGCGTGTAGTTGCCGTCATCTTCCGGCGTCGCTTCTGCATCGTGTTCGTGCTGACGTCCGGCGGCTGCAACCGCAGCAGCGCTGGTAGATGATCCCTTGCTCACAGAGGACTTGATCTGCCCGGGTCGTCGGGACACAAAGACATTTCGGAAAGAGATGACGCCGTCGTTCCACTTGGGAACAATAGCCGACTCGAAGACGACCGTGACACCGGCTGATTCGGTCAGGGAATCGCCTACCCAGCGAGCGAGAGTTTCTGCAGGCCATGTAAGTCATTGTGAGCTATCCAGTATGCAAGGCTTCGACGGCTTACCCTGAGCAACCACTGTGTTGATAGACAGGATGCAGAGTGAGACAAAGGTCGTAGTACCGACGAGGATCCAGACCAGATGCCCGAAGAGGAACCAGGAGACGAAGGCCCCCCACTCGTCAATATTCCAGGGTCGCATGCTCCTGATGGACGCCCACTTGAAGCGAACGCCGAATCGTTCCCAAAACCCATTGGCCGCGGCCAGCAGCTCCTCTCTTGTTGGCCTGTGCGGCATCTTGGGCATGTGTAGGTATTTCGACATGGTCGTAGCGATAGACTCGGGGTCATCGTGATGGTGTTCGGGGTTGACCGGCTTGTTGGGATCGGGCGGCTTGGGCGTATCGTGCTTCAAAGGCTGCGAACCGCCGCTGGTTTTGCTGTCGACGTCCTTACTGTCGCTCTTCGAGCTGCTATACCTCTTGCCCTCGACGCGGGCGCCTCTCCTGGCGTCGGTATGTGTACTCCTTCGCCATGCGAGGCGCGCGAGTTGCTGAATATTGGCGTTTTTGGAGAGCCCAGCCGATGCTGCCTCAGACACGACATTGCCAGGCGTTGCTACCGCGCCTGGTGGAACAGAAGTGGAAGCATTGGTGGTCAGGCCGACTAGGAGCAGACCACTGCTCGTAAAACTTCTCTTCGTGTAGGCTCCGTTCGGACCGGACGACTGTGCAGAGGGGCGCTCGGTATGTATCGGTCGTCGATTCGAGTATTTAGGTGTGTGATTTGTTGCCTGGCCAGCACGGAAGCCAGCGATGGCGAATCTCGCAGGGCTATGGAAGCACGGGGCTGGCGATGATGGTTCGAAGACGGAAGCAAACAAGCGGCGCCCGAGAGGAACCGACAGCTTCGACATGTCTTCAGCGCATGACTTTATTCTTTTCTTCGTCTTTCGAAAAAATGCAACTTTGGAACGAATGGCGGAATGGGGTCAAACCAGTGCCCCAGAATGAGGAGGTGAATCGTCTAGAGGGAGGGCATACGGATTGTGAGGGGGGTTTGCTCATGCAGATCCGGTTCCAAGCAGTCAGTCAGGTCAGGTAAGGTTAAGCGTCCATGACGCGCTACGGATGCAGGATGAAATGGCGAGCAAGGGCCTTGGTCCGGCGGTAGGCACTGAATGGGGCGCTGCTGCCACATGAAAGTCTTTGCTAGCTCAGGCTTTTGCACCTTGGGGGCGCGGGTGTGGCTCGTGCACGCTTATCGATAGGGCGACACAAAATTTTGGGAATGCGGCGATAATCCCACAGCAAAGCGAGCAGAGATCTTGGGCCTCCACTAGACTTGGGCGGTCAGGGTCTGATCTAGCGTCTGCATTCACTCGACAACCGACGACGGCACACCTGCTCGCACGTACGACGACGACTGCCACTACGACGCATCAGACGAGCGACACTGACTGTTGACCCACGGCCTACATACTCCAATCTTCTACAAACAGAACCACCCCTCCCCCGCCATCATGCCTGCGCCAACCGCCCTCCAGGTGGTCGACGATACCCCGCCATCGACCGTCTCTCTGCCCGAAACCAACGACGAAGAACTCCTTCTCGACGCCCCCGACCTCCCCGCCGAAGGCGACCTGATCCTGCAAAAGGTTCCGAACGATGAGCACACAGCCGACATGATCATCGACGAGGAGAACCGCCCCCGCTTCGCCCCCGGCAACGACATTGTAAGACGCTCCCACTGAACCCATCTACCTATCTCTGCCTCCAGGCGCTGACCACGCCCCTTTTTCACAGTCCACCTCCAAAGAGGTCCAGACACGCAAGGTCCCCATCCCGCCGCACCGCTTTACCCCTCTCAAGACCAACTGGATCAACATCTACACGCCCCTCGTCGACCACCTCAAGCTCCAGGTCCGCATGAACCCGCGCCGCAAGTCTGTCGAGCTCCGCACTTCCAAGCACACCCTCGACGACAGCGCTCTGCAAAAGGGCGAGGATTTTGTCCGCGCCTTCACCCTCGGCTTCGACGTCGACGACGCCATTGCCCTGCTGCGTCTCGACGACCTTTACAGTACGTTCCTCCGCCGCTCGGCCGTCCGCCGATTGTCCGGTTCTTCGCTAACAGTGTCCTGCAGTCGAGACCTTTGAGATCAAGGACGTCAGGCAGGTCATGGGCGACAATGCCCAAACAAGAGCTGTCGCACGCATCGCCGGTTCCGGCGGCAAGGTCAAGGTACGTTCAGACATCCCAGAGAGCCAAAGGAGGAGAGACCGCTCCTGTCACAAAACCATGACCAGCAGCATTCCCTGCTGCCGGGGGGGAACAACTCACGAACTGCCTCTCGAAAAAATACAAAGAAGCCGAATGCTGACCGGATCACGTAGTTTGCCATTGAAAACGCCTCGCGCACGCGCATCGTCCTCGCCGACACACGCATCCACATCCTCGGCTCCTTCAAGAACATCGCGCTGGCCCGCGAGTCGATCGTCTCGCTCATCCTCGGCAAGCCGCCCTCCAAAGTCTACGGCAACCTGCGGACCGTCGCGGCGCGGATGAAGGAGCGTTTCTAGGCCGGCTTCTTGGCCCACGACCCCTTTTCGTTTGCGGTGTTCTTTTTGGGGGGAGGGGCCAAGGGAGGTCTTGGCTGAGAGGCCCACGCCGAATAGACGAGGGGATGACTATGATCTAGCAGAGTGTGCATGTCCGCTCGCTATCTATTGCTTGGAGGCACGAGATGGGTCCAGGATTGGCGTTGGGCGGGAACGGGAAATTTTCCCACTTCATTTTTTTTTGTGCTTCGAGTTTTTTGCTGCATGTAGAGCCACGGATAGGAAAAAAAGCTATCAAGAGAATGAACTGTTCAACGATGCCTTCTAGTCGTAGTCTGTGTTCAGTATTTCCTCCTCAACCTTGTTCGTTCGTCGAGACAACTCGTTGATCACAAAAGTGAGCCCATCAAGTACTTGAAATCATCGACTTTTAATCATGATGCCTATGATGCAGCCTCTATACGTGCCTACCCCTAAAGACTCATACAAATCTCCGCCCGTCTTCCTCGGGGCAAGAAAAAATCAAGGCGAGGAGGGGGGGTTGGCACAGAGAAAAAGGGGGAACCGGCGAGCCACCGCCCGGATGCCTCGCCTGCAACAAGTCCCCACCCCGGGCCACCGCAACCCCCTTGCCCTCGTCTGAGTCGTGATAATTACGCCATGTCCCGGTACGCAGCAAGCCAGAGCAGCGCAAACTTTACTCCTCCTCCTCCTCCTCCTCGGCGGCGCCCTCCTCTTCCTCTTCCTCATCGTCGAGGCTGCCGCTAGGGATCTGGTACAGACGCAGCATCGACTTGTTGGGGTCCTTGACGAGAATGTACTTGCCCTCCTCGCGCGCCAGAATCATGTCGGCGATGGTGCGGACGATACCCCAGCCGTTGGACAGCGAAAGGTTCATCTGCGAGGCAAAGTCGCGGGGCTTCCAGCCGACGACGCCGAGAATGACGTGCTTGTCGTTGGAGCGGGGGTTGACACGGGAGACGAAGCTGAAACGTATTAGTATGGTTCGAATATTCAGAGAAGAAGGGGGGAACTCACCCGAGCTTCATGACATCGGACTTGGCGAGGATGCTCTGCACCGTCCACCTGGCCAGCTTGCAAGAGTTGTTCTTCATCTCGGTGGCGACAACGGCACCGCGCTGGCTGACCAGCTTCTGGCGCCAGTCGAGGGCGCCACCGCTACCCTGTGCCTTCGAGTCGAACTCGTTGAGCGCCTTGACGGTCAGGTACTGGTCTTCGCCGGAGATGGCGTTCTTCTGGACGGCGTCGACCTCGGTCCTGACGATGAGGTGGACAGGCTCCTCGTCGCTGGTCGACAGGTCGAAGCGGCGGTACTTGTAGGCCTTGGAGGCCGGAGGGTCGGTGTCCTCGGAGGCATTGTAGAAGGGGTTGCTGTTGGGCATGTCAACCTTGCTGTTGCCCTCGAGCACGACCTGGTTGGCAAAGTTGTGGTTGATGTAGGTGGCCTCCTCAGCGAGGGCCGACGGCTGGTTGACAGTGTCCTTGCTGCCCTCCGAGGCCTCGAGGGGCGCATCGGCGGCGTTCTCGTTGACCGTGACCATGTCGAGCGCGGCGTTATCACGCTTGTCAAGGAAGATCTTGTTGCCCTGGCGGACAATGACAACATCCCACGAGTAGACGGAGCGCGGCGCACACATGATCATGGAGAGAATGCTGTCGGTGGCGAAGATCTGAGCCTCGTCCTTCTCGGCGAGCTCCTGGATGACGGGGTCCGACGAGGTCGTGACGTTGTAGGCGGCACGGTCGATGGCCGTGAGCTTCTTCTCGGCGTTCTTGACCGGCGCCTTGTCGTAGGAGCGGTCGTAGTAGTAGAGGAAGCCGTAGCTGTCGACATCCTCACCCTCGTCTGTCTCGAGGTTGAGCTTGGCCAGGCGGTTGAAGTCAATCTCCTCGAGCATCTTCCAGTCAGGGCGAATGTTGATGGAAGCGTCACGGTTGCGAGCAGGCTTGTCGTAGTCCTTCCAGCCGAAGCGACGGCCACCGCGGCCGCCAGCACCACCTCGTCCGCCACGCGAGTCGAAGCCTCCGTAGCCGCCACGGCCACCTGCCGCACCGCCGCGGGTTGCCGTTGTGCGTCCACCGCGGGCATCACCACGGCCGCCACGAGCGCCGCCGCGGCCGCCGCGAGTGAAGACGGCACCACGACCGTACCTGGTCTTGGTGCTGTCGCGTGTGTTGCTGACGACGGAGAAGGATGACTCGTCTTCCGCCGGGGGGGCGTTGAAGGTGACGGCGTGGCTCGCGCCGTAGACTTGTTGGTCTGGAGACTGGTCAGTGGTCTGCTGTGGGGTGGTGTAGATTTATCGATCATTTTCCCATGGTGCTTACCCCTGTAGTTTCTGTTGTACTGCTGCCTTCCACCACGGCCGTCCTGGCCCTTGCCGTCGGCAGTCCAGTCGGCCATGCGGCCCAGCTTGTCGCCCTTGGAGAAGGGCGCATAGGGGACGCCGTTCAGCGTGGTGTCGCTGGTGACCGAGGGGCCCCAGCCATCGCCGGCGGGGCAGTTCTCGACGAGGGTAACCCAGTCGACGTTCTGCGCCATGATGACCTTATCCACGGGGGTGATTTGGAGATGGGATACGGTCGGTTCGGTGGTGGGTGTGCAGGTTCTCGGAAAGTCGGGCGTTCGTCGTGGCGGCCCCTCGTCGACGATTTTCGCAGTTCTCAGTTCTTTTGGTGGGGTGAGCTTTGTGGGGCAGGGGCGGGCAGCCGGGCAAGTGAGAGCGCCTTCTTTCGCACCTTCCTGTGCACCTTCCTGTGCACCTTCCTGCGGAGTCAGACCTCAAAGGGGGTGCGCCTGGTGGCAGCCGGTGGCAGCCGTACGTTATTTGCACTCAACCATGTCTAGATTCCCCATCAACTCCCATATCATTTCATACGACAGCACACACGGGGTTTATTCGTCGAATATTCATCTCTACATAGCATGTTCATTAAGCAGTACACCATTTCATCCCAAAACATCCGACGCTACATCTACGTCGTAACTTCGTATCTTCGTGGCACAAATATGGCAGAGATGCTGCCTCCCCTGCCACTCGTGCCCATCCATCCTCACCCCTCAAGGGTAAGCTCCCATGACATTCTCCAAAGCATCTCTAATCTCAAACTCCTCCAAAACAGCGCCGAACCTGAAAGAAGTCAGCCAGAGTTCCAGAAATCAAAACGAGCAAAAAAAACTCACCCGTAGCACCGAATCTTGGTACCCAGCTCCTCCGTCAGCTTGGCAAAGTCCTCGGCCTTCATCTCGTAAAAGCTCGAGTGAGCCATGACCATGCCCCACGCCATGACGGGAGTGATTTCGCCATCTAGATTAAGCCTCTTGCTGAGGGCGAGCAGCGTCCCGAGATCCGCCTTGGACAGCTCCCACGTCCTCTGGCCCGAGTTGAGATCACCGTTGACGTGGGCGTAGCCAAAGGGAATGTCGGGCGTCAGCTCAGGGAAAGGCTCGGGGGGGCACGAGGCCATGAGGGCGTGGCCGCAGGGCTCGCCGCCCACTTCGCTCGATCGCTCGAGCAGCCAGGGCATGTGGTTCATGCAGGGCTTCTCTAGTCTGTGGTCCGGAACGACACTTGTCAGCCAAACAGCTCCGCTCAACGAACGCCATGGGCCTGACCGTACCACGCAACTGGCGAATACGGCTGCCGTTGACTCCATCTTCATAGGGAAACTTCATCACGGCCGGGGAGGTGAAAGGTAGGCTTTCGAGGGGTGATCGTACGTTAAGACGAAGTCAATGCCCGCTTGCTCATAATCCACGCCATTGGCACCGTACTGTCCCTGCAGGTGTTGGGACGTGCCATGTTGAGGATACTGTTGTTGCTGCTGGCCGCTGGGCGTGTTGCCATGGGAGCTGCCATTTTTGGGCGCATACGAAGGCGACACGGAGGCGGTGGTGGATTTCGACGTCAGGGGCGGGGTGAAAATGGAGCGAGAGCCGTGAGTATGGCTGTAGCCGGAGGGGCTGGCGCTGGCAGTGTAGCCGCCGCTGGGGTTACTGACGGTATCATCGAGGCCGACGCTGCTGAGCGGTATGCCGTGCTGGGTCAGGAGCTGCCTGAGTTGCTTGTTCTCTTCTGCGACCTTGTCCTTGTCCTGCGACATATTGCTGAAAACCTCCTTGAGCCGCAGGACCTCGTCCTCGAGCGCCTTAATATAGAGCTCTTTCCTCTCGCGATGGGTTCTGTGACGACTAATAAGCTTCGGCGCTTGTCATGACAGCGCTGCGCTGCGTAAGGCGTTGGCGACGAAGACTTACCGCTGTGCTTGTCTGTTGAGCTCCTGCCGCCTCGTCATGGCGGGTTTGCTGTCGGGCTTCGGCCCCCGGCGCTTGGGCGGTTGGCCATCTACAAATCGTGTCAGTAGTGCAAAATGACGTATCGGCCGCGGCGGAACGTACCTCGTGTCGCCTTTTTCTCGGTAAGGCCCTTGAGGAACCCGAGGTTCAGGTTGGACAACGGGCCGTTGTCCTGCTCGGCACTGCTCGAGCGAGCATGCCTCGAGGAGGGATTGCCCTGTTGGTCCGACGGCAGGGACGACGCCATGAATATGAATCGTTTGACGAAAAGGCAGAATGGGCAGTGCAGTAGCGCAAGGCTGTTGGCGATGTCGCGTTAGTTTCCCCGGCCAAACGTTTGGAAACTGGCAGCAGCCGGAAGAGGGGACAAATATCTGGTACATACACTTCAAGAGAGAATCAGGTGGTCTTGCGACGGGCGCCGAGCGCAATGAGGCAAGAGCATGCGGGTTTGCTCTTCAGCAACAGGCGACAGGCGACAGGCTTGGGGTATGCGTAGATAGACGATCCAGAACAGTGGTGGTGTAGCACGTCGGAAAGAAGCGTGGCGACCAGCAGCGGACGCAGGCGGAGCTCTGGAACATGCGATGGCGACGATGGCGGAAATGGAGGGCGCCAATTGACGAGACACCAAAGCGAGGTTACAACCAGCCCACCCTGCAGTGCGCCTGACGTGACGGGAGTTGTTGATGAACAGGTCTCGGGGGGGCGGGACTTGAAACAACGCCTCGGTCTCAGACGATGCACGACACGATCAGACTGAGCTGACGGGTGTGAGTGAGAGGTATTACTGGAGATGTTCAGACGAAGTGTCAAGGCTCGGGTTGCCCAGAAAGCCTGCGACTTTGTTTGTTTGCACTGGCGATTCAGGTTTTGACGATGGAAGCATGGACCATGAGTATGGTGGGCAGGTAGGGATGATGCAAATGCTGATGGAAGGAAAAAGGGTCGTCAGCATTGAGGCTGGGAGACGACGACTGATAATTGGATGTACCTCGAGCTACGTAGGGCCGAGAGCGTGACCCTATCTAAGATACCTCGACTAGGTACAATGCAGTAGAGGACGTACTTAAGTACGGATGGCAGTGATACCCCTGGAGATCCAGCTAGTCAGCACCCTAGCACCACATGCGGCTTGTCGAGAGTCGAAGAAGCCAATGGCGACGGCAATGGGTTTTGCACTGGGCCGGCGCTTGCTGGATTGTCTTGGTGACCAAGATGACGTTCGGCGGCCGAGGTTCGTCGGGCACTATCTGGTCGAAATTGTCTACCGGCAAGCTACAGGTGTCGGACTCTCGGGGCTCTGCAGGCATTGAGAGAACTCGATCGCCTGCAGCTGGGCGCTGAGCTGTTCGGGGTTTGCGCACCCTGTGCATGCCTGCCTCGCATGCCTGCCTCGCATGTCTGCCTCACATGTAAATGTAAGCCGGCAGGCGGGCGGCCAGCTTTAGTAAGCACCATCGATCCGAGAGGAGGGGTGCTCGAGGGCTTGGCTTTACCTGCCTCTCCCACCTTGTCTGAGCAAAGCCCATCGGGCTGTTTGTTCCATCAACTCCATCAAGCCTTTTTCGACTACCATCGTCAGTTTCCCTCACCCCGAACTCGACATCAATGGTCTTGTCATCTCAAAAAGATATAGCCCTGCTATCATTTCGTTTTGGTCCCTTGTAAAATTGATCGACACCAGGACCGAGCGCTTCCACGGCTTGTCTCAAAGCAGAAATGTCAGCCTACTACTAATGGAAGCCACCCAGCCCTAGCCAGACACAGGCCCTGTGCCAGTACCGACAGTGCCGCACATGGTACTGTCCCTTCCCATGTCCTCTCTCTAACCGGATCCACGGCAGACGCTGTCAGAAGCGGTCATGGAGAAAATACCGCCCGCCCCTCCCTCGGCTCCATCGGTCGGTCACCATGGTGTCTCACAGATAGTCGTCGTCATAGACGAATTCGTCCGTTGCACGCGACCCTCTTCAGCGCCCAGAAAAGTCATGGCCCGCCGCCATGAGGTGCTTCCCGCTTCCCGCTTGGGACACACCGACTCGCGCTGATTGGGCTCGCTGCCGGTGCGCCTACGAGCGAGCGCCCATGAGGGTCTCGGACTTCGGGTCTTGTTTCTGATCTTCTCTGGATGCGCAGGCTAGACAAGACTGAATTTCCATCTGCCGCCAGCCAGCATGCACCGCATTCTGAAGCTTGGACGCCAGCTGTGCGGGGACGAAGCTTGCTTGCCTGCCACTTCCCGACGTTTCACCCACGAGAGGTTCTCTTGCGACAGCCATGCTCCCGTAGTCTCTTCCATGGTAGCAAATTTCACGTTGCCCTCGACCTGCCCTGACGCAACGAAACACCAACCGCGCCCCGTCCCAACCCGTCATGGCTGGCCACGGGAATGCGCTCACGCACATTCGCGGCGCCGTCATCCTGGCACCGTGGCTCATCTTCCTCCTTCTCGCCGACCTAGCCCTCTCCCTGCAGCTCCCTTTCAAGATCCTCTTTCCCAACCTGGTCTACAACTCGTCGTCCCGCATCGCCGAGCCCGTCTGGTACTGGATCCAAATCATCTTTGAGCGCTTCAACAGTGCCAAAATCACCTTCTCCGGCGATGCGCTGCCCGCCGGCGAGTCGGCCATCGTCGTGGCCAACCATTGCGCCTGGGCCGACTTTTACATGATACAGGCCCTCGCCGTCCGCGCCGGCATGCTCAGCCGATGCCGCTACTTCGCCAAGATCCAGCTGCGCATCGTGCCCTTCCTCGGCTGGGGCCTCTGGGCCATGGGCATGCCCATGGTGAGCCGCAATTGGGCCAAGGACAAGCATGAGCTCGATCGTGTCTTCGCTGGCATCGTCCAGCGCCAGTGGCCGACGTGTGAGTGAGCCCGGGGCGGCCGAGTGGCAGGAAGTAGAGAGGGGATATACTGACACCGTGCACAGGGCTCGTCAGCTTCAGCGAGGCGACGCGCTTCACCAAGAAAAAGTACGAGCAGTCCATCGCCTGGTGCAAGGAGGCCGGCCGCCCGCAGCCCAAGCACCTCCTCTACCCGCGCACCAAGGGCTTCATCACGACGGTGCAGCACCTGCGCCAGGCACCACACGTCAAGGCCGTGTACGACCTCACTATCGCCTACCAGCACGGCGACGAGTGGCACGCCGAGCCGACCATGTGGGACACCCTCAGCGTGCCCGGGCTGAGCGACCGCCTGGGCTACCGTTTCCACGTGCACGTACGCCGGTTCCCACTCGAGTCGCTGCCGGAGAAAGATGAGGATCTGGCCAAGTGGCTGGAGGAGCGGTGGGTTGAGAAGGGAGAGTGGCTCGAGGAGAAGAGGGTTGAGTGGGCAGCGACGGAGGCGTGATCGAGCTCAAGACTTCAGGGACGGTCAGTGGAGTGGCATGGTCTCTGTACAGCGAAAACGCAGATTTTTCTGTTGAATAGAAGGTCTTGAATCAATTTCTGGGAGGCATGAGGCAGCAGCGTTGGGAGGACCCAGGAGGAAAGTGACGTGGTGTCTTGATCCTCGATGGGTGTTCTGAGAGGGCCTGCAGAGAGCAGGTTTCCAGGGAACCAGCAAAACAAGTAAACATCAATCAAATCACCACAATTCAGTGGGATGACAGTCTGGTGCGCGCGATGATTTATTGCAGCAAAATCACAAAAAGAATAATCTGAAGATACGGTGTTTGCGCCGTACGTGAATCGAACACGTCTCTCATGCTAACGCTGATGGAAGGCAGGAATCATAACCACTAGACCAACGGCGCTTGTCGTTGAAAATGCAAGGCAATCAGTAGATTATATCCTACTCTCAAATCTAACATGACTTGATCATGACCTGGGACGTTGATCATCCTTTGCATCAAACAGTACGTTTCTTCTGCAAAACGATTCATTTGCGCTGTCAGGGTGTGCAGCGCAAACGATCATCTCTTGTTACTTGCAAGGGGTAATGGCCTTGAACAAAGTATTGGATGATGTCTCCATTTGCCTCAAATGCATTTCAAAGTCGCGAGCATTATATCAGTGATTAGAAAAGGCTACCTCCAGTATCACGACCGGCGTTTAAGCACCTCCATTCAGGTTGGCGCGACGTTACGTTTGTCTAGTTGTTTCCAAACATGTCCTTTAGGAAAGAGCTCTCGCTCCATACTGGGCATTCATATCAGCGACTAGAGAAAAAGCTCTTCCTCGTCACTCTCCAGGATGAAAGCCCATGAAAAGCAGAGGACACACATGAAATAAAGCAAAGCGAGGCGTGTCGACGCTCAAGCACCTCACTGCCTTAACACGACCGCAAACCCATAGACACATGCATTCTTTAGATAGTCTCTCCCAATTCGCCAGATCAGTCACACTCCCGAAACAGGGAAAGGCACCGCTCTCTGCTAACACCACCGCCCCGCGAGGAACCCAACCGCGAACCCGACACCGAGCACCACGGCAACCACGCTTGTCGTCCCCTTGGCCCCCAAGCCCGACACGTCATGGCCCAACCCATCGATCCAGCGCCGCCGCAGCCTCAGCACGCCGATGCGCATGAAGAACATCTCGTGCACGTCCACCGCGCTGCCCTGCGCCGGCATCCCCAGCTCCGTCGAGCTCCTCTTCTTCGGCGTCTTGGACTCGACACTTTTACTGCCTATCAGCTCGTCAGCACCAGGCCTAGAAAGCAGGATGCGAGCACAAGGCTGGGCAAGAACACGAAAACGAGGTCCAATCAAGGAATAACAAATGGGCACCAAGTAACAGAGAAAGAAACATGACGATGAAGAAAACAAAGAGCAGAAGAAAAAAGGAAAGGGAAAAACTCACAGAAGCGTCAGGCTGACATCACCCTGCAACCTCGCCTTCAGCTCAAGCTCGACATCCAGGTTCAGCCCCAGCTGCAGCCTGACTGGCTTCGTCTCGGCCAGCCGCGGCATGATGCCCGGGCCCTGAAGGCCGGCCTGCCCCTTGGCGGCGAGGGCCTTGTTGTTGTTACGCGAGCGGCGGCGGCGGCGACCGCGCGAGTCGACGCTGCTGGCGGCGTCCGAGGCTGAGTCGTCGAGCTGGCGGCGGAGGTCAGCGAGGAGGTCCGCCTTGGAGGAGGCCGCGGGACGGCCTCCGCCGCCCGCGCCGGCTTGGAAAAGACCGGAGGGGGGCAGGGGGGGCGAGGAGGTGGATACCTTGGGCATGGTGGGGTTGACGGAGGCCATGTTTGGTGTTGGGCGTTTGCGGAGCGTGAGGTGATGGGCTTGTACGTTGCCGCGGTCTGCGTCGTCGTGGTAGGAGGGCGGAGGGGAGAGCGGGGTCTTGGGTTGGGAGAAGGTGAGGGTCGTCAGAGACTGGATGAAGGTCTTTGACGAGGACTCGTAAAGAACGGGCGGCTTTCGTTTGCGCGAGAGGCGAACAAGGCGAAGCGGCTTCGGTTGGGGGACTGAGGGAGGTGGGTGGAAGCCTTTGGCAGGCTTGCCGGTTGCTGGATAGTACGGGGGCGGCTGGACGAGATAGGAGCCGGCGGTAGGGACAGAGCGCGGGACCGAACGTGGGGCGGAGGCTGTCTGTTGCTGTCGCTGCGACGGCGGCGGCGGCGGGGATCCTGAGACGGCTTGAAGCTCAAAGGTCTTCTCACTGAGTTCGGGGCCTGTGTAATCGGGAAGGGTGCGGTCAACGGGCCCGTCGTTGTTTGTCTGGTCTGGTGTGACGGGGAGGACTGGAAAACAAAAGCACAGAGAACCGAGAAGTGACTGATCCACGCCGGCACTGCTGGCGATAAGGTGAGAGAAAGACGGGAAGCGCGCTGCCGGAGGCGGAAGAGACTCTAGAGTCTGGATGTGTGTGTGAGTGAAGGGATTGCGAAGAGAACCAGTCTGCCTGAAGAGAGACAAAGGAGATGAGACGAAGAGCATTAGCTACTGCCCTATATACTTGCCATATCGTAACCATCACATCGCCATCTAAGCACACCATGCTGCGGTCAACTTACAGGATGATGCATCACGTGGTGGCAGCCGTAGGGTCAGGGGTGCTTTGACATGGCATCTCAAGCGACCCTTCTACTGAAAACATACGATGATCTCAACCCCTGAAACAGCGATGCAACCTCACGACTCTCCTGCCCCCAGCGTATCAAACCGGCCGAGATTTACGATGGCCACTCCATCTGACCACAAATTCTGGCATCTAACCAGAATGGACGATGCTGGCCTGATCAAGTCGTCTCTGTCCTCGAGGGGCCCAAGCATAGTCAATGATTCTTCAGCAGCAGTCTAACCACAATACAGGGTCCGTGGTCTGCAACATACTGCTCCATGCCTGATGCAACAGAGCCACGCAGTGCTCAACGTCCAGGCCTGTGAGATGGCATCGTAGGCTATGTATATTCCAGCGCTGTTCTTCTGAAATGGGAACACTGCGACAGACCGGTTGAACGGGCCATATTAAGATAGTAAACTTCATGTATCTCGCCATGAGAAACGCTTCATTCATGGCAGGTCGGCGGTCCCTCTTAGAAACCAAAGAAACAAACATCCCCATATCCTTACAACGCCATGCTCCACAGACCGTCGAAGCTTTACGCCACTTGCCACATGCCTGCCGCACGCCGAGTCAGGACAGCGTGCCGGATGCACTGCTTCAGGGGTATAGATGAGAGACCCGACATGCATGGCAGTGATTGCCAAATTGGCCTCTCCGTTCATGTTCTAGACCCCCGTTTGTCGACCCTTTGTTAAACAGACAGACCATTGCCCCAACATGAAGCATACCATCCATGCAAGGCTCCGAAACCACCCTCGTCGAGGAACCGAAAATCAACTCACAAACGCCGACGCCATTCATAAGACAGGAAGCCAGCCGCCCAAGCTTTTTCCTGACACAACACCCCCACAACACGTGAGGAAAGATGAGATCGTTCGTTGTTCAGATGGCCAACCCCAGAAGACGGCCCCATTCATGCGCTGAGGAGGTCCCGCACCGACATGCCACGTCCCGTGCCCTGGCTTTCCGTGGCACTGCTGCGGCCATGTCCACTCCCGATAGTGCCCCGACGGTCGCTGTTAAGCATGAGCAGGGCGGCCGTCGCCTCCTGATCCAGGTCACGGTGCTCCCTTTGCGGCGCAAGGGCGGGGCTCGTCAGCGCCGATGGTGGCTGCGAGGGTCCACCCGCGCGACCGTAGTCGCATATTTGGGGGCCGAACGCCGGTGATGTGGTGGCCGAGGAGGCGCTGTAGCTGTAGTGCCTGTGGTCGGTAGACGTGGACGAGTACGAGTGGTTCCGGTTCCTCGCGTCTTCGGCTAGCAGGGCAGGCGACACGGACGGTTGATGCGAGCGGGACGGCTGGGCAGCAAACGGAGGCGACGCGGCTTCAGAGCCGGTCATTTCAACATCGCCGGAAGGGTCCTCACGGTACGTTGGGGCAAATTGGGGAATGGATGCCCACAAGTCACGGCCACCTTCGGTAGGCGTCTGCATATCGGGCGCCTCTCGTTGCTCCTTGAGTTTGGACACACAGTCCTCGAGATATCTGACATACTCAATGGAAGCCTGGCGATCGACATGTCAGTTGGAGAGTTCGCCAGCCTCGTCGCGTATCAGCGTGGGGGACTGACCTGGAGAATGGCCAACTTGTGCATCTCGCCCGTGCACGCCGGGATCATGCCCTTCAGCACGGCAAACTCCTCATTCATCTTGGACCTCCGGCGGCGTTCGATCAGGCTGTGCGCCGTCTTTCTCGCAATCTTCCGCCCAGCTGCGCTCGTCGCAGACGGCTGCTTCTTCTTCGACGTCGCCGCCGCAGTCCCATTTGATGCTGCGGCCTTTGAAGCTGTGGTGTTTTTGGCGGATGGTGAATCCTCTTCGGGCTCCTCCTGCTTCGGTTTCATCTGGATGATCTTTCGTGACCTAGTCGGTGGTGGGGGTAGTGTGAAGGCCTCCTTGGCGGCGGGTTTTTGAGCTGTCGAAGATGCACGGCGCCGCGACTTGACGGCCTCGGCGACCTGCATAGGATAGGAAGCCCGGCCAGACGAAGCAGACGGCAAACTAGGTGGCGAAGTCCTCATGTCGGTGGGAGAGATGCTGGAGGGGTCACGAGCGATGGCGGGGGGAGGCAGCTCAAATGCCAGCTGGAGAGACGCCAGCTTTTTTGTGCCGTCCTTGCCCTCAATGTCGGTGGAGGAGGCTGGTGTCGGGGGAAGCGCTGGGCGCGGCATCTTGATGGTGTCGCTGAAGTTTGCCGTGTTGCGGTGCAGCAACACACGAGGGATGTAGGTGGTTGAGGAATATGCCAAGAGATATGGCCAAGAAAGAACCAGGAATCACGTTTCTCAACGACAGCTTGATCGGATGGAACTTGGGGGCCGACACGATGTTGTAGGCGTCCAGAGACGGTGAATTCGGACACCCTAGCAGCTCAAACGAAAAGAGACAGGGACAGAAAGAAGGACCAGCATGAGATCAAGAAGACGCCGGGGACAGAAATCACCCCCCGGGGGGTGGGAAGGACGTCAAGATAGACCCCAGAGGACCGCGGCGGGCTGCCCAGGGCCACCACCGAGACGCATGCTCAGGCACAAGCACGCACGCACCGCACTCAAGGCCATTTACCCCCCTCAACGGATGGCCCAGACATGGTCCGGCGGCGATCTGCTTTGTTCGCCCATCAGGAATCAGGAAGGCACGCGACAACCTCCCACAACCAATCCCCAGCCCACACACCTCGACCGGGCTGCCAAAAACGACCATCGACCTCGCACGCGGGTCGGACCAATCAGGAGCCACGACCCGAGCACATGGGCTGCCCTGGAGCGTCGATATGGTTCAAACGCAGTGCGCACCGCCCCCCTCGTCCCGCACCCTGTCCCCGGGAGGGGGAGCAGCGGCCGTCGAGAGGTTTGGGCATGTGCTCGATGGGCTTGTCCGGTTAGGGTCGTTTGGGCGGCTTTGACTCGTTCGAAGGGGGGAGGGGAGAGCACTTGCCCTCGTGGGCGGGCACTGGGGTCTGCTTGGCGGATTGGAGGGTCTCGGATCGTGCACGCCGCTAGGGTGGGTGATCTAGAGAGCATGTCGTGTGATGACTCGTGTTGACGCGATAAGCTTCGTCGTATCGACGGTCGTCTTGATTGAACTGGTCCTGTTGGTGAGCAGAGCTCATGATGATGATTTGATGGAGTTGTGTTTGAATAAGGAAAGGTGCGCTAGACGCAATAAATGGGGCCCCAGGAAGCTTGAAGGCTTTCGTTCGATTGGAGCGATTGTCCAATGAGGAAACCCTCTCGTGCCCAGACCCCCAAATGCGGACTGGCGGCCTTGGATGACCCTGATGGATGAACAGGGGAAAAGGGAAAGGGTAAGGCAAGGCAAGGCAGGGCAAGAGCAAGACAGGGCAAGGCAGGGCACGGCAAGGGCAAGGGACGGGGAGGCCGCCAAGACTTGTTCTGGCAGGTGGCATGGGCACGCAAATGAGGCAGGGACGGAGGAACCAGATAACTCACTGTAGGGACGAAGAAGGGCAGCAACGAGCGAGAGCCATGTTGGATGCACATGCCAATGAAGCTCGTGTTGTCTGGCCTCTCTCTTGGCTTGGCTCGGCTTGCTCGATCAACACCACCGTCTACAAATCCCCATCGAAGTTCAAAAGTGACAGCACCGACTGCACACAGCATAGGTAAACAGAATTGGTATCAATTGAGAGCTGAAGCTCCAGGCAATCTCGGAACGTCCCATCCAGTACAAGTAAAATCCAATCGTAGCCCTGTCCGGGGCGGAAAGCGCCACCCATACAAATCTCATCACCGCGTACATGGCTTTTTCTACGTGGCCCCGACTCTACGCTTCGTTGCTGGGGTATTCCACCTGCGTCGTCGCCACAAACTCCTCCTTAATGCTGCGCATGTTGACGAACCGGCCCATGAGGGCCGCGCTGCCCGCCTTGTCGTTGGTCCCGCTCGCGCGGCTGCCGCCAAACGGCTGCTGTCCCACCACGGCACCCGTGCTCTTGCAGTTGATGTAGAAGTTGCCTGCCGAGTTGCGCAGCTTCTCCTCGGCGAACCGAATCGCCTCGCGGTCCGACGCGAAAACGGATCCCGTCAAGCCGTACTCGCCTGTCGAGTCGACAAGGTCGCACGTCTCCGAGAAGGCCTGCGTCGCGTTGCCGCTGTCGTCATACACGTGCACCACCAGCACCGGGCCAAACAGCTCCGTGCTCATGAGCTTGTGCGCTTTGTTCGTTGTGGCATAGACTGTTGGCTGCACAAAGAAGCCCTTGGACTTGTCGTGTGTGCCGCCCACCAGCAGCTCGAGCTCCGAATCATTCTTGGCGGCATCGATGACGCCAGACAGCTTCTTGAACGATGCCTCGTGAATCACGGGGCCGAGGAAGTTGGTGTGTTCTGTGGGGTCGCCCTGCTTCAGCTTCTCGACCTCAGACACGACACGCGCCTTGAACTGGGGCCACAGCGACTTGGGCACATATGCGCGAGACGTGGCGCTGCACTTCTGTCCTTGGTACTCGAAAGCGCCGCGCACCGTCTGCAGCGCCGCATTGTCAACATCAGCAGACGGGTGCAGCAGGTGGAAGTTCTTGCCGCCCGTCTCGCCGACAATGCGCGGGTACGACTGGTACCGGCCCTCGGCCACACCAGCCCCGATCTCGCCATACAGCTTGCGGAACACGGCAGTGCTGCCGGTGTAGTGCAGGGCCGCAAATTTCTGGTGTGCCAGTGCGACCTTGGTAACCTCGACGGGATCACCTGGCACAAACTGAATGACATTCTTGGGAAGACCGGCCTCGAGCAGGATCTGGTAGAGGAGCCAGTTGGACGCAATGGCCGAGTCGCTTGGCTTCCACACGACGACGTTGCCGAGCAGCGCCGGCGCGCCAGGCAGGTTTCCAGCAATGGCAGTGAAGTTGAAGGGGCTGACGGCGTAGACGAAGCCCTCGAGGGCGCGGTACTCGACGCGGTTCCAGACGCCCGTCGCGTGGTGCACCGGCTGCTGCGCGTACAGCTCCTCCGCGTACTGCACGTTGAAGCGCAGGAAGTCGACGAGCTCGGCGGCGGCGTCAATCTCGGCCTGCCATGCGTTCTTGCCCTGGCCGAGCATGGTCGCCGCCATGATGTCGTAGCGGTACTTGGTCGAGATGAGGTCGGCTGCTTTGAGGAAGACGGCGGCGCGGTCGGCAAAGGGAAGGGACTCCCACGCCGGCTTGGCGTCGAGTGCCGCGTCAATGGCCTTTGTGATGTCGCCGGCCGAGGCCTTGGAGTAGGTCGCCACGACTGAGGCGTGGTCCGCAGGGTTGACCTGTGTGCCCGTGGACGACGTCTTGATCTGGCAGTGGCCGTTAGCTCGTCGTCAATTGGGGATGGTAGCCCTGGGCGTTTGGGCGAGGGAACTTTTCGTCCTTACCTCCTTGCCTCCGACGACAATGGGCACCTCGAGAGGCAGCTTGTTCTGCAGCTTCTCGACGGCCGCCGTCAGACCCGCGCGCTGAGCGGACCCCTTGGCGTAGTGGTGGTTGGGTTCATTGACCACCTTGGGAATCTTGAACGAGGCGAACGTTGCCAGCCTCTTGGTCGTCGTCGACATGTTGAGACGTCTGGCAGAGGCAGGTGACGCACGTCCCAGCACGGAACGGGCGGACAAGCCGGTGAGCTGACCGGCCGCGCGACGAGCGTTCATGGCGGGCAACGGTCGCTGCTTGACCACGAGAGGGCGGGAGCTGGCTTTGCAAGTTGGCGTCGGACTCGGCCGTGTGGTCCGGGGCGGGGACGAAGAGCGAGGAAACGGAACGCAAGGTGGTGGTGTGTGAGGGTGAGCTCGTACACAGCAACACAGTGAAACGAAACGACCTGAAGCGGGATTGGATGTCTCGTGAACTCTACGAAGCAAACAGATTGAAGGAGGAGGGGGAGGAAAGGTTCAAGTACGATGTCCCTGTGGAAGAGAGAAAGAAGAAAAGAAGAAGAGGAAAGAAAAACCCCAGAGCTCTCCATCCTCCACCCCTCCCTCCCTCGTGACACCCATACCGGCTGCGACAGCTCGCTTTATCGCGGCCCAGAGAGAGAGAGCTTTCGGACGACTCAGGTGGTTGGTCGTGACACGCCAATGACGAAGCTCTCGCCTCGGCAGGGGGATCCGATCTGCGATAGCGAAGCGGGACCCTTTTCTAGGGGTAGCTTTTCTTATCCGACCAATCAGCTTGCTTTGCACGGATTCGAGCTTCCCCTTGCAAGCAGTGATCTACCCCAGTTTTTGAGGAACGCTGCTGAGACGGGGGGAGCCAGTCGGTCGGTCGGCTGTCGGGGGCTTGATCCGGTCTGAGCAGGTTCAACTGCTCCGCATTGGGTGGCGCCGCCCCAAGCAGAAAGTCGGATGGGCATTCCGACCCGATGATGTGTTCTGGTCACAGTATCACGGCCGATTTCGCACCTGTTGACTGACTGAATCATAGGAAACGTAAAACTAGACAAAACAGAAAGTAAGAGTCGAGGTATCTCTGATGGTGCTGGAACAACGTTCAGCTTTCCAATAAACACACAGCCAAGACATGAAATGGTGCTCGTCTCAACTCATTACCGTGCACCTGATCCCGTCCTTTTCTTCCCTCCCCTTCTTGTGCACTTGGGTATAACAACTCCTGACCGCACACCCACCTAACGCGTCGTCATCCCCAGCCCTTCCACTAATGACTCCGGGGCCGGCTCCTCGAGGATGTCTCAGCTGAGTGCTCCTGTTGCGGGAACGGCGCCGCCGGCGTCACAGGCCGGGTGTAGTGCAGCAACGGCACGCTGAGGCCGTACCCGTCCGTCTTGCCTTCCTTGTCGTGCTGATCGATTTCGACGCGGATAACAATGTCGAGACTGCCGTCGTTGAGTCGGCCATGTGCCGCCGATGCCGCTCGGTGAAGCGTACCCGCGTCCACCTCGCCTGGGTGCAAAAAGTCGTGGCCGCCTTTGCCGGAGAAATTGGTCCGGACCGAGCCGTTGGTCGTGCCGTTTGTCCCGTCATTCTCGGGCTCCGCGTTGACGGCCGGGTTGTTGGGCGAGTTCTCCGTGAGAATCGCAAAGTTGCGGCTGGGCATTGTGACCTTGTTGAAACCGGGCGTCTTGTTCGAATCGCCAGGGTTCTTGTTGAAGAAGGTGAGCAGCGTCTCGTCCGTGTCGTGGTTCAGATGATGGATCTTGTTGCGCTTGGCCAGCAGGTTCGCGACAGCCGTCGGAGGAGGCTTGTTGACAATGGCGGACGACACAACATTGGCCATGTAACGGTGGTCGTTATCCGTCGCGATACCCAGCTTGGGATGGGAGTAGAAGCGACCTAGCGCAGCGAGATGAACATCTCCGCCAAGGATGGTGATGCGTACGGAGAACTCGGCCGCAATCTTCTGCAGCCGCTCGACAAGCGCCTGGCGCTCTCTCTTGTGCGTCCTTGCCGTGTAGTGGTCGTCGAGATCGTCGAGCAAGTCAATGCTGCCATCAAACTGATTGAACAGACCACCAGCTGGAGGAGGAGTTAGTCACTTGTGTCTTTGAATCAAGCACAGCTTTCAGACTTACCAACACCGAATCGCTTGTTCAAAAGCCTCACAGGGCCCATAAGGGGACTTCTGAAGACGGTTTCCAGCCAGGTCAAGCGCTTTTCACGTTAGCTTCAGCGCGTTCTGCAATCGAAATACCTCGACTCACAGGATACGCGATCGGAATACCAAGCAACAGGATCAAGTGCTTAAAGGGCTGGCCCGCGTCGGCCGCAGCCTGCAGCTCCTGTCTCGTGCGTTCAAAGATCTGGTCGTACGTTTCGGGGTAGTTGATTTGGTGACGAGTACGCTATTCGTGTCAGAGAACCCGCATTTATCAGGCAACCCAGGACTCCTCATACCTCAGTTCTGGCATCAATGCCCACCATCGCCACTCGCGCACCGAGCTTGCAGAAGATGTTGTGGGAGTGCTCGGCAACGTACGGCTAGTCTATGCGTCAGCTTCGTAATCCCAAGGCGGGCGCGAGTCCGACTTACCCCGTGCTTTGAGCCAACAATGTAGCAATCGTCCGTCTTGCTGGAGGCGACAAATGTATCCATCAGCTGGTTCGGGTCTTCGCCTTGACCAGGGCCAGACAAGGACTCTCCGTGATCTGCCATCGTTAGCAACGAAATCCCGTCTGCAGCTTTGCGGTTGACGTACCAGTTGTGTAAGTGGACGGCGGAGGGGGCAGGTGGTGCTGAAACAGCATGTAGTACTTGTGGGCGGTGCCTCCAATGCCCCGGAAAACGTCGCACTTCATGAACTCGTCGACGTAGGAGCCGAAGCCGTCAATGATGTCGTGGTCGTCCCAAATGTTCACCTGGGGGATGGTACCATTCATGCCGGCGAACGGTTCCCTCGAGTACCACTTGATGTAGTTCTTCAGGTAGTAGTCGTCACAAGCCTGGCGCAGCTTCTCGGGGAAGGGGTAGTGTCGCCTCTTGGTTGGGTTGGAGATATCAGTCCACGCGCGTAACGGGCCCGAGACGCGGATGCCGTCGTTGTAGATCTGATCGCCTCCGCCAATCCTGAAAAACCCAGTCAGCATCTTGCCATTCACATGGCCCCTTTGATTGACAACAGGTCACTATACGTACATGACATGAAAAGGCTTCTCGCGGTGGCGTCTGGTGACATCGTTCCACAGGGCAAGGCCACTGTAGGCCTCCTCATCGGTGCCAACGCTGAAGCCGTTGCACGAGTGGAACATCATCCTCATGGACTCGTTCGTGGCAGGGACCCAGAAATGATTGCGTTGAGGCTTCGTCTGGCTTGTGAAGCGCACGTCATCGAACCAGTACTCCCACTTGCCCTCCTCGTGGTCCATCTCGACGTGGACGTCAAAGGCCCAAAATGTATTGCGAGGGTCCGAATATAGGCACTCGCCTTTGACTTGTGTGCTGTCGCTGTGCGACACGTAGCCCTCGAGCGCATGCGCACCGTCCGTCGTACCGGCCCCGTTCGTACCATTGGTGGCGGGCGTCTCGTGGTACTGGCGTCCGTCGCTGGCGAGCTCGCGACGGAGGTTCATGGTGGGAACAAAGTTCTGCGTCTTGCCGCCGCCGGAGACGACAATGAGAGCGCTGCCACGCCAGAGCGTGCCCTCGGTGCGGCGGTAGTTGAGAAGCGGGCCGCAGACGACCTCACGGCCGTCAGACACGCCTGCGGTCTCGACACCGTCCACATGAGCATCCTGCCGGGGCTCAATCTCCTCTTTGGCCTCGGCGGCGCCGATCATGATAGGCTTGAAGTTTCCTGCGCGGTGCTCAGCGGTCGTCGGGCGCTCAGGTTCGACGCGATCCTTGTTGAGGAAGCTGGCGAGATCGCTGGTGTTGCCGTGCGTCTCCTGCGCGTCGCGGGGAACAGCTTGGCCGGCATGGCGTAGAAAGGCAGGGCTCTCCTGGTGGCGCCATCTGCTCGCAGAGGCGTACGGATTCTTCTCGACATCGTCAAGCTTCTCGGCGTTGGAGGCCATGGCGAGGCAAGTGTTGGTGATGATTGCGAGTCGGGAATTTTGGGTGGACTCGGAATGGACTCAATGACGTTATGCAGCTGTTTTAGCGCAACGAGACAACGCGTCTTGGGCTGGCCGGCTGGCTGACAGGGCTAACCACGACGAAGACCCCAACGGAACTAACGCGCCGCGTCTGGTTTGCGCTGCGCTCTGGGGGGGAGGAGGAGGGGAGGATGAAAGCTGCGAAAGCAACTCGAAGCTCGGAAAAGATGTATCACAGATCTCAAGGACTGCTGAAGGAGAGACAAGGTTACCAGCAAAAGAGGTTTGGGAGGAAGAGAAGGGGAGACTGGGAAAAAGAGATGAGAAAAACAATTGGGCAAGCCAGCCAGCCAGAGAGATGGATGGCCAAGCTGCGAACCACCGAAACCAGGTCGACGACACTCAGATTCGGCGGGGGAGCTAGAGCTAGTGAACTAACAAGCTTGGGGTGGTTGCTACCAGGGCGGAAGCTGGGTGGAAGCTCGTTGCTGGGGGCGGACGGGCTGAGAACGTGGAATTGCGGCGACAGGGATTCGTCGTCGTCAGATTGCGAGGCAGCCCAGAGGGGTCAGACGAAAGGGCAAGGGTGGGGACCATCTGGCGTCTCTTGCTCGACGCTGTTGGTAGTGCTGCTGCTGCTGATGGTGCCGTCAGCCCGCGCCCAGAAGCCAGCGGCGCTCCTCAATCCAAGCTTCTAACCCGTGATGCTTGCTGGCAGCCAAGAGACATCGTCAGAGGGGACCAGGTGTTCGCCCTTGGCGCATCATCGGCGAGGGGTAGACTGCCAGGGTGGCGAAGGATGGACGGCCAGCCCAGGTTGCCAGCTTTCATTCGCTTGGCGACGATGGCGTCGTCTTCAGCTACAGGCCGGCCCGTGATAATGGCAGAAGGTCCGGCTGATGCTATTCACTACGAACGATGAAGGCCACGCAACACACGAACCGCAGCATGTAAGACCTGACGACGGCAGGCGCGCGTTGGGCTGAGGCGTCACTGCCGGCGGAGGTGCAGGACGTGCGTGCCAGGGAAGTAACGACCTTGACGACCTACAGGTACCCAACTTCCCACTACGAAAACAGCATCCCGAGGCAAGTGCGAAAGCCAAGAGCCGCGGGCGCCTGCGCATCTTGAAACGGAGGGCGCCCAACATCCTTGCACGCGGCTCGTTTGGGCGTCTCCACCAGGCCCCACGAGGCTAGTAGCGTCCATCCCACCACTCCCCACCGTCATCGATCGGACGATGGTCGACATGCAGTCACGCAATACAATTTCAGTGATAAGCGATATGGCTTTTCTTCTCCGTCGACTCCATGTCCTTGAAGCCGTATTGAATGCCGCGTCCGCCATCTCACCAGCGGCAGGTCCAATTGGGTCAACAGAGTAGCGCGAGGCAGCAAGACAAGCGCCGATGCAACTGCCCTGCTCAGAACCATGTGCATCTGTATCTACATCGTGCGTAGTGCCACCAAGGCCAAGGGCAGCAAGGTTCTCTCCATAGCGAGTGAACATCATCACCCCAGGCCCGCCTCCCGCCTCATAATAGTCAGTAAGCGCGGCTACGCCTCGTCCTCGGCGTCAGTGTCAGGGTCCCACTCCGGCGGCGGGCGCCGAAACTTGGATCCCTCGTGGCCGTGGCATCCAAGGGTTCCGTTATTGTTGTAAAGGACCTTGTCGAGGTCAATCTTCGTCTTGTGCGTGCCGCCTTTCTCGCCGGCCCTGTGGCACCGACAGGCGAGGTACTGCGTGCCGTCCTTGTAGATGTTGGTGAGCTTGCACGTCTCGCAGCTGTCGTGGAACCTGCCACTATTTCCAACAGTCAACATGGCGCCTGCATTCTGTCTGTCTGCTGCTTTCCCCCGTGTGAATCGCAGGGAAAGGAGGAAAAGATAAGAGGCTTACTTCTCGGAGGCGACGAGGGTGCCACCGTTGTTGCCGACGCATTTGCTGAGGTCAATCCTGCGCTGGTGGTCAGCTACGTGAGCCAGCACCCACGCAAAGAGAGAATAGCAGGAAAAGGATGAGTCGGGCAGAAAAGGAGAAAGGTTGGAGCCATACTGGGTCCAGTCATAGTCGAAGATCTCCGTCTTGTCATTGTTGCAGTAGGTGTCGAGAATGCGGTTGTTGCGGAACTTGCAGGCGTCCCAAACACACGTCTTGACGAAGCTGCCGTCGCTGGCGGCGGCGCTACTGGCAATCCAAGCGAGGACGACCATGGCGGCGCAGACGACTCGCGCGTTGGGGGTCATGTTGCTGGTGTTGTCACTGTTGAGTGGACTCGTTAGAGATGGGCTAGGCCGCTCTTCCGCGTGAGGCTTGTTGCAAGATCCAGAATACAGACTGTTGTGCTTAATAGTGTTGGTGAAGCAGGTGGCGGAGGAAGATTGGAAAGTCACGTTGACTCCTCGTAACACTTCCACCAGGCACTCGGGACGTGCCTGCGCTGGACTTCCTGGTGAATCACATGTGTTCAACTGGAAAGAGCACAAATGGAGTGTGTGACGCAGACTTGACGAACGAATGCGCCGTTCTCCAGATACGCCAGGGGTCTATCGTGTGGAATATCCTGAGCCCCCAAACTGACAACAATCTTCCTACAACATCGAGGTTTGCGACTTTCGAAATAGGTGCACGCCGAAATCAACCAACTTGCACCCTTGGATGGGCTTAGCAAAGCCTATACACTCCATGCAGTGACCAGACACATGGGCTTTCTTCCGAAAAGCAAGCACTGTGACGCAAGAGCAAATTGGAGAGCAAAGTCAAGTTGAAATAATTGCAAATACTACGCTAAATGTTTGCCATGCAACCCATCAACGCCTCAACACACAATATGACAACGTTCAAGCTGCAGCAGACTTCTCCTGGAGCTCTGGGCTCCCGGGAGTCTCGGCAACGCCACGTCCTTCCTCACCCTCTACGGCCTTTCCCTTTCCCTGTCCCTGACGGAAGTACCCGTGAATCTCAGGCGACCAGTCACCTTCACCGGCAGCCTCCTCTTCACCTCCAGACTTCTCGCCGTTGCCGCCGCGCTGCTCCTCTTCCCACTCAGTCCTCAGATCACGGATCTGCGACTTGAGGTCCAGGTCGGGGTTGTATTCCTTGCCGGCGCCGCGCATCCTCTCCCAAGCAGAGAGATGCACAGGGTGCACGGCGACGCCGTGGTATTCCTTCTCGCGACCCTGGATAATGTACATCCACCGCCTCTCCTGCTCGCGCAGGTCGAGGCCCGTCGTGTCGGGTAGGAAGCCCCAGGTAAGCAGCATGCCGGCGAGGCCGAACCAGGGCACAACGTGGAACTTGGTCGGCGTGTCGATGTAATTGTACAGGACACTTGCGAGAAGAGCACCGGCCTTGCCGATGCAGGCGGAGAAGCCGTGGGCCGAAGCGCGGACGGGCGTGGGGAACACTTCACCGGCCACGAGGAATGTGACGCTGTTGGGGCCGAACTGGTTGAAGAAGGAGGAGAGGAAGTACATGGCCTGGAAGGCGTGGATGCCGGCGGGGGAGGTGTAGTAGTCGTAGTTGAACGCAGGGATGACGAACATGACGAAGCACATGAAGAAGCCGACTTGCTGCATGGTCTTGCGGCCGTAAAGCTTGTTGTCGATGAGGAGACTGGCGAGGTAGTATCCCGCTAGGGAAACGACAACATTGATGAGGTTCCAAGTCCACTTCTCCATCAGACTGTTGGGGTTGGAGGAGATGACCGAGATGAACTGGCCCTGGAAGAGCTTGTTGCCGTAGAAGAAGACATCGTTGCAGAACCAGGTACCGGCGGTAGCGAGAAGGCGGCCGCCAAAGTTGCTGCAACAGGCGCGCAGCGCGGTGACGTCGTAGCCGGTGACGGAGACGCCGGCACGCTGCTTCGCGAGGGCGAGCTGGCGGTTGGCACGGGGCATCTTCCAGGTACGGTAGTAGACGAGCCACAGGGTGCCAATGGCGGGCAAGGCAAATGAGATGCGGAAGGTGAATTGGGCGGCCGACTCGGAGTAGGGGCCGGCGCCCTTGCCCTCGTTGAAGATGGCGAGAAGGGCGATGAGGACAACCTGGTTGAAGAACTGACCCCAGCCCTGCATGAGGAAGGCCATGGTGACGCGACGGCCGCGATGGAGACGATCCTCACGCGTCGAGAGACGGCCTGCGGCGACGGCGGACTCCATGGACGAGGTGGCGGTGATGGGGTATTCGCCACCGACGCCGAGGCCGTAGAAGAAGAGAGACCAAGCGTAGAAGATGACCCAACCCTGGAGCGTGGCGGCCCAGGAGCCAGTGAGCATGAGAAGACCGACAAACATGATGAGAGCGTCCTGGATGAGACCCCATCGACGGCCAATCCAGTCTCCGATAATCTGCGAGCCAGCGTTAACTTTTGGCTTGAAAGGACCTGGAAGCAGAAGGGGATCCAACTTACACCAACGACGACCTGACCGATCATGATGCCGACAATCTCGAGATAGGTGACCGAGGCGACCCAGTTGCTGGCGCACGCCGTTCCAGACGAACCCCAGCACTCGGGCCACACGGCGTGGAAGAGCGGCTCCAAGTTTCCAATGGAGAACAGGACGTAACCCTCAAGACCGAGACCGGCGCCGGGCAGGATGGCATTCCGGAAGTACCAGCCCACGGGCGAGAGGGGATCTTTCTTCATCATTTGGCCGGTGGCTTTGAGCTCGCGGGCGGCCTCCTCGCGATCGACCTTGGTCACGAAAGCGATGCGCTGACGGAGGGGCAAATCGGCCCAGTAGACGCCCTCGGGCGTGTACGAGTCATCGGGGCGGGTGATGTGGGCGAAGATGCGGCGCTCGTGTTCGGTGGTGTGCTCGCGAGGGAAGTCATCGTGTTCGTCACCCGTCTCAGGGCCGTGGGGGACGGGGATCTCGCCGATACGAGGATCGTGGTGTTCGTGGTGGCGGAGGAGTTCAGCCATGGCGGGCTGCCCGTGTAGTGGACGTTGGCTGTGGGCCTAGAGAACCGTTTCGACGTTGCAACGGTGGGTGCTAGATTGTTGCAAGGAGGAGGATGGTGAAGAAGAGGAGGGAAAAGTAATAGCGTCAATGGCTTGCAGAAGCCAGGGAGCACTACAAACGAGGAGGCAACGGTTGAGGGAGGGAGACGCGAGAGGGGAGGGGGGAAGAGCGTGAGGGAAGAAGGGAGTAGACACCCGAGAGCAGAGGGCAGGATCAAAGGGTGACTTAACCTTCTTGAGATGTTCCTGAGGGAAGGAAAAGTCGCTTTCAGCAGCCAGCTCCTGCTTTTCCAGCTTTGACATGATTTTATGACCTTTGGGCCCAGACAGTCCACCCCCCGCCGCCATCAGAGGGGGGCGCGCGCGCCATCTGGCCATCTCCCCACTCTCTCTCATGGATCTAGGAAGGTGGGTGGGCAAAAAAATAGAATAGAGATGGCCAGCCCGTCCAGGGTCCATCCGGCACCTCTGCTCCAGAGATACACACACACACACACACACATACACACACAAGAAGAACTAGCCTGAGCGAACAGCCGACCAGACGGCCGGGGACGTGTAGAGTGAGCACGCTGTCGCGGTAGTGGACCGGCGATTGGCAGACGATGACCCAGGTTGAGAGACAAGGCTACCTGACCCTGGATTAGCACTGTTGGTGCTGCACAAAACCGGCTGACGAGTTTGGGTAGGGACCAGTCGGCAGCGCGGCGAGTAAGGACCTTCACTTGAGGCCGGCGATCCCCACATGGGCGAACGAACCGACCACCGCTTACCGCGTGAAATCAAGGGACGGGTGAAGGAAAAAAAAAAATAGGCAGGACACTTCCTCAGCGCCAGAGACATTGGGCAAGCAAAGAAGGGGACCACCATTCCATCTCCCAATTGAGTTCCTCGTACGTCACTCCGCCCCGCCGCCGCTCGCTGGTCGCGTGCCGTCTTTCCCAGAACAATCCACACAGCATCCCAGATCCCACCCTCGTGCGTCCTGGCCCCTCCCCCATCGGCCGAGAGCGACGTCGACTCAAGCTTTTATCTCCGGCTGCAGAGGTCACCAGATTGGCCAATCATGTTGGCGAAACAAGAAACGTGCTCGATCCATTGCCTGTGAATGAACCCGCTCCATCCGCCTTGCATCTCGTCGTCGTCTTTCTTCGGCCCAAACACTACGAAAAGGGGGCAAAAACGCGTCGACAGAAGACGCCGAATCTGCCATGCAACTTTCCATTCTGCTCCCACCCACATGCCAAGAAGGCCAAGCCGGGAATCCGCATGACGCCTTGGCATTGACAGGGCGCTGCCGATCAGGGCTGACGCCCCCCCCCCCCCAATCTCGGGATGAGGCCGTGCTGTGCCACACCATCTGTATTCACCAGCCACATTCGCTCCATTCTGCGCGCGCTGCTGCCCTTCCACCACGCGCGTCGGCAGCATTCAATTCACCGACATCATCAGCATTGAGTCAAAAGGGGTTCAATTTTGTGACTCCTTTAAGCCTTTTCTTTCCGTGCACCGTGGAATAATCAGCACGTGGCCCCCCGAAACCTTGCTGGCACTACTTCCCCTTGTCCCAACTGTCTGACGATGACCCAACCTATGGCCGGATCAAACCGCCTGCGCCTGCGTTCCTCTTTCTCCCAAGTATACACAAAGAACAAATGAAATCCCTAAGAACGACCGAGTGCGGTCTTGTTGAAGATATGTGTTGTGTTGTTGTTTGCTAGAATACGAGTGTCCATAACGAATGATGTGCAGAGGAATCGTACTCGAGAGTGGCGCTTGATTGTTGGCTTCCAGAGTCGAAGGTTTTTTTTTCGGTTGCATCTCCACGTTGCTTGGCCTGGATCGCAAATATCGAAGGGAAAGAAGAGAAGAGAGGGTGAAACAGAGAAATGAACGAGATGAAAAGATGAAGAGACTTGAAAAGAAGCAGAACGATCCTCCCCTCACCCGTCTCAGAGAACGCCTTTCACATGTCGTTCTCGCGGGGCCACAAACCATGCGAGCTGAGTGCAGTCTGCCTCGCGCCAGTTCGTCTGCCCACCCCTAAACGCCTCGCTTGGAAACATGGAAATAGGGAAAGTAAAACAAAAGAAAAAAAAGTGTACAGATTCAGCAGTCTGTCCGCCAGAGCTACCCTCACGCAGTCAACCGGTGCCCGCTCGCCATTCGACATGATGTTTATCCCATGAGTGGTCCCGTCTTTTCCGTCGGCCGTGGCGTTGGCTCGCCTTCTTCCCCGCTGGACCCACGTTGCACAGCGTTTGGCCGCGGCGTCTCGTCAATCCCAAGCGACGTAGTGCTACCCGCCAACCCCGCCGTGTTGGGTGGCGTTGTCTGCGACGTCGAACCCGGCACCGCGTCGAGCGGCGGAGCTCCCAATTCCTTGGATGGTGTTACCACCTGTGTGATTGGTTCTGGGAGATTCTCTGACCCCAGCGCAACGCTATCGTGGCTGTCGGCGCGCATCATCTCTATTCCAAGCTTCGAACTCGGTAGCAGCGGCTTCACCCGGAAGGGCTTACTTTCGCGCGCAAGACCCAGCTCGTCATCTTCATCGTCTGCCGAATCGGTGCCTTCAGTTGTGCGTTTATCGACTCCCTCCTTTTTGACCCTTGACTTCTCGCCCAGTCGTTGCGAAGGCACAGGCTTCAAGGATTGTTCGATTTGAGCGGGTGCCGAATGCTGCGTGAGCAAGTGCGGATGAGTCTTGTGAGACTCATTGGCTGTGAGGAGCTCCTCTTCGCGAATGCCCAGGCCCCCGCCATCCCATTCACCTGTAGCCTTGCGACTGATGACGACGGGAACCTCATCGGTGGTCACCGACTCCGAGTCTCCAAACATGCTGGAACTGATCGAGTCTTCCCGGCTTGAGGTGACCACACTGCTGCCCGGTTGACCTGCGAACAGGGACGAGCTTGATGTTGGGCTGTCGTCGAAGCGCGAGTTGGCTCTGCGCAGACCTGATGGTGCAGGGTGAGGCAGGAGTAGAGGCTGACTCTGCCCTGGTGACTGGGGCTTCCATCGGCAAAGATTCTTGAGCACCTCCGACAGTTTCGAGCTTGAAATCGGCTTCTCGATCAGCGAGTCGAAATAGTGCGGCGCCTGCAACTCCTTCAGATATGCTGTGATCGCAACAATAGGGGTGTGTGAGTTCGTATTCTTCGTCTCTCGAATCATGCGTGCAACATCTGCACCGTTGATTTGTGGCAACCGGTACTCGAGGAAGATGATGTCAAACTTGATGTCACTCATCGAGTAGCGTACTGCTTCAGATCCGTTAGAGACTGAAATGGTGCGACAACGCAGCTTTTCCAAGAGTTTCTCCATGACCATGCGTGAGACTGGGTGATCTTCACAAATCAGCACGTCCAGTGGCCTGAACATCGGGCCGTCATCAAAGGCAATCTGTGAGAGACGACGGGAACTTTGCCTACGGCGCTGTACACGCAACAGAGCACTGTGCTTTTCACCCTCGTTGTCGGAGGATGACGGTGACATGTCGAAGACTTGACTACGCCTGTTGCGATGGTGTGAGAGCACGTCGGATGTGATCGGACTGCCCTCCTGCGATTGAGAACCAACGGTCAAGGAGCGGGATCGTCCAGTAGATGAAGAGCTCAACTGTCTCGGCGTTGCCATCAACTTTTGCGGTGACAATGCCAATGGGGGAGGCGCCTGGCCCCGACCCTTGACAGGTGACGCTGATAAAGATGTTGCAGCCTTCTGCAGGCTTGGAGGCACCCTGGGGATGTCGATCGCCCCGTTGGACTGAGGTGAGGTGATCGATTGCTGCGAGAGGCCGGAGGATGTACTCGATGCCTTGCGTCGTCCTTCCCCTTGTTGTCCAGTCACAAAGGACACCAAGAGCGGCGAGGATGGCTGAGACGCTCGGCTGGGCGACGAGTTGGCCACGCTCAGTCCAGAGGGCGATTGTGGCCTGGCTTTGGCGTTCGAAATTGTTCTCTGCACAGGCATTGACATGACTGGGCTACCCTCCAAGCCTGTCGAACCTCCGGGTGAGGTAACGCTCCCCCCCGGGCTAGTAGAGGGTTTGTTTTGCGAGGCCAAGGCTTCCGCGCGCAGCTTCTGGATGACGTCCTTGTTGGCCTTCTCCAAAACCGGCAAGTTCTTGAAGGCGAACGAGCCGAAATCGTCCGCCACAACCGGTTCGCTGAGGCGTCGAGTCTTCAGATCTCGAACGTGAGGTGGGATGTGAAGGGGCATAAGCCCACGTTTTATCGAGTTAACCTGTGATCGCACGCGGGATAGCGCATCGTGAGGACGATCAGGGTAGTCCGATCCTGCTGCAGACGAAGGCGGAGAGGTTTGATCCTCCATCTCCTCTGCGAATGACTGCAAAACAGCACCGCGAGCGTCGAAGTACTCCGTGTCTTCTGGATCCTCAGTTTGTGGCACGAACTGAGCCTCATCCTCAACCAAGGTGTCCCAGTTGATGCCGTTGAACCAAGGGTGGCTCCGGATCTCCTCACCACCGGACTGGAATTTGTCCTCCAAGTTAGATCCAAGTCTCTTGGAGGGCTCCATACAGAGCAGCTTGTTAATAAGATCCTTAGCCTCGTCCGATATCTCGCATTCCGTCTCGTCTGGCCATTGTATTTTGCGTGCCAGGATATTCTCAAACACGTGCTCAGCCTCACCAGCGTGGAAGGGCGGGAATCCGTACATGAATTCGAACATGATGCAGCCGACCGACCACCAGTCACTTGTTTCGTCTTGCTTCTCTCCGTTGATCGTCTCAGGCGCAAGATAATCAGGCGTGCCGACGAAACGCCTGTTAGTGTCCTCTGGATCAAACAAGGCCATGGGAGGGGGCATCATGCTGTTTTGCGGAGGTGTGCTCTTCTTCAAGGTATCCAGATTTGACTGGGATTGAGATTGTAGGCTTGACTGCTTTGGAAAGGAGTTTGCCTCGGGGAAGCTTGCAGCGTTGCTGTCTGGCCGGGCATCCACCGGCGATTTGGCATACGGCATGATAGCGCTACTTGACTCCGCATCGTTAAGTGAGAATGATTGCAACATGTTCGCGAGAGCCTCGCTGCCGCCACTGTCGCTTCGATGACTGGATACCCGGCGTGTTTCTTGCTGTGGGTTGCCAAGGCTGAAATACGATGGTTGGCCGAGGCCGAGACTGGCTCCCACGTCAGGTGTGGACTGAGGGGTCAGGTTAGGCGACGGCGAGTTCCCGTGAAGGTCCAGTGAAGTCGAGCGAGAGGAGGCCATGGAAGCCGAGCGAGCAAATGGGCCCTGCTTCAACAGGTCCGGGGTGGGGTCGCTGTTTTCGTTGTTGAGGGCTCGCTTCTGCCTGCCTACGAGACCCATGCGCGAAAGGCCAAAATCAGTCAGCTTGAGGTGACCTTTCTGGTCAATGAGTAGGTTGTCAGGCTTCAAATCGCGATGAATGATGTCTCGACTGTGGAGATGCTCTACGCCAAGTATGACCTCGCCCAAGTACTTCTTGGCCCAGTCCTCAGGCAAACCTCCAAGGACCTTGATCAAAGAGGCACAGTCTCCGCCGTTGAGATATTCCATCACCAGGTAGAGATAGTCTTTGCTTGAAAATGTCCAGTAGAGCTTGGCAACGAATTCGCTCTGCCCTTGCCACATGAGGATTGCGCGCTCGGCCTTGACATTTCCGACTTGATTCTTGGCAACCATGTCTGCTTTTTTGAGCACCTTGATGGCAAAGTATTCGCCAGTCGACTTCTTCTTTGATAGATACACGCTTCCAAACGCGCCTTTGCTGATGGGCTTGATGATCTCGAAATCTTTGATGGAGGGCGGCGCTGGTCGGGCTTGGGGAGGGGGGTTGTGAGCTCCCAAGCGGGGTGATGGAGGAGGCTTCATGGCAAATTCAGACATGGCGGCAGATGACTGACGTCGATGATGGTGAATCGCGGCCACAGCCGGGGAGGAGAATTCGCTGCCCGGCATCATGGGGGATGCCTCGGGAGAAGCGATGCCATCATGTCCAAACACGAAGTTCCGAGGTTTGTTGATGCGGAGTGGCGATGACGGCTGCGTCGCGCGCGAGGGAGACTCCTGTCGTCGAGGTGAGGAGGTTCCTGGAAGGATGAGACTTCGACGATGATGCTGACGCGAGCTCGCTGCACGGCGAAGGTCGCCGAATTCGGATATGGGCGAGTCTGTCCGCGGTGCTTGCCGCGATGCCAGCGACGAAGATCGGATGCTGCCGTCACTATCGCCAGTATCGCTCTCAAACATGATAGAGCCACGTCTCGAGTCACGAGCTGTGGCCTTGTTGGCTAGACCGCCAAAGTTGGATTTGGGAGTAGGACACTCCTTGGGGCTGCTCGATCTTGCAGAACCCACAAATGACACTGGCCGAGTATAGTCGGCATTCTCGCCAAGCGATACCTGTTGAAGCGCAGCGGCCAGCGCAGACGTGTTGTCTGTGGGGTCCTGCTGGAAGAACGATGGCTCTTCGAAGGCAGGTGTGATCTCCTGGTCTTCTTCCTCCGTTTCGTCCTCAGTGGAATCGCTCAGACGTCCAGAAGCGATACGAGCCGCCTTCCGCATGGCCTCATCAATGCAATCCTGCACAATGACGGCGAATTCGACCCTGATGCGTTCAGCATACTCGATGATTTTCCGGTGCCGAAACACAGCTTCCACTTTTGCCTTGGCAGCCTTTTCCGTGTCGGCGCAAAGAAGAGCCAATCCTGTCTCCTGTTCCAGTGTGTTTGTGCTCGGCGACTGCCAGTGCATGACCTGGGAGATGCGCGATTCGGATTGCGGTGATTGCGTTCGGAGCTCCCCAGGTGCATGCGAGGACGACTCCTTGATGGCTGGCGTGCTTACTTCTATGGCAGTGTCACAAAGGTCCACCAAGAGTTCCACGATTCTGGCCTGTGGACGGCGGATGGCAAACGAGCGAGCCCTGGCATGACCAAAGCCGCCCGTGCCAGACCGGTCTCTCGACTGAGACACCGATGTGCCCGGCGACGACTGGCTCGAAGGAGGTGGTCCGATGGCTAGGCCCTTGTACTCGGCGAGGGGAAGCGACGGTTGTTCACCTGTCAAGGAGCGACTCTTCCTAGCCTCCAATGCGTCGAGGACCTTGACGATGGCATGTCGATGTTCTGTGAGGTTCTCCTGAGCCATTTGTACGTCCATCTCGGCCCTGTGCTCCTGCAAACACAGGTCGGTGTGCTTCTCGAACCACCAGGGCGAGATTTGACGTTCGCATATGCGACACAAGACTGGAAGTGGTGGCGGGTGGTTCTCGGGATCTTCTACGCCAGACTCGGCGAGCTGGGTCAGGTAGCTGGCGAGGACCTCAGCCCCGGATCCCAAGCTGTCGACAATGACGGTAGGTAGGTCTATTTGAATTTCGCGGGGCGCGATCCAGGGTCGAATCATCCACATAGTCTAAACGGAAGCGGTGCATCAGTAAAAGCATTGCCACGAATGCAAGGGGGTCGTGGTCTCACATGGCTCTCTCCTCCCGACACCACGTCGTATACCATAATGCCTTGGGCCTCCAGCTCAATGGCGTGTGCGGGGGGCTCTTCAGGCGAGCCTTGAGGATCTTGGAGGTCGTCGAGCGACAACAGTCGCGAAAGGGGGCCTGCATGAACGGCGAAGCGTACCCTTTGGCTGCGTGAGTCGTCGGATCTCATGGCCTCGGCAACGTCTGAGAAAACACTCTTGTTGTCACCAAGGATCAGGTCGCTGATGCTTGTGCCCGGAACAGAGGTTACCGTGGTCCCGATGACCTCAGACCACGAGGGACTGACCCATCGTATCGTGCCGTCGAGGTTGAGGTCCAAGATGACATTGAGAGTCTGCTCGGCAGCCTCCCGAAGCTCCTCCCGTTCCTCTCTAATGTCTTCGGAAAATGTCCGCTCCATGACCCCAGCCGACTGTGCTCGGAGAGAGGTCACAGCTGGCGGGGCCAACATGTTGCTGGCATCTTTGCTGTCCATTGTTGAGAGTGCCCAGGTTTATTTTCCAGGGTCGTCGATACCATTGGCCGGGCCGTACCTTCTCGGCACTTCAAGGCGAAGTCACAGAAGCAGCTTCGACTTGATAGCGTGTTCGATGGTATACGGTCGGGACGCGTCAGAGGCGAGCTCTAGAGTCGTCCAGTGGTTCACCCGTTCCGACGGGGATGTTGTAGCCAGAAGTCTGGCAGGCGGCCAGAACTACAGGTTGGCAAGACCCCCCGACATATCGATGAACGGAGGGAAGTGGTCTGGCTCGAACGGGCGAGATTCTTGGACCTCACCGTGGACGACGAGGCGCGGGCTCGGGGCTCGGGCGATGGGTTGTGCGTGATCGGGAGTAGGCAGGTCGGAGATCAGCCCGTCGTTGGCGCGCTGCAGGTGGACAAGGAGAAAGTTGTTTCTGCCTCAGTAACCGCACGACAGCAGGGATCCGAGACAGAAGACAGTCGCTGACCGGTCGGCTCGCAGCAACAGTCGGCAAAAGGAAAAGAAAAAGTAAAGAATCGACGTCCTTCGTAGGGCGGGACAAGGTGCGGATCCGAAGTGAAGAAGAGAAGAACCGTGCAATGCGTGACGAGGAGTAGCCGTGCCGTTGACTCAGTTCCTGTCTAGCCGATTGATTGACTTGGCAGAGGCGGACGAAAAGATAGAGGCGGCAAGGCACAGACTCTGGAGGGACGACTGAAGGGGTGCGGATGCTTTCTCAGGCCAGGAAAGAGGGCGAAGAGAAAGTTCACGCCAGGGTTGTTGACTGCCTCTTGGATCCAGGCAAGTTGGATTGGACGGGGCGGAAGGCACACAATAGGTGGTGGGCAGAACACCACTGAAGCATGGGGTAGGTGGGTTCACTTGCGCTTGCACCCGTATTGTGAGGTAGGCAATTCGGGTCTACCATCAACAACCAGCACACAGCAGCTAGCATCTAGCACCACCACCACCATCCTTGGCTGGAGGCCGGGACGAAACGGCAGTGCTGGCACTCACTGGTGCTCGCTTTGCCTTACGTTAGGTGCCCACCTCGTTCAGTCACCCCCCATCACAGTGCCTGTGGTGGGAAGCCGCCTGTTGGCGCTGTCTACAGTGTGAGCAGCCGCGGCATGAGCGGGGAAGGAGCATATTTCCACCCAATGAGAAGTCGGATGCTGCTGCGACACCTGGTAGCGGTACATGCATGACACGCCCATCTCTTATGCAATCCTCCGTACCCATACCACATGCAGCTTAGTCGTTGCGCCTTTGCCTGGATCGCTACCATGCAAGGGGATAGAGATGGGCAGACTGTGCCAGTCCCCCCAGTCGACCCCATTTTCTCCTCGCACGGAGGTTGTGTTGTTTATTATCTACCCATCGTCGAATGTTTGTATACAAGAACAAGAGGCAAAAGCTCAAGAGCACTGCGCAGTCTATGTGAAACCGTAGTAACGGGTCTGGGATGCAAAGGACCTGAGCCACTGATTTTGCTTTGTTTCGCTTTGCTTTCCCTTCTGCTGACAGGCAAGTCGCATGTGGGGTCTGGTCTGCGTCAAGCACTCAAAGAAGGTCCGTGAAGGAAACAGACAAAAGGAAGGAAAACGCCCAGGGTACAGGGCAAACAATCTCCGTCCCTCGTGTCCCTTCCGCGAAAAGGCACCATGTTGACTTGGACGCCAGGCAGGTTCGTGCTCGCAGGATATCGTGTGTCTCTCTGTTCCTCCCTCCACGTCACCCCCAACCCAGATCACTGTGTCGTGAACTTCATGTGGATATGTCTTGGATGGCAGCTTATCCCCCCTCTCTTCGCCTGTCCCGTCGCCAGCCACACACACACCCACCCAACTCCAGAAGACCATGCCAATCGAAAGTCTGGGCAGCATCCGACCCTCACAAGATTCTGGTCAGAAAGTTCACCATCGCATGGCAAAGCCTCCCACCCCCAAGAGCCCCCTTGGGAGAATCTGCAAGACCGATAGTACTCTGCGAGTTGCCATCGGTCTGTCAGAGACCCCTCGGGACAGATCGACCACCAAAGCATCGATTCCTTCGCCCCGCCATCGTACACCACCCCCATCCGTGGCCTCTCGCCTTTCTCATGCTGCCGTCACTGCAGACATTGGACGCATCCTCAGATTATCGAGGCCACCCCCAGAAAAAGACCCCCAAAACGTCGAAAAGGTCCCTCCAAGGTCTCGCTGACTACTAGCTGCGCCGGCAGAGCCGTCGTTGCCAACGCAATCCTGGCCAGGCGGCATCCTTCTGCTGCATGCCGAAGCCCTCTAGCCCCAAAGTTTACGTCAGGTAGTAGTGATTTCTCAACCCCTTCGCCGTGTCGACGAACCCGAGCGTAGACCTCGACACCCTATCGTACATGTAGCTTGCCTTGCCATTTTTACTCTCCCACTTGTTCCCGCTTGTCGTAGGGGGGGACGTCTCATTCGACAGCGCCGCTCTGCCCATGAGTACCAAGCCGATGTACATGCACGCGCTGAGAGTTTGTAGCACGTTCTGCAAGCGTACTGGTGTCGTAGGTTCTTGTGCATGTGTGTGTGTGTGTGTGTGCGTGTTTGTTCCCGCTGGAGTACCTTATCTAAGTACCCAAGCACCCTCTTCACAACCTCTCCCCCGCACATCACCATCACGGCACCGCGGCATCTTCCATCAGACCCCAATACCCATCAATTGTCGGATGCGGGTTCCTGTACACTGTCATCTGGTTTCGATGCGCTTGTGACGCATGCCTCTCTTTGCTTCGGTTCACTTCCATCATGACGCGGCAAACCCGGACACAAATGTACGGAGCCACATAGTTTGATTCATTCGCCATGGTCATGACACAGTCGCTGCCTGTCATACTTGCTCACCTGCAACATCCATCGGCAGCCATCCAGCACGTCCGTCTCGCATTTGCACCTACAATAGGTTCGCCGTCCCATTGTCAAGGATATGGCTTGTTCGGATCAGGGAAACGCAACCCGCCTCAGCGATATCGGGTCGCCAAGTCATCATTTGGGGGAAGGGGGGGGCTCGATCGCCAACCAATGCAGTAACAACCGCCGAGCACAGGCCAGGTCATGTCGGGGAAGGTGGGTGAGTGAAGTGCGAGGATGTGAGGTGCGCTCAAGAAAGCCAGCCATTCATAGCATCACAGCCACTACTGACTTCATGCGAATGCGACCTACCTCCCTATTCACGGTTCCACCACTGATACCACAGGGTCGAAGGACTACAGTTGTGTTTCGTCAAGATGACAGTCTTCCAAGTTTATCTTTTGTCGTGGGCTGTGCCACAACTCCGTTTCCACGACAAACCTTGACAAATAGAAGAGAAGAGCGCCGCCGATGACAAAAGATCACAAACAGCAACGCTCATGCTCCGCCATCATCGGGATGCGTCCTGGTGGCTCTCTGGCCGACGCAATGCAAGGAGTCAAAGGCCACGACTCTGGAGTTGCATTTCTCGGTCCTTGAAGATCGCCCACACACTTGTATCGATGGCAGATTGCAACGAGACTGATGCTGCAATGTCCTGATCATGCCATCGCGCGCTGGAAAAGCTCTGGTCTAGGGTCTCAGCTAAAAACATAGGCATCCTGTAACCCCCCTGTTCCGTGACAATTACACGACCGCAACGGCCGTTGACTATGGTGGAACGCGAGAGACACCGTTGCTATCACCAAAACCCAGAATCTGTCAGCCCATCGAAAAAAAAAACATGCTCCGCCCGCTGTTGCAACAAGCACCCTGTAATCATCGGCGCATTCGACCTACCATGGCCCGTCACCCAGCACGTCCTCACACCACCATCTCACGAGCCGTGTTCTAGGCCACCGCTCTGCACCTCTGCCTACCATGTGTTTCTCTACGGCAACGCCATCGCATGCAGCTCGTGCATTGGCAATGGCACGCCAATGTCAGGTAAGTGAATCTTGCAAGGTTGTCTGCCAGCTGCAGACGTGGCTGTCGAGGGTGTTGGTCCTTGCGACCCCATGATGTCCTCATGAATGCATCCCAGTTGCGTCTGGCCAATCGGGGAAGCTATGATGAGAGCAAAGGCTTTAGTCATTGCACCTCTGTTTGGAGCACCAAATCGACGCATCCTAGGCCGAGATGCGCGACGCAAGATCCAACCTCGCTCGCTTGTCCCCGTGCCCCGAGGGAATTGGACGCTGCCATCCTCCTTCTTGACCGCCATACCTCATGGGACCTGCGGAAAGCCGGTCTGGCTGAATGCCTGCAGCTTCGCTTCACTCTCTTCCCAGCAACCTGTGCCGCTTGGCTCGAGGGTCGACACCACAGTGACCGACACGCAGTCACAACCTCGCACGGGACGTGCTTGGGGGGGGGGGGTTTACTGTATCCACCGTTGATCTGTTGGCTTCCTCATCAAGAGCCTGAACCATGAAAACGAGACTCAGCAGTACCACAGCCCCCTGTGACATGGTGTCGACTACTGCGCCTGCCGACGTCTAAGGCTCAGCCGCTATGAGCCTGCGGCAGCGCTAAGCTTGTTCCCCTCAGTGCTCGGGCAAGCCAGCTCCTCACCTTTCCACTTTCGTCGCCAACTCGAGTAACGTGATCGCTCCTGAACGTTGTTCGCGAGCCAACATGCGCGACTCCAGACTATCCCATTGGAAACTCAATTCCCTTCTCAACTGCGGGTTGTGGGTACAGCTGACAGGCGGCGGAGAGCATGCCACAGACGAGGCGGGCAAAATCTCCTGACAGCATTTCTGCGTTTCTCCCGTCAGTACTGACCATCTGCTTCGCCCATGGTCTCGCGATTCGATCGGCTTTACCTAGACCTCCCATTTCCGTCCGTCCGGCTGATCAACTAGTTGTCAATTCAATGCTAAATCGCCGGACCTGTCTTGAGAGTCGCTTCCCCCCAAGATCTGCACCGTTGAGATCGGCATGCCTTCGGTCATAGAGGGTCAGGTACAATGGTGGCTGGCCCGGTTGCCCACAACATGGGAGCGTCCCCGCCGTTTCGTGTAACAGCACTGA